TTACCTCTATGTTTGATGTCGTCTTGAGGACGATTGTCGTTGCAATATTAGCACTCATCTATCATCTATCTGTTATTGGTCTGCTATACTTTGGTATTGGTTTTGGGAATGCGCGGTTGTGCTGGGCGCATCCGAGTTGTATGACGTATTTGCTACAGCGCATATCCTATCTTCTATGAAGAAAAGTATCTTTTTCAGTTGCAATTGAAGAGTATGAAGATTCAAGGTACCACCACATCAGCAATTCAAGTTCTATCATATTCCAATAATCAATGCAAACACTCAAAAAGAACCCGGGGTATATAATCTATAGCTCAAAGACTAGATAGTAAAATTTGTACAAATATAGACATCATCAGTTCTAGAACGCACGACCAGGTTTCCTCTTGATCTGCGGCTTCTTGACCACGCTTCCACCACCTCCACCAGAGGCACCGTTCCGTGACGACGACGACGCACCGACACCGCCTCCCCGCTTGGCAACGACAGGACGCCGCACAGCGGAACGATTGGCACTAGTGCTGCTGCTGTCTCCGCCTACTTCTATCTCCTTTCTGCGACGAGAGGGGTCGTTCTGCTCTTCTTCGCGTTGTTTGTCTGCGGCGGCGCGTTCGCGGTCCGCGGCCATCTGCGTTTCGATTTCCATGCGTCGGTTGAATTCAAGCTCGGTGACACGGCGTTCCCGCTGCGAGTACCCTTTTTCTTTGACGGAGTAGAAGACGCCTCCTAGTTCGGCGAGCCACTGTTTCGTAAGATGATTAGTTCGGGTTCGGCTGGCAGGTGGAAAGGGGATTCGGAAAAGAAGAACTTACGTGAGGATCGACTGCCGTGACAGTGGACATGTACTCCTTGCTCGTTAGGATCAACTCGTGGTAGACGACATACTCGGGAACATATCCGAGACCGTACAGGGCACTGGTCGGGTGCAGCTGCATGGTGACACTGGTGCGGAGGTTGATGAACTCGCCGATACCCTTCACGCGGGCCGCCTGGTGGTAGAATCCGGAGCAGATGCACTTGCGGATCTCGTCCCAGTCGGTGCCGCAGCTGACGAGCGGCATCTTCTGCGCGACCATAATGTCGTGAAGCTGGTCGCGGACTTCGCGCGCGCGTCGCAGTGACTTGGCGTGGAGGAAGTGCTTGATACACCACCCGTCGGAGTAGCCGTTGGATTTCCATTGCGAGTATACGTGAAGGAGGGTTAGATGGTCGGATTCGGGAACGAAGAACTTTTCGCGCGCGGAGTCGGATTCTTCTTGTCGTTCCTTCGGACGGTAGAACACGTTGGGCACGGAGAGCATGGAGACGATGCTCAGCATTTCCTCGCTGCAGCCGTACTGCTCAGACGCGGTGATTAACAGTTTGGCCAGCGGAGGATCCATGGGGAAGGGCGTCATCTGACGTCCTAATGGGGTGAGATCGCCGAGGTTGTCCAAAGCTCCTAGGGACCACAGCTCGAATAGCGAGGTGGTGATGGTCTCTTGGGGAGGAGGATCCATGAAATCGAAATCCAAGAGGTCCTTGACTCCCAACGATTTGAGAAGCAGGACTGTATTCGAAAGACTCGTTCGCTGAATCTCCGGGATTGTTTGCAGGTAGAGTTCGTTCTTATAAGCCACCTCGGTGAACAGACGGTACGCTTTTCCAGGTCCCGTCCGGCCGGCTCTGCCAGAACGTTGGTTGGCGTTGGCTTGGGAAATCGGCGTGATTTGAAGCGTGTCCATTCCCATGCGTGGGTTGTAGACCTTCAGTTTGGAGTATCCTGCGTCGACGACGTACATGATACCATCGACCGTCAGACTCGTCTCAGCGATGTTTGTCGCAACGATCACTTTCCGCACGCCCGCTTCGGCCTTCTCGAAAATCTTCGCCTGCTGCTCTGCTGGCATTTGACTGTAAATGGGCAGAATGCTGAGCTTTGGTGGATCATTCAACATCTTAAGCCGTTCATCAACCAGCTCGCAGGTGGCCTCGATATCCTCCTGTCCGGTCATGAACACGAGGATGTCGCCGGAGCCCTGCGACACGTGGATGGCCAGGACTTGCTTCACAGCGCTATCGACGTAGTCCTCGCAAGGGGTTCTCGAAAAATGAACATCGACGGGGAACGTTCTTCCTGGGATGATAAATTCGGGAGCGCCACCGTAGAACCTCGAGAAACGATCGGCATTCATAGTAGCTGAGGTGACGATCAATTTCAGATCTCGTCGCCGAGCCAGGACCTTTTTGAGAAGACCCATCAAAACATCTGTGTTCAAAGCTCGCTCGTGCGCTTCGTCCATGATGATACATGAATATTTGTCCAGATCCGTCTGGACCAGCGATTCTCGCAGAAGTACACCGTCGGTCATGTACTTGATCACCGTCTTATCGCTAGTGCAATCCTCGAAACGGATGGCATATCCAACTTCATCACCCAGGTCAACTTCCATTTCCTCGCTCACACGCTTCGCGACACTCATCGCAGCTACACGGCGAGGCTGCGTGCACCCGATCAGACCAAACTTCGAGTAACCGTCCTCGTGCAGGAACTGCGTCAGCTGCGTAGTCTTTCCAGACCCCGTTTCACCGACGACCACGACTACTTGGTTATCGCGAATAACTCGAAGCAGGTCCTCCCTCACCGCAAACGCCGGCAGGAACTCTCTCTGCTCCCGAAGCGTCTTGCTCTTACTAAATGAGCTCTGACCTCCTTCATCCTTCTTCATGTGCTTCGCGAACTTGTTTCCGCTCTTATACGCATCTTCCACGGGCACAGCCACAGCGCTGTCCCCCTCATCTTCCTTGACTCCCATCAAGTTTCCAAGTGCCGTGCCGGCCATGGTCGTAGCCTCCTGCGCCTGCTTCTGTCGCTCCCGCTGTTGACGGCGATCCCGGACAACTTTGCTCCCCTTCCGACTGAAAACCGCCATATCACTCTGCGGATCTCGGACAGCGGAGATGGGCTCTAGCTGCTTGGTGAAGATGGTCCGGCCATCGAGAAACGGGGGGCGCAGGTCATGCACCAGCAGATGGATACGGGTCGCTTCCTCATCTTCCGGCATGAAATCGCCATCGAAGTCGCGTCGCTGGGCCACACCCGACGTGAGCATTCGATTCGTCTCCCAGTTGTCGATGTCCTTGCGCTTGGCATCGCGAAGCTGCGGAGGCAGGTTGGATTTTTGCCTTTTGGCTGGGGGGCCGTCGGATGCCATTGTGAGGGTGAGGTTCGGGATGGGACGGCGGTGTTCACGAGAAGGAATTCTCCGGTTTCGTTTTGGCCGCAACGAGGTCGAACTGCCTCCAGACGTCCTGGCGAGTCAGTTGGAGTGGAGGAGTTGAGCGCAAGGAAAGGAAAGTCGCCGCCCACGAGAGCGACGGGAAGGCAAACAGTGCAAACGCGACTGGGTCACGTGAAGCTGCGCATCGAGGGGCTGCCACAGCGGGGATATGGCCTTGTAATTGTATATGGACATTTAGAGGCAAGACTTTTATTCTGAAGTTCGTATACAGTTATTTGGCAAGCCGACTTATTATCATCACTCACCAAAATCAGCCGTGTTGGGCCACTCGTACTGCGGAAGACAAGCGACACTCCGCGCAACATCAATTCCGACGACCGCCCCGCATCGCCAGTCCAGCTTTGCAACCAAACCATCCAAATCACCATGGCCGCCCAAGGACAAATAAACCCTAAGAAGCAGCAGGGTATGTGCACTATCAGCGCTCTGAGACCCCAGATTCATGGGGAATTACTGCGAAGAGTGAAGACTGACCTCTTACAGAGCTCCAGCTCCAGTACTCCAACTACAAAAACACGCTGCAGCAGTTGGCTTCGAAGATCGGAGACATTGAGCAGGAAGCGGAAGAACACAAGTGAGTTTGCTTCGTTCCCATCAAGTACTGTAAACCACGCAGGTTTGCTGTGTCCCCTGTACAGTCATGGACAAAGTTTGAAACTAACGCATTCATTCGCTTCTGTTAGACTCGTTATCGAGACGCTTGACCCCCTGCCTCAAGACCGAAAATGTTTCCGCATGGTGAACGGCGTTCTGGTTGAGCGCACGATCCAGGATGTTCTCCCCTCGCTGAAGACCAACTCGGATGGATTGAAGTCGGTGTTGGAGGAGCTGTTGAAGCAGTACAAGGGGAAGCAGGCGGAGATGGATACCTGGAAGGTTCGTTTCTTGTGGTTTCTTCCCAAGGCTTATGGCCAGCATGAGGAATCGATTGCTGATTCTATTTCACGATACAGAAAAAGAACAACATTCAGGTCGTTCAGCCCTAAGGAGAAGGCCCACGCGCCTTGTCTGTCTTCTATGTCTTTCTGAATCGCTCGAAATATACTGGAGACAGGCGATTTAACATTTCAACACAAGCGGCGTTAGAAGGAGTCCGGAGACCGGATTCAAAAGTTGCTGGGTCGATTCTTCGCCATCGTGGGTTTCGGGTGCATTGTATATTGGACGAATCGCTTGTTTGTCTGATAAGGCTGTTGGTGATATAACTACCACCTGCTAGGTCATTAGGCAGATGTACCACAATGAGCACATGGCCACAGAGATATTTCCTCATCCAACCCGCACCTAGTAGGCGAAAGTGAGGAAGAAGTTCGAGGTTTTCGCTTGGGAGCAATTACTCTATACAACTAGCTAATGGACTATTTTCATTTATACTTTTTCTACAGTTGAAAAGCCTAATGGACGGTAAATTGAGGCACAGAAATATTGAGTCTTGATTCGTACGCGTGGCTATCGATAAAGCAAAAGCAGTCTTAAGGAGTGGGTTCATCGGTATATATCGTCAAGGATCGTGATTCATTTTCATCAAAAATTAGTAGATCGGAAACGGGACACTCAATCAACTCGTATATACATGTTTTGTGTGAAGTAAAGATTCAGGGGCATATAATCGGAATGAAAAAAAAGTTTGCCATGGAAATATCGAGCAAGTGGCCGTCTCATTTATACCTCGAGCGCCGATGTATTTATAACCCCGCAGATGTTGTATATGTAAGCCCATCAAAGCGTACGTTCAACTTCAGGATGCCTCCGTAGTCGAGATCCAGAATTCGGACCTGGCAAGCTTTTGCGATGCTTCACGCCAACTGAATGGTGAGCCATGGACCCCCCGGCCGCTCTTTGAATCATCTGCTCGTCCATAGGTGTCGAGCTTCCTGACGTCGTAGACCTGCTGCTTCCTGCACTTCCACGTCGGAATGCGAAATAGCCTTCGTGTCCATCGAACGATTGAGTGTTCATCCGGGGCGGATTTGTAGTGGGCGATATATCGTGAGACATTCGTCGCCGCAGTGGATGCGGTGATAACGATGTTTTAGATCGGTTGGGAGCCAGACGATATGATGAAGACATTGAGGAATGCGAGCCACGGGGTCCAGGGCTTGGTATCATTGATGTCGTAGCAGAACGGTGGTGATGGCGATCTCTATGGACACCTGCCACAGCAGGCGCCCTTTGTCTGCATCCCCACAGAAATGCATGTTCTGGAGAGTCATAACTGTGTTCCAGGGTTAGAGACTGTGTAGGTAGCTGTAATCTTTCATTGATGGAGAGCCATGCCCTCTCGTCTGCTTCATCGCTCACGCTATCGTTAGGTGATGGTGATGCTGATCCAGAAAGATATCCGCGAAGGCCCATCGATGACACTTGAGTGCGCCACCCGCCTACGCCCTCGAAGTCTCTGCCCGCGTCCCCGCTAGTCAGACCAAGGAAAGCCGTTGTTGAAGGATAGGGTTGATGTGCACCATCGGAGCCAATTAGGGCTCGTTCTTGCTCACCCCGGCCCTCAGAGGAATTCGAACTTTGCCGGCGCCGTAATGAGTCTGGTCTACTTTGGCCGGTGAAGCTCTGACGATACGCCAGAGGGTTCGAGTGGAGAGGCGTCATGCCATAATCGAACGAGCGACGCTTTGGAGTTGCCGGGATGCCTGGCGTAGCTGGTTCAGAGGCTGCGAAACTTAAGAGGGATGTACTTTCAGGCGTCGGAATGGTAAAATAGCTCGAGATAATCCCATAGAGAAGCTTAATGTAGACGAACGAGAAACGTATGAACAAAGTCACAAATGCTAGAAAAATGGTAAAGCAGGCAGATGAGATTAGAGGTATCGAGATGAAGAGAAGAAGCGGTAGGGTGATTATCGTGTTCCATATGGAGGACATGGAGAGCCGAGCAATGCTCTTCTTATAGAGCGATCTCCTAGTAGTACTCCGCAGTTAGTACTAGAGAAGTACTAGTTACCAGATACTAGTAGAGTGAGAACGATGCCCATCAGATCAAGATATACAGCAGACATTCGAGGGGATGCAAGAACCAGAAGAGTCATGCAACAAAGCGCAAATGCGAAATGCGGAGAAAAACATGTGATGCTGGAGTGCCCCAGGCATGAAATCCCGATACGGCATCGCGGGCATTTCTTACGTCATACCCGCCGCGACTTTTGCATCAACTCTTCGACGCGGCGGCACAGTTGAACTTCGCAGTATTGTCAAGTTCCAACCAACATCCCAGCTGAAGATCATGACCCTCGCGGAAAATGAAAATGGGGGTGATTTTCCCTGGGAGATTGGGGTCTTCGATGCCCATTGTCATCCTACCGACACCATGTCCTCGATTGCTGAGATACCTCGGATGAAAGCCACCACTCTTACCGTCATGGCCACGCGTGGTGAGGACCAGGATCTGGTGCTACAGACTGCTGCAGCTCACTCAGGCCTGGACACAGCTATCAATGGCTCAAGTACCGGGCGCGCCTTGCCTTGTTTCGGCTGGCACCCGTGGTTCTCACATCAAATTCTCGATGATCATCCTGATTCATCAGACTCTGATGGAGCCCCGAGATCTGAAAGAAAGAAGGCGCATTATAGAAAAGTGCTTACTCCATCGCCGGACGATGATTTCATCTCAACCCTTCCGGAGCCAAAACCACTTTCCCAGCTCATCTCGGAAATCCGATCCCGCCTGACAACGCACCCCCTGGCACTTGTGGGCGAGGTTGGTCTGGACCGGGCATTTAGGCTACCCAATTCTTGGAAGCCACAGGATCTCGAGAATCGCGACGATGGAATGACCCCGGGATCCCGCGAGGGTCGCAAGCTATCTCCTCATCGAGTACAACCGGAGCATCAAAAGGCGGTTCTCAAGGCGCAGCTTCAACTGGCCGGAGAGCTTCGACGTCCCGTCTCTGTTCATAGTGTCCAAGCGCACGGAGCCGTATTTGACCTTTTTAAAACATTGTGGTCTGGTCATGAACGAAAGGTGCAATCGCGACGGGATAGGCAGCGACGCCGCAGCGTAGCTGACGCACACGCGGAAAGTGAGGCGGAGGATGAGGGAAAGCAGGCATCACCCCAGCCAGATCCCCCTCTTCCCTTCCCACCCCGGATCTGTATGCATTCGTATTCCGGCCCGGTGAATCCCGTGAATCAATTCTTACACCCATCCAATCCCTCGGATGTCTATTTCTCCTTTTCCACCGTGATCAACTTCAGCGGACCATCGGTGCAGAAAGTGATGGACGTCCTCAAAGTACTGCCTGACGATCGAATCCTTATAGAGAGTGATTTGCATACCGCCGGACCGCCAATGGACGATCTCCTGGAGCAAGTCGCACGACAGATCTGTGAATTGCGAGGGTGGACGTTGCACCAGGGGGTGCAGCAGTTGGCGGACAATTGGAAGCGATTTGTGTACGGGTGAGGGGAGTGGACTGGGCCTTAGCCACTACTGACCATAGTTACCTGTGGTGTATGATATATGAATGCACATAAAATATAAATAGATGTAGCCCCCGTGACCTGCACGTTCTCCGCAGCCACGTGACGGCTCCCCCAGATCGGCCGCCCCACTTGGTCGTATCGCTCGCTTTCCTCGTCATCTTCGCTTCTCCTCAATTTCTCCCACTTACCTTGAAAGTTGAACCTCTGGCCATGTCATAGACCTGGGCCGTCTTCCGTCTGTCGCATCTTCCCCCACTCATTGATGATGAAGCTGCGAGTCTCCGGACCCTGAATTTGCGTCGATGATCTTGCTATGTCCTCCACCGCGCATACCAGCCACTCGCCCACCGGCCATGGTGTGACTAAGCGCAAGTCAGGTAACTAGTCATACTCTCCTCTGCTTTTCTACTCTTCCAACGAATATGTTCCCCTAATCGCCTCTCGGATTCTAGGCTCCGCGGCCTGCGTCCATTGCCATCGACGTAAAGTCCGTTGTGACGCACGCGTGGTCGGTTTGCCGTGTTCCAACTGTCGCACCGCGGGAAAGGCGGATTGCCGCATCCATGAGAAAAAGAAACGTTTAGCCGTGCGCTCGATTCTCGACCCCGTTCCCATTCGCTGTCGCCCACCCTCAATTTCTGAACCGTCCCTTAGACCATTGCCATCCCAATCCGCTGGTCAGCCCTCCGCTTTTACAACTACCTTTCGAGGCATTCAGCCCGATGTGACGACTCCGGTTACCAACACCGCACCCACCAGCAATTCTCCCAAATCTGGCTTTGAAGACGCAACAAATACCAGTGATGCGCGCCTTCATGATACCTCGCCAATTTCAGGCAATCAGGAGTATGACCGCCAGCCGGACCTTGACCGTTTGGCGGAACAGGATACAAATGGAGACTTGGAGAAACGATTGGTGAAGATTATCGATGAGGAAGAAACTGGCACCCGAGAAATCCAGAGAGGGGTTCGCGCGATCTACGTTGGCCATGAATTGTCGAACATGTCCTTCTTGATTCGCCAGCAACGGGAACAAGATGACGATGTGTATCACTTTGCCGGGAATGAGATTCCACGCCGTCAATTGCGAACTGGCCATGATCAACTCCTCATGGATGCTTTAACCTTGCCAGAACAAGCTCTTGCCGACGAGCTAGTGCATGCATACTTCAGCCACATCAATCCTGGTTATCCCATCATCGAGGAGGATCATTTCATGACGCAATATCGTAACCGGGACCCCGCCGATCCGCCGCCGGTTTTGCTTCTTCAGACTATATTGTTAGTTGGAGCCCATGTGACTCGACCTAAGCCAGAGCGGGATGTTCTCAAAGAGATCTTCTTTCGCCGCGCCAAATGGTTGTTTGATAGCCGGATTGAACGGAATCGCGATATCATGGTCCAAGCAGCCCTACTGTTGACCTGGCATTCGGATAGCGCCGATGACGATGTAGCTGCCAACGCGCACTACTGGGTCGGAGTCGCGGCGAGGATTGCTACGGGTCTCGGAATGCATCGTAACCCCGTCTCTAGCAGCTTTGTATCCCGAGATCGCCGCATGTGGCGGAGATTATGGTACATCCTGGTCCAGTTTGACGTGATGGTTTCTCTTTCCTATGGCCGACCTCAAGCCATGTAAGTTGGTCTGTCATCGGTTTAATTTTCCATCTAACCAAACTATGCATTAGCAACCTTGAGGATTCGGATGTCTCCCCATTGACTCATTCTGATTTTGAAGGATGCGGATCCCGAGTGCAATCGGAATACGTGATTCATTTCTCGGAGCTCTGTACAATGATTTCATACATTGTTCGCGAACGGTTTGGCCTGCGAGTCAGTGCCGAACGTCGCAAGGCTGCACTACAAGAAGCCGACGAAGCGTTGGCGAACTGGTCTCTCAAGCTACCAGACAACCTACGCCTGCGAGCATCAGATATGGACCCTTGGTCTGCTATGCTACATCTTACATACAATAATTTTCTTATACTTCTTCATCGACCGCACCCAAGGGCATCTGCGTACTCCGACGACTATGGTCCGCATGATGCTGAGATTTGCAGCGCGGCCGCCGGAGTGATTGCTTCTATCTTTGAGGAACTCCGTCTGAATGATCGGCTGAAGTTCCTGTGGTACTCTGGAGTCCATACTCTTTTCACGGCCATGATCCAAGTGCGCGTGGAGCTGCGGTTCTCTAATCCGGTCCTGGCGATCAATGCGCTGCGTCGCTTCGACTCGGCGTCTTACTCGCTCCGCGAGCTGGCCTCGTACTGGTCGCATGCCAATACTATCCTCCGTCTTTTTGAGGATTCTCGGCGTCTCCAGGAGGACTTGCGGGTAGCGACTAGCCAGCGACCCGGGCGCTTCAATAGCATCCCCAAAAACGACATTCAAAACCCGCCCGCTCCAAATCCTATTATACCACCCTCTCAACCGGACACGACACTACCGTATGAAGTCCCGACTCCGGAATCGCCACACTTACCCACCTCCACTATCAGTCCGAGTCAGAATCAACCATTTGATAATTGGATCCCCAGTAATCTGGTATCTGTGGACCCATTAGATCAACCGCGGGAGCTACTGGATTGGCGACAGCTATTTTCCTTCACCGATCCAGAACAGGCCGTTCTTCCCATGGCCATGGAGGGGTTGCCAGAATTGGAAGACGAATGGCGCCAAATCTACTGGCAGGACACGCCCATGTCTGATCTCCTCCAGGATGGGGGATGGATGCATGGGTAGTTTGCCGTAGTGTTAGTGTCATTAACTTCGATTAACCTTGAACAGAATCCTTTGAACCACTGTCGGTGGAATGTATATACCGCGGGAGTATAAATAACTTCGTTAAGCTTCCGGCATTGACCAAGCTGACATTCAAACGACGAGACGGACTCAGATGCGTGATACTATATTGCTAACAATGGGTGACGGCATTTCTACTAGGACATGGAAAGGTTTCGTATCTGGCTTTGGGCAAAATTGCTTGTAACCACGTGCATGGTAAAAGCAAAGACCTGTGTATATAGCCTGCCGTAAATAACATCCACCACGAGTTCTGTCAATGCGAGAAAGCTATAGGCCATGTCTGCTCAAGCATAATCCTTGGTCGCTATTGGTATAGAAAATGCGGCAATATACAACCTGCAGTAACCAAAATGATGTCTATAAATGAACCCTCTGAACCCGCCGCAGCTGGCGCATACCATATCGCGAGATCCCAACCGTGCCCAGCAGGCAGACCGAGACGAGCAGTCCAAACGCCCAGCTCATCTCCTCCCAGTAATTCGGCACGTTCATGCCATACAGACCCGCCACTAGGGTCGCAGCCGCAAGCCCCAGCATGCAGATCTCGACCTTCGCCTCGAGCACCATGATCTGGTTCCTCCGCACGTCCAGAATCGACTGAATGGTCTGCTCCGTCTGCTGGATATTCCGCATCAGACTCCCCGTCTCCTGCACCACCCGATCACTCGCCTTATAGTACGCTTCCAGCAGGTACTCCACATCCTGATGATCCTCCATCCGATGCGGCATCCCCGCCTTCTTATCTGTCAGGTGCATCGCCGCCATATCCTCGTCCTCGTTCAGCACCTCCTGCACCGCACTGCGCACATGTCTGGCCCGCTGCTCGATGCCTGCTAGCCGCCGTACCAGATCCAACAGCTCCCGCAGATCAGAGTGGATCACGCTTTCCTCCTTGTCCTGCATCTGTACATCCAGCGTCCGTAGCGCCTGCACCGCCCGCTCCTTCGCAAGCACATACTCTGCCTCCAGCGTCGACGTCGTCGCCGCCAACGCCGCCTCTAGCACCCGTAGCTCGTACGGCAGTCGCGTCGATACCCCGAGCCCGCGATCTCCGCGCAGTTTACCGGTAAGGTCGTGTGTGAATACGCGCGTCGTGTTATCTATCGATGATGGCCCTTTCCCTTGAGTTTGACCCTGTCCCTGTCCATCAACATGAAACAAAAGCATCCGATCAGCCTGCACCAGCAATCGCAGATTAAACAGATGAATCAGCATCGTCGACTCGCGGATCAAGATATGCGGGAACCCGTCCGTCGGGAGGTCCATGGCGCGGAGATCGCGCGCGCTGAGACCATACTGCTGCGCGATGTCCAGTTTCGTGAGCTTGAGTTGCGTAGGTGTCGTAGACGTTCCTTCGGCGTTGTAGATGGTCGTTTGCATCTCGACGTTGCCGTTTGCTGGGGTACGGGAGAGTCCGAGCGAGAGCTCGTATAGCTGCTCTGCCTGTGTGGCATTCTCGCGTTTCTCATGTGTGAGACTTGACCCGGACGTCTCCGTGGCATTGATATTGTGGACAGATCGGGACTGGGACGTGTTGATGGATGTAGTGTATTTCGGTATAGTTGTAATGGTAGTGCCTAGAGTGGGCCGCCGGAATGGATACCATCGCAATGCCACGCCCGCGGATCGGTGGTAAGGCTGAATGCGGGGGGGAGCGCCACGGAGACATGACGAGAGATTTCGGGTCAATGGGCGCGTGCAACTGGAGGAGAGGCGCAAGGGGTTCATTGTGACACGCGTGGATCTTCATGAGTTGGATGAAAGAAAGATGGATTGGAGGGTTGCATTTGTTGGCCTGGACCTACGTATGTATGACTAAGCGGGGGCAGAACTTCATCAGGCTGGGGTCTAGAAAGTAGTATATTTAGGTGGTTGGACGAGGGAAGAGTGCCTGTTGCAGTAGAGGGCTAAAGAGATGAATTCATATTTTGGGTAGAGATTAGGAACGGGTCTTCCCACGTATTGCACAGAGAGGAAAGGAGTGCTTGATAGATTGCCTCAGGCATTCACAAACACACCCCAATCCGGCAACGATGAAGCAATTCAAAAGCCATAACCTTGTAGATAATCGAAACTGTCAGTACTCAGGAGCCACCTTACACAACGGAATCATCTCTTTTAGCAAAATATATGGGCAAATCTCCTCATACCTGCCCAAGTCGACCTGCTCTATCTGGTAGAGGGTGGATGTATTCCCGCTCGGTCGTCGCTAGACAATCCCACATGTATTCTGTTCTGTAGGACTATTGCGCTTGTAGTGCTCGTAGTCGACATAGACGAGCACACCAAGAATTGTATCAATCACGGTCTGTCGACCGGGCTGGTGTCGGCTTTCTCACCGATGGCGAAAATCCATTCCCAGATGAGTCAAATTAGCATGCGGTTAATTGTTCTCCCTATCAACTCATCAGCTGCCATTTGTAGAAGTGCCCTCGATGAGGTGTATATTTCTCTGGATCTTTTTTGCATAGTTGTATAGTATGTTTGAGGCAGGTTAGAGATCCGTGAATGAAGTGTGAAACATAGAGATAGGGGCAAATGGAGGTATAATATAAAGACGGTAGGGCTCGCAGGGGTGTAGGGAGAAATATTTACCGCTTTTTTTACAATGGATTAACCCAATCATTTCACCGCCAGTGGAGAGTTGGATCCTTGTCAACCTGACGAATTAATACTCGGAAATTAGTTCATTTTTTCTCTCCATCTCGGTTACAAGTGATTCACACCAATTTGTCGATTAAAGACGTTCGAGATGGGGGAGAAGGAGGGCTTCACGGACACTGCCGCTATCAGCGACAATCCAACACGATCACCGCCAATGCCGGAAAATGGAAATGAAAATCAGAATCAGCCCTCGGTCTTTGAGCGATTCTCTCCGGCTCGAAAAAGAATCATCACGGTTGTGCTCTGCTACTGCGGGCTTCTCACGCCCATCAGCTCCACCGCTGTGCTCTCTGCCATCCCTGAAGTCGCTGCCACATTCCACACGACGGGGTCCATCATCAACGTCTCCAATGCCTTGTTCATGGCCTTCATGGCTCTCGGCCCAATGATCTGGGCCCCTATATCCGGGGTCTTTGGTCGACGTCCTGTCTTTCTCATCTCGAGCACCTGCTTGACGGCTTTCAGCGTGGGGACGGCCCTGGCGCCGAACCTTCCTGCGTTCTTTATCTTTCGCATGCTGAGTGCACTTCAAGGTACCGCCGTTCTGGTCGTCGGGGCTGTGGTCATCGGGGATATATACCTGCCCACGGAACGAGGAACCGCGCTCGGTTGGTTCTTGTCGGGTACGCTTATCGGTCCCACGATAGCTCCTTTGCTAGGCGGGATAATCGTGACCTATACATCCTGGAGGGTCATTTTCTGGACGCAGACCGGCATGGCCGGTCTCTCAATGATTCTCGTGTTTTTTTTGCTTCCCGAGACCATCCATGAGAAGAAGACGCAGGTCTTCGACAATCTGTCCCTAACTCAGAGGTCAACGCGACTGCTGCGCCTGATAAACCCGACAGAGATCGTGATGCTGCTCATCTCCTCTCCCAACTTCATGATCGTCGGTCTGGCGGTCTCCTCGTTCATGTGGAATCAGTATTCGCTGCTCACGCCCATCCGCTACGTCCTGAACCCCCGATTCCATCTCACCACGCCGCTGCAGTCTGCCCTGTTCTTCATCGCCCCGGGTGCGGGCTACTTGACCGGGACGTTCTGCGGCGGCCGCTGGTCCGATTATATCGTGAAGCGATACATGGCGAAACGAGGGCGACGCGTCCCCGAAGACCGACTGAACAGCGCGGTCATTATCATGGCTATTCTGGTGCCGGGATGCATGCTGGTGTACGGGTGGGCCGTTGAGAAGGAAGTCGGTGGGATTCCGCTCGTCGTGATCGCTATGTATCTGCAGGGAGTGACGCAGCTGTTGTGCCTGCCGAGTCTCAATACGTACTGCGTGGATGCGATGGAGGACAGTGGGAAGGGATCGTTGGTCGTCGCAGGTAATTATCTGACGAGGTTTATGTTCGCGGCGGCGAGTACGGCGGTCTGTCTTCCTGCTATCCAGGCCATTGGGGTGGGGTGGTTCAGTACTATATCAGCTCTTTTCATCTCGGTTTCAGCCGGGTTAGTATGGCTGGTCGCGAAATACGGGGAGGGATGGAGGTTGAAGCGAGAGGGGAGATGATCTGGTTCGAAGGCCTGAAGTGATGATTGACGATTTAAACGACTGTGAGAAGAAACAACGATTTCATCTGCATTTGGCGTGTTATATATAGATGGTCTATGCAGTATCTAGACAGGACTGCTAGAGATTGATGATCGAGAGAAGTGAGAGAAGTGAGAGTAGAACTCGTGTCTCCCGTCTGCATTAGTCGCGAGCGTGGCTGCAGGTCACATTACCTTGCGACAGATGAATAGTCCACAATTCCTGGAGAGAAGTAGTCAAGGGAGGACAGTGAAGTCCCAATTCATGTATTTTTCTATCAATCATATCCGTTTCCATGAGACCCATCGAGAATCATAAACGAGGTTGATCAATGATATCATAAATACAAAGGTGACTCGGCTTGTAAGTGTACAACTTCCCACCCATGGGGAACGGCGCAGGAAACAAGCAGGATGATTGAATCATCGACGGAAATGGGTTCTGAAATAACCTCCTGATACATGCAAGTGTACACGTCCGGCCTGAGTCCCAGTGAAGAAAAAGAGGATAAGGGGTGCAGACTGTCTGTCGAAGAGCGTCGCACAGAAAACATCAGGAAATAAACAGCAACCAAAAAAGCCCAAAGATTAGAAAAATGAAGAAAATCCCGCCGCCCCTTAAACTGTCTGTCGTAGTCCTTTACTCGTATTCGATCCGTTAAAATCAATTCCCAGGGAGGGAACGATGCTGCCACACTGGCGGACTTCGATGAGAGGGAGCAGCATCCGGAAGTCGGAGCTGAAACGAAACGGGTTGGAGATCCTCTCCAGGTTGGACCCGTTCAGGCACAGCTCCCGGATCGCTTCCCTGCGCAGAAGCAATCTAGTAGGCGTCACCACCTGTGCCGTTGTGCGGCTGACCGACCATGGGAGGGTAACCATAGGCAGCGGTCTCTTGCTCGGCAGCATCCAAACCCGAGTTCATGATACTGTTGGCGCCGTCGGCGGCGTCACCAAAGGCCCCGGGGCGGCCACCAGGACCAGCTCCCACAGCTCCCACGGGTCCACCGGCGCCATACCCGCTACTGGTTGGTCGGTTCTGGTGTTCGCCTCTTGCGGACTGTGTCTATACCGGTCATCAGCGCAACCTGTTCTCAATACACTAGACCATGCGTGGCTAGTGAGAAGGCCGGAGGAAACAAGGATGTTGCACAAGTCTTACCTCACGATACTTCGACAAATAGATTTTCAGGGCTTCTGCATAGTTTTCGAAACCAAGGGAAGTCATGGCAAACAGAATGTCCTCTCCGTTGACGGTTTTGCGTTTTTCCTGTTGGCATTTTTCGGATGCTGTGGTTCACACACCATGCCTCATTAGATAAGGGCGCATGCACATCCACAAAACAATAGTACTAACCTTCGCTGGTGATGAATGAGATAAACTCGCTCACACACTCCTGCATGCACTCCTTGGCTTCCTTTGCAATCTTTGCATTATCGGGAAGAGCCAGTTTCATGATACGAGCCACTTCATGGCAAGAGTTAGCTGTCTCCAATTGTTCCTCATGATCATTCGCAAGTGTGACAAGTAAATAAAAACGATGGAGCCAAATATAATCAGGGGGTACAAATGGCGTGCGCCATATGAAGACGATTGGCTGGAACAAGAACAATCCCCTTGATGGGGGTTAAGAGGGATAGTGAGGAAATATGAATCAAGTCAAAAAAAGGGGGAGGGGTGGAGGGGCAAGAGGAAGGAAGGGAGAGAATAAATAAGGAACCTTCCCCGGGAAGAACGAGTAAAAAAAAAAAAAGAAGGAAGAAAAAACATCAGAGAGGTCAGAAGGGTCTGGCGCAGTGTAGTAGGGCAGGATGGCTGTTGACCAGCAGGTAAAACGTAAGGTACGCGCAAATCAGGAGGACAGACGCGCTGCAAGGAAACGGAACTAACCATTTGCAATGGGTAACCATCTATCCTGCTCCTTTACCTCGAACTCTCCCTGGCCTTGTGCGTCTTGCTGTTCCTTGTCCATTTGGTCTTGCTCTTCACCCGATTGAACTTCAGGGTCCACCTCAGGTTCCTTGGAAGGGGAGGCCGACGACATGATTTTTAGCTGTTTGGCACGCGGTGGATACTAGAATTCTGGAAAAAGATGGCTGTGTCTAATTGCCCTGTTGGCAAGAAAACCACGTCACAGATGCGGCGCGCGGTGGCTGTCAAACCCTTGACGCTACAATCAACCTGCCCCAGGGGGAAGATGCCTTGCTGGGCAGCGATTCGCTTCACAGCAGCCTAAACGGGGAAGCAAGACAGTGTCAGCATGTGTGGGGGATTGGCAATGCTGCGACAACAGCGCTGCCCTGGCGGTGTGATTCAGGTCCACTAGGTAGACTGGGTATTATCCCACTAGGACGGCAATGATGACAGGGGGCGCCCGATAAGGCTCTGGTTTTTTTTTTTTTTTTTTTTTTTCTTTCGAATAAACCAAAAAGCGAAAGAAAATAATTTCCTTCAAATGGGAAAAAAGACCGAGGAAGGTCAAAGCTGATTTGATGCCCAGTGATCTAGGAACTTTCTTGGGCTCCCCCGGGGAGGGCAGGCAAGTGGAGGGAACTAGAACTTACAGAATGCAGTGGTAACGTCAACTATGCGCGGGAAATCCAGCACAGCAACACGGGAGATGTGACGCGGGTAATGCGACACGGAAGTAACCAGTGGGTCAAGAACAGGCAGGTTGTGCAAAGCAGAGTCCAAATCAACCTGACTAAAATGCAATCGGGTTATTTTTGGGGGTGATGCTTCGATGGATCTTGCGTATCCCTAGAGATAATTGGTCTAGGGGATTGAAATGTCACAGGAGGACAGTTAGTATTACTCTGGAGACGGCCGCGATGCGCGCAAGCCGTCAATTGGCGAACCAGAGGTGCCTGGCAGAACGAGCACGATCACTGGTTGCTGGGGACAGTACAACGCCAATAGTTGCAGAGATGAAGACTAACCAAGACTGCTCCAAACCAAACCGGCAGAAAAGGTGGGATGGATGAACCAGGAATGATACTCGATGATTGACTGATTGGTTGAGGGTGCAGAACGTCTGTCTGGCTGGCTGAAATGAATAATGGATCGCGACTTCGATGGATGGAAGATTGGAAGGAGGATCGAGCGAACGAGAGAAGTCGGCGCCGCCTGGCTGCCGGCGTGACGGCGCTTACCGTCCCCATACACAAACCGTGGTATTTCTGGGCCTGCGGGGTTTAGTGCGGTATTCTGTCGCTGGTGGGCGGGAGAGGGGGTGGTTTTGATACCGTTATGCACGTGATAGCAGCCATCAGTCATCATTTGCATTGTATGCATCGCTCTCTCTTTCTTTCGGTTTTCTCTTGTCTTTCCTTCTCCCTTCCTCTCATTACCCAAGGATGGGTGACCTCTGTCTCGAAAACTGCATAGTTTCTTCTCTCCCCCATCCATCAGGTATCCGTCATCTCTCTCTCGGCTCCCTGCGTCACGGAAGACGGACCGGGCGTTTTCAGGCATCAATCGCAATCCAAGACATCGGATGAGCAAACAGAAGGTGTCGGCAACGTCCTTCTTGATGCTACAGTACATGAAACCGTGAGAATCTCTGGGTCAGGCAAACCTGCAGTGGACCCGGCTGTCGCCCAATCCCATCCAAGTTGACCACCATCTCTTCGCATTGGACGGACGATGTTCCTACCCAAGTTCTCGTTCATGGATGCCTTAACTTTGCGCCTGAGAGTTCTCGTCCGCCCTCCATCTCGGATGGGATGATGTGGACAGAGACATCGAAGACAAAGAAGGAACCGATGATGATCAGGATGATAAAACAAAACGACAGGGGGAGTCTGATCATCATCGGTGGTCGCATTATTGGTTCTTCGGTGCTACGTGCATCTGCAGATTGGTCGAGGCTAACATGAAGCAGCCAGTAGGCGACTTTCCCCTGCCCACCATCACGATCGATCTGGGGAGAACCAAACGCCCCGATTTCCTGGCCTCGCTGGTGCCGACTGCAGCCAAGAAGATTCCGAGGTCACCTTAAACGGCCTTCCTTCTAATTTGCTCTTGCCTCGTGCCTCTCCCCTCATTCCTCAAATCATGTTGTTCTGTCCGTTTGGGTCATGACGACGTCCTGGCTTAGCGCTAGGTTCTACCCTGGCCACAAGGGTCTAGACAAATCACTCTTTGATGATAGCATCATACCTCTTATCTCGTATAACTTCTATGTTCGGTATTTCTATCTGTTTAATATATACTAGTATACATCATGCATATCTGTGGATATCAAGGCATGTTAGGCGGCATGACGCCGCCATCCTGCCTTGCCCAAACGAACACCCAAACGCGCCGCCAACAAACAGATCAAGGAAATGGAAAGAAACAAAAATGGGACAGGCAACAAAATTCACATGGGTCGAGAGCGCTCACGGCTTCTTCGCTCTTTCTTTCCGGCCTACTTCTTCCATTTCCGACAAAATTATGCGATTGAACTCTTGCCAACCGTCCAAGTAGATATGGTGCCCCGAGTTTTTGATGACCACCACTTTAGCCGAGCCATTATCGGATTCACGCTCCTCCGGAGTAGCCGTGCTCAGAATGCGGTTTTTCTCTTCCTCGAGCTTCGCCCGGGCCGCCTGGCCACCTTTGACATCCATCCAATCATGGTCACCATACATGAAGACAATGGGCAAGCCATTCTCCCGTTTCACGGACAAGAACGGGGGTGAAACAGTCGAGCTTGGACCGGAGGCAGCACCAGAAGGCGATTGAGGGGGTGAAGAGTCTCTGACCTCGGCAGGCTCCCACGAGGATGAGGACGGAGACGAGGCTTGAATCATTTGCCGGCCAACCCCTTCAATCCGGCGGATCAAAGGACTGCGGGCAAAGGCTCCTGGGGCGAGGATGTATGCGAGGGCATACTCTCCACTGCCCCGTAAGCTAAATATCGAATACGAGTAGTCATGAAGCGCCTTTGCTTCTTCGGCAGGCAAGTGGGAGAAGCGTCGAGAGCTCCAACCCGACACTAGCCGTGGGCCAAAGGGCCCTGCCCATCGCACCAGAGTAAAAGGCGAGATGTTAGCATCCCAAAGGTAGGCAAACCACTTAGGTACCATTCGGCGTGGAGGTCGATTATCAGGCCCACTTGTAGGAGCTCCCTTTAGAAGAATGTTGTTGTCTCCTTTCTGCACCGACGAAGCGGGCTCAGTGATTTCGCGTTGGTCCTGGGTGACCTCATTGGCCATGGTCGATTCTGAAGGTTCGGGCATATCCGCTGATACCGCATACGGGTCCTCTGGGATGCCTACCGGAGAGGCAAGAATGAGCTTGTTCAAACGACCGGGGTATTTGAGAGCATAGGCTACCGCCATGTAGCCACCCAAGCTGTGACCCAGCAGAGTGAATCGGTCGATTTTGCGCTTAACACGCCACTCCTCCAGCGCATCGATGAACCAGTCCTCGGCTTCTTTGATAGCATCTTCGCGTTTCTTCGCCTTGATGCGAAACGCGGGCCGGGTGCTGCGACCCATGCCCAGCAGATCGAGGGCATGAAGTTGCCACCCTTGCAACCGACTCAGAGGCTCAAAGTTCTTGTAAAAGAATCCCAGACCGGCCCCGTATCCGTGAATCATCACCAGATGTTGATCTGCTTGCTCCCCGACTCTCTCCACGGAAAATTCGTTGAGAGCCCGGTGTTTGCCGCTCAGTTCCACCATGCTGGAGCGCCATCGTCGAGGACCGTACGGATCGTCAAGAGAATTGGCGGACACCTCGCCTTCTTGACTGTGGTCCGCAGACTGTAGACTCCCCAGTTCGTCGCCCGGAGGGGCCGTCTTATTGCCGGTTTGCAAATGAGTGGGAGGTTGATGTTGGAGGTAGGGAAGATAGGATAGGACTTTATGTTCAGCTGCGGCGGCTGGTAGACTCGCCCACTATGAAAGACAGCTTTTAGTAAAACCGTTGATCCGTGGTCCTTGATTTTCCTTCGAGGCTCGTGAGCTCAGGAACCTACCCACTGATTGAATCCTTCTCTGTAGCCGAGGGGAAACCATGCCAACGGGGGAGGCGTGGCGCTAGCCCCTCGAGCCGCATGAGGGACGCCTTCTTGTTGGGAAGACATTGAACTGTCCGGTCTGCGATCTTGAAAATCGTTTCTCGACGAGTCCAGTGATTCCGATGTCATAGAAGAACTAAGCCGAATATTTGCAGGAGTCGACGACGAAAGAAGGCGGGGAGATTCCAAGGAGGTCCAAGGTCGGCAGCCTTGGAAGGCTAGATAAGGGAGTCGCGCGGTAGACACCTTGTCGCGTAAAGTTCAGAGCGACAGAGGCTTTCTCTGTCACTCCAAAAGCAACAGCAAGGAGACGGTGCAGGCAGAAAGCAATGTTTTATAGTCAGCAGTCGATGGATTTTGGATGACAGGTTGCAAAATCCGAACGGGGAGAGCGAGGCTAAAGGCCATTAACCCCGACCAATAAAAAGCCAAGGAAATCAACAGGTCCGTCGAGGGAGATTGAGGCTGAAGGCAAAGGAGGCTATGCACAAGGACTAGGTTCGAAGTGGGAGGAAGGAAGACTGAACAATGCGACAGCGCCAACGATCGCGACGGTGGACGAGGCAAACACGGCGTGGATCATCGGAGGGGAGAAGACGTCAGGAATACACCTCAGGCAGCTCTCAACGCCTCAGCGCCTCAACGCCTCAGGCCAGAGCACGGAGGTTGGTCATGTGACCGATGACGCTGCCTCGGTACCCGCGAAACATACGATGACCATACGGTAACATTCCTCCTTTCATCATCGCCGTCGATTTCAGGTTGTTCATCCGCTTCATCGCTTGTTTTCCCTTTTCTCCTTCTTGTCCGCCTCTCGCCCTCTCGCAATGCGGTAACGCCTGGCCGCAGCGGCCCTTCTGTCCATAGTCTTCTCTTATCCGGACTCTTGGGGGCTCTCTTATATCTCCATCTAGATCCAGATCTCTCGACTTACCGCTGCTACCTTTTCTCCCCTACCTCGACGGCTTAGAGTGCCATGGCTTCCCCAAGCTTGGATCAGCTGGTGAAAGGGTCATCTGCCTCCGGAAAACCCCTTCCATCCTTGTCGCCTGCGCCCGATGCATCGACCTCGCACCTACGAGCAGATTCCTCGATCTCGTCGGATTACTCTTCCCCGCCACGTTCATCAACCCCAGATCCACTGTCCACGTTGCCATCAGCTCCGCCCCAAATATACCTGAACCTGCTCATTCTGGAGAGCTCCCTTCGAGCGCAGTACCTGGCGCTGCGTGAACGTCGACGACAGAATACGTTTTTCCTTCTCCTACTTGCTGCCTGGATCGCATACTTTGCCTATGCCCTTTTTCTTCGACCACGAGAAGATGGCCGCGGGGTAGGAGGCTCGGTTTACTGGGTTGTGGAGATGGGAGACAAAGTTGCCCTCCTAGGGGGTGTGGTCACTGCCCTTCTAGTCTGGGGTACCGGGCAATGGGAGCGTGGAGTGCGTTGGCCGCGGCGCTGGCTCGCTGTCGCCAATCGCGGTCTTCGCAACATGAACACCAAGATCGTTGTGATAAGAGGTCCCTGGTGGCAGGAACTGCTGTCTTATCTCTCTTTTCTATTCCCGTTCTCCACGCCCCTTTTCCCTTCTCCTATTGGAGATTTTTATTTTATAGAGCGGCCGGCATCTGAGAAACGTGTTGGTGGTCGGCAGTACCATCAGCAGTGTCATAACGTGGACCCCGAGTCAGGACTTGTGGAAGAGGACCTCAGTCCCGGAGGAGATTACATTCGGTTACTCCTTCTACCCAAGTCGTTCTCCCCCGAGTTCCGAGGAAATTGGGATGACTACCGAACCGAGTATTGGGAGAAGGAGAACGAGCGACGCGCGCAACTGCGTCAGAAACTACGCCAGAAAGAACGTCTTTTGTCCGAACAAGACGGAAGCTGGTTTGGGTCATTCTGGTTTGGGTGGAAGGCAGCGCGACGGCGACGACTCGCAGCGGCCACGCTCAACAGACCCATGGAAGGCGAAAAACATCGCCATCACCACCAGCACCCCAGTATCTCTAGACTCAGTCACGAACTCAAATCTCCGGTCCGACGTAGCACGCGCTCGGACTCCCATTCCCGTACGCCTTCACGTAGCACCACTCCCGTCGACGCGGACGATCGTCCTCCTTCCAGGTCCTCTGCAAGCGGCCGTCCGCGGCGAGGAAGCACGCCGACCTTGACGTCAGCCTCCGAGCAGAGCCCTCAGCATCGGAAAAAGAAGGGGCCCAAAACACTGACCCGGGGTCTTTCGCCCCTAACCCAGGCGCAAATCAGGGAGGGAGTTCGTACGCCTTCTTTCTCGTCCGACGATTCCACAATGACAGGCCTAGGGGACGAGAAGACGAAAGTCAAGGAAGAGCCGGTGGACAATTGAGCGACACACCTCTTCTTCTGCACTCATCTTGCCCTTGCGTGTGCCTAGCGATGATGTACTAATACCCCCAATTCGACATTTGTCGGTTGGTTGCATGATGCATGTTTATTGGAATGCTGTCATGGATATATGCCTTTTTTTTTCTCTCCTATTCTTTCCATTGATCTATTCTTTTCTCTTCCCATCTCTTCTTCTCGGGTTTCTTTTTAATCATTTTTGTATCCCACTCTAGATCTTGTCAATACATTTTGGGTCTGCGATAAGCAGACCTTGCAGGGTATAACAACGCAAAAACACGACTGGGTCTGATTCTGGGCGTTACCATGTAAATACTGAATAAAAGAGGCTTTCACGAATCTAATTATTTCACTATTTTGATTTATGCATTGGGTTTCAAAATGTCAAACGGGACATTGCGGTACAAGGGGAGAAGAAAACTCCTAAGACGCCGTACCACCAACTATCCGTATGTGAGGATATCGGAGAAACAGAAAACAGATAAAAAAAAAAATCATAGCTGCCGTTATTCCCACCATTTCCCAACTTCATCTCTTAAAACACATCGATTAAATTCTATAAACTGTCTCGTCATCTTCAAGGAACCTATTGATAGAAAATCAGGTGGTCAGCTAACTAAGATACTCCAGGTTGGTGATTGGAGGGAATCAAACTTACATCAACTCATTTCTCTCGTTCATGGCCTTCAAGGCCTGAATGGCTTCTGCTCGCTGGAACACATGTCCTTCGCCGAGCGAGCGGTTACTGCGAACCGCAGTGTTCACAGCGCCAATGAGTTCCTCCACGTCGGCGGTATCGCCGCTAGCGAACACTTGGGTTCCCATCAAGGGACCAAGGGCCTGGCGGAACACGGTCAGACGAGCGGGCTGCAAAGGCTGCGAAGCGCCACCGGCGGACGCCGTCTGGGACTGCGAGTTGTCGGTCTGGGACTGGACGAGCTGTGAAGCAGGTCGGGAAGATGCCACGGACAACTGAGACTGGCTCTGAGTCTGGTTACGAGTGGCGCTCGATCGGAGTCGCTGGCCACGGGGACTAGCGCTGTATAAGCCGTCGCCACTCTCCGACACATCGTCTCCATCGGCATCCATTTCGTCAACGGTCGAACGAGCTGCTGCACGTGTGCTTGTCGTGCCGCCTCTCCGAGTCGACCGCGTACTTGCGGTGTTTGCCGGCGTGGTGTCGTCGTCATCGTCGGAGTCTGAGCCGCTGGACTCGGAGTCCTCGTCAAAGGTGGCAACCTTTCTTCTCTTCCGGCGCTCATCCTCAAGGACTTCTTTGAACATGGCGAAACGGAGGATAGATTCGGCCGTCTTGGCATCGCGCTCTTCAACCCGGCTGGACAAGCGAGATTTCGCGTGGGCAGTCGACAAACGGATCAACGTTTCAAGGGTACGGGCTGTAATGGGAGAAGTTCTGCGCTGGTTGCCAGAAAGGTCGTCGTTTCTCAATGCCGAGTAGGTTGAAACAATGTGATCAGCAGCTCCCTTGGTTAGCACGGGCTTGACACGCGATTTAGCATATTGAATGTATTTCTTCACGAAAGGAATGCTCAGAATCTCAGGGTTCTTTCCCTTGTTCCGGCCGGTGTTGACCATGCCGGCGTGAAGCATCACGTTGAATTTCTCAAACACCTCCGTTGGTTGGTTGGAGTCTTGGTTATCCTCAAGCCCGACACCCAGGCTCTGGTTGAGTTGTTCTCTAACAGGAGCGCCTTCTTCAACACCAGGCTGGCGGTAACGGTGCATACGCAGCACGTGTTCCGAAACCATTCGGTCCCGGGCATCCTCGATATCATCCGTCATGACGAAGAGTAAATCGAAACGAGACAGGAGAGAATCTGGCAAGGCAATGTTTTTATGGGGGTCCTTATGAGGGTCGTACTGTCCGTAAATAGGGTTGGCCGCAGCCAAAACACTGCAACGAGCGTTCAAACTCGTATGGATACCGGCTTTAGCAATAGTGACCGTCTGCTGTTCCATCACTTCGTGGATAGCCACGCGGTCGACATCGCTCATCTTGTCGAACTCATCGATACAGACAACACCACGGTCACCAAGAACCATTGCACCGGCCTCCAGTCTGCGCTCCCCGGTTTCCTTGTCAGAAGTAACGGCGGCCGTAAGACCAACTCCGGATGATCCACGGCCAGTTGTCGCAATTGCAAGAGGAGCGGTGTTCAGGACAAATCGCAGGAGTTGCGATTTGGCGGTGGAAGGATCACCAACCATCAGAATGTTGATATCACCACGCAGGTGGGTGCCGTTGTCAAGGTTCTTCTCCATACCACCCAAAAGCATAAGCAGGATCGCCTTCTTAACATGATCATGGCCATAGATACTGGGTGCAAGCGAGTGTGACATCAGCTCGAAAACGTTCTTCTTCTTTGAGATCTTGTTGATGTTTCGAATATCGGTATCGGTAATAGTGGCCTGCGCAATTCCTCCGCCGGACTTTGAAGATAGTTGAATGATGTTGTTTGCGAGAATGAGGGTACGGAAAGTCGACGATCCGGAGTTTGCGTTCCGGTTTCCTAGAGAGCGGTAGATACCGACCAGCTGAATTCGGTCTCCGGGTTTGGCTCGGTCCACCAAGTCATCGTCAAGGATCACATCCACGCTTCGGGGCAGCTGACCAGCCGGTGCTCGCTCGGGCATTTCTTGAATCGAGATCGTTTGATGGTCCATATAAGTAGAGTAACCATACTCGGTAATGAGCTATAAGAAGAAGCATTAGTGACTGCTGTTAATTTGGCTTCCTATCAGCGCATACCGGGTTCTTTTCATCGTCCTCCTGGGGATAGACATTCAAATTCGTAGCTCCACTCGCAGTCATAGTCTGGTCTCTGTACTTTCTCGCAAGGAATCGGTCCTTGCGCTCACTGTAATGAACACTCTGGATCACTTTCGGTCGAACCAATGAGCACTTTGTAACAATGCCCTCTAGGGAGATCATCCGGTTCAGATGATTCGACCCTAGAGTTCTAGGATTGCAGGCGAATTCTCCGAAGGCTCCAACATAAGCGCAGTAGTAGTTCTGAGGCATGTCAATCTCTGTAGATGGATTGCCGGAATCTGGGTCATCGTACCACATCGTCTGCTGTTTCTCTCGAGGACCGGCCCAACGACTTGATGACATCTTTTAAAGCTCTGTCGAAGGCTTGCGAGTAATCGAAAGGATTTGTGAGCAGGCTTTTTTGCCAGATCAGCTAAGAGACTCTTCCATTGATAGCTTATGCTTATGGACAACATACCCATCGGCAATTTCGCGGTTGTGGGCTCTGATTTCATCGATGCTAACCTATAGCAGAAGAAATATTTGTTAGCTTTATATTTCCCGACCACATGGGGGTACATGATCGCCAGGAGACATACTATCAAGCGACGTAGACCCCGGTTTAACATCAACACAATATCTGCCCGGTAACTAGCTGGAAGTCAGCCTCCATATATATATATATATATATATATATATTTTTTTTTTTCCAGAAAGGAACGGTTGCCCCCAGAAAGGGAAGACCCAGCGAATGTCCACGAACCTTCGCGCTCTTGCATCGGCTAAATCAGAACAAAAGGAAATCGAGATTAGCATGCGAAATGAAGTAGACGAGCATCAGAGCGCTTACTTGGATCGAGAAACTCAACGGCGGCACGCACACGATCCTGAGCGGCCTCATCACGGAGTTGCACTCCGTCGTCCATGGCGAAGAAATCTGTCTCAGAAAGCGGCAATAGAGAATGGAGATCGAAACGAGCCAGATAGCTGGTCCGAAATTGGGTGACCTGGTGGGCAAGGACCTGTGGTGGAGGTGTTCTTGTTCCCTTGCGGAGCTGGACGAAAGAGTGGGATGGCGGAGGATCCTTTTCGACGCTGACACGCCGTCCCGATCGGGCAGAATTGAAACGCGTCTCTCGCCCGGCCCGACGCGTGTCGACGCGGAAGTTATGCTGCTGAGTCAGCGCGGTTTTATGCCAGTTGGGCATTTCCCTTTTAGAACTGAATAACTAACGAGACAGCAGATGATCAAGACAATGCAGCTAATGATATTCATACAAGCTTATGTTCTGGTTATAGTCACAGTATGGTACACTTTGGGAAATGAGATGAAATTATATACATATAAACGCCAATGTCATGCTTCTGGGACATTTCCCCAATGCTCGGACTAACGCGAGTCCTCATCGTTCTTTTCAAACAGTTCTCCCTCGGGAGGCTGATCTTCTTTTTCCAGCGACGGAGAATTGTCATCTTGTTGATCGTTTTCGTCGGGGCTGTCACGTTGTTCGACATCGAACACCTCGTCGATCACTCCATCGGCGATGCGTCGGGCCTCAAGAAGGGATTCAGTCTCAATATCGTACTCATCCTGAGAGTCGATGATTTGTTCAGGGGGCTCGGATGTGTTGTTGTCAAATGAGAGCGTCTCGTCAATTATAAAAGAATCCTCGGCAACTTCCGTGGTGTTATCCGGGTCAGGTCGAACGTGCGCGAATTGCAAAGCCAGAGCTTCGGCCTCTTTCTCTTTCTCGGTTTTCTCAGTCCCTGCTATTTCCCCTGTTTCTGCTGTTTCATTGGCCTCCTCGTCTTCCTCAAGCCCCTCTTCGTCGTATTGGTCATCGTCTGCCTTCTCTGGCTGCGGAATGGCCCGGCGTCTACCCCCTACTCCAAGGATACCACCAGTCCATACGAAGTGCTGAGATCCACTCGCGTAATTCTTCTTGTCACTTCGTTCCTGGCGACGTCGAAGCAACACTCCCTGGAATTTATCACGTAGAAGAGGCATGTTGGCGATCGCCTTGATAGTTCTCGGTGCCTCCCTATAGAGCGCTTTCACTTCGGCCGACCCGTCGTAGAGACTCCTCTCGCGAAATCTAAGCAAGGATGAAGCCAAATACACCATAGAGATATAAGTAGGTTGTAGAAAGCCCGGTTGAATATTGCTCCAGTACCGCCGCCCTTCTTTACCAAGGACGTGGGGAGGTTTCGAGCGATTAGGTTTCTCCATCAAGTCAATACTGTCCGGAACTCCATCGGGCTTCAACCCATAACTTCGGCGTAGGTTCTTCCAGCCAGGAAAGTTTGGCATGAATTTTGTTTCGAAGATGGTAAACGCTTCGGCCTGGTCTGAAGGTCTATCAGAGGAGGCAAGCATTTGTACCATGGTTGACCAATTGAAAGTCGTCAAAGAAAAGCCTGCCTTCTTGATGTCTGATGCAAGCTGAGGAATCTTCCAGGCCTCGTTCCGATAAGCCAAAGATCGCATGTATAATGAAAGCGGCCGAGATATCCAGAACCGATATGAGGGTAGGGCAGACTTCCTAGGCCAAGGCGCTTCCGAAGTAGCAGATTGCAGAACACCTTCTAGCTCACTACGTACGGAGATCGGCAGAGACGGTTGGGGCGGACCGACTTCGGTAGCATCAGCAGTAGGGGGCTGTTTTGTAGACAGCCATTCATCAACATTGAACCGGCTGGCTAACAGTCTGGCACGAGGGAGAACCATGTTCCAACACTCTTCTACCTTTTGGTATTCTCCACCTTTCAGATGGGCGAGCATCAATGCGGAAATCAGTCGAATTGGCGCTGCTTCCTCCGGGACATCGGCGGCAGTCAGATATTCGTCGAACAGCTCACGAGCCCTCTTCGAGGCTCCTCTCGTTCCGTAGGCATTGATGATATGTTCGAAGTACACAACAGGGAATGCATTACTGGGCGATCGGCTTCCTGCACCGGGTAATGGCTGCTTGGATGCCAGCTTGGTGCGATCAAACTCGACGAGGGTTTTCGACAAGAACTTTTCGGCATATTCCAGACGAACTTGGGCAGCATCGGCCTCTTCACCTCCATCCTGCGCAAGCTGTAAGTCTCGGTAGAGCTGGGTCCTCAGAACAAGTAGATGAGAGCTCAATCCGGGCTTGTTGAAACGCTCTTTGATCTCGCGGAAGATGATATGCACCATGTCGCGATTCCGGGCTTTGACATAACCATATAAAATAATAGTATAGTGGAATTCAGACGCAAAAATGCGACGGCTTCTGTGAAGTGTCCGCAGGATTCGGCGTGCTGAATCTGTTTGGTTTATGAGCACCAAGCCGAGCATGAGGGCGCCATAAGTCATCTCATCCGGTGCTAGGCCGATCGCATCCATACGGGAGCGGATCCTGGAAATAGCATCCAGATTCAGCCGGAAAGCATGGTTCCAAAGCAGCAGGTTCCACATTCTCAAGCGCGATCCCTTAACACGCAAGTCAAGACATGTCTCTGCAACGCTCTCAGCCAGGTCAAGCCGGTTATTCTTGCAATACGCCTCCACGACGGTATCAAGGAGCGGGGTTGTGATCTGCACTTGTTTCTTCTTGGCGAGAACAAGCAGTTGTCGAACAGTTTCGATATCGCCCCTATTGGCACTCAATCCCATCAACGTACCGAAGGTGTGCGAGTTGGGTTCGATTTGGTATTCTAGCATTGTCTTGAAGGTTTCAAAAGCACCATTGAAGTTATCCGATCTGGCATGCGCAGTGAGAACAATGTTCCAGCAGATAGTATTTGGCGTAAGACCGAACTCTTCCGAAATTCTATTGAAATGATGAAGCGTCGACTTTACATCACCAGCGCTGGCATGAACGTATAGAATTGGAGTGATGAGTTTCCGGCTCAACGGTTTGCCATGATCCAAAAGATACCTATCAAAAAGACGAGTGACATTTTGCACGTCGCCAGCTCTTGAAAAGGCGAGCAACGCATTCCTATATGCATAAATCGATGGTTTTCGGTAGAATTGAGTAAATTCATCCAGCAAATACTGAACTCCAGCGGTTATTTCCAGCGCGGCAAGCCGTTCTATAAGCTTGCCCAATATTTTAGACGGAGGCACTTCTCCCTGCAATTGCCAGCGAAAGTTGCGGTACACAAGGATGGACTTGACGAATGTCGAACGGATGTCAGAAGAGTGGAAAGTTTCGATAAGGTCGAGATAATTGCGGGGTGTGAGAATGTCAAGTGCATGATACTTTCGCAGAAGAAGCAAGAGATTCTCGGTCGGTATGTTTTCAACTACATCTCGACTGGTGAAGACATGAGCGAGAAAAAACGAAGAAAGGCCACGAAGAGATACATCCGCATCTCCCCCATCCAAGTACGTAGATAGAGCGAGCAGATTCTGCGCAAAGTCAGGTGCAGAGAGTTGAGGCATAAGGAGGCTCCAGAGCTGATCCTCGGAGGATGTCGGCTTCGACTGCCATATATCTTGAAGAGCCTCCCAATTGGCGGCTGCAAAGAGGTTCGCTAGTGTGAAAGCCCAGCAGTTGTGACCACGATGCTTGGAAATGGCTTCCTTGCAGATTGAAATCATCTCCGTAGCTAGCTCATTAGAATGATAGGATCTAGCCAGGTGTAAATAGTCTTCGGCAGATCGAGAGTCGACTGAGATCCCATCAAATAATCTTTTGGCCCTCCTGCAGTCGACGGCATGCGCCGAGCTACTAAGATAGGCCAGAAGAGGCGATGTCATATCCTCGGGATGTCCCAGCGCCACGTACAACGTCCATGCTTCATCATATTGACCTAGTTTCGCGTTGGCCAAAAGAGTGCCGAGTTTTCTTCGTGCTTCGCTCGTCTCGCCGAGCTCCTTGATCGTTTCGTCCTCCGGCTTGCATTCGCTAGCGGACTGTCGCAGACCAATAGCTTGTGTCGCATAGTTTCGAGAGAGGCCCGAAATGGCCTTCTTCCTCCGTCGGGGAGGAAGTCTTCTGGGAGTTCGTAGTAAACAAGACGTTACAACTTCCTGTGCGTGTGGCGGGTACAAGAATTCGAGAAAAGGCGATCGCGCATCGTTCGTGACCGTGCCCGAGCTGGAATTACCTCCCAAAGCATTCGAGGGTCGCGTTAGTTTCGTTCGCAAGGAGATCAAAAGCCAGCGAAGACATTCGACGCTCGCAATGTTATTTTTCCCGGAACCGGAATTGAACGATTTGGGGCCACGGATCATGCCATTTGAATCCCGAAAGAAACGCCGTCCTGCGTTCTCAAGGCATCCGGCAGCCCGTTCCAGCATCACCCCCAAAGATTGCGGTGCTATGCCCTGAGATCACCGAGTTCGAAAAGGGACGCGTAGCATATCGGTCGGAGACACCTATTATTGGATGTGGAGGTTAGTGAAAGAACGAGGTTTCCCTAGTCAGGCAATGGAAAAGTCGTACCGGAAGAAGTCACCTTGTGCACCAAGCTTACAAAGCACAGCCAACCGGATTCTCCACGGAGAAAATAGGTAATCCGAGATGCACTTTGGATTCAATCGATCAGAGCCCAAGAGGGGAAACGCATCCACCGGGGTTGACGGCTAGTGTTGACACGGGGTGAAATTTCGAGAGGTGCAAGTTGACAAGCTTGGCCGATGCTGGAAAACAGAATCCCGCCGGTCACAAATCCGCCGGGCATTCGTTTGGCCGAGAACTGACCACGCCAGCCCGCACTCTCGCAATCACCCGCTCATTCTCATACTACTGTCCTTTCTGTCCATCTGCCTGCGTCCCCGGCACCATGGATATCACCGATTTTATTTTTGCTCAGCGGGAGGATGTTCTCCTCGCTGGGGACTACAATGGCTACCGTGCCCACGCAACTCGCAAATTGCACAAACTCCGCAAGAAGCTAGGACAGACCACCCCCAAAGGCCGAAAGTACACTGCCAAACCGCCGGTGAGCGCCGAAAACATCAACAACAATGTGGCGTAGGTTATTCGCTCCTCTTTGTTTCGCCTCCGAGACGCATCTGAACATCTGGGCGCGTTGGCTCTCCTGTTGACTAACACCGTCATTTAGATACGTTCATATCCTCCTTTTGAGCTCCGAACGGGCATGGGCACAGGCTATGCACATGAAGTCCGCACACTCGGCAGATCCGTCGGCAAAGGGGATTGTCGGAGCTGTCCGGCGCCAGATCATCTCAAGACTTAACAAGGCAACGGGCTACGCGAAGCAATTGGTACTGTTGTTGGAGGATCAGGCGGCTTCTGGCGCTACGAGTATCGACGTCCTCGAAGCACGCGCATACCTTGCGACGCTCTCCGGCGCGCTATGCCTTGACAAGCGCCAATGGAAGCAGTGTGTTGAGCATTACTCGATCGCCAAAGTGATCTATACCGCGCTTGGTCAAAAGTCTAAACGCGATGCGTTTCGGGATCTTCTCTCCAGCACTGTCGACCCCAGTCTCAGATACGCGGCGTATCAGATGAAACTGCCACGATCCAAGCCTCTCCCGTCCCTAGCTATCAGCTTCTTCCCGGCGGACACCCACGTCCGTGCAGAGGTTGAAAAGGTGGACCCGAATTGTTTCAATGAGGAGGCCGCTGGGACTCAGAAAACAGCCGATGGGGGAGTCCAGCAACTTCCCGAAAATATCACATGGAGGTCTCGGACCGTTCCTTTGGAAGATGCTGCGATCTCTCAGGCTCTGGCTGCCGCTGCCGCTGCAGAAACTCGTCTTACGTCGTGGCTTGCGGATGCTTCAGGAAAATCTGCCTCCTCGAAAGACAAGGCCGCCGCCTACGATAATGTCATTATCGCGAGTCAAGACGCGGTTGATGCGACCAAGACAGCAATTGACGATCTTGCTGGCGAGGGAGTAGATCCGGGAGATAAGAGGATGCAGAGTCTGCAAGTTACTCGTACTGCCGTGAATTATGCTTTGGTGGGATGGCGAATTGGGCGCAATCGCGTCTTGTGTGGTGAGCAAGACGGCATCTCTTTTGAGGCCGACCAGATCAAATCACACAAGAGTGGCAAAGCGCGAAACAAGCACGATGATGCCAAGGGCAAGAAATTGGCGCGCCTGCGCGAGAGAGTCGTCTTGTACGATTCCACGCTACAGAGTATCGAGTATATCCTGGAGCTACCTGGTGTAGCTGCGGACACTGCTTTCGTAAAGGAAATGGAAGTCAAGAGCTCTTACTTCCGCGCACTAAGGTACAACCCAGTTCCCCGGGATCGGTTGTGAACATACTAACCTGTGATTAGATGCCTTTCCATTGGGCGGTCCCACGGCATCTTAGGCAAGTCCCAGAATGCGCTCGCATTGTACTCGCAGGCGTTGACCCTCTCCTCCGAAGCATCGGGCACTTCTCTGGCCTCGGATGCGGAAGGGCCACCCAGGATTGACGTTTCACGCGGCCAGTTCCAGACCCTTTTGTCGACCTTGCAAGGCCTCGTTGCACAGTACCGTGGACTGGTGACCTTGGAAAAACTTTCCGAGACGCAGCAATCAACCTCAGCCACCCAGCGCCCTGCTGTTGAACGACTGCATGAATATTCCGGCGACGGATTGGATCTGGCGAATCTCGTGCCGTACCCGCCCAAGATGCAACCAATCCCCGTGAAGCCTCTCTTCCTTGACGTTGCATGGAACTATATTGACTATCCCCGTGACGGTAACGCCAACCATGAGGTCACTCAAGTCGAGACTGAACCCCCGGCGGAAGAAAAGAAGGGTAGTCGACGAGGTTGGTTTGGCTTTGGACGCTAGAGTAGGAATTGTGCCTATGCACATACTTGGACGGCTCTTTCTCGGCCGGTTTCGGGGTTCTTTTGTGAATAGATATGACATGACGATGGAGCAAAAGCGGATGTTACGAGTTGACGCGTATCTCAGTTTTGTATCCAGTGGTAGGAATGGGGAACTCGCTCTATGAATGCACTAAGGATTACGCCAATAGGAGGGTCACGCGTCAACAAATAGTTCGATGCTGTACGACTCGGCATGGTTGATGTGATCAGTAGTATTACGATTTGCGTCAAGGTTGACCATAATCAATTATATTCTCCACGGGGGAGTTAAGTACCTGTGTAAGATAATAACGGATGTCAAGCTATATATATGCCGCGCATGTATCCGTAGTTGTGTAGCACTCCGCTAGCTTAGCGCAGGCCGTCGATCCGTTGCGAGCTCGTAGTTATATAAGATCTGTTTACATCACTCTCGCCTGTATATAATAAGCGGTATATACTCCGTAACTAAGTATGCCCTACTTACAAATCAATGGGACGAGATGTCATTGTAGCGAGAAAGCCGAGCATAGCTGAGTCAGTCAGGGTCAACGCACGTGCCCTCGGACCCGGGTAAGACGAGACGGGAGTTGGACAGCCGAATCACCTTTCTGTCAATATTAATCTGGAGACATCCGTCGTTGTAATCACTATTCACCGTTGCACATTGGTCGCATTTTCCTAGTGCCCGATGATTGGTCTCAATGGCATGTCAACCGTTTTGGCCAGCGTGTCTTCGACTCTTAGTCTCTAAGTCTTCGCTGCGACAATTCCGGGGGTTCTCCTTGACCGAGCGAGATGCGGGGTGAGGCCTGGATGCCTGAGTTATGATAATATTACATGCATTACAGGTAGATATGCAGGCCTTACATCCGAATGCCTATCGCAATCAATCGGGGATTCGAGGCGGGCTACTGGCCATCAGTTCTCAGCTCCCACCGTATACAAAATAGTTCCTCACGGACCATTCCGGGATACGTTTGCTCCCAGTGCACTCGATAGCGAATCCATAGTTAGTACCGGGCGCAAATCTTGCAAAGATGAAAGATGGTGGCCTGAGGTACTTGGGGCTGTTTGGCCAGTTTGACTGGGGCTAACGCTTTTGGTCGAGTACCTGCATGGAGGCCCGCAGTCCGATTGGCTGGGGGGACGGGCCAGGAGGGAAATGAAGGGGCGCTAAACCCGATGAGGCATCGGATCTCTCCTCCTTTTTCTTGCACGGTTGGCCTCTCCGGTCCCTCCGTAGGCGCTGCTCTTTCCTGTTCCTTCCGCGTATCACAACATCCTTTTTTTACGGGATTTTCGTTTTTTTCTTTCTTTCTTTCTTGCTTTCTTGCTTTGTTCTTGAACAATCGTCCATTCATTCCTTCGTCCCCTTCTTCCGACTCGATCCTCTGTACCCCGAGGTCGTCTCTCCTCTTTCTTCCCCCCCACTTCTCTCCCCTTCGCGCTCCCTTCTCTTTCCCTTCTATCTCCGGAGAGTTTGTTCACCATGGCCAGCGTCAACGGGAGCTTCGCCTCCCCTGCCGCGGATGCGACCGTCACCCCCCGGCTCTTCCAGGCCGGTGGCCTCGTCTCTGCCTACCTGGAGGGTCTCAATGTTTGGAAGGCGATCCTGACTTTGTTTCTGGCTGCCGTGATTTACGATCAGAGTGAGTAAATCCCGACAATCCCGAAGTTCTTCTATCGGCAATCTTGGCTGACCCAGTTGGGCGAATGTAGTGCGATACTTTTGGCAAAAGGGTTCTATCGTTGGTCCCTCGTGGAAAATGCCTTTCATGGGTCCTTTCCTTCAATCGGTCAATCCTAAATTTCACGAGTACAAGGCCAAATGGGACAGCGGAGATTTGAGCTGCGTCTCCGTCTTCCACAAGTTGGTCCCACCCGCCCCCTCCAAATTGCGATTGGTTGCCATTGGCAGTGTCGCGTGCGATTCTCAACTAACAAACTGCTGCATAGATTCGTTGTCATTGCATCTACCCGTGACATGTCTCGGAAGATCTTCAATTCGCCTACCTACGTCAAGCCTTGCGTGGTTGATGTTGCGCACAAGCTGCTCGGCAAGACTAACTGGGTCTTCCTGGATGGAAAAGATCACGTTGACTTCCGTAAGGGTCTCAACGGATTGTTCACTCGCCAGGCGCTCTCGTGCTACCTTCCCCGTCTCGAAGAGGAATACAACAAGTACTACAAGCACTTCCTCGAGAAGTCCGAGGCCGAGAAGCATGCGCCTACTCCGTGGATGCCCGAATTCCGTGAGCTCATGTGCGCTGTCTCCTGCCGTACCTTTGTCGGCCACTACATCACCGACGAGGCCATCAAGAAGATCGCCGACGACTACTACATGATCACCGCCGCTCTGGAATTGGTCAATTTCCCCTTCATCCTGCCCTTCACCAAGGCCTGGTACGGCAAGAAGGCCTCGGACATGGTGCTTGAGGAGTTCGCCAAGTGTGCGGCTAAGAGTAAGGCGCGCATGGCTGCTGGCGGAGAAGTCAGCTGTATCATGGACGCCTGGGTCAAGGCTCAACAGGACTCCGCCAAGTATCGCGAGAAAATTGCCCAGGGTATTCAGGTCGACTCTAGCGAGAAGCCCCCTCAAGTCCTCCGTGATTTCACCAACTTCGAGATCTCTCAGACCATCTTTACTTTCCTGTTCGCCTCACAAGATGCCACCAGCGCCGCCTCCACTTGGCTCTTCCAGCTCATGGCCGACCGCCCCGACGTCTTGGACAAGGTTCGTGAGGAGAACTTGCGCGTTCGCAATGGCGACATCGATGCTCCCCTGACCATGGATCTGCTCGACAAGTTGGAATATACTCGCGCCGTGGTGAAGGAGACCCTTCGGTACCGTCCCCCCGTCATCATGGTTCCGTATCTGGTCAAGAAGGATTTCCCCATCACCGACAAGATCACCGTGACCAAGGGCTCCATGATCATTCCCTCCGTCTGGCCGGCCACGCACGACGAGGAGGCCTACCCCAACCCTGACTCGTTTGACCCCGATCGCTGGATCTCCGGCACCGCCGAGCAGCACCCCAAGAACTGGCTCGTTTTCGGCACGGGACCCCATTACTGCCTGGGACAAACCTATGCTCAGTTGAACTTGATGGCCATGATTGGTAAGGCCAGTATCGAGATGGACTGGGAGCATTTCCCTACCGAGAAGTCCGAGGACATTAAGGTGTTTGCCACGATTTTTCCTCAGGTATGTTGTCCCTCCTCCCCTTCGGCTGCCAAAATTCCATGCCCTCCTGCTAACAAACTAATAGGACGACTGCCTTCTCACTTTCCGTCCCCGTCCCCGTGCTTAAATTCTTTACTACTATTCTTCATTCCCCCCTTTTTTCTTCTTCTACATTGTTTCTCTTTCAAAAGCGAAGCTCGGGCTCATCCTATTCCTTTTGCGCTCTAGCGTCCTGCTAGCAGTGTCATGAGTTAGACCTTTGATATCTGGTCGGAATGATAAGATTCCAACCTTTGGTCCTCCAGCATTAAGCTTCTATCCTGGAGATAGAATGGCCGGACGCTTTATTTTCCCCCGTTGTTTTCCATTCTTGTTGTACCTACCTTTGTATTACTTCCTCGCGGGGTTCCTCGTTGACGGTCTTTGTCTTTTTTTTTCTTTTCTTTTCCACCCTTTTTTGTTTCACCCCCCCATTCTATCTTATTTCGGGTGGATAGGAGTCCAAGGACCTCAGATCTGGTTTTGCGAGCCGGTGATCTCTGGGGTCAAGATGGACCGGAGTACATGATTTTGAAATGATGCCTGTGGAACCCTCAGCTTCCGCGATGAAGAAATGGGCCACCTCCTTAGATACGGTATTTAGAACTAATAATAATTGCAGCTTTCTTGGATGATTCAGTCTAGGCTTATAAAGCTTGCTTGATGTATAACTTCGATCTCATTATGAAATGTTAAATTGTTTCCCACTTTTCGATGCGAAACTATGGAGAACCTGCAGCTCACCTGATCTCCTTTATTTAACGGCCGTAATTTGTATCTGTGCTTCCGCTGCAGTTTTCATCAGCGTTGCCTATATCTTCGACCCGACATCGTTCTTCCTTGCTCTCCATCCTAGGCGATCCCAGCAAGAGAGGATTTTTTGGCTTCATACCTTCCTGCGGTCATATCGCAAGTGATAATGCAAGACAAAAGGAGTCGTTCTAAGTGCTGTCTGTAAATCAGTTCTCTATATCTAACTCCTTCTATCTAGTCTATAACATCATCAGATCAATGCTATACACTTGATCCAACCACTAACGGGCAATCTCATTGACCGTCTCGCCTCTGCACCACCGCTCAATCGTATACTTAACCGCATCCTGCAGATTCACCAACGTATCCTCCGATAACCACGCCAAATGAGGCGTCAAAACCAGATTCAGTCCCTGAGCCTCAGCACTCAACAACGGCGAGTCTCCTCTCCCCGCCGGCTCTTTCGCAAACACATCCGTCGCAGCCCCCTCAATCCACCCCTGCTTGAGCGCCTTCAGTAGCGCACCCTCATTCACAATCCCGCCTCTCGCAACATTGATCAGCAGCGCCTGCGGACGCATCGTCTTCAACTCATCCTCCGATATCAAATCAACCGTCTCCGGATTCCGCGGCAAGCAGAGAATCACCACCGTTACTTCTCTCAGAACCTCTTCGAACGTCGTACGTCCTTCGCGCGGCTGTTGCTGCTGCTGCCCGCCCTTCCTCTCTGCAATCAGGACCCTCATCCCGAGAGCCTCGCCTACTTTCGCGATCCGTTGCCCGAGCGCCCCGTACCCGATCACGCCCAGAGTCTCTCGTCCGCATAGCACCGGCGCATGACCGTCCTTCGAGCGTAGTCGCCGATGCAATGAGCCCGTTGTCTTCCACTCGGTATCCTGCCCCGGAGAATCTGGGACTGCTGTTGTCGCGCAATGGAGCTGCACGATCTTGCGCCGAGTCGCGAAGTAAAGCCCGATGGCATGCTCGCTAACGCTCTCGACGTTGGTGCCGGGACAGTTGCATACGGGGATCCCCCGGGACCGGGCAGCTTCCTTGTCCACGCAGTCGGTACCTGTAGCCATGACTACAATGAGACGTAGGTGGGGGGTGAGCTCGGCGCTCAATTCGTTGGACGTGAGGGGGATGGTTGTCGTGATGATGATAGTGGCGTCCTTAATGCGCGGTGCCAGCTCAGATTGGGAGGTCCATTGGTGTTGGGTGAGAGTGTAGTTCTGCGGTTTGGGGAGATCGAAGGCCGGAATTGGGCAGTGTACGGCTTCTATTGCCACGATGTTGTGGTGTTGGCTGTCAACGGACATTTTGGTCTCGCAATTCGATGATGGACGAGTGGTATTGGTGCCCTGGTAAGATGAAAGGGTAAAGGAATTCAATCTTGGGATGCAAAGCTACTACCTAATAAATCATAAGGTACCTAGAGTATCGGTGGGGTGCACGCCCTGTATGTGACATCCTATCCAGTATCCACGACCAGGGACCGAGTATACCCGTCCGAGGCCCACTCATGAGGCATCCTAGTCGACTATTCAAAGATACACATAATGCACGAGTTGCCACCATCATCCTGGTTAAAACATACCGCAAGTTAGTTTCCAAACCAGCTAAGCATCCGTTCATGAATTAAGCATGTCCACGGCTAAAGCATAAGCGTTCCTTCTCATGATTGTCCCGGTCATCGTCTTTGCAACCTTATCCCAAGCATGGTTGCAACCAAGCGCCCGAAAGTGAATAACATGACCATGTGTCCGAGTCTGCAGCTTTTCTACCAGCGCTTCCGCTTCTGGTGCAAGACAGTCCCCATCGGCCGTGACAATCAGCAGTCGATCCGGGAAACATTCCGGGTCGGCATACAGCGGAGACACATATGGGCTCGCAAAGTCTACTTGACTCTGAAATAAAGCATCCGAAAACAGGCGCATCATCCGTATAGGAATGGACTGACCATTGGGGTTCGGCGCCTTCTTAGCTCTCGCGTCGATCGTCCAGTCCACAGCGGGATAGAAGGCTACGACGGAGTAGAAGGTTTCGGGAGAATAGATTGTACTCGCGAGACTTAGAATGATAGTTCCTCCCGCGCTGAACCCAGACAGAGCTACCTGCGACGTGTTAAATAGTTTCTTTTGACCCAGCACCCAGTCGATGGCGTCTTCGGCGTCCTCGAGCGCCGCCGGGAAAGGGTACTCTGGTGCAAGCCGATATGAAACGTCCACGACCGTGTAGTGTGTCTGACGGCTGACTTGTCGACAGAAAGCGTCATCACTGCCATGAGTGGCAATCATGAACCCGCTGCCGTGGAAGTTGATCAGGACTGGGGTAGGTTGGTCTTCAGATGTCTGCCGTGTCGGTTTATAGATGTGGATCGGTATGACTCGCTTGGAGTCGCGCGAGGGGATGGTACGGATCACATCGGGGCTTGAGGTGATCTTTCCTGCCATTCGAACAAAGAGTCTCACAACGGTCGCTGCAATCTTGAGATAGATATAGTTAAGAAGCGACATGGCGACAATGTTGGGTTGGATGATGTCCTCGACTGGCTGGGGTTTCGCAGAGACTGCGGTAAGAAAGACTAACGGGGAGGAACATGAAGCTGATCGTAGATGAGCGAAGACTCATCCTATAGACGAGGAAGAGAGAGGAAGAGGATCGCGCCTTCCTCAGGTCGAACCGCAGACAGGCAGGAAGCATGACTTCCCAAACGGGCAACTACTTAGGGTTCCACTCCCGACGCCCGGAACCACCGGTAAAATTCGTAATCCTCGTAAGCTTCGTAACTTTTCTCTCCTCCCAACTTCCCCCGGAACTTCATCGTCTCTCTTGATGACTCGAAAGGGCCTTCGGAGATCGCGGAATGGGTGCCTCCAATGCAAGCGCCGGAGTGTCAAGGTAAATCTCCTGCCAATCTGACCTGCAAGGTGGATCTCACTCATACATTGGCAAGCATAGTGCGACGAGAGGCGTCCCAACTGTACCCACTGCCAATATCGATTAGAACGCTGTCAATATGCCGATGCCAGTCCAGGGGCAGGGACCGAGACTAATGCAGAGGATTCTCCCCCATTGCAAGCAACCCCAGTGACCCCGGAGACTCGAGAGAGCGCCGCCACTCCGAGTCCGGACCAATTCAACCTCTTACATCTAAGACTGCTTCTCAACTGGACAACATCAACCTGCCATTCCATCTCTCGGAACAGTGCAGACCTCGGGATATGGCAAACTGTAGTCCCCAAGATGGCATTGTCCCATCCATATCTCCTGCATGGCCTCTTCGCCGTGTCGGCGCTTCACCTCTCCCTGCCCATGACGAGTCAGGATCCTGACCGGGAAGAGCTGATTAAGGCGGCGGAATACCACCAAAGCGAAGCCATCAGAATCTTCACGCCTATTGTTGGCAACCTGACCCCCTCTCAGTATGACGCGACGTTTACGCTGTCGAACCTCTTAGCCACCATCGCTCTCACCTTCCCCCTGGTCCACAATAGTGTGGCCGGGAGAATCCCCGATGTGCTCAACGAGTTGATCCGGGTGTTTGCGTTCGTGCGCAAAATGACCCAGTTCTACGCTTATATCATAGAGTCTGTCACACACGGTGAGATCGCCCAGTTGACCTACTTCGAGGTGACTAGGGCTAGCTTGTCGGATACCATTCAGTCGAGAGTTTCTGCTCTTCATGAGCTGAATACCACACATATACTGGATCCAGAGGCTTACCTGGCCTTCCGGGATACCATCGACCGGTTAGCGAGTACCTTCGCTAGGATGTACAGTGGCCAGGAGATCTTCTCGGCATGTTTCTTGTGGATGGCGCAGACTCCCGCTCAGTATTTTGATCGGCTTCAGGACCGACATCCTCTTGCGTTGGTTATCTTGGCACATTACTGTATTGTGCTTGACCATATGAACCGGCATTGGTGGATTCAGTCATGGGGGAGACAGGTGCTGGAAGCAATTCGGAGTGTCTTGGAGCCTGGCTGGCGTGTACATATATCATGGCCGCTTGAAGTTGTTGGGGTATGAACTTTGGAAATTAGATCAATGATAGACTGTACTTTAGAACATACTGTTTGTTATCTTGTGACGCGTCTATGCCGAACGAAGCTTTATACTTCCTGTATAAGCTGCACAGCTGTGTTACTTTATCATGCGAGCACCCACCCCAACAACCAAACTGCACCTACAAATAGAACCATATCAATCAAAGTTCATCCCAAAATCGATGTAAACCCCCAGAAACAAGAGAAACCCGCAAACATTGACCAACGACCCCCATCAGCATGCTATAGATCCCCAATCTAGAAGGCGGTGAACCCAAACCACGGACCTGACATCACCTCGGCGAAGTGACGGACTTCCCCGAGGTCGGACATACCTCTATTATCTCTTTCATTACCAACCAACCAACCCAACCCACCACAACCTCGTCAACCTCCAATTCAATCAAGAAGAACAACAATGATCGCCAAACGCCCATTGACGTCGCTTCTCACCCGCGGCGTGCAAACCGCCTCGCGCACTTCCACCCCCGCATTCGCACCTACCATCCTCTCGAGCTCGAGATCGTTCAGCTCGAGACTTCTTCCCCAGAAGAGCACAAGATGGACGCCGGTCCAGATCCAGGAACAGAAATCCAGACAATACCCTAACCAGTCGATCCGATGGAACAGCAGCGCTGAGAATTCTTTCAGAAAGTGGGGCTTCGAAGATGTATGTCCTCCCTCTATCCCCTTCTCTCAATCCATAAGGGAAGCAAAGAAACAGAAACAGAAACAACCGAGAGAAGAGAATCGACCCCTAACCACATACACCTATCTACAGATCAACGCCTCCCTCCCCTCAACATCCGCCTCCTCGCCCCCCTCCTCGCCTCAGAAATCGCTCATTCTCGTCGACGTCCGTGAACCCGCCGAGTTAACCGCCACGGGGGTGATCCCGTCCGCCGTAGCCGTGCCTCTCTCATCGCAACCTGACGCGCTGTTCCTGACGCCAGACGAGTTCGAAACGCGGTTCGGGTTCCCCAAGCCCGGCGCCGTCGAGGGCCAGGAGACCGGCGATATCGTATTCTATTGCAAGGCCGGAGTTAGGGCGAAACAGGCGGCGCAGTTGGCCGTTATGGCTGGGTATGATCCTAAGAGAGTGGGTGTTTATTATGGGAGCTGGTTGGACTGGGCAGGAAAGGGCGGCAGGGCGGAGAAGTGGGATGGGGAAGATTATGAGTAGGGTTTCTCAGTCAGTAAGAAGGTGACCAATGGAGTATATGCTCTATGCGCTGTACTATGTTAATACGAATGGCGAGGACTTGTATACTTATATTGATGCCATGCTTATACTTTGAACCAACCAAAATGTCATTCAGTAATAGATCCAAACGAGAGAAAGAAGGAAAAGCATCATTAACACACATTGAAAGCAGACCAAGGCCTGCTTCTGTTTCGCTTTTGGCTTTTGTTGTTCATGTACAGGCTTTCCCATCCGTGCTTTTGGGGTTTGTTTTTGGGAGACTGTTCAGTCACCCAAAAAGAAAAGGGAAAAATAAGGAAAAAAGGAAAATAATTCATTTCTCATGCATCCAGATACTGCAACCGTTTTTTTAATCCTCCCCCAAAGGTTCGTCTCTATTCATCATGTGCACCGCTGTCGACACAGCGCACGTATCATCAAGACACATGAAAAGCAAAATTTCGCTATAAGGAAAAACATGTACATTTGCAGGGAGCTCGTCCGGTCTCGTTCCCTAAGGCTGCAAAAGGTACGAAGACCGTGAGAGAAATCAACTGCAAAACGTGATTTAAGGAATGTCGAACACGGGCTTGAGCTTCTTGACCAAGCCCCATTCCTCCATCGACACCTCCGAGCGGTAGAATTCCTTGAGCGTATCGATACTGGCACGGGAGATCTTGGAGTACAGCTGGTCCTTCTCTTCTAGATGACGTCCGTACATCGGCTGGTTGGGGCCTTCGATCTTGACGGCAACGGAAGGCTGGCCACGCTTGACAACGGCCACTGGCTTGTGATCACGCTCGATCGATACCCTGTGAGCAAAATAGTTAGTGATCGTTCCAACAAATTACGAGTCCTCTCTTGGTCTCGTCAGATAGCAAAAAAAACTTACACTCTGCCAATTTCGATGACTTCCTTTTGTCCAGTCGCGTTAGTCTTGACAGCCGCCAATGGCGAGTGCATCCGAAGGCTGCCCTCCAAAACATCGACACCAATGACGATGGGGTCCTTCTTGTTGAAGACAGCGACGGGCTTGAGCACGCAGGGGAAGACGGCAAGCAGCTTGCTCTCCTCCTTACGCTGCTCGGTCAGCTCAGCCATGTGCTTGGTGAAGTCGTCGAACAAGTGGTAGATGATGTCGGCGGTGAAGATCTTGACGCCAACTTCCTCAGCGTAGGCGACCGCCTCCTTGTCTACCTTGACATCGAAGCAGAGCATGACAGCAAACTCCTTGGCCTTCTCCAACATGGTTCCTGCCATCATGACATCACGCTTGTAGACGGGACCAATAGAAATGTTGGCAACGGGAATCTTCGAGACGCGCAGGAACTCCAGCAAGGCTTCCAAGGAACCAAGGGTCGAGGCCTGGACGCTGACACCACGCTGGTCCCTGGAGACCTTGCTAAGGAGGTTCTCCAAATCGGACATGACTTCCTCCTCGATATCTTCCTCGTCATCGTCGGGTCCGACGACCATCAACCGAGAACCGGCAATGGCCTGCTCGAGATCGTTGGCGGCAATCTTGACACCAAGAGCAGCCTTGACCTCCTTGTTGTGAACGTATTGCGACTTCAGACGCAGTTCCTTGAGCGGCGCCGGCGTGAGCAAGGCACGGATGTTGGTTGATATAGGCCCATTGAGACCGCACAGCACAACTCGGTCACCCTCGCGGAGGATACCGTTCGACAGGACAACGTCAATGGTCGTACCGAGACCCTCAATCACCTTCACTTCAAGCACGGTACACTCAACCTCCGACAGGTACATGAGCGAGTTGGTCATACGCTCCTGAGTCAAGGTGGTCAACAACCGCAGCATGTCAGGAATACCCTCACCGGTGTGAGCGGAGGTGGGGACCAGGGACACATTGCGGGCCATGGACTTGTTCTCGTAGAAGACCTCGGAGTTGAACCCTTGCTCGGCAAAGAGAACCTTGGTACGCTCAAGTCGGGTGCGGAATTCGTTCTGGACACCCTTGTTCTGCATGGCCAAACTCTCCTGGAAGCCGTTGTTGTCAATCTTCTTCCAGCCGTAAAGACGATCGATCTTGTTCAGGGCGACGATGAAGGGCGTACGACGGTCACGGAGCAATCTCATCGACTCGAGGGTCTGCGGCTCGAGACCGTGCATGATATCGACGACCAGGATGGCGATGTTGCAGAGAGACGAACCTCGGGATCGCAGGTTGGAGAAAGACTCGTGACCAGGGGTATCGATAATCAGAAGACCGGGGATCTTAAATTCGAAGTTGCCGTCCTTGTTCACCACAGCGGTCTTCTGGCGCAGAGCATCGACGGGGAAGTAAGTGGCACCAATCTGTTGCGTGATACCACCGGCCTCGCCTTCCTGCACGTTGGTCTGTCGGATCTTGTCCAGCAGCTTCGTCTTACCCGTATCGACGTGACCCAGAATACAGCAAATGGGGGATCGCAGGTCATCCTTGGACCGAGCTGCCATCGCTTCCTCGTGCTGCTTCTTTCTCCGCTCGGCAGCCTCGGCCTTCCTTTGAGCGATGGCCTTCTGGGCTGCAGACTGTTCTTCGTCTTCCGAGTCCTCGTCGGATGAGTCCTCCTCGGAAGAAGACTCGTCATCTTCCTGTTCCTCGTCCTTTCCGTTGGCGGCAGACTTGGAGGATTCCTCAGCCTTCTTAGGCTCCTCTTCGTCGGAGGGGGCATCCCAGCTATCCTTCACGTCGTCGGCATCGGCGGCCTTCTCCCAGTCATCGAGCTCGTCATCTTCATCCGCACCAGCGTTAGCAGCAGCGGCTTCAGCCTCAGCCTTCGCCTTGGCCTCTTCCTCCTTTCGTCGGCGCTCATCTTCGGCCTCACGCTGGGCTTTGGCGCGAGCGGCGGCAGCCTCAAGATCATCTTCCTGCTTCTTGCCACCCTTCTTCTTCCGGTTTTCATAAACAGGCTTCTTCTTCTCGGTTTGGGAGTCCTCTAGACCTGCAACCTTGCCTGCACCGGCCGCAAGCATCTGCTTCAAGCGCATTTCATTGCGCTCCTTGGCTTCCCTCTGAGCCTTGGTAAGAAGTTTACCCTCCTTTCTCAGTTGCTCTTTCTTCTCCTTCTCCTTCTCCTTCTTCTTTTGCCGAGCTTCTTCTTTCTTCTTCTCTTCTTCAGCATCAAGGCGCTCTTTTTCCTCCGCCTCGGCCTTTTCTTCGGCTAGAAGGCGTTCTTCTTCCTCACGCTGCTGTCGGAGGGCTTCCTGTTGCTTCTGGATGGCGGCCAAATGAGCAGGAATCTTCTTCTTCTTACCACTGGCAGGCTCGGGGGCAACGGGCTCCGGAGCGGGAGCAGCAGCAGCGGGCGCATCCTTCTTCGCTGGCGCGGCTTTGGCCGGTTCAGGAGCGGGTGCAGTCTTCTTCTTGGAGGCCGCCTAGATGCAGTAAAAACAATCGCAAGTCAGTCGTTGATTCTCTTGACAAGACATCAACCGGATGGGCCTTACCTGCTCCTTCTTTCGCTGCTTCTCTCTCTCCTTCTTCTCCTTCTCCTTTTCCTTCTTGGACTTCACACGGAAGCCACCCTCTTCTTCTTCGGCAGCGGCAGCAGCAGCCTTGGCCTTAGCAGCCTTCTCGGCCTTCTTTCCACCGAAGACATCCTCGTCGTCGAACGTACCCTCCTCGGGCTGCTTGCTGGCGAAATCGGCCTCTCCGTTGGCTTCACCGGCGTCTTCGCCCTCGACGAAATCATTGGCGGGCTTTCCCTTCTTGGCCTTCTTGGTCTTGTTCTTTCTCAGAGCGGCCAGCAAACCACCGGCACCCGACTCCTCGTCGGCGGCACCCTCCTGAGGCTCATCAGCGGGAGGAGCCTCCGCGGCAGGGGCCGACTCTCCAAGCTCGGCCTCCCAGTCTTCCTCCTGTCTCTTGTTTCCCTTCTTCTTAGGCGCCATATTGGAGGTGGGAAAGATTCTTTTCTTGAACCGGAACGGACGTCGTTCGGTGGGGTATAAAAATCCTATTACAGGATTCGGATTGAAAAGGAAAAGAAATGGATATCAATAGCTGTTTCAGAGTTCAGAAGTTAGATTAGTTTAATTGATCTAAGGTAGAACGCGAGACGAAGCACAAAGGTGGGCAAGAGACGGCGGGCGATTGTTCTTGGGTAGTAGGTGAACGGGTGGGTGGTGCACGCACACTGATATCCGCTTTTCTCTCCGACGTGCGATCGGCAGGGATCGCAAGAGACAGACAAAGAGACAAATATGCTCTAAGTGCAGATCCAAAAGAAGGACACGGGTCTGAGAGGAGATTACAGCAAAAGCCCCCGATGGTTGACGAAGGGAAGATTTTGTGGTGGGGACGCCGCTGGTTGGCTGCCTGTCCGTTCCGCCTTGGTGCCTGGACAATCGGGCTGTCAATTCTACTTGGAGTGCTCCGTATATCTATGCAGTATTCACTCAGTGACTCGCTACAGTCTTATATACAACCATCGTCATACAGTACAGAGGTGAGAATGGTAACATTATTTTTTCTCGACAATAAACGAACAGATCCGTTTTCTACAACTCCACGTGGAGACAGCGTTTCAACCAGCCCATCACGGCTTCCACCGGATTCAGCCCGGCCTCTTCTCCCAGTACTTCTCGAGTTAACTCGGAGAATCGTCCTCGAATCGCCTGCGGGGAGCCCATTTCCGGACTCGACGACGTATGAAACTCTCCCGTAGTCAGCATGCGCGCCAAACAGTCGGGCCCGCGCATCACGAGGCGACTCAGGATATCCCCGTCAATATGCATCTGAGGGGGCTGCAATTCAAGCGGATCGTTCCCGACGGGGCTCCGTAACCTGGTCCGCCGGGGAGTAAATGGACAGATGACCGGATCCCGCACACACAGATTCTGCAACAGACGCAGCAAGCGCCATTCGTTCTCCCCTAGTGTCATGAACCGGTGAACTGTGCCGTTCATGGCGGTACCGTAGAAAACCTGGGAATGCGAGGACACTGGCGACGGCTTCGTACCACTACTGAGTTTCGACACGGAAGAGGGTAGATGGGCCTCACACAGGGCCACAGGCATCATTTTGTAGGCCTCGGTCACCCCCTTCTCTCGTAAAATGCTGACCCGCCCTCCTCGACTAGATGCTAGAATGAGATTCTGTTCTCCGCCGATGTGGACATGCGAAAGTCCATCCAGTTTCTGCCGATCATGGGCATGGAGCGTTAATTTGTCATCGGAGACTCGGAGGATCATGAGCGATTCTCGCGCCGTGGACATGTAGATATATGGCTCCTGGACGGTCATCGACAGAGCGGGAGACAAAACGGGAAATCTAGCTGCTCGGATCCCCCGTGAGTCTGAAATCTTGGGTTCCAACGGAACAATTTCATGGCCAGTCGAGACCATCAGAGTGAATTCCCCATAGGGGGCGATGGAATAAACGGGCTGCTCGAATTTGTGGATGTGCTTAACCTGGCACTCGATTCGCGATGGTGTTGAAAAGTCCCGCATCGTTTGCAGGAAGATAACCCGACCTTGGTCGGACTGGTTCTTACGGCTGGTCCCGATGACGATGAAGTGATACTCCTCGTCGCCTTTCCTTGGGGTCCACTCTAGGATGCAGCTGATCTTTTCCCCGGCTGCGCCTTGCGGTCTCCACGGCACCGGCTCGTCCTCGGCATTGGGTTCAAGAGGGTCCAGAACAGCATGTTGGGAATCGGGGTCGACAAATTCAATCCGTGGTCGAGTAAACCGTCTGATAGGGTCGGATTCTGAGTCAAATTCGGTCTGGGTATAAGCGACGATGAGGCTTTTCAGGTACTGGGAATAGGCAAGTTTGGTGGCGCTTCCTGGTAAATCAATCCTTCTTGGGACAGTTTTGGCATCCCGATCCAAGGTGCAGATGAGAAGTTGCCCATCCGCAATGCAAAACAAAGTATCGGAAAGGGCATCCGCGTCTGAGTTGACAATGTTGGCGATTGAGAATCCGTAGACATTTTTGGGGTGGTAGGCCGGCTGGAAGAGAATTAGAGAAAAGAGGCCACAGGGAAGAATGATGGTACGAATACAACATACATTATTCTGGTCAGTGATCCAGATCTTTTGGAGTGTACAATCAGGCTTTCCGCCATCTTGAATGCACGATGCCTGCCAGAAACCTTGCCCGCAGGTTAACAAGGCGAGTCTGAGTCTCCCTTTGCTTTGTACTCTAACGGGCGTGTGTCCTAGACGCCGAGAAGAAGTTTGCTGTAGCACTGTCAAAAGAGAATGCTGTCAGTTCTATCCGATCATCGGCCAGAACAGGAGGCTTACCGATAGGAGAGGCTGCACCGTGATGGTCGAATGCCAGGCCAAAAGACACTAAGATGCCACTCCGCAAGCCACAGAGAAGAAGGCTCTCCTTCCGAAGCCCACCGGGGGCCGAACTGACTGTGGCAATGCTATCAATTGCTTTCGATATGTCGTCAACACTTCCCACATCCACCGACTCCCCAAACAAAAATCTGACGGAGTCTTGCTCCACGTGATACACTAGGATTTTGCCATTGCCTGTGCCAATGAAAACAAAAGACGCGGTCTCAAAGTTCTCAACGAAAATGCAGACTGGCTCGTAAGGTATTTTGAGAGGGTGACCAACGTCAGAAAGCTGGAACTGATTAGCCGCCGGAGTCAGCCTCTTGAGGTGAAGATGTGTCTCATATTGAGCCCGAACGGCAACCGCAATAAGGGAAGACTCTTCGTCTACCGCAGCAATCGCAATACTTTGACCGGCATCATAATGAAAGCGAAAGCTCGACACAGATTCTGCCGTTGTCCCAAGGTGAATGGCCTGGTTTGTCACCTGGATGAGGACACCCGACGCAGTGCAGCCCGCGGCCAGAGTCTGAGATCCGAAGTCCAAGCCACAGTCCACTTCGTCGACGGCGCAGATATCCTCCCCAAAATTAGCGGACAAATATAAAAGTACAGAGGAGATAGGATCTGAGGTCAGCACATAAACGCCTCCGTTTGCGCTGTCTAGCATGGTCCATATATCCCGAGTGCCAGACAACTCTTCTAAAGAGGCCGCTAACCCAATTTGTGCTTCAATCCCATGTCGCAATTCGACAATTGCGCCTCGAGCGAAAGAAGATGCAGAGCATACAAACAGTCGATCCCCGGCAACATCTACCCCAGATGGTCCCCGATTGGAAGATCTCATCAAAACGGAGTCGGTAACCGGGGTCCAATTCATGAACTTTTGGACACACCTAGGATGGTCCCGTGCTTTTTGGACAAACAAACCGCCATCGCCTGTATTTCCGGCGGCTAGGAGTAGATCACCACCTTCGTGGCCAATATCCAAGATATCAAAAGCAGCATCGACATCACAGCAGAGTTGCCCTAAGTGAGTTTGGGTCTCAGCCTCGCCGTCGTTTCCGATGCCCAGGTAAAATATGCGGCCATCCTCACGGCAAAGGTATATGTCGTCATGCTTCTGATTGTAGATCCAATTACGCAATGGTCTTGCCCATCGGGTCCATAATGGGGATCTTTGGGATTCACGATCGGGAACAGGAAGTGGATACCTGCTCGGTGGCCTCCGCGGGTCTAATCGGCTCCTATAGACAGCCATGGAAGTTGTTGTGATAAGCATAAAGGAAGAGGTCTTGGTTAACGGGATCAGCATGGTCGGCAACCTGTCTTCAGCGGGAAGAAGCTTTTTAGTCACACGAGGGGACGCCTGTCGCAGGGGTTCATTGGCATCCCACTCGTAGCATATAGCGTGGGTGGTATGTTCCTGCGCAACCAGGAGAAGAAGGATGACCTTTCCGCCATCGTCGGATTTCGGGTACAGAAACTCCATGAAGATGATATCTCCGTCAACACGGAAAAAGCGTTCCTATTAGATGTGAACGGTTAACTAGGCTTCCTTCGGAACCAAAGCAGCTTTTACACCTACCTCTGCGATGGGATCAAGCTGATTCTGTAGCATTTGTGTCTGAAGGACCGGCGGCTTCTTCAACATGAAAACGCCAAAATAATCGCAGGAAGCGCTGACCGCCACTGCGCGAGATCTGCAACCGTCTGAGAAAACAAATTCATCTGAAAGGACGAGAGGGGGAGAGAAGCATACCTCGGTTCCACCGCAATGTTTCGTCCAAATCGCTCAAACGTGCTGACATCGTTCGGCAATGGCCGATGATGATGAATAAACTGTCCATGTGCATTCGAATAGTAAAGGAAGACCAGCTCCTTTGAGGCCAGGCTGAGAAGTAAAATTTGAGGCGGCAGATCATTTTCCACCTTCGGGGTGGCAGTTGAGCTGGCACTGCTGGCACCTAGCTTCATTTGCGCCTCCCAAGGTAACTCGGTGCTCACGTTTATCACCTTTGCTGCCATAATGTAGGCATCAAAATCCGATTTGGAGGTAACCCCTTCTAAGTGCACACCAGAAACAGCTTCTTTGATCTGCAAGCTCCGCTCACCGACGAATACGACGTCATTTTGGTGTTTTCCTCGGAGCCGCGCAGGTAAGATCCATTGGATAATTGGACTTGGTACCAAAGTATGAGAAAGCAGGCCAACTTTTGCCTTCGTATTCGAAGATATGAGGTCACTTTCTATATCCATTGGATCGGCATCACGTCGCTTGCCAGAATGATTGGCCGTATGTGAAGTGCGACCCTGGCCATACATTGGGAGAGCCATAATGAAAATAACCACAAACAGAATGCCTAGAGATATAGGGGCCAGAAAACCACGAGAGTCTCGTTGCGGAGGACAGACAGTTGAGGGAGAAGAGATGATTGGGAAACAAACAAACGTTGGTGCAGAAGGGTGATTGAGGGCGGATGGGAACAATTAAGGGCTGAGGCAAATATTTCCTTTGACCATGCTTAAAACAGTGAAGAAGTAGATTCCCATTTTGATGCCTTTAAGTGGAAGTGTCGGTGATGTATAGTGGATGGGGAACGATAATCCTCCCAATTCTTTTTTTGTTTCCTTTTTTCAGGTGGGCAAGCAATTCGGCTTGACGCATACAATATAATACAACAGAGACTAGACGACTGTCATGACTCAGGAAACAACCTTCTCGAAGGACGAGTGGATCTCGAGCATGCGACTTACAGGAAGATATGGATCGTCATACACACATGTGCCCTGGAGTGGTAATGATATGCAGTCTGGTTAGTACCATGTCATTTTTCCTCTCACTTTCTGGGCTCTGAAGATTCAAGGTTAAAAAAACAAGGCGGAAATCGAAGGCTGATATTATCCTCGGATTCTCTTGGCGCAGCAAACGGGCCGAATTATTGAGTGCCACGCCTGCGTAGTTGGTTTGGTAGGCGAACGGGCGATGATGTATGTTTATGCCATCTGCCGCCACACTTAAGCAGCCCCTTCGGGCACTGAGACTGTCGCGTTGCTTTTTCCGGACGGGGAACAGGGGTGTAAGATCATAGCAGACCTGAAAGAAAAGCCCCAGCCGATCCTAAAGGGGATTTGTTGTCGAAGGGGGAGAAAGGAGGGACCGACTTTGGAGGGGCTGATGTTGGCTCTGGTTTTCGGGCGGTCAGCGGAAAACACGCCAAATCACGGGACTGCGACCCCGGAGTTTTCTGGCCTCAGGCCGCCCAGGCGTGGGTGCCGGGGTCTGGAGTCTGGACGGCCCCGTTCCTCCGTACCAGTTGCATGCGCTTCCTTGAAGGAAGATGGAATGATCGCCCTAAAAGCAACCCTTCCATTCTTCCCACCCAGTCACTCCCTCCCAGCCTCAGGTCAAGACTGGTTACAATGGAATCCCAACCAGAACTCCCCGTTCCTGACAGTAAGGACGTTGAGCTCAAACAAGATGGCGCATCTAGCGATACCAGCCCATCGCCGACATCAACCCAGAATAAGGAGACCGATGCAAAAATAGCAGAGAAGGAACAGTCTATTCGCCAAGCCTGTAAGTTGCGCGATTTCGATGCATTAGTCGCGCATGCCACTTCTGAAGGAGGGTTCCTTCGCGATGATCTCCGTCGACTAGCCTGTAAGTCACCACCATAGATGATGAGCCAAATGCACCTCAGTAACAATCACAACTAGGGCCGGTGCTGCTTCAGAGTGATCGAGATCCCGATCTTGCCGCCTGGGACGATTTGCCACCGCATGCCGACGAGGACCAGATTCAACTTGATGTCAATCGGTCGTTCGTCTACTATCCTGACTGTATGATCCCCCCAGAAATCCGTGGTGGATCAAATTACAAGCTAACTTTTCCGTCCAGGCTCTGATACTGAGCTTTCTTTGAAGAAGAAAGAGCTCTCAGATCTCATCAACCAAGTATTACGAACCCATCCGATGCTCTGCTATTTCCAAGGTTACCATGACATCGTTCAGGTTCTCCTCCTGGTTTTAGGGGGCCAAAGGGCCGCCCCAGCGGTCACCCGGCTATCTCTTCTTCGCATCAGGGATTATATGTTACCATCCCTGTCCCCAACACTAAAGCATCTGCAACTCATTCCCGATATCATTGAGAAGGCCGACCCGGCCCTTCGATCGCATCTTGCGGGCATCAGACCTTTCTTTGCACTTGCGGCTACCCTTACGTTGTATGCCCACGATATCCAAGAATATAGCAACATTGCTCGCCTCTTTGACTTCTTGCTGGCCAAGGAGCCCGTTGTTTCCATCTACCTATTTGTTGCAATCATTCTTTCCCGGAAGAAAGAACTGCTAGAGATTCCCAAAGACGAGCCAGAAATGCTCCATTTCACCCTCTCAAAGCTCCCATGCCCTCTCAACCTCGAGGCTTTAATATCTCGCGCTGTACAGCTTTTTGATGACTATCCACCCGAGTCCTTGTCGTCTCGTGCGTGGAAAAATCTTCCACAGTCTAGTGTCTTGAAAACTTCAAGAGACCTTGTTGCAAATCAGACGACAGACGAAGCGGTGGACTTATTCCAGCAACAAGTGCGACAGCTACGCAACGAAGAGCGACGAGAGAAAGTCATCGGCTTTCTATGGTATCACCGAAGAACAATCGGCTCCGTGGCTGTTGCTGTCTTCATTGGCGCCATGTCTATTTGGATCAGAAAGAAGGGGTTGGACACTCCGATTTGGTCTTATCTTCACCGCTTCAAGGCAGTGTTCCAAGCGCAAGGTTATCTCTAAAAAAAAAAAAAAAAAAAATTCTTTCTTTTGTGTCTATCACATGTATTTGCAAAAGTATTCGGCGTTGTCTCTTGTATTTATAAGCAAAAGAGAAACACATCACGTGCTGATGGATGGAGGTGAGTGGCGGTCCTGTTGAGATCGATGACGATCGTCCTGGATGATTTGTAAATGTACCCCGAGCAAAAGAACTTGCATAAGACATGGAAAGACATAGTATAATATCAATAATAAAAGAAAAGACGTGAATAGGGTGTTGTGGCTTGTTCATAGTAGATCCCCTATCATCGTGCATTTTCACGCACAGTTTATACTTCGCCCCTCCACATGGGCTCTTCGATATTTACAACTACCCCCCTCTTCCAGCAGCCTTTCCTAGATTTAACGATTCCAGTAGGATACATTACCTCTCCGATTCATTCTTCCATGACCATCTTTAATGTCACTTGAAGTCAGGAATCCGACAGTTTGATAACAACTAGTGCAAACAGAGCAAACAGCTGAGTCAGCCACAAAAAACTTGAGGCGGGGCAAAAAAAGAGTCACATATCTAGTCTTGCATCACTCCAAATCCGCGACCCTCCGATTCTAGTGGACTTGTGGTTTGCAGTTTGCACCCTAAATTCAAGATGTCGATGGACTTAGACGCTCCAGTTCCCATGTCGGGGCTGCAGCAGGACGCGCCTATCGCTGCGACGTGAGTTTCTTATCGCTACACCATTTTTTGATTGCGATTTTAACTATCTCAAGTTGATTTAGCCAGAATGGTTGCTAATATATCCTAGTATTCTTTGCTGCAACTGTGGTGCTCCCATTGATGGAACCACTTCTGCTGGAGCGCTGTGCCAGGACTGTTTGAAGCTGAATGTCGATGTTTCCCAAGGGTAAGTTAAAAAGATCTAGGTTCCTCTCGACAACCCCACGTCCGGAACAAAGACTGATTGATTTTACTCGAAAATTTAGTATTCAGCGTGAGTCGACCCTCCATGCCTGCAGGGACTGCGAGCGATGGCTCCAGCCCCCCACCAGCTGGGTCAGCGCAGCCCCCGAATCGAAAGAACTACTTGCGGTCTGTTTGCGCCGTCTTCGTGGCTTGTCGAAAGTTCGCATTATCGACGCCAACTTCATCTGGACCGAACCGCACTCGAGACGTATCAAGGTTAAGATCACGATCCAACAGGAGGCCTTCCAGGGTACAATTATCCAACAAGCGTTTGAGGTGGAATACGTCGTGGCCTCGCAACAATGTCCTGGTAAGTTTTAGTACGGGGTTGTTTTCGTTCATTCCAGTCGGGCCTTTGCCAGTGAGGACTCCGCTGACATTTCTCATAGACTGTCAAAAGTCCTACACCCACAACACATGGCGAGCAGCAGTCCAGGTTCGACAGAAAGTGCCTCATAAGCGTACTTTCCTGTACCTGGAGCAGCTTATCCTGAAGAACGGCGCCCACAGGGAAACGGTCAACATCAAAGAAGCCAAGGATGGTCTTGATTTCTACTTTGCCCAGCGAAACCACGCCGAGAAGATGGTGGACTTCTTGGCCTCTGTCGTCCCTTGCAGGTCTCAGAAGTCACAGGAGCTTATTTCTATGGATATCCACACCAGCACGAAATCGTACAAGTTCACCTTCTCCATCGAAATTGTCCCTATCTGCAAGGACGACATCGTCGCACTCCCCATCAAGCTTGCGCGCCAGCTAGGAAACATCTCGCCCCTTACTCTCTGCTACCGTGTCGGAAACTCTCTCAATATGATGGACCCTACCACCCTCCAAACCGCCGATGTCCCCACCAACACGTACTGGCGGGCTCCGTTCAGGACTCTTGCTGATGTGACCGAGCTCAAGGAGTTTATCATCCTGGATATCGAGCCTACCGGCCAGTCCAATGGCAAGTGGCAATTAGCCGAGGCCACCGTCGCGCGCGCCTCGGATCTAGGCTCCAACGACATCACCTACTTCACCCGGACACACCTTGGCGGCATCCTGCACGTCGGTGACTCTGTGCTCGGCTACCATCTCGCCGGATCTATCTTCAACGATGATAACTACGAGGCTATTGAGTCCAGCCACCAGTACGGTTCCACCCTGCCGGACGTTGTTCTCGTCAAGAAGTTCTACGCCCGCAAGAAGCCCAAGAGCCGTGCCTGGCGTGTCAAGCGTATGGCGAAGGAGTATGAGGAAGAGGCTCTTGCTGGCGCTGCTACTCAGCAAACCCGCCGCCAGGAGCAGGAGGCCAACCGCCTCGAGGAGGACTTTGAGATGTTCTTGCGTGATGTCGAAGAAGACCAAGAGCTACGGCAGACTATGGATCTTTACAAGGTTCGACAACAGCGCCAAGCCGATGCCATGGAAGAGGAGGAAGATGGCCAGGAGAGTGATAATGAAGCCCCGCGTATTAACATGGAGGAGCTGCTTGATGACTTTGATGAGCTGAATATGAATGAAGAATGAGCTCTCTGCGGGTAATTTTCCTGACGATTACGGCCGGCGTTTATATTCTGCTTCTGATGGGTCTAAGACAGCCAAAAAAAAGTTATTTGAAATAGATTTTACATATCACGATCGAATTCTTGTAGGGGTGGATTGATACCCCTTATTTATAAGTTATTCATATATGTATCTTTTTTTTTTTTTTTTTTTTTTTTTTACCTTTAATTCATACATTTAAAATATTGAGTACGGAATAGAACGTGGAGGATGGAAATCCAACGACGCTTACAAAGTAGAAGACAAGCCACTGTTCTGCCGTGTGTCCCCACATGGTGGCTGGTGGGTGGCTTTCTCCGACTTGAGCTGATGTGTACTCTTGCACTCATTTCCCGCACTTCTCCCTCTGCCTAACAACGCCGGTTCTCAGCGACATACAGACAGCCCAAGATGGCAAACCGGGGATACGACGTGGTTGTAGACGTGGACGCCGAGGTATCTTGTTGTCATTGAGCTTCTTTTGTCCGGCAGTTTGATGAATCTGACCCTAGCTTTAGGGCGACCTCGGCCATACCGACCTCCAGGAAGACCTTGAATTCCACCCTTCCAGTAAGCTCAATTTCCTCAAGAGAGTTCCATCGCTGGCTCGGCTAACTGATCTCCTTTGTCACTCTAGATTTCGAGAACGATCAACGCAGCGCCAAAGCGCAACAAGATTCTGCGCCTTTCCTCGGTGGAGGTTCCTCCCGTGGCCGTGACCGGTCCCCCGGAGGCACGCCGACCAAGCATACCTGGTGGTCGATCCACTACTACGCCCAGTTCTTCGATGTCGACACGAACGAGGTCCTGCGACGATGTGTGGCGGCAGTTTACCCTCGCAGCAACTTCCTCGACGTCCTCGAAGGCAACGCCGACCTGTACGGCCCGTACTGGATTGCGACAACCGTGGTGGTGATTCTCTTCTTGACCGGCACTATTTCGCAATGGCTTTCGAACAACGACGATGATCATTTTGAATACGACTTCACTCTGTTGTCGGGGGCTGCCGGCCTGGTTTACGGATACACGGGCCTTCTGCCCATCGCTTTGTGGGGGGCCTTGCGCTGGTTCGGTAGCTCCACTGCCGACCTGATCGAGTGCTGGGCACTGTACGGGTATTCGAACTTGATCTGGATTGCGGTCGCGCTGGTTAGCTGGAGTCCCCTGACTGCTCTGAACTGGGCCCTGGTAGGGGTTGGGTTTGGCTGGACCGTCTTCTTCTTGCTACGCAACTTGTATCCGGTCTTGAGTGCCACGGATGCCAAGGCGAGCAAGATCCTGTTGGTCCTGGTCATCATCCTGCATGCCGGTTTCGCTATCGCCATCAAGATCTTTTTCTTCGCGTAAGTTAAACCGACTTCTACGATTGGACTGATTCCCTTTTTGCTGACGACTCGTGACACAGCCACGGGAGCCCCGTTTCGAAGAAGAACAAAGACCACGATGACAATGATCACCACGATAAGAGACATATGCTGGGGATGTACTAAGATGTATTCCTCCGATCTCCATTATTCGCTGTTTTCATCCTTCCCCTGAGTGCCGACTACGAATCCGATGACTTTGCTCAGGCAGCAATTGAGCCATCATTTGATCTGATAACCCGAGTCTTTCTGTGTGCTCAGCCGCGTTGACCTTTCGCCCTTGTTCGTCACTGTTCTTTTCAAACTGTATCTGTATCCATCTTAGTTATAAAGCTTATGAGAAACTTTTGAATTTTACAATTGTTTGATTGCAGCTGCTTCCGAGAGGAGCCAACTATTAACATTTGACTTCGGCTATCATGTTTTATCATTCCAACGCCGTGAAAAACCTCCCACACTGCAATCGGCTCGTAACCCCCAGCATCTCCCTCCAGCAACGTAGAAAAACCGTAACAATATGAAATCGTTTATTTCAACTTCTTCTTAGGGCGGAGCTGGTTGGTGTGTCCGCACTTCTTCTTACGGCAGTTGGTGGCACGAGGGGGCAGACGAGCCTGTGACATCACGTCAGTAATCAGTCGCATGGAAGCATGTCATCGATAGACCGATGGTCCGGTCCAAGGAGACATGGAGCGGAAAGAGGGCAAACGTACGTAGCACTTGCGGCAGATGGACTTCTCGCAGTTGTACTTGGAGGCGAGAGCCTTAAGGGAGGGCTCGATGATACCACCACGCAGACGGAGGACCAGGTGAAGGGTGGACTCCTGTAGAAAGGGAAAAGCCGCGTCAGCCAAAACCGTGTCGTATAATCTGGGAACCATGATTCCATCTCCAATTCGTTTCAATCAAAAAGAGCCGGGGTCGATAATTCATTTGGTAGGTGTCCATTTCCTCTTTCTTCTTGAAACCAAGAATCGTATCGCGTTGTCGCAACTTCTCCAGACCATCACACCAAAAAGCCAGCGCAAATGTGTTCATTCGATAGGAAGTTCCTGCATACCTTCTGGATGTTGTAGTCGCTCAGGGTGCGGCCATCCTCAAGCTGCTTACCAGCGAAGATAAGACGCTGCTGGTCGGGGGGGATGCCCTCCTTGTCCTGGATCTTGGACTTGACGTTGTCGATGGTGTCGCTCGACTCGACGTCGAGGGTAATGGTCTTACCCGTCAGGGTCTTGACGAAACTATCAACCGGGACATGTCAGTATTTGAATCCTCGTGGTTTTCGCATGATTGTGTCGATTCCGAGCGGGCCGTTTCGTCGGAGGGGGGTTTGAATAGCTGGTCTTGGGTGCGAGGGACTAATGAGACCTACATCTGCACTGAAAACACGCGAAAAAAAGAAAACGTTAGCTCGTGATTCGTAGGTCATGATAGCGGCGACAAAGGGGACAAATATGCACGTACTGGTTGCGATTTTTCGTTGTTGCTGGCTGACGATCGCTGGAAGGGTCGGTCGGATAGAGGCAATGTCAATTTGAGGATTTCTCGCTTAGCAAAGGTGGACGGGTGCCATGATACCCTAAGCCCTAACTGCCTCTTTCGTCATCGCTTTTCTGGAGGGCCCGGCGTTGCCTCTTCGGGGCGTCTTTCTCCACGGGTTCCATTCTTTTTCCGGTTTAAGAGTTAAAGTTGTCGAGTCTAGTTCGTCATGTCATCATCTGCCATCTCCTTGATGGAGTCTTACATGTTATCGGTTATCGGTTATCGCTACTATCCGATATCCAAAGGATGACTTTAAGGAGAGGTTCTTATTCTGTTTTCATTACTCGTTTCAATTCATCTATTTGTCCATCCATCCCCCTCAATGCAGTGCCATCGCGCCATCCACCCGAATCACTTCCCCCGAAATCCAAGAGCTGTCGGGTCCGCAAAGGAAATTGAAGGCCCCCGTGATCTCCTCCGGCACAGCAACACGCTTGAACGGATTTGCGCTAGCCACTAGTCGCAATGTCTCCTCTGACTTCCCCTTCAGAAACAATTCGGTCTGCGTCGGCCCGGGGGCCACGGCATTGACCATGATCCCATTCCGCCCGAGATCTTTAGCCGCGAGTCTCGTCATTTGCTCGATTGCGCCCTTTGTGGCCGCGTACAGGAGGTAAGGAGGCGCCGCTGCGGAGAAAGATGTAACGGCTGTCGAGACGAAGATGATGCGACCTCCCGCAGGCATATGACGCGCTGCTTCCTGGGCCAGGAAGTACGGTCCCTTCACGTTGAGCGCGAACGCGGCATCGAAATCGGTTTCCGTGGTGCTATCGAGGTCTTTCATGGGGAGGACGCCGGCATTCGGAATGACCACGTCGATGTGTCCGAACTTCGCAACTGTCGTCTCGACTAAACGGCGGATATCGTCGGTTTTCGAAACGTCGGCTTGCACGGCGAGAGCTCGGTCTGAGCCGATCTCGTCGACTAAGGCATTTGCCGAAGTGGCATCTCGTAGGTAGTTGATGATAACGCTGGCGCCGTTCTTAGCCACGCGCTGTGCCACGGCCTTCCCTATCCCGGCTGAAGCTCCGGTGATGAGAATGACTTTGCCCGTAAGAGACATGATTTTGGCTTGTAACTTGGAGGTTTTTTTGGAGGGTTGGTAAATGTAGTAGAAACTTGGTTTTTGATGTTGTAAAAACAGGTGCGACTGGATATTCTATTATGTATGCGCCTCTGACTGATTGAAATACTCTTTCATACGTCAGGGGATGTTTAAAAAGGCTTATTTCAAGTATGGCGACGTTATGTCCGCACGAGGCGCATCTCATAGTCTCGACGGAGATCGATCGTAAGGCCGAACCGGGGCGGCGTTAAATGCGGGTAGACTGGGCCACACCTTTTGAGCCCTCGATCAGTCGGGGTCCGACATCAATAATGAACAATTGGGTCGGATTTAATACCTGATCACTAGTCTGCTCTAAAATACATGAAGACACCTCTTGTGGAAGTCTTGGCTATTCTTGACCGATGATATATGCGCCGTAGGTTACATGAACAAAGTCCGGAGGTACATTCACTAGGTAATTATGACCTTAGTCTGCTGTCCTGGCTTGTTTTTAGCCCTTCTTTATTTTAATGAATAACGAACATACTGTTAATAATTGACACTCTTTTTTGTTCCTACCATCAACCCGATCTTCAAGACGGACTATACATTGCATTTAGAACCGATGCGAAATCACCATGAATATTGAAATTTCGGATTGAATTGCCCTCAAGTCGGCTTCATTTTCGACATGTTCCTTTCTATGTAAATCTATTTGAGTATTCCCATGTTGAAAGATGTCAGGACTCTACATCGGCCATAGAATGATCGTCGATTTCCTCCGCAGCATCCGAATTATCATCATCATCAGCAACATCCATTTCCGAATGGTCTACAAAATACCCAACTCGCCTCTGATCTTCCAGCCAACGAGAAATTCTGGTTTCCGCATGATACACAGCCCTGCTGAGAGTTATGAGGGACACCCCAACAACTTTTGCCGCTGTTTCGTAGAATGGTCTTGCGGCCTCTGATAGGTTAGACTCCATCCGATAACGCGGATATGAGGTGCCCGGACGAGGAACATGTGCATTGCCATCGTCGATTACCCTCCGAGACTTCAGCTGACTGGTGACTGTCTGCACCATTGTGCTCATCGCTTCATTTTCATCTTCTTCAGCTGAAGTTGCTGGAGCTGGTATCGATGCTGCCGCCGCCGCCGCCGCCGAAGGCTGGTTTTCTCCGGCCCCTGGGTTTGTTGGGAATAGATCCGCTAATGGATTTTTCGCTGGGAAAATAGATATTAATACCAACCGGAAATATGAGAAGCCTCTTATGACATACCTTTGCTGATATCCAGCCAGCTGTTCTCATACCAATCCATGTACTCATCGAGTTGACTGGGTGTCATGTCGAATACCTTATCCTCTTTCAGTTGGATCTCGTTTCCCTTTCCAAGTTTTCCTCCAGACGTTTCGTGACGGTCGAAGTCTCTCTGAGCTTGGATCCAGGTGTTCCAATTTATTGTCTGGGTCGTGGGTTCTTGTGCCGAGCTAGGGTATCTTTTAATGTCGTCAAAGGGAAAATGAAGTTTGGTGGATATGACAATGAGGGCCATTAATTGTATCTCAGGCAAGTCAAATGCCTTCCTCTTGCCAGTTCGTGTTTGGTACTCAAAAGAGAAACCTAAAAGAGATTGTAGTCGTTTGATAGAAGGATATATCTCAACTGGAAGCGGGTTAGAGCTAGAGGAAACCGTGGTTGAAGGGACAGGAGAATCATACTTGGAAGTGCGAGTCTTCTGATAAAACGATATAAGAGGGGTGGATGATTCAATGGCGGAAATTGTACGCTGAACTTGTGATGGTACAAGAGCAATAGCTCTGATACGGCTTTGTGGAGTTGCTCGGCTTGGATGAGCCTCTTGAAACGGTCAGATTGTTGTCTCAGAGCGCAAGTAAATTACTTACGCTTGTTTCAATAATTGAGAGGTACTCCTGTGGAAGCTTGTCTCTCATTTCGCGAGGGATGTCTTTTACCACCCGTATGTAGGGTATTTCACCACGGACAATCATCCTTAGTGCGTAGTGAATGAGTCAAAAGCCACTCAGAGAAGATTTCAGCGATATAACTTACCAGTGCATATCACAGATACTGACGGGAATTCTCATAAGTAGAGCCGCTAGGTAACAAAGACCCACGGTGTCAATTAGCCTGGGCCATTTCGATTTGGGCTTGAAGTCTTCAGGTTCGCTCTCAACATCTGTATTTGGTTGCGAGCTGAACATTTCGGGCTGATCATCTTCTTCCGGAATTTCTTTGATCTTGTCGGAATAAGTCTCCAATCGAAGAGTCCACAAATCACGGACAATACTCTATACATAGCAAGTCAGCTGGCGGTCTGCGGTCGTGCGTTGAGGATGAAAGGCCAGCATTGGTACCTCGAATTGCTCGGGAAACCCCCGAACCTGGACCAAGGCATAGCATTGCTTCCAGAGAATGAATTGGTAAACTTGCAAGAAGAGGGTGTAAGCGCGGCGACCACGGTAGGCTGTTCAGAATTAGTATATTGGCTGAGCGCAGTGCGAATGAGGGTGGAACTTGGTCTTACTTCTGTGGAGTTTCTCTGCAGCCACCTTTTTAATTCGATTTTTCCTGCCCTGTGTTCCAAATTGATCCTGCTCTGCTTCGACTTGCCGCCCCTAAATAAACCCGAGTATATCAGTAAACCGATTCTCTAAACGTAGAAAGATTTTTCCCGACGTATCCTGAAGCCAGGAACTCGGCGCGCAATACCTCTTGTTGATGACCTTGCCTACAAAACCAGAGACCCTCGTCAAGATAGTACCGTCTTTCACGGCATCCTTCCTGCCCACAGCGCCCTCGGATGGTGTAGTCCATCCGGGGCAACGCTCCTCATTCTTATGATCACAAAGAACGAAGATCAGAAGCCATCGACCCTCGCCATATAGGATAACAGCGAGGAAGAATTCAAGTTTTGTAAAATTGATGGAGTCGGAACAGGGTCTTATGGGTGAGTACTGTCTACTCTAGCAACGTCCATTCATCGGATTTTCATGGAGTGGTGGAGATCGATTACCCGTTTGGGATGTCTACGGCAGACAGCTGACTAAGCATCACGTGCGCTGCCGTGGCCCAAACGGGCGTTCTTCCTTCTCGAGTACACAGGTCACGCGCCCCCTACGGAGAAACCTTCCTGAATGCATTCCTGCCTGAGGCAGAGCCTCAGTTAGTACATAGAGGCCTTAGATTCCCGCTCCTAGATAGCCTTTCCTCTCCATGGGAAAATTCCTTGACTACGAGTCATAAACAAACTAGTCTTTTACTAGGCTCCTTTGTAGACCGTCACAATACAGAGGTGTTTCACTCGGTGGGGGTGTTTCACTCGGTAGTGAAATACGTTATATCATCGCCTTTCTTGGCCGATTGATTCATTGCATAAATATTGCATTTTCACGGCGTTTTATTGCAGTTTTATTGCATTTATACGGCATTTTTCGGGATAGTGTTATCGTGATATGTCGCTTGTTTTGGCGATCAGGAAGCCTCTCAAATTGCATAAATATCGTGTAGTTAGTTGAATTAAGACCTTCATTCAGTTGAAAAACGATCATATTCCTTGGCTGAATAATCGCTCCTCAGAAGACCCACAGTAATCTGCCACAGATTTGCCAAATTGATCACATGACTAGTTTCGGGGCGCCCGATCATTCGAACGAGGGCGGCTGACCTGTAACCTGTTCCTTCTCTTTCTTGTCTTGCTTTCCCAATCATCGAAAGATCGGCTTCTCTTGTGGTCTTTCTGCGATGTTTCGACGTCTTACAATGTTAAAAGCCTTTGATGCACCCTGTCATTTTGCTAGGAATCCTCGACGATGCGCGATAGATCTTAGTCCCTCTATCTACGGGTTGCGTGTGCCTCGCTGGGGCCCTGAATGAAACAAATGGAGGGGGAAAACTTATTTCTTCAAGTTTACAATTGGAATGATATGCTGTTCCGGATAATCTAAATTTGGAAGATAGCTTGACAATGAATTCGAATCTGACACAGAGCGCGGAGCACCTGCTTCCTATTCCGCCCTTTTGGAGGCTTTCGTTCTCAACTTCATGAATAAGTACACCAATCCATAGGAACTGAAGACGAAAATGACGAAAATCCCAACGTCTCGCCAACCATAGTAGAAGTCGTTCAGGTTCAGGGTCTCAAGATATCCGCTTCCCTTGGTATACGAGCAGACACGGCACCCGTGGGTGGCTTCCGGATTGACCAGATTGGCATCGGATTCGTTCAGAAAGCCCGCCAAATACTCACCACAGGTGGCATTGGCGGGTGGGTCAAACACGGCATATTCACTCTCCGTGCATTGCACATCGACGTCGAAGATGGTGAAAGTGAGCAAACTGCCGACCAGGTAGTTGGTTGGATTCAAATAATACATCCAGTATCTCCAGAAGGGCACAATTTGTCCATAGGGCACAAGAATACCGCAGAAGGATACAAGAATCCCGACCACCAAGGGATTGACAAGCGATGCAAACACAGCATTCGGGGAATATGCTGCAATGAATTGACCCATGCCCGTATAGAAGAATTCATACAGCAGGACGACCAGGAAGGATGCACCAGCCTTGTTGGTTTCTGCAGGGAACCCCACAGTATAATACCAACATACAAAATAGAGGACACCGCAGACACATAGGTAGGGGAATTCGGAGACGATGAGGCCAGTCACGAAGGCCTTCCAAGAATACATTCGAGATTTCTTTTCGCGCGTGTCGTATATGTCCCGTCTCTCAATGAATAGGGGCTGCAGTTGATTGACCACGCCCGGGGCAACGTACATAAACACAAATATGGTGAAAATGCGCAGCTGCAAATCGTTGACACTGTTCCCGATCATCCAATAAGAAAAGCCATTGAAGAGCGCCAACCCAATATGAAGGTATATCTTATTATTAACATAGTTGCTGTTTCGAAAGAGGGACAGATTCATTCGGTGCAGAACTATCTTTGTCTGGTCCCAAAGGGGCATTGCATACTCCTGGCCATCATCCCGGGTCACCAGCTCCCGCGACGCAGATTCTTCGATGATAGTATTCAACTCTGTTGTTGAACGGTGGAATTCGGGAGATTGGAGCCAGACCTGATGCCAATCGGTGGAAGATAGCCGACCAGATACCACATCGATTACATGGTCCGCCGGGTTGCTTTGTGCTGGACAAGGAGCACCATGTCGCCCGAAGTAATCCTTCAGCGTTTGAGCTCTCGGACCAATATCGCCAAAGTAGACCGTTTTGCCACCACGAGCGAGGAGTAACAGTGTGTCAAATTGATAAAAAAGCTGAGCCGAGGGTTGATGAATGGTAACCAGGATTGCTTGGCCGTGATCTGCTAGTCTACGCAGAAAACGGACCGTGTTGAATGCAGCCTGCCCGTCAAGCCCTGAAGTTGGTTCATCAAGGAAAATCAAAATACTGGGTTTTGCAACCAGTTCCACCCCGATGGTCACCCGCTTCCGTTGTTCAACGTTGAGGCCTCCGATGGTGGAGTTTCCAATAAGAGTGTCTGCGATGCTATGAAGGTCCAAAAGGTCCAGAATGACGTCCACATACCGCAACTTTTCTGCTCTTGGAGTATAGGAAGGCTGACGCAAAAGAGCAGAAAACTCCAAAGCTTCTCGAACTGTGGCATATGGTTCGTGGACATCAAGTTGCTCACAATATCCCGCAGACCTCTGGAACGATAGAGATAAAGGTCGACCATCTACCATGATGGATCCCTCTATCCTACCCTCTGTCTTTCTCTGGGCAAGAACATCTAACAACGTCGTTTTGCCTGCCCCAGATGCGCCCATCAAAGCGCCAAGCATACCGGGCTTCACCCATCCATTGACGTTTTCTAACAACACGCGAGGCCCTGATGGAGTACTCACGGTGTACGTCAGGTTTTTCCAGGTGAAGACTGATGTATTTCTCACTAATTGTACGCTCTCTGCTTCTTTCTCTGTGCCAGGAAGAGTAGTCGATTCGGAGGTTGGCTGATTGTTCAGAGGCTTGTGTGCTTGTGATTCCTCATCAACATTGTGTGGTCGTCGATGATGGGCCAACTTTTCGCGAGGAATGAGAAGAGTGGCACCGGACGCTGAAGCATCACGCCAACGTATAGTTGCCAAGATCGTGATGGCCACGTAAAAAGCCCACCATGCCCAGAGAATACCGAAATTTCGCCAGAGATGCCCTTGTGAGTATGACAGGGCGCTCAAGTATTGAGTTCCAAGTACCACGTTGGATCTGGGCTCCGCGCCTCTAACTCCTGCACAGGACTGATGGGCAGAGTCCACGTTCGAATAGAGCTCACCGCGAGGGATCAGATTGACGCCAGCGCACGGGATTGTTTGACCGTTAAATTCATTGCTCATCAATGAATCAAAGGCATACGCGACCGGGTTGAGCCAATATAACCACCCTAGCCACGGATGCATTTGTGAATACTGGATTTGATATCCTGCATACATCGCCATCACAGTGACCACATAACCTGATATCTTGGATGCGCTATCAAAGCTACGAAAGGTTGCTCCGACGGCGCGAAAAATTGCCGTTCCACTCATAATGGATGCAAAAAGAACAACCCAGTAGGTGAAAAAACCGCTGACAGACATTTGCAAGCCCACCATGAAATAGACGACCAGAGACCATATGGTAACTTGAACCAAGCTGATGGGGATGTCCGCAGTGATCTGCCCTACGCAGAATGCGGCTGGATGATGAAAGGCAAAGTCACCATGCTTGATTACCATCAAACGGCCGGAAAAAGAGTCGACCACTTCGGACATGGCACTCATGCTGTTGTACAGAATAGACCAAAACATTGCGCCTCCTTTCAGAAAGAGTCCCGTTGAGTCCCCAGTAGCTTGGTAGTAGAGAGAACCGGCTACCAAGGCCTGGATCAAAGTCGAACCTTGCTTCATGGCAAGAGTCTTCTTATCGCCTAGGAGAATTTGATATTGACGAACGACGCAGGCCCTTACTTGCCTTGTGAAACCAGCAGTGTGGACGCTTCCTGGGCGATGTCTCTCCGTGGACACGGCATCCTTGAAGTTGCCGGTGTCTTTCTGAGCAGATTCACTGGTTGGGTATTGATACTCGGTTGCCATTTGTGCTCGAAGGGATGAATTGTCGTATACCTGAAGAATGGTCTCGGCGTCTCGAGGGAAGACAGATTCATAGCCGGGTCGAACCTGGCGCTCAGTGGGAACGGTGATGCCGGTCAAAAAATCACCAATTTTTGCACCTTCGTCGATAATAAAGCCCAGATCCTCCATGAACTTCTGTGCTTGGTTGGCAGGACCATAGTATATCTGCTTCCCTTCATCAAGTACCAAGACCTTATCAAAAAGCTGGAATATGTCATTGCCTGCTTGATAAAGCGTGACGATCATAGATTTGCCATACACGTCCGCCATTGCGCGCATTGCCTTGGCCCAATCCAAAGCACTTGACGCATCGAGACCTCTCGTGCTGTTGTCCCAACAATAGATCGATGCGGATGAGGCGAGGCACTCTAATATCGAGACACGCTTTCTCTCTCCTCCGGATACTCCACGAATGTAGGGATCCCCAACTTTTGTTTCCTTCGTATGGGAGATACCAAGGCTTTCCAACAGAAACTCCTTCATCTCTACCCTGTAATCCTCCGTGTTGCGCACTGTCGTGGGGAGTTTCTGGGGTACTTTCAACTTTGTGGCGAAGTCAAGGGTTTGTCCCACGGTCAATGTCGGGAAGAAGATCTCTTCTTCGGTATTCATGATAATTTGACCCTTGTAATGGCTCGCTTCGTCATGTCGCATATTGCCATACCAAACGTCGCCTTCAATTTCGTCATAACCAGCCCGTCTGTTGGCCAGCATATTCAGCAGCGTGGTGCACCCGGACCCTGGTCGACCAAGAACCAACAACATCTCCCCGGGCTTGACACATCCGTGACTTTTGTGGAGGATCTCCTTCGGAGGACGCTTCTGGTGCCTTCTTTTCATCCGACCGATCACGTCGAATTGAGTGAAGATATTCTCGTTGACTGCCGATTCCGCGCTTTTTGCTTTCACCGTTAAGTTGCTCCATGTCACACCCAGATTTCGAGGTGGGAATCCCGAATCACGGTCCCGACGAAGCATATCTTCCAGTCGATATGTCAACGGCCAAGGGTCGCCATGGTTCGATGTAGATTTCTGTTCTTGAATCGAACAGTCTGTGGTTGATGCTGTCGTGGAGCCATCCATGGCTGATCTTCCCACTTACAGTTTGATCGATCGAAAAGGTTCAATAAAAAATTATAAGAAAAATTGACCCGTTCTGCAAATGTCAAGATAGGTCTCGGTTTGGTATGGAGTCGACCAAAGAAAGTTGGAGAAGTCCAGCATATATACACTTCATGTAGTTAGTCGGGAAAATACTCTTCTATATTATTACCCTACAAGGTTTTACGTACTCGAATCTATCTAAGCAGTGCTTTCAGCTCGAAAAATCTCATCTGATTAGCTGCACTTAGGGCTCGGGTTTTCGGATCTTCGGATTTCTAGACGAGACCCGCTTCAATGGATCAGGTACATACATACTAACCCGGCCTGACAATAGACAGCATTTCGATGGACTGGCGCGAGATGGACACATCTCGACTGCCTAGTTTCCTAATAGCTACTTGACTCGATTTCTAACTATATTCTTTGCGTGGTTACTTCAGGCTCAATGACTATTCGGACAACCTCTTTTATTTAATGCAATTGATTTGCTCTCCATCCATCATAGGTCTATCAAGAGAACGATATTTACAAACGGTGACATTCAGAGCATCATTTGAAGGCCCACACTTCTAGACCGGGGGCTGATGATGTCAGCCAACTCGACCGCTTCGTCCGAATCTCCGACTCAGAAAATTTCCGAAGTTCCCGAACTAGTTTTCAATGAAGTGCTCCATGATCGAAGCGCTTCGTCTATTTTTCGTGTTGATTACAAATTCATTATGACTGAGAGAAGCTCAAACCTAGTGCAGACAAGATACCACCGACTACAAGCAGTAAGTCTTGCCATTCTTTTACTTGTCTATCCGCCCGAATTTCCGAACCTGCATGGTCACCAATTGTTTCTCTGGGTTCAACATGAAATTCCCGGCATCATTGGCTTGGTATTGGAGCACAATTGAATTACCATCGTTATCAAAGGACAAGCATATCAAAAATTTATTTCGGGTGACTTGGGCTGCAGCCAGGAAGCTAACTCTAAACAGTGTGACCTGTGTCATACTAGAAAGGTATGGCCGGTTTAATTCCTAGGATGAAGAATTTTCATATCCTTATTCGTGCTTGATTGTTAATACCTAGAAATTCAGGTCAAATGTGATAGGCAAATCCAATGTTTGAATTGTACAACTGCCCAGGCTCGTTGCATACGCTCAAGAACTCGGCGAGCTCGTCAACCTCGAGATTCACGGTAAGTACTGCGCCTGAGTACTCTCCTACGAATTGACAGGGACCTCACAAACCCCAGAAACCTCAGAATCTCGTCTGTAGTTGCCAATAGAAAGGCCAAAGACATCGCCTCTCGAGTGGCGTCACCGAGGGCTGTATCATCTGATAACGTAAATAATGGACATACCCGCTCCAATACCGCTGGGGTGTCACCCGGCTATGCTCACACAGCAGGCGAGGCAACAACTATCATCCGTAGGGAACTGGATTCAAACAGTTCGCTATCGGATGGTCGACGGCGCGTGTTGGAATCGGCCTTGTCTTTGATCGGTCATTTCAAAGATACCTCGCATCCAGTTGTCAATACAAACTATGATTCAGACCCGGAGGATGACCAGGTTTCGGGTCAAATTCCCTCTGAGCTATTTTTAATGATGCTATATAGTAGGTAATTTCCCCCTAGTATCCTAACAGTTATTCTGATATTCTCAGCTACACCAAATTGCTCTAGTTCGTTCAGTCTATTCTGGCCTGATCATATACCCCAAGAAAAGTTTGAGCACATGTGTTTGACTTTACTTCATGGAAAAGCCACTGGCCAAATAGCATGCCATTATGAAATATCCGTGCTTGCGAGGGCAGTCAACTACTTCAATCGCTGGATGAGGGTTTCCAATTCAAGTGACCTTTCTAAAGCTCTGGAAGAGTCCAAAAAGAAGTACACGGCTGCCGGTCTAAGAGCCCTTCGACGGTTGAATGTTTTAAACAGTCCCAGTTTGTCACTACTCCAGACCTTAGTCTCAGGAGTGAGTATGCTCTTACACTTAAGAGGACGGGAATGAGAATTTCTTACTGATCCTGCGTCACTATTAGGCACAGCTACTTCAACTTCTGGGTGATGCCTCTCAGGCCTGGACCCTCACATCATTTGCATCCAGAGTAATGGTCGCTTTGGGCTATCACAACCTAAATTCCCAGGCATTGAAGGAACACGATAACTCCGCAGAAATCCGACATTGTACATACTATTGCTACTACCTAGACAAGGCTTTGAGTATGCTTCTGGTCCGACCCCCATCCTTACCTGATCTGAATGTCGACCCGGTCTCCTTGATTGAGCTAAAATATACCGAGCCTCTTAAAATCAAAATGGGAATACTCCTGAAGCTGTCCCACGTACAGGATGGAGTGATCTCGCTTCTGATCAAGGGGGACAAGTTGACAGAAGCCGAGGCCTCGTCATCTATTCCTGCCTTGAAGTCGGAATTGCAGGACATATGGAAAGAGTCGTGTGAGGTAAGGTTGCGTTGCATTTAGGGAGTAATTTGCCACGCTTGAGGCTTTTACTCTCTCCTATTCTTCTTTTTTGTATCATCAAATCTAACTTGGTCTCACTAGGCACGCTTCCATACGAGCGATACACCTGAATGGCGCCATGAATGGGATGCGCTTGATTTTACTTACCATGCTATTGCCACTACAGTGCTTCGACTGAATTCCACTTCTTTCCATGACCATCAAATCAGAGAACAGTGCCTATTGCACGCACGCAAGGCATTGACTGCCATAAGTGCATTGCTCAATCACATTCTAGATGGGCAACGATTGAACATGGATTTTCTCTTTTGGTATGAACCCTTGGCTAACTTCTACTAATTACGCGGCTCAAATTGGCTGATTAGACATGTAGGACCATCCTTCTCTATCCATTGACACCATTTTTCATCATATTCTGCAACGTCCTTGCAACATCCAACGAGCAAGACTATCATACTCTGACTCAGATAATGACTGCTTTGTCGCGAATCAAGGACAACAATTCTTTTGTATTCGCTCTTTACGGCCTACTGTCGCAATTTATGGATCTATGTGGCCAGCTCGAGGCCTTTGTGGAGAATAATACCACAACAACCGATGTGCTTAATTCTGTCTCACATAGCCCCGAGAGATATCGATCATTTCAGCCGCAATATGAGGAATCAATATCATATGGACCCCAATCAAGGAACTTCTGGGATATGCACAATTTGAACGAGGGCACAGAGGGAGGACTATCCATGGCGGATGAGGAGTACACGGGTGGATTGGGACAATTGCGACCTTCGATGTGGGATGACAATTTGATGTGGGAGTTATTCAATACTCAGCCCTCGATCGAGTGGTTTGACACGGCACAGATTTCGATATAAGGTCGATAGCGTTCGAAATGACTTAAAATCAATACAAATCGAGGAGAGATAAGGCCGTAAGGCTGACCCTACACGTGCCAAGTGGATATCAGCGACGGTGCGGGGGTTTTCTACTTCCTTGCAGACCGGAGCCCTTTCCATCCCTACATCTGACTTCATTATTTTGTTTTTCCAGATATCAAACTCAGTACTATTTCTCAAGAAGAGATGCCTGCAAGCGCAAAGTCTCGCGGAGGATGCGCGCGATGTAAGGACAAAAGAGTGAGTTGACGCTGCCCCTGATGACATCAGAGCAGAAAAAGCTTATCTAGCAATCTAGGTGAAATGCGATGAAAAACGACCGTCGTGTCACAGATGTACTCGCTTGCAGCTCTCATGTCCTGGTTATCAGCAGCGGTTCCGATGGTCGACAAAGTATGAGGTCCTCATGAAGGGTCGGACAAGTTCACAGCGCAACTTTCGCTCTGCGTCGAGCACACCGGTCACGCCGGCTGCAGATTTCAACTCAGCGGAAGCAGATACCTCGTCTGGTATAAATTATGAAGCTACAGAGAACCTACCTGACAACGAGGAATTACATTGGGGCACCATCCCCTCCTTGGATGAGATCGATTTGGATGGACTCGGTACATTGTTTCCACGGAGTCTGGGTGCAGAAAGCCCGGTGTCTTCCTTACAAGACCAACAATCCACAGGCCTTGCAGCTGCCATAGATAGGCTGGATCATGCTGATCTCGCTAATCACGTCGAGATGCTGACGACCTCTTTTGCGGCACCTTCAACTAATTCAACTCTCGAGCTACGGAGGGACAGTACATGGAACCAAACCCCACCGACGAGGCCACTGGTTTCATTAGAATCGTCGCTCGTGGAGTACTATTTCCAGCATGTGGCCACTATATACTCGTCTTTCGATGGAAGCATGAATCCATTTCGTACGATGGTTGGGCGTGTCTGGGCCTCATCTCAGGTATTGACGTGGACCCTTCAGAGTATGGCAGCTGCCTGTCTCGCTCGCGATTTTCCACATTTGAAATCGCAAGGCGTAGCGCTGCGACGGCAGGCATTGAATGCCATTGAAGACGAGGCAATTACCGGGAGGACTACTGAAATGTCTCTTTTATCCCTCATTATGCTAGGGCAATCTGCTAGTTGGCATCTGCAAGCAGATGTAGGCCTGTCACAGTACCGACTCGCTAAGAAGATTATGGCGAGCGGACAGCGTCGCAACAATATGACAGAAGATTTTAGCTCCCCGGGGCGAAACTCGGTGTTTTTTCAACAGTCCTTGCATTACTGGAAGATGCTACTTTCATTCGTCACCCCCTTGGATGATCCCGCGTGTCCTCTAGGAGAACCCCAAGGTCTGAGTTTACCCTTGCAGATGATTCCTCATCCCTGGGCAATAATTGCGCCAGACTTAATGGAGCGGATCCATGAGGTAGGTCGGCTTGTATACAAGCACAGACGCATGACAATGGGATCAAAATTCTGGCGACGAACAGACTTCGCCATATTACAAGATCTGATTCAGGACGTTGGACCCATAGAGGCTTATCTACTGAACTATCAACTCCCCGCACAAGAGGATATTGTTGATCCACGCGATGATACAACGCCCGTTTCGCACTTCTTGTCAGTTGCTCAGGCATACCGACTTGTCGCCCTACTTCAAATCTACCGAATATTCCCGGACATCCTCGACAAGCGTCTCACGTCGGAAACCCCAGCACCTGCCTTTGAAGGTCTGCCGAAACCCTCATCAAACAGTGCTGAGCAATGGATGCAACATCTTGCCATGCATACCGTTCGCATCCTTCGCAAAGTACCATTCGAGTCTCATACTCGCTCGATACAGGCCTTCCTTCTCGTAGCCTTGTCGAGCGAGCTGCGGTCTCCGATGATTCCCGACGACATTAACAATGTGACCAATGAGATGTTGGAGATCACCGAAGCCCGGAAATTCATTCGTGGCAGGCTGGAAGTCTTTCGATATGTCTTTGCTCCGCAGCCCGCGCAGCGTAAACTTGACATTGTCCTGAAGGCTTGGGAGCAACTGGATAGGGGACTGCCGAATGTGTACTGGATGGACGTGATGATCGAGAATGGATGGGAGATTTTGTTTTGTTGATTTGGTGGTTCAAGAATATATTTTCCCATTCTATCAATCTATAAGATATGCTGAGTACATACATGGAATAATTAATCTACTGGAGTGGAAATATTACATCAGAATTGTGGTACTGTGAATCCTATACACTCTAAGTCCAACCAACGATAATTGAACACGACATGTTCATTCCGCAAGAAGATTACTAGAAGAAACAGGCATAATAAATTCCCGAATTTCTGGACACAATCAGTGGCGACCCCCAAATCGGACAAAATGGGCGAGGCGAGGGGGAGCTGATAGCGAGTCCGATAGCCGACGCGGCCAGGCCATTTTTGCCTAATCGGGAAAGACTCCCTTTATCTATACTTCCCCTCTTTACCTCTCTATATAACACCCGCGATTGAACGGAGCCTTTGGAAGATTAAGAGTTCTATTGATTGTGAATTCTGAATTGATTATCATATACACAATGACCCTGATCATACTTGGTCTCACATTCTTCGCAGTTTTCGCGTTGTACACAGGGATTGGATGGGCGCGGAGATACCATCGTCGATCTTCCAAGGTACGTCCGGTCACAGCACGCCTCAAGGTAGGATGATATAGAAAACTAATTATATTTTCAGATCAATCCCATCCCTCCAGATGAAAAGATTACCTCCTCACCCGAAATCATCGAGCCTCTAACCCCCTTCGACTGGCGAACCACCGAACCAGAGAAGCACCGCCCCTACAAGTCCAAATACAACCTCACCATGTGTATGTCTAGATCAACTCATTAACCACCACAAGCACTATGATCTAACATATAAGAATTCCAAGCCATTGAAAAAACCACCCTCTCGGACCTCCTCGCCATCGACAAAACCTATCTCGACCGAATCACCCTCCGCCGACAGATCATGGCCGACCACGAGGAAACCGTCCTCGCGGCGAACGACGACATCACTCGCCCTGCTATCCAGGAATTCTACGTCTGGATGGTAGGCACCTACCTCCCGGGCCGATATCCAGACCTCTTCGTCCTCACCACCTCAGAACCAAACACCACCGCTACTTATCTAAACAGCAAAGTCACCGGGGAATCCTACCCCCTTTCCCTCCCGGCGTCAACCCGGGGAATTGAAATCCTTCGTCACCTCGGGGGTCTCGTCGAAGACGATGTCCTGTTCCTGCTGCCCTCTTCCGACGGAGATGGATACGCGCTGCAGGCGTTCGTGACCTGTTTCCCGAATGGGTTTGATACGCGCAAGAAACTGGGGTTGAAGTTAAGAGACATTCATATTCCCGTTCCTGGGTATAAGGAGAAGTTGGAGAAGAGCATGGATCGGTGGTTTGATCGGTTGGAGGTCGGGACGGTGGTGAGGAGGTTTAATGTGAGTTTTCACTTTCGTTTCTTGATTGAAGGTTTGTAGATGTTGGGTTGGTATAGATGTATGTACTAATGTATATGTCATGATATAGTGGACCGTCCAACCACATAATCGTCTCTTCGCTTCCTCGGGAAATCATCTCTACGAGGGCGACGAGGTGCAGCATATTGAGGCGGATATTGATCAGGTATGCTTCTTTACTTTCCTGACAGACCTTTATACAGAAGCAAAAGAGTTAACAGGAGGTAAGACTTTCGTACGCACTGAACGCCAATTTGTTCACCGCCTCCCCCACAGCAAAGCCATCTGCTTCTCCTTCAAGACCTATCTCTATCCCATCCGGGACATCAAGGCTGAGGGACTGGGCGAGACGCTGGCGCAGGCGATTGACGGGCTGCGAGGGGGAAATGTGCCGGGGATGTATTACTACAAGAGGGCGGCGGTGTGGGGGGATTCGGTGAAGAAGTATTTGAGGTCATAAAGATCTAGAATCAGAGATAGAGAAATCTAATCGGGCAGAGTCAAGATGGAGAGAAGCATAGTCAGACCGTTGCAATCATATATCAAAGATAGTATTATTGAGCAGGTACATGGACCACTAATTTTTTGATTCGTCAAACTATCGTGAGAGCTAAACTCAGAACTGGTTCTCGGACAAAGCACGCTTTATGCTGCCAACTAAATGCAACTCTCCTGCCGGCTCAGCGCACATCCAAGGCTCACTGATGCATACAAGCAGCCTTGCCGTATGTAGGCCAAACGTCACACCACTAGCAAAGCAGACATCAAGGAGGCCGGAAAACATTTCAAGGGGAGGCGAACGGAGTTTAGGAGATTTGGTTCCCATCGAACAACTGATCGTTGCGCTTATTTGGGGGCTTCCTTGCACTCAATGGCGGTCTCCTCGCCCATGGAGGTAAGGATGATGACATCTGGCGGGCGAAAATCAGTCTACCGTGACTTATCGGGGTTGGATTTCGGGGAAACTTACTGCAGTCCTTCTCCTCCTCACGGAACATACGGATGATCTTCTCACCGATCTCGGTGTCGGGGACCTTGACGTCGTCCTTGGTGTTACCGTTGTCGTCCATCAGGGACAGGAAGTCATCGTCAGTGATGTCGATCTGGAGATGTAACGTTAGTTCCGAGTCTTGTTCCCAACATCCCAGACAACCCGATGCAAGTCGAGTCCACTAAGGGATCACTCACGAGCTGGTACTCCCGACGGGTGACGTTGGGGACGTCCATGTTGTGGGTGGAGGGAGACAGATCCTCGAGCTTCTTGCCGGTGAAGATGTCGATGGCGACCATGTGGACCTTGGCGTGACCGTGCTTTCCAGTCTTGGAGGTGGACATTTCGACGATCTTGCAGGGACGACCCTTGATGACAACGTGACCGTTCTTGCGCAGAGCGGAACACTGCATGGGGTAGGTGCTGGACGCACCAGCGTCAGCGGATTCGAAAGTCTCTTGCTGTAAAGAGGTCGCATGTTAGCCAGGCGATCTGATAGAAGGGTATCAAGATAAAACAAGGAATCTGTCGAGAAGAGACACAAAGTTGGATCATATGCATTGCGTGCAGCCGCCGCCAGCATGAAGGGGGGAGGGGGGCAGATTTCAAGATGCGGGGCTGCAGCAAGAACACGAGAGCGACAGCGAGGACAGTTCAGGAAAGAAGAGCAGAGGGGATACATACCACCTCGTCGGCCATGGTGAAGGTATTGAAGGGGGAGATAAGGACAAAAAGGGATAAGAAAAGAGAGAGAGGTGAGGGATGGAGATCGAGAAGAGGAGGAGAAGGAGAGAAAAATCGGCAGGTCGAAAGAGACGAAGAAGAACAGGCGAGAAAAGCGACAAATCGCTGGCGAGAGAAAAAAAGAAAAAAAGAATCATTTTTGTTGTGGCGGGGTTGTGCCGACTAGGCTGGAAGGGGTTTAGCGTATACCGGATGACACTGCTGGTCTTTGTGTCTACCCGGAGTCCCTCGTCCTATTTCCCGTGACCTCACCTGACCTCACCTGACCTCACCTGATCTATACTTGTCCCGTTGTCGTTCTATCTATCACGACTCCGTACTCACACCCCCGGTTACTCTCTTACTCCCTTACTCTCCTCCTGGCCATGTCTTCATGATCCCCCCGTCTCTCCCCCTCCCCCTCTCCCCCCCACCATGTGGCTCGACCGCATCTCCGGCCACTCCACCCCCTCTGGCCCCCAACCCGACAGTCGCAGTAACTCCCCGCTGCCTCGACGCTCCTCCTCCCGCCTCTCTCCTTATGCGCAATCCGCCCGCCCGACTTCCTCCACCCGACAAGGCTCCTCCCTCTCGGTCCTCGTGACGCCCAGTGACTCCAATGTCTCTCTCCCGGCGACGGTGCGCGGCGACGGGTCGGTGTTGACCCAATCCGCTGCCAGGTCCCGCCCCTCCGACGTGGCCGACCCCCTGCAGGTGCTGAACGGCATTATTGGAAAACAAAAAGACAATGCATTGCAGACGGACAAACTCACGCCAAACTCCGTGGGGGTAACAGAGAAGCCTTCGACGCTGGTGGAGGACATTGTCTTCAACGGATTGAGCCTCGAGGACTTCGCCGCCGCGGAATCGGAGCCGCGCCGGACCGCCAGCGACGTCGGGGCGCAGACCATCCGGCAGTTCGAGCAGGAACGAGACAAATTCCAGGACCTTCATTCGGCCATCACGGGCTGTGACGACGTGTCCAAATCGGTGGAGATGTATATGGGTGACTTCCAGACCGAACTCGGTGCGGTCTCGGCGGAGATCGAAACCCTGCAGACCCGCTCCGTGCAGCTGAACGCCATGCTAGAGAATCGACGCAACGTGGAGCAGCTTCTAGGACCCGCGGTGGAGGAAATCAGCATCTCTCCACGAACGGTGCGAGTGATCGCGGAGGGCCCCATCGACGACAACTGGGTCAAGGCCTTGAACGAGATTGAGACGCGGACCGCTAGCATTGAGGCTCGAGTTTCCAGCTCGACTACGACGGCATCGATTGAAGATGTCCGGCCGCTTCTCGGCGATATTAAAAAGAAGGTGGGAACTGCACCCCCTGGAGGTTTACATACAACAAGTTGACGGCGCTAACAACGCCCAATATAGGCTGTGGAACGGATCCGCGACTACTTGGTCTCGCAAATTCGAGCGCTGCGGTCGCCGAACATTAACGCACAAATCATCCAGCAGCAGCGACTGGTCAAATTCAAGGACTTGTATAGCTACATGTCGCGAGCGCATCCGGCTCTGACGGGGGAAATCACCCAGGCCTACATCAATACCATGCGCTGGTACTACCTGTCACATTTCACGCGCTACCTGCAGGCACTGGAGAAGATTAAAGTGTATCCCAGCGATCGGAACGAGGTACTGGGAGGAGATGCGACGCAAAAATCCGGTCGGTTCACCCCTGATCTCTACTCGAAACGCTGATTCCAACCGCTCGCAGGCAACATTGTCACCGGCAGTCGAGCTGGCGCTGCGGCCCACGACCCCTTCTCACTAGGACGGAGAATCGACATCCTTCGCACCGGCAACCAAATGGCCATGTCGTCGTACCTTGCGGAAGAGGACAATTCCTTCCACGGCATCGAAGTGCCTTTCCGAAATTTCAACCTGGCGCTGGTCGACAATGTCTCCGCCGAATACTCGTTCATGACGGAGATGTTCTCGTCCTTGTCCTTCCACCAGATCTCGCGCAAGGCCGTGGAGATCTTTGAGCCCGTCTTTTCTCTAGGCCAAACGCTGACGAAGCAGCTGATCGACAACGCGACCGACGCGCTCGGCGTTCTGATCTGCGTGCGGTTGAATCAGCATGCGGCGTTTGAGCTACAGCGTCGCAAGGTGCCCGTGGCCGATGCGTACGTCAACGGCACCAACATGCGCCTGTGGCCGCGGTTTCAGGTGATCATGGACATCCAATGTGAGTCGCTGCGACGGGTCGGGTCGAACACGGGACGCAGCGCAGTGTCGGCGCTGTCCCTGGCGGGCGGCGACGATCTGAACCAGTCGACGGCGCCGCATTTCCTGACACAGCGGTTCGGGCAACTCCTGCACGGGATCCTTGTTCTCAGCGGTGAGGCCGGGGACGACGAGCCGGTGTCCAACAGTCTGGCGCGACTACGCGGCGAGTTTGACGCGCTGCTGGCCAAGCTGAGTCGTATCGGCGGCGACGCCAAACGACGCGAAAGGTTCCTCTTCAACAACTACTCCTTGATTTTGACCATTATCAGTGTAAGTACTCCATACTGTCCTTCATCCGGTTCACCTAGAGAGTCGATTGCTAATTGCACATAACAGGATACCCAAGGCAAATTAGCGATTGAACAACGACAGCATCTGGAGGAGATGCTGAAGAGCGTAGGCAAGCGAGGATGATCTTGACGTCCCATGTATATAGCATATGATCCGACCGACATAATACAACCCATCACATATCTTATCATCCCTGTAGAAACTAGAAAGAAGCGAAAGAAGAATCGGCCAAGTCGGCGATCGGCGGCAACCCCGAGGCAGGCAAGGCAGACCCACCCGAGCAATCACCTCATCGGCGATCCATCTTCGCCATTTGTCTCCATGCCACAACAATCCCTGGAATTAATCAACTCAAATTCCTGTCTATTAATATCTAAAAAAAACCCTTCAAAATGCCCTTGTCGTCGCGCGCAGGACTGCAATCTCTTCGCAGAGCGCGACAGTTCCAAGCGCGCTCGTTCTCGAGCTCCCGCGCTGCGAGGGCCGATGTAACCCATGCGGTATGTTCTGTTTTGTTGATGTTTATCTGAAAATGGATAGATGCTTTGGAAGTGTAGATTGAATTGAGATTAGGAGAAGACAGGCTAACGATGAATTTAGGTCATCGGCGCCGGCGTTGTAGGACTCGCTGTCGCGCGACAGTTGGCGGCCAGGGGCGGGTCGACGATTTTGTTGGAGAGAAACGATGCGCCGGGCATGGAGACGAGTAGTCGCAATTCAGAGGTATTTATCTCTTTCACTTGATCCTCGATGTCGTGAGGATGTGCCTCTTGCTTGCTTTCCGTGTGTTCTTGGTATATGTAGCATGGGGACTTGCTGTGTATACCTATACCCATACCTATACGGAGACTACGTCTGCTCGTCTAGAGCGACATCCCTATTCGACGAGCACCAGGATCTCAAAAACAGGCTAACCCGCCACAGGTGATCCACGCCGGTCTCTACTACGGCACCGACACGCTCAAAACCAATCTCTGCATCCGCGGGAAACAGCTACTCTACGAACTCTGCGCAGCAAAGGGCATCCCACACCGCAACACGAAGAAATGGGTCGTCGCGCAGACCCCCGAGCAGTGGGAAGCCACGCTCAAAGTGCACGAGCACGCGCAGAACATCGGTGTGCCCACGCGCATCCTCACCGCCGAGGAGGCCGCTCGACGAGAGCCGGCCGTGCAGGCGCGGGCCGGCATCGTGGAGAGCCCGACAACGGGCATCGTCGACAGCCATTCGCTGATGGTGTACCTGCAGGGGTCGTTCGAGGAGCAAGGCGGGGACTGCGCATTTCGCACGAATGTGACGGCGTTGGAGCCGTTGGACGGCGAGGCAGGGTACCGCATCACGGCGCGCGACGCGGAGGGCCAGGAGAGCAGCATCACAGCTGAGACGGTGATCAACAGCGCGGGCAACTACGCCTGCATGATCAACAATATGCTCTTGCCGGCGGAGCGCCATCGCACGCCGTACTATGCCAAGGGCACGTACTTCTCGTACGGCGCCTCGAAACCCACCACCAACGTGCTGGTGTATCCGGCCACGCTGCCGGGCCACGGCGGCCTCGGCACTCATTTAACCCTCGACATGGGCGGGCGCATCCGATTTGGCCCGGACGTGGAATGGGTGGACGACGCCAACGACCTGAAACCCAGCGCGGCGCGCCTGCAGCAGGCCCTGTCCGAGATCCGGGCGTATCTGCCCGCCGTCGATCCGGAGGCGATCGGTCTCGACTACTGTGGGATTCGACCGAAACTGGGTCGCGGCGGGGCCGTGAACACGGGCAAGGGCTTCCAGGACTTTGTGATCCAGAAGGAGGACGGATTCCCGGGGTTTGTGAATCTGCTGGGCATCGAGAGTCCCGGGTTGACGAGTTCATTGGCGATTGCGGAACAAGTGGAGGGACTATTATATGGTTAAGCCTGTCATATTTCATACCCAGAGCAAAAGGACAAAGCAGGCCCGTATATATTAGAACAGCCTGGTTGAACAAAGAAGCTTATGTGTCGTCGGGCAAGTTCCAGACGGTCAGGACCCACGTAGTGAAGCTTATGTGGCAGGCCAGGCGATGCCAATTCGCCATCCGGGGTTTTCCCTGACGTCAAGACTCTGCGTGATTTTCTGGCCAGCACAAAGGATGATGGCGAGAGACGCGAAGGAAGAGTCCAGACTGCGAGGATCAACTAGGAGTTGTCTGGTTTGTTGGGTTTGCATGTCATCACCTGCCTCTTTGGGCCATCTCTCGCCACGAGTTGCTCCTTCCTCCTTACTTTCTATTTATCATTCTCTCTCCCTTGGTCCATCTAATATATCATATACAATCTCTAAAATCTACATACCTCCTGAATTCCATCACCTTCAATTTCATACACATCATCATACTCCTCAAACCATATATATATAACTACATATCCCTCCCCTCTACAGAGTAAATCCACCGATCATGTCGGACCTCAAATCCTACTACAACGACTACCACCAACGCCGCTCAACCCCACAATCCCCGCTCCCAAAACATCTCAGCACACCCAACAAGACAAAGACCCAAAAATCCCGTTCCCAATCGCCCGCCGTTCCCTCCTCCAACCGGTGCTGGGACTGGATCATCGTCGGCGGCAACAGCCACTACGCCAAGAACCGCGCTTCGTTCCGCAGCTACCGGCGCGCACCGGGGAAGATCGGCGGCAATAAGGTGCTGGGTGTCGGGACCGTCGAACTGCAGGTACGACGCCGGGAGTCAGCAGGGGACGAGCACACGCACACCCTGGTCTTGCAGGACGTGTTGCATATGCCCAAGGCCCGCTGCAACGGGCTGAGTCTGGAGAAGTATCGACGGGCGAATCCCCTCTCTGTGGTGGTGGAGACGGAGAAGGAGCATTTTCAGGCGACGAGCGATGTGGATAGCGAGCCGCTGTGGTGTGCGGATGAGTACTGCGGGTTGTCGAGGGTCGTGTTGGCGGGGAGGCCCTCCGGGCAGTCGTATTTGAGGAGTGGACAGGTGTATACGTTGAGTGTGATTGCGTCGGAGGGGGAGCTGGAGAGGTTGAGGAGAAAAGTGATAGAGAGGGATTGGACGGTTCATGCTTGATAATGACAATGATGATAGTGGAAAGATACGATCTCATGATGTTTTTGATTATAGACGACCTTGTTAGATTATCATAAATTATACATACCAGTCATTGTCCCAACGTTCGTTTCCGTCTTCTAGCCAGTTGCACGCGCAGGTACAGACCAGACTGTCGTTAATAATACATGCATGTGTACAAAATCACCCAGCCCGCTGGGCATATGTTCAATAGTTGTCGAAGATCCTGTTCCCAGAACTCATCCTTTCCTAAATCGTTCGACTGCCTGTCTCTTTTTTGACAGAGCAGTTTGGCTCGCTCATTCCACGTCCATGAGCACGTCACTCATAATGTGGAGAACGTATGAGAACTTCCGAACGCTCCACTTGCCCGCATCCTTGAGCAGGCCTGCGTAGTCCAGGAGAATCCGTCGTGCGGACTGATACCCTCCTTGGAATGGCACGCCGCGAAGGTACACCACACCGCCATTCCGAATGAAGTTCACGGCCGGGTCGTCGGAGGGCGCAAACGACTGACTGCCGCGTGGTTCCATGAAGCTGGTGAATCCCTCGGTGCCCACAGCCTGCCAGTCAACGTCATCGAGGAGTTCGATGTACGCGCCCTGCCCTTGTCCGTCGGTATTAGGGACCATGAATTCGTAAAGCCCTAAGACAAGAGCAGCGGAGAACAGCGAAAACACCGAGTGAAACATTGTATGGTCGGACGCTTTCCGATTGATCATGGCTTTGTAGATCTGAGCGGCGTGGAGACACGCTCGGCGCGCAGCAGGCGTTTGCGACCACGCTGCAATGTCCTCTAGTGCTTTTTGTGCCGGCACCGGACCTGCTCGTCCTGCGGCTAGGTCGAAAATCTGCGTATCAGCCGTAAGCGTCATGCACATATTGTGCCACATGACCGCTGCGTTGGGGTTCAAGCGTGAGAGAACGTCGCTGTATCTTCTGGCGATTTGCAGTTGAAGAGAAGGTAGGCAGCGTGCGCGACCGTCCATGGCGTACGTATGGCAGGGCGCGAAGGGGTAGCTGGCTCGATTCGATAGCAGTCGATGGTAGGCTTCTGACAGCCGTAGCTGAACCATCGCCAGAATCGAGTGCATACAGAAGTCATCGACGGGGCTATCGAGCGCCGCTATCTCGACATTTTCCGACGGAGCCACTACGGTGGGCATGAGGATGCGCCGTCCACTTCGGATTAGATGCGTCCATCGGCTCGAGTTGTTAGCCTGGAAAAGACTCTCGTTGCAAGGGAGAATGATTTGGATAGCGTCGGGTACAATAATAGGACTCATCGACAGGAACGACGAATACCAGGAGTCCAAAAGTAGAAGACCAGAAATTAACCTGTCCGGGTCAGCACGTGGTTTCAATTCCTTCATAGTGGACGACATACCGCTTGACAGATTCTATTTTACTCCAAGTTTTCCACCGTATATCAACATCCGGACTGACTTCAAAAAAGCTCATATCGAGTATTTGGCCTTCAGTTGCTGTAAAAAGCCCGTGCCGCTGTGCAATCTACCCTTCAGCGTTAGTAGCGAACCACCATAGGACCACGGGCCCTACTTACCGAAATGAGACTGATATAGAGCATTTGGCTCTTCTCTAGGTGCTCCTTTTCCTACAATTACATCAGTCTATGCATCATTGAGCTCGTAATTGGAAACCGTACCCCTGTCATGGCAGCGAGATTGAGGAAGAGGAAGGCGGCTGCAAACGTGGACATAGTATTCGCCGAGCTCTCGGTGCCCAGCGAGCATTTGGATAGCTCCGCCGTGATTTTCTCGAGTACAAACTAATACAATCCTATGATAAGTGATCCGTAATAAACCAAATATCGAATGATTCAGACTTACAGTATAGTTCTTAGATACGAAGTCGGTGGTCCCCTTCGTCCCCAGCATGATCATGCCAATCAAACACATCGTATACAACACTGACGGACTCGTATTCTTGGCAGAAAACGTGGGAGTGTGGATAAACGGGACCAGAGGATGGAAGTTCCGAAAGTACAGATCAAGGGCCATGTCGAGAACTTCGGCAGGAGGAAAGTTGGGCAGAGTGACCAATGCGCCGGAAGAAAGGGGGACTTGCGCCATATGTTCTGGTAAGCGCGAATGTGGGCTGGCGAACCGGGCATATCCAAATATTGCCTGGAGATGCTGTCGACATTCTTCATCCAAGCTGTGCCTTGACCCCTGTAAGAAACCAGGTGAGGCATTGATTGAGATGCCAGGATGTAGCGCGAAAATATTATCCAAGTCGATGCCTGCTACCTCCTGCCAGAGATTGTTGATCAGGCGTCCGTTGTGGTTCGAAGGAGCGACCCAGTACTTTTGGACCTTGGCGAACCGTTCACTAGGGATGGTACTCCCCGATTTAGGTGTGCCGACGCTGTCCGCAGAAGGCCTTGCCTGCCGCTCTGAGAAGGCTCCGTGGCTCTCCCCAAGAATTCCGAATCCCGCATCTGGCATCAAATTGATCGAGCCGTTGTGTGAGCCCGCATCGGCGCGCGGTTCGAGCCAAAACTGCATCATGTCGTTTGGTGTGTCGAACATCGGTCCTCGATAGGTCGGCGTATCTGCTGTCGTGGAAACCTCGTTCCACCCAAAATATGCCGCTTGTTGGTCATCGATCATCATGGGGTTGACCTCGGGCTCGGGGCGGGCGTGATGCGTCGAAACATTGGCTAGAAAATCCAAAGACGAGGGAGGTATGCCGGTTGCTGAAGGGAGAGGCACGTCGCGAGGCGTCACCGAAAGTGGTTGTACCATATTGACCGCTTCTGTGCCAGTTCCTGGAAGGAATTGCTGACCCTCGGCAGGATGAATTGCGGCTTGGTCAGACGTCGTCGCGGGCTGCGCATTCTTGACTCCGTTAGGCGCGGTTGCAGCCGCACCATTGTGTCCTTTCGCATGTCGACTCAAGACATCACTGCGATATCACTCATGTTAGATTTACCCCCAGCGAAACTCTATTGTATACACCATCCGACGAGGACCCCATTACACACCTTCGCGAAAATCGCTTGTGACAGACGTTACATTCATACGGTTTCTCCTTGGTGTCTGCTGATCGTTAGCGCGACTGACTGACAATTAGATCCCGGGCAGCAGGAATCCGGGCAACTTGACTGACGTGACCGTTCATGGCGTTTGAAATGCTCTGTTTTCTTAAATCGCCGGTCACAGATGGTACACTTTCTTATGACCATGATGCAACGCGCCAGCGGGCGAGAGAATATGAAAGACCGGGGAGACCGGGGCCAGGGAGCATGACCTCCAGTGGACACCGAGGACAGAGGTGACGGGGGGTCAACGACGAGGATTCCAAGAGGAGGGCTCGTGTAGCAGTTTGGCGGAGAAGAGGATGAGGGGAGACTCTAATCGCAATCCGACGGATCGGGTAAGGAGGAGAACTAAGCTGGAATCGGATCCACCGCCTGCAGAATGGGGTCGGTACGGTAACGCGGTCCTTCGTAATACCGTATTGACGCTCCCGTGATTGGCGTCCCTTCCGACCTAGCGGCTGACTCAGCACCGGCGGGGCTTCGGCAGTTGGGGACTAGTGAGTGCCGGTCCCCCTTCTCCTCTTTACTCCTCTTTAGTTGCCTTAGATATCCTGCTATCATTACTAGTTGCAATCCATCCTATGTACATCGATCCTCCACTGATGAACCCTGTTTATGTCGACTTCTGACCGGCCACGAGCTCCGCTAGCTTCCCATCGTCATAATACGCCTCCAAGCGCTCTTTACGCGCTTCCTTGTCGGCCTTGACTTGGCGAAGAATCTCCTGGATGTTGGGGTATGAGGAAAATTTGTCCTACACGCGAGATGTTAGCGAACATCCTTGATGTCTTCTACCGTCAGCAGTGACCAGAACTTACCGGCAGAGCATCCCAGACCTTAGGGTCGGTCCCCTGATCCTTGAAGGTCCCACATCCGCTCCGAGCATACTCCGTGAACAAGAACGACCGACTGCTCTCCACCATGATCGTCATTTGATCTGCAATCCATTAGCGAGTGTTTCGGCAATAGTCACAAAGAGTCTTCACTCACTCTCGAGAATTTTCCGAGGCTCATTGACCTGGTTGCGCATCTCATACACGTAGTCTTCGCTGAAATTACCATGCGGCGTATGGCTGATCTCTACGCTGCCGCCACCGGGCAAGAAGTCGTCGGACCGGCCCAGTCCATTGCCGTATAGAGAAGCCAGGAACTCCGTGGCTGAATTGCGGTGGAAGTACGGCAGGCGGAAGGTATTGGCCGCCACGTCCCAACGAGGCCCAAACCACAAGAAGTCCGCCAGCGGAGTCATAGGGTCGCGCGAGGGTGCCGTCAGCACGCAGTTCACCGAAGGATCGGTGTGGTCGATGGATGTCGCGTTCTGCGAAGAGAATTTGGTCAAGTCGTACTGCGTCGTCATTGATTAGCCGCGCGTTCCTGATTCAAAGCAGCAGGAATAGGAATAGGATCAGGATTCCGGTACCTTGTAGGGGACAACGTTTCCGTGCCATGCAACAAGGTCGAAGGGGCTGTGGTCTTGCTCAATGGCATTGTAAAGGCCGTTGGCCTTGTTGACGATGGACCAGTCTGCGTGAAGAACTTCGTCGATATGGGCGACCGGGTGCAGGAAATCCCGGGGGTTGGCCAGGCCGTGGCCTCCAATGGGACCTAGATCCGGCAGCTCCCATCGTGAACCCCAAACCTCGGTGATATACCCACGAGCCACGTCGTGTCCGGGGCCGAGGCGGACGGCGAAACGAACTCCCCGAGGAATCACACAGATCTCTCCGGGCTGCAAGAACAGCTTGCCCATCTCGGTTTGAATGTCAAGGTTGCCGAGTTGGGCAACGATCAGGAAGTCGCCGTCGGTGTTGCAAAAGGCCCGACGGTCCATGTCTGCATTGATCATGAACACGTACAAAGCGATTCCCTCACGCAAGTTGGGGTCTCCGCTGCCACCCAACGTGTGAAGACCGTCCACGAAATCGATCTTTTCGTCCTCCTTGGGTAGCGGAAACGGCGCCCATTCACCCTGCTCGGCCAGCGTTGCCACTTTGGGATTCAATGACAAGAAACAGTTCTCGATGTCTGCCTTGTGCTCGATGTTGGCTCGGTACCCATCTGCCTGTGGTTAGCCTCTGTGTACAGTAGCAAAGACTGGCAGACCGAAGGGACATACTATGAGCAGCCGCCGGTCGAACCCGGTACATGTAAGTGCTGAAGTTGGCATGGCGTGGAGCTGCAAAGGCCGAGTAGGTGATGCCCTCCGTGTACAGACCGAAGCGAGGTTCTTGGGGGTTGTTCTGACCAGCAGGCAAGGTCCCCGGGATCACTTCGGACTGGTGTCTGTTGCCGAATCCCGCCAGGTACTCGTAGGGGTCGTTGTCTCTCGTCGGTTTCCGGGTCATGGTATCTGTGTAGTGGAAGACCTTCTGCATGTCCTTAACCGGGACTCTCTCTTTGATCGGGGGCGCCGGCATTGTGACGGCTTGGATCGCGGGCGTTGTCCAAATGCTTCTATCCGGATAGCTTCCTACAGCTTGACAAGTCTCAAGTCGTAGGTCCCATCAGTTTTAAGGGACAAATTTTCGAGTGGCTATGGCCCCTCTGTGTTTGCATGTGGAGAACTACATCTTCAGGAATGAAGGCATCGACCCACACCGCGGTTCTGAGATCCAATTTCTACGGCATCTGGCACTCTTCAGCGTGTGGTGTCTTTGCGGGGCCCATGTGGAGCAGGTGCTTTATTCGCATGTTTGCCCCTGCGATTTGACGCCTTTCCTGCCAGACCATTGGGAAGTTCTTTGTTGTCGACTAACGTCATGTGGTGAGATTTCGTTCACGGGGGATCTAATGCAGCCAAGAAAGGCGTTCATTTTTACCGTGTGGGGAAGGAAAGCCCGAGTATCTACACAATACAAATTGGATGGAATTATTGGAAAGGCTCGTTGTGCAAATTGGACATGAATCATGAAATACTACGAAGCAGAAGGGACTGCCACCGAGGAATTCCCGAGGTCAAATTACTCCCGGATGAACAACGCCGCCACTCCCATTCCCGTGCTGCATTCCCGTTTCAGTCAGTCAATTTCAGCCCAACATTCGCCGCGAAAAATAATCATCATAAATAATCAAGTGAAGGGAAACTCACCTCGCACACATACTAACCACCCCAACCTCTTGCTCTCTCCTCGTCAACTCGGCCAACAACGTCGCCGTCTGGCGTGCCCCCGTTGCCCCGATGGGATGACCAAGAGCGATTGCGCCGCCATTCGGATTGACCTTGTCGAGATCCAAGCCGAGCTCGCGCACGCAGTGAATGGTCTGACTGGCAAAGGCCTCGTTCAGTTCCCACACGTCGACGTCGCTTTTCTGGATTCCTGTATACCGGTACAGGTTCTCAATAGCATAGACAGGCGCAATGCCCATCTCGTCGGGCGCGCAGCCGGCCAGCTGGGTGCCTGCGAATCGGGCGATAGGCCGGAGACCATGAGCGTCGGCCCACGAACGACGAGCGAGAATGGTGGCGGAGGCGCCATCGGAGATTTGGGATCTGGACATTAATCGTTAATGCACCTGCCAGTCTCCAAGAAAATGCATGACAGCAAGAAAAGTTTACGTACGAATTGCCCGCCGTGCTGGCTCCGTTCTCCAAAATCGGCTTCAAACTACCCAGCTTCTCAACCGTCACGCCCTTCCTAATCCCCTCGTCCTGCTCCACCACCCGAGCCGTCTCCTCCCCGGTCTCCGTATCAACCTGACGCGTCAAGACCGGAGCGATCTCGTGCTCGAACCGGCCTGACGCCTGCGCCTGAGCGGCCCGTCGCTGACTCTCGGCCGCATACTCGTCCTGCTCGCGCCGACCGATTCCGTACCGCGATGCCACATTTTCCGACGTCTGCAACATGGGCAGAAGACAGTCCCGAGCATCTTTCACGGCCGAGTCTTTCAACGTCGGCGACACGTCGACGGGAATGCCACGCGTGGTATAGTTGCGCGTCATGCTCTCCACGCCACCGGCCAGTCCAACGTCGATTTGTCCGACGAGGATGGAATGCGACATGTGGGTGATGGCCTGCAGACTACTGGAGCATTGACGGTTCAAGGTGTGGAACGTGGTGGAGTTGGGAAATCCGGCAGCGTTGAGTGCCATGCGACCCGTTTTGGCGAACCCCAGTTCAGCCAGCACGTTGCCAATCAGAGCATCGTTGACATGGTGCGGTTGGATGTCTGCCCGTTGGACGGCAGATTGCATTATCTAGACAGAGTTAGTTGTAAGATGATGAACCAGAGTTGGTATTCCATACAGGCATGAGAATCTCCTCCGGGTAGCAGTCCTTGAAGGCGCCCTTGTAGGCACGGGCGATAGGACTGCGCACGGAGGAGAGCACGACGACATCGCTGGGGGACTTGGTGAAGACTTCGCGGGCGCTTCTCCGCAACATGACGGGCGTTACTACAGAGTATGATGTCTGGGGTAGAGTTGAGGTGGGAGAGACGCAACCATTGAGACTACCTCAGCATCTGCATCTACGTAAGGAACGTTGGAGAGAATGTGGGGCAGTGACATAATGTGGTGGTGGTCTGGGGAGTACATCCTCAGTACTGTATAGGACTGTAGGTACTGTCTAATTCATAGTGTTCACTAGTAATGATTAATTGTCATTATCAATATTTAATGGAGGCCAATACCCCGGAATTCCCCACACGACGAGGACTGCCGACGCCGACTCCCGCGAGGCCCATCGGAATCGTCAAGTAGACCACTGTTCCGACGGACTGATCTCGCTGATCGTGTATACTGGGCTACTGGCTGAATCAAATTATACAAAAAAAGGAGGTTACATTTCTACATGTTTTGAAGACCAAATAACCCTTTTTCCAACCTCCTCAACGTGACTCTAGCTGATCTACTCTCGACAGGATGAATCCTCCCCCGACGAAGGCAGTGGAGTCGGCTTCGGAAGGCGGCAAAAAGCTACGGGCGTCCGGATAATCGCTTTGTCGGCTGCCACGGTCGCTAGCCGATCGGAGAGCTTCTGGGGAAGCTCGCATTCCATTAAATAACAATATGTAGCCCATGGGCCTCTCCGACTTTTTCTCTCTTTTTTTCCTTTCTCCCCTCATTCACTTCCCCAGTTTGAAAGGTCCCGCATATCATGGCGCGGCCTGTCCCTGCGGTGTTCCGGCCCATGTGGCGCCGGAACTTCTGCGTCTCGACCCCCAAACGTGCCATTGACAAGCTATGCGACTCGGCCCCGGAGGCCATCAAGGACATGAAGGGCTCCTCGACCCTGCTGGTCGGAGGTTTCGGCTTCTCCGGCGTGCCCAACACTCTCATCGACGCCGTGCGCGACCGGCCCGACATCACCAATCTGACCGTCGTCTCGAACAACGCCGGTATGCCCGGCGCCGGTTTGGGCCAGCTGCTGGAAACCAAGCAGATCAGTAAAATGATCGCGTCGTTTATCGGTGAAAACAAGGTTTTCGAAAAGATGTATCTGACTGGTGATTTGGCTCTCGAATTGACCCCCCAGGGCAGCATTGCTGAGAAATGCGCTGCCGGTGCGGCGGGTGTCCCTGCTTTCTATACTCCCGCGGCTTACGGAACTATCGGTAGGTCGGAACCCCAGGGCGCACGCACGCCCCCAAGGTGTAAATGTGTGAGGAGGCGGAAGAGGCTGACCCCATAGCACAGTGCAAACTGGTGAACTCCCCGTTCGGTACAACAAGGATGGCTCGGTGGCCGAATACTCCAAGCCCAAGGAAACGCGCGAATTCAACGGCAAGAACTTTATCCTGGAAGAATCGATTTTCGGCGACTATGCCCTGGTCAAGGTCCACAAGGCCGACAAGCTGGGTAACTGTCAATTCCGCAAGGCTATGAACAACTTCAACGAGGCCATGGGCAAGAACGCCAAGTACACCATCGTCGAGGCCGATCATATCGTCGAGGTTGGCGAGATTGCCCCCGAGGATATCCACCTGCAGAGCATCTACGTCAACAAGGTCATCCAGAGCCGCGGCGAGAAGCAGATCGAGAAGCTCACCTTCGCCAAGGACCCCAGTGAGATGCTCCAGGCCGGTAAGTCGCCTACCTATCTACTATGGTTGTAATGTCGAACTTTGCAAAGGCTGACGACTTCTGTCTTACCGCGCAGGATCCGGAGAGGCTACTGCCCGTCGCGAGCGTATCGTCAAGCGTGCCGCCAAGGAATTCAAGGATGGAATGTATGTCAACCTCGGAATCGGAATGCCCCTGATTGCTCCCTCGTATCTGCCCGAGGGCGTGGAGGTCGTCCTCCAGGCCGAGAACGGTATCCTGGGTCTGGGTGGTTACCCCAAGCCCGGCGAGGAGGACCCCGACTTGATCAACCCCGGTAAGGAGACCGTGACCCTGGGTCGTGGTGCTTCTCTGTTCGGTTCCCAAGAGAGCTTCGGTATGATTCGCGCGGGACGCATTGATCTGACGATGCTCGGCGCTCTGCAAGTGAGCCAGTACGGCGGTATGTTAAACCATCCTCCTCTGAAAACAACTCTGGGCTAATCACTTTCACAGATCTTGCCAACTTCATGCTTCCCGGTAAGGTCAAGGGTGTCGGCGGTGCCATGGACTTGGTCGCCAACCCCGAGAAGACCAAGGTTGTGGTTACTATGGTATGTGATTAACCGGCTGGCTGGTCCAACTTCTCTATGCGATGATGTATGTACTAATGATGCGCAGGAACACGTCGACAAGAAGGGCAACTCCAAGATCCTGCCTGAGTGCAGCTTCCCCTTGACCGGCCCCCGCTGCGTGTGGAAGATCATCACTGATCTGGCCGTGTTCAACGTCTCTCCCACCGAGGGTCTGACTCTGGCTGAGCACGCCGAGGGCGTCTCGGTGGAGGAGATCCGCAGCAAGACCGCCGCTCCCTTCAAGGTGGCGGATGACTTGAAACCCATGCTGTAAATTTTCTTTTCTTTTTTCATAGATATGTCTGTATATAGATTGGTCAATTGATTTATGGTTTGTTCAACATCATCTTGTTCAAAACTTATTGTCTCTGGAGCTGGCATTTCGTGTCGCTGGTTCTTGCTGGATATGAGGTTTCTAGTTCCACGAATCGTTTCCGCACTCTGCCGCCATCAACTTCATTCTGCATGAAGTTTTTCCACTGACCTTTTTCGCTTCGTTGACATTGACACTTCAGGACGATCTGCGCACGTGATGGCCCCGTTTTAGCGACGCGCTGTTTTCGCTTGAAAGTCAACCTTCTTCGTTCCCCGAAGTTATCGGCTGCTTTTCAACGAAATTCCTATCCCACGTAAGGTTTTTCATCAAATCTCCGCGGATACGGTGAATGTCGAGACCGCACTCCGATGCAGATCGATATTTTGGGTTAAAGCATGTCTGAGGTAACAGAGAACCATGCTGACAATTCGCGCCCTCTCCCTTGCGGTAGGACGCGAGGACAACCCGTCTATTAACTTGTCTTGCGTCACAAACAGCCCATAATAGGGTCAGCTGGGCATGGGCGAACCCATTTGAAGTATCTTATGAGCTTGATATACTCCGTACTACCTATTATGAACTTCCTTACCTAAAACGGTCCAGGCATCTTGACAAAGTGTCAGAACGCTACATGTCGATGGACCCATCGAGCACAAGAAAAGCCATCTCATCATGCCTTAAATGCATTGAAGTACTCACGTTTCTGAGGTAATGCTCTTTGGATATCTGTCGCTTGCAAGAACAAGCTGCAAGTTGTTGAATCAAAGTTTTGGCGGTTCAAGGCAAAAAATAACACGGTTTGCTTGTTGTCTAAGTCTTGCGAGCTTATAACAACATGAAGAGCAAATCTTTACTTCGATAGGAACGGCCCGCAGCCTCAATAAAAGTACACGACGGACCAAGTTCCATGAGTGGATACTGTTTATACTATTGTAGACGAGGACTCTATGCGGATCCACGGGTTTGGAAGCAAGAGTGTTGGAGGGGAGGGGGGGAAGGGGGGGGGGGGGGGAGGGACAAGGTATTTTGACTTAACAATGCCCTGTCAACCACGATCACGCGACCCTGGGTCGCTTGGTATGACAGCAGATGATGTTATCAGAGCTTTAAACGTTTTCAAGCTACCCTTCTCGGCAGCTCCCATTGGAAACCCTGGCCCCAATAACGTTCAGCCACAACAGTCCGATGATCTCAGACCCTTTCATGCCCGGACTTGAAAACTTGAATGATACAGGTGTGTGTCTTGTTGGCTCGCGGTTGTTTTCTCCCAATACGGAAACATGGGAAGACCTGCTTTAGCGCACGGAAGTGGCTCAGGTGCTTGTTCAAACTGGTATGTATCCAGCTTATTCAGGATAACAGTGACATCAACTCTGACAGCATATAGATTCTGGGTGTTACATTTTGGTGTGCAGTTGAGCATATATAAACCAGCAAGATTTCCTTTTTCATTTCTTTCAACAGGCTCGCAATTTACTCTGCTATCGAACAACCAGCCATATAAGTCAGCACCTTACATATTTACTTCATCTTTCGTTTTTCACTTGCCAATTGAGAATATTATATCCAATATGGACCGCTACCTGTCCAGCCGTGCAATCCTTCAACCTAACGATATCGCCATCGAAGATGGTTCCCATCTCTTGAGCTATCGAGAGCTCGACCGAGAAGTGGGCAAATTGGCATCAGTCCTCAATGAATTTCACCTGAGCCATGAGCAGCCTATCTGTGTCTTAGAAGGCATTGGCTCCAAAATGATAATTGCTCAGTTGGCTGTCCTCCGGGCCAGGCTGACCTGCGTGCCTATTGCCCCATCGATGCCCGAGCTGCGCCTTCTGGATATGCTCCAAGATACTGGTGCGGAATATATCCTCACAGATCAGAGGACACCCGACAGTAAACATATCACCACAATTCCCATATCTGGTCACGAAGTTGAGCATAGTGAGGTCTGTTCATCTTCTGGAGACCGCGGCGAATTTCGCAGCCATATCCTCTATACCTCGGGTTCCAGCGGCAAGCCCAAGGCTGTACAGATTGCCGAAAGCAGTCTACTACATTTGGCAGTGAACTCCGAAATCACGCCGTTACATCCAAAAGACCGCATGGCGGTAATCAATAATCCTGGTTTCGACATTTCTTTATTCGAAATCTTTGCTCCTCTAGCCGCTGGGGCAACACTTGTCATCATACCCCGCGAAGTAGTTACGGACCCGTTCGCATTCCGCGAGTTTGCTGCTGAAAAGCATCTTTCCGTTCTCTTCTTGACTGCGGCACTATTTTCAATTATTGCCCAGGCCTGTCCGACTGCTTTCGCAAACGTTCGACATGTTCTTACGGCCGGCGAAGTTGCTAATAAGGCCGCCATGCGGGTTGTTCTGGAGTCTTCGGCTCCACCAGAGCATCTCTGGAATACATATGGTCCGACTGAGGCGACAACGTTTTCAACAATGCATCTCGTTACACTCGGCGAACTAAAGCATGAAAATATCGCCATTGGGAGGGCGATGGGAAATACCGAATTGCGTCTGGTAGATGAAGATTCCAACATCATCACTGAGCCCGGCCAAATGGGCGAGATCCTTCTGGGAGGCCCTGGCTTAACTATGGGTTACATTGGTCGGCCCAAAGAGAATCAAGATCGTTTCATCACGCTTGATGGAATCCGCTACTACCGAACTGGAGACATGGCCAAATGGCGCCAGGATGATCCCGGGGTGCTTGATTTCGTTGGCCGTGTCGATCTGCAAGTCAAGCATGGTGGATTCCGCATAGAACTGGAGGAAATTGAACAGTTGCTTCTTTCAAGCACGCGGTTGTATGGGGCAGCTGTTGTGCAGATCCCTCCAACGGATCTCGACCATGAACCCCTCCTCGTGGCATTTGTGATCCCTTGCATTGCAAACAGCATCCGTCCCCGGGATATCACCACGTTTTCCCAAGAAAGGCTGCCAGAATACATGGTTCCACAGGACATTGTCTTTTGTTCGAAGTTCCCTTTGACTGAACACGGCAAGGTGGACCGGAACGTGTTAGTCCAAAGGTACATTAGGAAACGCGAAGAAAAGACTCAATCCCGGAAGAAAGAAGGCGGAGACGATTTGCTTTCTGTTGTGAAGGAGATTTGGTCTACTTTGCTAAACAAGCCCACGATCAATGAACACGACGACTTTTTCGTTCTAGGGGGCACCTCCCTTCAGTCCGCTGCACTGATCGCTCGGCTGAGACAACAGCTGGGTAAAGCCATCTCTATGCGGTCTCTGCATGAGAATTCCCGTCTCCGTGACCTAGTCAATCATCTCCAGGAGTTTACCGAGGGAGGCAACGCCCCCGACGAGGCAGAGACTTGGACTTACGATGCACATATTGCCGACTCCCTAGAACCCCTTTCTGAATGGCAAGACAGCAGCGAAGGTCGGGTATTTGTCACCGGTGTGACTGGCTTTATGGGCGCTCATTTTCTCAGTCGATTCCTCCAAAACCCAAACGTCAAGGAGATCGTGTGCCTGGCCCGCTCCAAGGGCGACTTGAGCCCTACCGATCGAGTCCATAGAGCCTTACGCCGCTATGATCTCTGGGATGATTCAACTGGCCATCTCAAGAAGCTGATGGTGCTGGAAGGGGACATCAGCCTGGACCATCTCGGTCTAACGAATGAGAATTTTACCTGGTTAACGAACTGGGCCAGCACGATATTCCACCTCGCCGCCAAAGTCAACTTCTGCGAGCCATATGAGTCTCATTTTGATGCCAACATCCTGGGTACTAAGAATGTGCTTGAAGCTGCTCTTTCGGGACGGCGCAAATCCTTCCATTATATGTCCAGTATCGACATTTGGGGCCCAACGGGGCTAGTCTTTGGCACTCGCAAAGTTCTCGAAGACGAGCCTCTCGAGCCGCATATTCGAGGCCTTCCATTTGACATCGGCTACGCCCAGAGCAAATGGGTTGCCGAGCAGATGGTGCGGCGGGCACGCACACGAGGTCTGCCCACGGCCATCTATCGGCCAGGTTTTGTGGTTGGGGACTCGCGTGATGGATCGGGCAATCCCGATGACTTCTTCGCACGTCTAATGGTTGGGTCCATTCGCTTGGGTGCCTTCCCTATCCTGCCAAACCAGAGGATGGAGTACGTGACAGTCGACTACGTCTGTGACGCGACGCTGCACATTGCCTCGCAGAACAAGAACCTCGGAAAGTCATACAGCCTGGTTGCACCGGACCCAGCTGATTCCGTCAATCTTGAAAAGACAGTGGAAGTCATTCGAGAGGCTGGGTACCCGGTCGAGCATATCCCGTACTGGGATTGGGTGCAACGACTGCAATCAACCGCCGACAAGGAAAACCCACTGCTTCCGGTAATGCCGCTGTTGCAGGAGCCCGTCCTTGGGGGACGGTCAAGGTTCGAGACCAGCAGAAACACGCCACATTATGATAGCTCGAACGCGGTGGCAGCATTGAAGGATGCGCCTGAAATCGCATACATTCTCTTCAACTCGGGGATTCTCAACAAATTTTTAAGTTTCTGGGATCGCAAGGGGTTCTATGAGACGAGGCAAGTTCGGAATTGAGTATTGGTAGGCAAAGTAGGACTGATGTACTTTATTATGTTCTTGATTCTTGAAATTGTCATTATTTTGTCCGTCTTTATGTAGTGCGTTCAATTGAATCCTCAAACTACTCCTGGCTTGATTGTAGGCGGCAGTGTGTAGCATTCATCCCGTTCATCAGTCCATCGCGAGAAGCCCTAACTCTGCCCCCTCACATCGACCCATTGACCCAACCTCAGCCAGCCTCAATTCGAACAACCCCCTCTCTTGTCTGCAGCCTCCCTTCTCGTCTGCGTGTCTACCGTCCCTACAATCCCTACAATTGTCTGTTTGCCTGAGACACGCTGCAATACTACGTCGGGGTATGGTCTTGCAGTGCGGACGAGGCAATTTCAAGCGATCCGATCTATCCAATCTCCACGAATCTCTCCGGCAAGGCACTCGAACTTCGCCTCCACTCACTGGCTCGTCGGCTCCGGTTCCTGCAATGCAATATTAAGCTTATGTACGTTTGCGTTCGCAATAATCAACTGATCAGCTCGCCTTTGCACGTAAGCTGCAGGCATCTGGCGAGGTTCCGAGCAATCTCCGGGGATCTAGACCCGTTGCCATCGTACTCTCCCTCCGGGGAAGAGCCAGAGGAGAAGTATTTATAGGACCTCCCTACTCGTCTTGAAGTTACTGGCACGCTCTCTCATCAATACAATTTCGAGCAGAATCCTGAACCAAGTCATACCAAGTCAACCTCCCAAACAAAGCACATACCTACTCAAGTCACCATGCATATTCCTTTCTACTACACCCTCCTCTCCCTCCCCTTGGCCATTCATGCTGCCCCCTACCAGACCCGCATCCTAGAGACCGGGACCACCTTCGTGTCCCCAGACCCCTACGGCCCCTGGCAAATGCTGCCCGGCACGTCCCCCAACCTCGCCTACATCAAGACCACCAACACCGGCACCGGCAAGGTCGAAGTACACATCGCCTCGGGGTCCTCAACCTACCAGACACGCACGCTCGAAGTCGGCTCGACCTACGGCTCCGAAGACAACGGCACCTGGCAACTCATCGACACCGACGGCGACGGCCGCCCGGACCTCGTGTACATCAAGACCCGGAACACAGGCACCGGGCGGGTCGAGGTGCACATCGCCTCAGGCGCCTCCAACTACCAGACGCGCATCGTCGCCACCGGCACGGCCTTCTACCCGGAGGACAACGGCGTGTGGCAGCTGGGGGACTTTGACCGCGACGGCAAGCCGGACCTCATCTACATCAAGACGCGGAACACAGGGACCGGGCGCGTCGAGGTGCACGTTGCGTCGGGGGCGTCGAACTACCAGACGCGTGTGCAGGATGTCGGTACCACCTTCTATCCTGAAGACAACGGTGTCTGGCAGATGGTGGACTTTGATCGCGACGGGAAGCTGGATCTCGTGTATATCAAGAACCGGAATACCGGGACTGGGAAGGTCGAGGTGCATGTGGCGTCGGGGAGCTCGACGTATCAGACCCGCGTGCAGGAGGTCGGGACTACCTTCTATCCGGAGGATAATGGCTTCTGGGAGTTGATTGATTTCAATAGAGATGGCGTGCTGGATCTCGTGTATATCAAGACGAAGGAGACGGGGACCGGCAGGGTCGAGGTTCACGTTGCGTCGGGGACGAACTAGTAGGATTTAGATGTGATCAATTACCGGGGAATCAGTAAGAAATAATAGTAGTTAGCAGATACTTCAATGGAATAGTCAAGAGTCAAGAGTCAAGAGTCAAGAGTCAAGAGTGCAATATCATTCAACTTCCAAACTGCCGACAGATTCTCCACATGTGGAGGTCCCCCATCTGCCCTTCGTGGGGCCGCCATTCTTCCCTCAGACCTAGACCTACCTACTTGTAGGCCGAGGTTAATAAACCAAGAACTAGGGATGGCTTCCAGCAAGATACATTCCTCTCTCATCAACGATGAATCGTCTACCAACGTGTCTTGTGGCGTTTCGGCGTACTTCTTCCTCATTGTATCATCCCAAGAACAATAGCACTATCAATAGCAGGATCTGGAACATCCGCCGATTAACCAATGCGGCTGCTACGAAGAAGTTGCCCCTGGCAGGGTTGAAGGTGTTGGATATGAGTCGAGTATTGGCTGGGGTACGTGGATTGTCCTTGGTATTTAAATGATTGGAAAGAGTCATGCTAATGTCCCATTAGCCATACTGTACTCAGATCCTCGGTGACTTAGGGTAAGTCGATATCTCCCCAAGTCTAAGGACACCGAAGGAACACTATAGGGCAGAGATTATCAAGATCGAACACCCAGTTCGAGGAGACGACACGAGAGCTTGGGGTCCTCCGTATGCGACCTACAAGGATGGCAGGGACGGAGTTGGTGAAAGTGCCTATTACCTCTCTGTATGGCAACCCTATTCTATATCCCTAGTCCCGATCGATTCGGATTGACCGATACAATAAACTAACCCCTTTCACAGGTAAACAGAAACAAGCGCTCGCTGGGGCTCTCCTTCGCTCACCCGGAGGGCGTTGAGATTCTGCACCAACTAGCTCGAGAATGCGACGTGCTGGTGGAAAACTACCTCCCGAATTCGCTGAAAAAGTACGATCTCGATTACGAGACCATACGACACATCAACCCCCATCTCATCTACACCAGTATCACCGGGTATGGCCAGACGGGACCGTACAGCAACCGACCAGGCTTTGACGTCATGGTCGAGGCGGAATTCGGCCTGGCGCATCTCACGGGCTCCCGCGACGGACCTCCCGTGAAGGTGGGCGTCGCCGTGACGGATCTCACAACGGGCTTGTATGCGTGTAACTCCATCATGGCGGCGTTGTTGGCGCGAGGCATCACGGGTGAAGGCCAGCATTTGGACGTGTGTCTGAGTGATTGCCAGGTAGCGACGTTGGCCAATATGGGTAGTTCGGTCTTGATCAGCGGGGAAAAGGATTCCGGGAGATGGGGCACGGCGCATCGTAAGTTTATAAGGGCTCTTTGCTAACTTCGTTGAGAAGGGAAATGAAACTGGCTGACATGTTTGTCGATAGCGTCTGTTGTCCCCTATCAGAGTTTCAAAACTGCCGATGGCGATATTTTCGTCGGAGGTGCCAACGACCGGCTCTTTGGCATTTTGTGTGAAAGACTCGGAAGACCGGAGTGGAAGGACGGCAAGAGGTTCGGCAGTAATAATGAGAGGGTTCGGAATCGTAACGTGCTGGAAGGTATGATCGAGATCGAAACAGCCAAGCGCACGACCAAAGAATGGCAGCAGATTTTTGAGGGCAGTGGTCTCCCATTCGCAGTTGTCAACGATGTTCAAGCCACGATGAATCACGAACATGGTAAGTGCCGTTTGTTAGTTCGGACCGGCCTTTGCTGACTTTCTAAATAGTCCGCGCACGAGGCATGGTTCAAACGATTGATCATCCTTCATGTGGGCCCATCAAGGTGATCAGTCCCCCGGTGAAGTATTCCAACGCAGAACCGAGTATCAGGAGCCCGCCTCCCGTCCTAGGGCAGCATACGCAAGAAATTCTGCAGGATGTGGTGGGGTTTAGCGATTCACGAATCCAGGAATTGAAAGCAAAGGGCGTAGTTGCATAGCGGAGTACATAGATAGTCTCCCTTTATACATGCCAAATCTTGTCTGTGCATATATATCTGGCTTTCACTCTTTTGAAGGATACAAATACCAGATGCTGCAATCTTACCAGAGGAATTGCTCCTGGAACTTTATGGACGGCGCTTCAGTCCACTGGCTCGGCTCCTGTGGTATACTAGAAGCAGCAGTCTGCTCATTGGTTCCGGAGAAGGGCCCCTTTTGATGAAGAACAGGTATTATAGGCTGACTTGATTCTCCGTTGACCCTCTGCCCAGTTGGGAAGGTCGGGGTCGTATTCCAGACCGGTCGCGAAGTGTTGTGCTCATCTATGAGCGCTGTTTTTTGACTTGTATCTGGAATTGTTTCCGATTCAGACGTGTCTCTTCGGATGGTCGAGCCATCGTTTGTTCTCAAAATGTTCGTGTCTGTCCGTCCGACCATGGGATGAGTATCAACCGTCCTTTGCCTCGAGTTTTGCCTCGAGTTGCTTGACTTAGGTGTTCCATTTTCCTGGATGTCATATTGCCATTTTCGGATGCTATATGCCGTGTCCAGAGGAAACTCCTTCCAATACTCTGTTCCCTTTCTTTCCTTTCGAGGGAGCAAGTACTTTGATTGATCTGGCGTAGAATCGTTCAGGAATTGGTCATCTGAAATTCGAGATAATACCATCAATAACGCATTCTCTGTCTCGTGTAATCTATTCTCCAGCACTTCGATGTACCCTTTTGCAGGCCCACTACAAATTGAATGAGATTTCAGGATGCCAAGTCAAGGAATCAGTCAGTACCAACCGCTTGAGCTGCTCAGGCCAGTCACACCTCCGATTGTGCTGAGAACATTGCGTGCACACGGGCCTTGAGAAATTAGTTCTTGCAGTTGGATTGCTTGAGCCAATATAACATATACCTTTTGCCACTACACTAAAGGGAGAATGAGAATTTATGAGTACATACGCCTCTTACCTATGTGGCTCGGGGCGATCTCTTACCTTCTGCTTCCGCGTGCGACAAGAGTTACAGGCTATCGTGATACGAGACGTCCTGACAGTTTTGGAGGGAGACATTGTTATTCACTTGAGCATATGAAATTATCCAGAATGGCTGTACAGATGAAAGACTTGAAGCGAGAGAAGAGATCATTTGATCTCCGGGCGGAAGGCCCCGGCTGAAGGTTCAGCCGACGCTTCTTTCTGCCTCAGGCATAAGTCTCCGCCTGCTTTGCCTTCATTCTTCTCCTCGCTTCCTTTGATCATCCATCAACCATCTGCCATCAATCATCCTCGTGCGACGACTAACCATCTATACCATCTGTGTCGGCGCCGGACATCATGAGAACGAATCTTCGAGATATCATTCAAATCACTTGTTCATCTTCTCGGCTCTTTCAATCATCGCGGACTTCCAGGCCGAATGCTGTTACCAACCAAGGCAGTTGAGCTGCCAAACCCCGCAGCCGACCAAAAAGATCATTGCAACGATATGCCACTAACACACGGACAAAAATAAGTGGGCATTATTGGCTCGCAATTGTTGCTCTCGGTGCTAGCGTCTGGTTCCTCTTCGGGAATGACCCATAAAGCGGACGAAATGCTTCAAATGCCGCGCTGCGAAATAACTACTGTTTTCTTTGGTGAGATACGTGGCTTTCGAGAGATCTCCATGTGTTGCGAGGGAAGACGGATTTCCCCCGCCATTGAACATCCGCTGGATCTCTTTGCAAAGGCGATGTCTTGCTTATTTCAGACCCTGTATCCCTTTCGGGTAAGTACCCACTAAAAGCCTGGTTCAAACTCTGGAAATCAACACCTTCCGCAGCCCCCAGGCATCATTGATCGGGTCCCTAGCTGAACTTGCGTCAGAGCCCTAAATCAAGGTCGTGGTGGCTCCGTGCGAACGCCGAGCTCATTCGAAGTTCTCTCTGCGTCAATGTGTGTGTACCTTGGGCCGGAAGATCCGATTCTTCAGTACTTTCATTCAGGCAGGTTTCGGGGAATGGCGGCATCATTCCAATGAATTCACTGCCACTAGACCGGACTTTTGTCTCGCTCAAAATAAAAGCAATGAGACGGCCTGCTCATGTCACCAAGCAAACAGTCCCGCAACTTTTGTGGAATCATGGATACTCGAAAGTTCGTCGGTCTAACGGGAGGAGATGTAGTTCGAGAAACCGTTGCCAAATACGGGGTTCATCATGTTTGTACGGAAATGGTTCCCTTGGTATGACAGGCTACAGCTCACGGTCTCTACCTAGTTGGATACCCTGGGGACGCTGCCCTACCCCTGTTCGATGCCATCTTCAAGAGCTCGCTCTTCCGCCTCATCCTTTCCCACCATGAACAAGGGGCAGGACATATGGCCGAGGGGTATGCTCGTGCTAGCGGAAAACCAGGCGTTGTTCTAGTCACTTCGGGACCAGGAGTCTCCAACATGGCGACACCTATGTTGGATGCCCTTTCGGACGGAACCCCGATGGTTGTACTGTGCGGCCAGGTATCGACCGCTGCCCAGGGCACGCAGACTTTCCAGGAGATAGACGCTGAGACGCTAGCCAAACCATGTACAAAATGGTGCACTTGTGTTCGGAGCATCAGTAGCCTACCGGACTGCCTGGAGTTGGCATTTCACCACGCTATGGACGGACGCCCCGGTCCAGTTCTTGTCGCCATCCCTGAGGACATCGGACTAGCTACCTTTGATGTACTTGCATTTGAAGAATCCTTGAAAAGCTCTTATAATGCTCGTGGGAATAGCGACCCCCAAGATTCTAGTCTAGCTCCAGCGTACAACATGAATACCCTTTACGATCAGATTGACCGCGTTGCGGATGTGATCAACAATTCCGAGCGCCCTGTCATCTGTGCCGGAAATGGAGTTCACGGCGAACACGGCGCTTTGTTCTTGTCAAAAGTGGCTGAAAAGGCTCAAATCCCGGTCGCTACCACACTCCTAGGACTCGGCAGCTATGATGAGATTCGAGACAAGTCCTTGCACCTAGTTGGCACATATGGGTCGCCATATGGCAATTATGCCATCCAGAATGCCGATTTGATCATTGCAATTGGAGCCCGCCTAGACGAGCGTGCGGTAGGCAATGCTGCTGCATATGCTCCAATGGCTCGAGAAACTGAATCGGGCCAAGGCCGTGGCATTATCCACTTTGATATAGCACCCGACGCGGTGGGCAAGGTCATTAAACCGACCGAGGTGGTGGTTGGAGATCTGTCTCAAACATTGCCCATTCTGCTTGCGCGCCTTGTCGGACGTAAAGGTCGATCGAGTTGGCTCAGGCAAATTCACGACTGGAAAAGACAGCATCCGTTCAAGATCCCCAATAGTGACTCATTCTCCGGCGCCTGTCGCTGTCTTCCTCAGCATGTAGTGAGGGAACTGAACCAACAAACCGCCCCTACCAAACATCGCACGACCATCACAACTGGAGTCGGGCAGCACCAGATATGGACAACGAGGTTTTACCGCTGGAGGTACCCACGGTCTCTCATCACGCCTGGCAGCCTGGCACCGATGGGATTTGGGGTCCCGGCTGCTATTGGGGCTCAACTTGCCCGACCAGATCATCAAGTCATTGATGTAGATGGCGATGCCTGCTTTAGCATGACCATGGAGGAACTTCTCACCGCTTCTCACAATCGTATTTCAATCAAAGTAATTATCCTCAACAACGATAAGCAAGGTATGACCAGGCAGCTTCAAGCCGGTTGTGGTGGCCACGTGTGTTATGTCCGCCAAGGGAATCCGGATATCGTGAAATTGGCTCGGAGTATGAATTGTCAGTCTCGCCGCTGTGGTTGTCTATATGAACTTCCGGGGTGTATCCAATGGCTTCTCAGGTGTCAGGGACCCGCAGTACTAGATATCCTGACAGATGATACCGAGATGATTCCTCTGGTACCGAATGGGCAACCATTGGACCAAATGCTACTGGAACCAACTGGAGCAACTGGGCCATAGCGTTAGGGTGTAGAGGGCCTTTCAGGCATGGAAGGATGTGGACCGTAGCTTTCATTCTGTATTATCTTTTCTGTATACCCCAGCCAAGGATGCTTCTTGACATTATAGTACCCTTTTTTTTTTTTTTTTTGGGACTTCAAGATGGCATATTCGTACTTTGTTTAATTGATCGGCCTCTGCCGATTAGCGCTAGGTATCGGCCTAAGGCAACAAGACATCTAGGCTACACGAGGCTGCCTGATCCCCGTGTCCCTCTCTCTCTTTCTCTCCCTGACCCCCGTGTCCCTCTCTCTCTTTCTCTCCCTGACACCCTACTCTCACCAACGTCAACACACTTTCATTCCAATTGAGCCCCTCCTCGAGTACAAGACATGGATGAAATCCGATCATGGTTATCGCCGACCGAGTTTGATTCAGAAGGCAGTGAATATCGCAAGCATCTCAATGCCCATGTCCCAACTACCGGGGATTGGTTGTTCCAGGCTGAACAATACAAGAACTGGTATGCCTCCACCGATAATGACATTTTGTGGATCAAAGGTATCCCAGGCAGTGGCAAGTCGGTGATCGCTGCGAATATCATCCGTACACTAGCCCAGGACAACAATGCCCCGGTGCTGTTCTTCTTCTGCCGACGAATTCTCGTGTCAAATTGTGATCCTCAGCAAATAGCACGGGATTTCTTGTGTCAGGCCTTGAGCCACAGTGAGGATTTTCCTTTGGTGGTTAGACAAGTCCAAGATAAATACAAGAACGTTGCGGAAGCTCCGTTCCGAGAGCTTTGGAAAACACTCACGGCTGTGTTGCCTACCTTACCAAAGGTATACTTGGTAGTCGATGCGCTGGATGAGATTGCGGTTGATCAAGACATTTTCATCGATAATCTCATCCAATTGGGACAGGGGAGACCGCAATCGATCAAAGTCGTCATTACTAGTCGCCATCTTTCCCCAGAAAAGGGGCGCAAGGGCCTCTCTATTCTTGATCTCCAGCTCGCGCGGCGAACGATCGAGAAAGACATCCAAACATATATCACTCATCGATTGAACTTCCAAGAACAAAGAGTGCTAACCAGTGAAGAACGATCTCTTGTTGAAGAGCTATTGGGACGGAAAGCGCAGGCTCTTTTTCTTTACGCTCGCCTAATTCTGGATGAGTTATTACAGCAAGAAGATCCCATTGTCTCGCAATTGGAGCAGCTTCCGGGCTCTCTTGCAGATATCTATACGAGCATGCTTCATGAATACTCGGTTCGATCTGGATCTTCAGTCGGGTTTCAGACCTCCCTCTTAACTTGGGTCACACACTCTTCGCGAGTCCTTCGGTTAACAGAGTTGGCCACCATTCTCCATCTCGATCGCAAATGCTGGGGCTTGGTGACTTTGTACGAGGTAAAATGCATGATTCATTCCTCATGTGGCCCTCTAGTCGAGGTTCTCGAAGATGAAACAGTCCAAGTGGTGCACCATTCTTTTACTGAATTCCTGCTTGACACCAAAAGGATGGGAGATGGCAGTCCCGACGGACTTTCAGAAGGGTTTCCAGTTCTCCAATCCACAAGCGCCCATCGGTCACTGGCGTCAGCTTGTGTTGACTATCTCGCGTCGGGGTGCTTTGACTCATGGCCTGTCCTGGGCCATCAAAGACACGAGAACCGGTTTGACAGTTTAAACAAACGCAGGGACCTACTGATGCGGTTTCCATTCTTACAGTACGCATCTCAAAATTGGCCGTATCACGCAGCCAAATGTGACTCTTTTGAACCGCAATTATTTTCAAGGCTGGACGATTTCCTAAATTACGGGGGTCATAATTTTGAAAGCTGGAAAGACTTCTGGCTTTCTGAAGAAAAGAATATCCCTGAAGGGCTTGAGCCGCTTCACATTGCTGCTCAATCTGGTCTAGGAGCGTATGTTTCACATCTTCTGGGCAGAGGAGCAGATCCAAACCGGTTGGACTCGTTTCAGCGGTCAGCAATGGCTTACGCAGCAGATCGGGGGCATTCCAACGTTATGTTTACTCTGCTACACAATGGTTCCGAATTTAATACCTTTGATCACGAGGGATTGACCCCCCTACATCAAGCCGCCAAAAACAATCATCACAGTGCAGTAGACTGCTTGTGCAAAGCAGGTGCTGATCCAATGACTCCCAAATCTAAGGAGGACCTGAGCTGGTGGGATGGAGCTACTTCAACTATCGGGATATCCCCAATGCAGTATGCCTGCGAGTTGGGAAATACCGATTGTGTTGTCGTGCTGCTTCGATACGTCGAGCCCCCCCGAAGGAAAGACATTCATCTACAATGGGCATCCATAACAGGGCAATCACAAGTGCTTTCCGTGTTGCTTCAATACCCAGAAATTGCCTGCAACCTCAATAGAAAAGATGAGAATAGCAAAACACCTCTGTACACGGCTTGCTGTGGGCGGCATGCGGCCTCTGTCCGTGTATTGCTTGACCATGGCGCCGACGCGCACCTGAACTCGGAATATCGATGCAAGTCAGGCAGCAGGATCAAGCCCCTTCCCAGTAACCAAGGCCTGACCCCATTGCAAGGCTGGGCGGACATCGAGAAGTTAGGCTCCCAGCATGATGATGAGGAGTTAGAGGGATGTCTAGAGCTTCTAGTCAATGCAGGATGTGATGTCAACGTGAGAAACTATGCAGGCGAGACGCCGTTGTTTGCATGGGGCCAACAATTTCTTGCGGGGGATCAGAGGCTAGATAAGAAACTGCAGTTTGTGACAATGCTTCTCAAACATGGAGCCGATCCTTGTGCCAGGGATAAGAAGGGCCGCACTGCGCTACATCAAATTCGAAGTTATGACGACTGCGAGGAAGTCATCAGCTTGCTTGTACAAGCAGGTGCGGATATTAATGCTGCAGATGATGATGGAGAGACACCCCTTATCTTTGTAGCCAAAGCCCAGCGTCTGGACGTAGGGCCGCTCATTCGAAATGGCGCAGATCCTAATATACAAGACCTGGATGGGAACACGGCACTACATTACATTTGCTCCTCATGGCTACTAAAATACGAGCATTTACAGGACTGGCTGACTTTCGCCGATCCTACGATCAAGAACAACGCCGGAGATACCTGTATCTATAATCTGCGGTTCGGGAACAATGGTCAAGGGAGATTGGATTCAATCCCATTTTTCATAGAGAAAGGCTTGGATTTAGAGTTCCAGAACGATCAAGGGAGAACGGTGCTCCACGCTGCTGTACAGCATGGGCAATTTGAATTTGTTCAAACATTGCTCAGATTCGGAGCAAAGGTCGATGCGACAGACTATCGAAATAAAACAGGTATGACCTGCTCGTATATCTCTTATTTCCCCTTTCGCTGATGGTCAGATAGTTCTCCACATCGCTGCGGAAAACGGATACACAATGGACATTTTCTCGTGTCTCGTCAAAGCAGGGGCAAATGTTAACGCCGTTGATTGTGACGGTAATACCCCTTTCCACGAGGCATGCTTGAGTAAGATACGGACTAGGGCCGTTCACCTAGACGCCGTCATCAAGGCAGGGGGGGTAGCAAGTGCAATCAATAATTATGGTCGCACGGCTTTGCATATGGCAGTCAGCCTCGAGCCAACTGATCGATATGACGGAACTATCGAAAAGGTTGAATTTCTCTTGCAGCAGGATAAAGCGATTGATCTTCATTCTCAGGATTTGAAGGGTGTCATGGCTATTCATCTTGCTGCTTCGGTATCCGCATCTACCACATGGCATTTATCCAGTACAGGAGCCGATATACAAACTCGAGCTTTCGACGGCCGCACGCCCCTTCATTTTGCCTCTGCAGCTTCTGAAAGCAACACAGTTGGTCTTATTTGCGATATCTACCGTGAGAATGGCTGGTCTGTGGACACAAGGGATAGAATGGGCCGTACGCCTTTGCAGGAGGCGGCACGTTCCGGTGATTTTGAATGTGTTCAATTTCTGCTACAAGCTGGGGCAAATCCCAATTCGAGGAGCAATCGAGGCCTGACGCCACTCCATGCCGCGGCCGAGCACCGCCCATTAAAGCAGGAGGCTAGTCATAAGAGCGAGATAACGTCGCAATCAGATTTTCCTCCCGGAATGAAAAATCTAATTCCCCTATACACTGATTTAGAGGGCGCCATCCAGAGTCTCAGGGTTGAACCAAATCATAGCATTACACTGGAGGAAGAAGCACGTGTGTTGCATGATGTCGTCTTGCTGCTTCTATCGGCCGGTGCGGATCCTCAAAGTACTAACAGGGATAATGAAACGCCATACGATATGGCTTTGGTGCTAGGATGTGAGACTATGGTTGATATTCTCTCGTCTACTTCCGGCCAAAGGTCAGTTACGGAAAGCGCCAGACACTCTGGGATCAAACTCATACAACAATGGTATTTGGCTAGGATTGGAGCCATGAGACACATTACCGATCATCTAAGTGTGGATAGCACGAATGCGCACTCTCTGCTCGAAACTGCGGTCAACCTCAAATCTAGTCAAGCAGTCAAAGCTCTCCTCGAGGCTGGTGCAGATCCTACAGTTCCGCTCACCGGTGGGCTTACAGCGATACATACAGCTGCCTATTGGGGCTTGACTACAATTTTGAAGACCATGTCATCATATGTGGCCGACATAAATACGCTGTCACCTCCATTGCTCCATGCAGCCGCACTGAGAGTGCATTCAAATCTTCAGATGATTGACCTGCTAATTGAACTTGGGGCAGACGTGAATGCTGTATTCACAGAACCTAAGTGCCCTTATGGCCTTCCGAATCCGTCATATGCGGTCATTCATATCTTTGCAGCTGGAAGAGAATGGTGGCATGTGCCTGCATTGCATTGTCTGCTCAAAGCAGGTGCAGATCTCGAGTTACCTGATGGCACTGGACGAACGCCTCTGCTATGTGCGTTAATTGGCAGCAGAAGCGGAGATAGTGGGAATGAAGGTTTCTGGAGAGACCACACATTAGCGGTTCTCCTGGAAAAAGGTGTGAACGTCAACAACATGTCATCGGACGGAGAATCAACTCCTCTTGTCATTGCTCTTCAGTCAAGGAGAGGGTCGAGCATTATCAAGAAACTCATCGATCATGGTGCCAGTATATCTCTCGGTAACACCCCAGCCCTATGCGCGGCCATTCGGAGCGGACATTTTAATGCTACAAAAGCTATTCTGGACGCTGGTGCAGACCCCAATGTTCTTTACCGGCCGAACCGTGAGCAATGGTACGAGCAGAGCGCGGAAGTTGAGACGCCTTTGATTGCAGCTGCGTCGAAAGATCGCCATTTTGATCCAGGGAGAACACAAACAAAGGACGCCATAATTAGTCTCCTGCTCCGATACGGCGCCGATCCTTCGATGGAGCTAGGTGACAGCCAAGGATGCGTGCTTCACATAATAGCCAGTTATGCTGGGTACTTCGGGCCACTCCTAAAAGCCAACCTCGACCTCAACATTCAGGATCGCCAGGGCCACACGCCCTTAATGGCGTCTCTCTGCACATCTTCATCTTCCTCACGATCCATGACGTTTAGCCTTAGGCGTGGGCTTATAACTACAGCACGGGAGCTGATCGAGGCAGGCGTCGACGTGAATATAACCGACTACCGAGGCTCTAGTCCTCTTCATGCTGCCGCGGCGTCGGGCTTCACGGAAATCGTCCCACTCCTTTTATCGCACGGTGCCTCCGTCTTAACAAGAGATGATGCGGGTCTCACCGCGCTATGCTACGTTTTAAGGAATGGGTACTATACCAATCGACTTCCAATGGCCAAGGCGCTGCTATCTGCGGGCGCAGACCCTCTTTTTGCCGGCCCGAACGGTGAAACGGCCCTACACCTTATTACTCCAGTATTGATGCTTTCGAGTGCCCCCGACATGTCTGAGGACCCGGTTGATTATTTCGACGAGTATACACGGCTGTATCGGCGCTTTGTTGACGCGGGATGTGATCGCAATGCTCGTGACGATGCTGGCAATACGCCACTATTCCGCTATGTGGAACAAGTGAAGGACCGGAGTGAATACTTCACTGTCCATCCACCTCGTCTGGCGGACATTCAGGACATGTTTGACCAGCATGATGTTTTTGCGGTGAATAATGCAGGCGACACACTACTGCATGCTGTTACGCGGAGAAGTCACGATGGTCAGTACGACTACTACGAGGACGGGGGCTCGGAGGGCGATGCCGTGGTTCTATTCAAGGAGCTACTTGCCAGGGGGCTCAACCCCAGACAAGAAAATCACGCAGGCCTCAGTGCTCTGGACATTGCGACTACGTACGCCAAGGAGGGGATTTTGGAGTTATTTGAGAGAAAAGATGACCAGCCGTAATGCCCGGATTCATCGGGTGAACGTTCAGGCAGAATCCCAGTCCTGAACAACTCCCCTCCTCCGGCCGCTCAGGTTATATATTAGCCATTGTTCTGCCTCGCAAATACTATGTATGCTTTTCAAGACAGCAACGTGTTTTATCTTTTCCGAAAATGACCTCAACAGCACCCACCTACCGCATTGCCTCTATCCCGGGCGACGGCATCGGCACCGAAGTCGTCGCCGCCACCATCCAGGTCATTGAGAAGTTGGCGCAGACGCTGGGAACTTTCCAAATTGACTTTACACACATTCCATGGGGCACCGAGTATTACAAAAAGTGTGGTCGCTATGTATCGGAAGACCACCTTGACACTCTACGACAGTTCGACGCCACGCTATTCGGAGCCGTGGGCGATCCTGGTAACACACTCCCGCCAGGCCCCTTTTCAACGATCCCCTACACTCACCACTAACATCTCACCTACAGACGTCCCCGACCACATCTCCCTCTGGGGCCTCCTCCTGGCCATCCGCGGACCGCTCCAGCTCTACGCCAACGTGCGCCCCGTGCGCACTTTCCCGGGCACCAAATGCCCGCTGACGACTGCCGCCAAAGACGGCATCGACTGGGTGCTTGTGCGCGAGAACTCCGAAGGCGAGTACTCGGGCCAAGGCGGCCGCAGCCACATCGGACAGCCATGGGAAGCGGCCACAGAAGTAGCCATGTTCACGCGGGTCGGCATCGAACGGATCATGCGGTTCGCGTTCGAGACGGCGCAGTCACGGCCCCGGAAGCTGCTGACGGTGGTGACGAAGAGCAACTCGATGCGCAACGGCATGGTGCTCTGGGACCAGGTGGCCGCGGAGGTGGCGCGGGATTTCCCCGACGTGACCTGGGACAAGATGCTGGTGGACGCGATGACGATCCGCATGGTCGCGCAGCCGCAGTCTGTGGATACCATCGTCGGCACGAACCTGCACATGGACATCCTCTCGGACCTGGCGGCCGCGCTAACGGGCTCGATCGGTGTGGCGCCGTCGAGCAATCTGGACCCGACGCGGAAGAGCCCGTCGCTGTTTGAGCCAGTGCATGGCAGTGCGTTTGATATCACTGGTAAGGGGGTGGCGAATCCTGTCGCGACGTTCTGGTCAGCGGCGGAGATGCTCGCGTGGCTGGGGGAGAAGGACGCCGCGAAGACGTTTATGGACTGTGTGGAAAGGGTGTGTGCGGCCGGTGTTCTGACGAGGGATTTGGGAGGCAGCGCAAATACGCAAGGCGTGGTGGATGCTGTGTGTGCAGAGATTGAGGGTTTGTCCAAGGCATAATTCAGGAGGGTCTGTCTGTATAGAAGCTTTTTAGGGCTTTCTACACCTGTGCAGAAATATATCTTTAGCTGCTGTGCCCCGTACGACCACTCCACGGAAAACGAGAATCCATGCTTGTACACCCAGAATTAGAGAGAAGTGAAGAGAAATGTAATCAGGGGGAAAATGAAAAAAAAATTAAAATTAAAAAAATCAAAAAAAAAAATCAAAGTAGAACCGAGTGTTGCTAGAGAAGATGCAAGTAGCAAGCAAAAAAGAGCAAAAAAGCAACAAAAAGCTGACAAGAGTGGGATTCGAACCCACGCCATCGTGAGATGAGTAGGAAACTCGTTGGAGTTGTCAGTTAAGGTAACACCTTAACCTACCGCCTTGGACCGCTCGGCCATCTTGCCCGATTGATGAAGAATGGGCAACATTTCTGACATCATAATCTTGTGAAATTTTAAATTCACTCATATTTCTCTTCTCTCCAACTCCATTCGCATCCGTTCCCTCTCTCCCACAACCTCTTCCCCATTCCTCCCATCCCCAATCCCTCCTCGTGAGAGGCATCATGTGCTTACCGCCATGGAGCCTTCCAATCTCACAACTGGCCCCTCGGAGATTGGTTCCTTGACGGCCCAGTCCTATGACGAGAGTCAGTTTGTCGGCAGTTCTAGCGGCGTTTTCTTTATCAAGACCGTTCGACAGGCTTTCTCGCAGAACCTGGATGGACCGGCTGGCGCTTCATCTACCCAAGACTTTCCTCAGCCGGAAGATACTCTTCTCGGCAGTGATGCTTCGCCTCATGACAGGCGTTCGATCCCGGCCTCCGCCAAAGCATCGCCCGCGGTGACGGAGCCCAAGTCGTCCCTAGGCGAGTGGGAATATGATCCTACCGTGGCGGCGGTCCTGGGGAATGCTCCGCCGCTGGAAACGGCCCGCCAGCTGATGATGGTCTATTTCAAAGTCTGGCACCCGCTGTTTCCATTCCTCCACGGGCCGACGTTTCTACAGGCCATGGAGTTGCTCTACTCAACCGGGGGCCGGAATATCGCCCATTCGCCTTCTTCAGCACATCGGAGTACCTGCTGGACCACCATCTTCCAATGTGTCTTCAACCTGGCTAGCCACCTGCGCCCGGATCTCCAATTTCCTGCGGAATCTCGGGTCGGATCCCCTAGTAGCATTCACACCTTGCTCGGCACGCTGACGGGCAGAAATGATCTCCCCTCCCTGCAGGCGCTGCTCGCCTCGCAGTTGTATCTCGTGGCCAAGATGTCACTCCGCACCGCTTCCACCGTAGGCGGGTGCATGCTACGCTCCATGCTGCATGCTGGTCTCCACCGCTGTCCGTTCCGGTACAGGGAACTCTCCTCGCATGATCGCCAGCTGCGCAAGAGAATCTTCTGGTCGGCTTACGCCATTGACCGCTATCTCAGCCAGGCCCTCGGCTTACCGCTGGGGATCCAGGACTCAGATATTGATGTCTGCGCTTCGGGAGCCCATGAGATTCACATTCCAGGTGCCTATAATCGGGAATGGCCCTCGTTCTTGCCTCCTGCTGCTCCGGCAGCAGAGAATGTAGCAAGCCCACATACCGAGAATCCTAGCTTCAATGGACCTCGCCAGGAGTATGACACCACCGTACCCATGACTCCCACGAGACCGCCAACTTCGGGCTGGCACTCCGAGTCTCACCAACACAGGCGAGAAATCGCCTTCGCCAGTTATGTCGAATCCGGCAAATTGACCGGCCAAGCACTGGAGCTCTTCCACAAATCCATACTCGTGCGCTCCGTCCGGCGCAGCTCCGTGCTCTTCCTCGTCACCGACGTGCACAAATGGTGGAATAGCCTCTCCGCCGACCTGCAAGGTGTCCCAACTCCATCCTTACCGTCAACCTCCACCGAAACTCCCTTCAATTTCGGTCCATTCTTCACCGTCCTTTACCAACACCTCATCCTCCTCATTCACCGCCCCTCGCTCTCCCTCAGCCCGTCAACCGCGGAGTTCGCCTCCAGCCTCCAGACCTGCATTGGCGCCGCCAGGGAGATCCTCTCCGCCCTCAAGACCCAGGTCGATGCTGGCCAGGCCCTTTTCTGGCCTGGTTACCTGTCCGCAGCCTGGATGGCCGGGCTGGTACTTGCTTTTGCGTGTCAGTTGCGGCAGTACGTTTTAGAAAAGGCGTCCAGGTGAGTCCATTTTCCTCCTTTATTTTCTCAACCCAATTACCCTCCTTCTTCAACCAAAGTATAGTAATCTCTAACCCATCCACGGCAGAGAAATCTCCGAATGCCTCGACTTTCTCCATCTGATGTCCACTCAATGGGAAACGGCCAAACACTGCCATCGCGCGCTCTCCTTGCTCGCCCACAACATCCATCACCACCAGCAGCTCACATCTCCATCTACAACCCCCACCCCCGCCAGCACCCCCTTCTTGCGTAGAGACCTTCCCGGATCCCAACCAAGGAAACCCCACGAGAGGCAAGGACAAAGACAAAGAGATAGATCGCCCTCAACAACGGACCCTAATATCGACCCGGAGAACCGAAAACGAAGACGTGTCGAATCGACCACCGATTCCCCTCTGCACGACCAATATCCTAGCAGAACCAGCCATGATGCGCCGGCATCGATGACCGCCGGTGGAAATAGCCATCATTACCAGACCGGAACATCCATGGCCACCATGTGTTCTGAGATCCCGCCTGTCTTGGACAATCGTCGCCTTGGTGGTGACGACGGCGAGGCAGCGGGGAGGTCCCTAGGATCGGATCCGTACCGTACGGCTCTAGACCAGGATCAGGATTACGAGGATCGGCTGTTCTTCCCCGACGGGTCGGCCACCTCGATGATGGATTTCGATCTGAGTATGGCGGATTTGCTGCAGGGAGCGAATTTTGATAACTTGGTGGATATGTTCGGACAGCAGTATCCGAGTTTTTGAGACTGGGTCCATATACGGGGTAGAAATTTAAGCTGCGGCATCAGACTATATACTGCTTTGAACGTCTACGTAGAATGGAAAGATTCGTTCAAGATCCCGTGAGGAAGCCATAAGTCTATATTACGCTCGCGTCAGATAAACACCGCACGAGAGTAGGTCGTATAGCGGGAAGGGAAGAGAAAAGGCATCACAACTTCCCCCCTCGTCACATAAAATCTGGAAAAAAAAAAAAAGAAAAAAGGGTAAGAAAATAAGAGAACACCATGACATCCGAGTAACTTTTTCTCCGATCCCAATGATTCGCTGATTCTCCACTGAGTTCCTTTTTCCACCTCCACGATACAAAGTCGAGGTAAAAAAAAAAGAGGGAGATCCAGAAAACCGAGTGTCGCTCACAAGATACAAGCAAGTGACACCGCTAAAACAAGCAAAACTTTTGGAAACCGAGGGATATCAGGAGGGAAAGAAAGAGATGAGAGATAGGAAGGAGGTAAGAGAGGAAATAAGAGAAAAATCGTTAATTCGATCCATGGGAAAAGTAGGTCATCAAAAAAAAGTGAATCAAAAAACTCCTTGGCAGATACAAATCTACCGTGCATCGGGCATCAGACCCATCGTTTACGACTTGTTTTCTTCGGTCGAGGTCTCCTTGGCGGCCTCCTTGGGCTTGGGGGCCTCGCCGGTCTGCTCGCCCTCACCCTTGTTCTTCATGTACTCGTCGTAGACGCTCAAGGCCTCGTCGACCTTGGCGCGCAGAGCCTCCTCATCCTCAAGCCTAGAAAGGGACAGACTGTCAGCTCGTGGTTCCTTTGACATGAGAGAAAGGGGAGGGGGGCAAAAGACTTACAGGCTAAGCAGCTCAGTGTTATCCATCTCCAAAAGCATACCAGTAATCTTACCAGCCAGCTCGGGTTGCTGAGCCTGGATCTTGGGGTAGAGAGCCTCACCCAGCATCTGCTTCTGCTGGGCAGAGGGAGCAGCGGAGAGAGTCTGGCTGTTGACTCCACCGGCAGCAGCTTCCTCGCCACGACCAGCGGCGGGCTGAGAGGCGTTCTGTCCGCGACCACCCTGACCGGGGTGGCCACCAACCTGACCCTGCTGAAGGGGCACACCGCCACGACCCTGGCCGTAACCGGGTCCGCGCATGCCCTGGCCCATGTTAGGCATGCCAGGAACCTGGCCGCGACCACCGGCGCCACGTCCGAACTGAACCTGAGCCATAGCCTGAGGGTAACCCATGCCGTTAGGCAGGCCACCGGGGCCCTGCATACCCATGGGAATGCCCTGAGCGAAGTTGGGAGGAATCTGCTGGTTGGGACCCATGCCGCGTCCACCCTGCTGGCCAGGGAAAGGACCGGGGTACTGACCGGGGCGTCCACCGGGGATGCCGGCCATCACCATACCGGGTTGGGGAGGGAAGGCCATACCACCGCGCTGACCACCGGCAGGGATAAATCCCTGCTGGCCAGGACCGTAGAAAACGGCGGGCTGCATGTACTGCCAGCGTGATTAGTAAACCGTGGGCTGAAAAAGAGCAAGATTCAAGAAAAAACTTACGGGCTGGGGCATGCCGGCGGCGGCAGCAGCCTGCTGCTGTCTGATGGTGTTGCGAGCCTGGATGCTGGCCTCGAGCTGGCTGCGGCGGACATCCTTGCGCTGGGCCAGAGCAACGTAGAGAGGCTTGCCGTTGACCATGCGCTGGTTCATCTCGGTAACAGCCTTGGAGGCCTCGTCGGGGCTGCTGAAGCAAACGAAACCGAAGCCCTTGCTCTTACCAAGCAGTTTCTTGTCGCCCTTCTCGGCCTTCTTCTCCTTGTCGCTGTCCTCAGCGGCGGACTCCTTGGGCTTCTCCTCAGACTTCTCAGCCTCGGCGGACTCGGTCTTCTCGTTCTCCTTGTTGGAGTCCTTCTCCTTCTCGGAATCGGGGGAAGAGGAGCGCTCGGGGTTGGTGTCGCGCATGATCTTAGCGGAGGTGATGGTGCCGTAGGGGGCGAAAAGGTCGCGCAGCTTCTCGTCGTCAACGTCGTCCGTGAGGTTCTTCACGTACAGGTTGACACCCTGGTACTTGGAAGCCTTCTCCAGACGGGCGGCCTCGTACTGCTTACGCAGCTCCTCCTCACGCTCGTGCTTCTTCTGGGCACGGCCAACGTAGAGCTTCTGGGTGCGGATATCCTTATCGTTCATCTCTTCGACGGCGGCCTGCGCGCTTTCGTGGGTCGAGTAGTTGACGAAACCGAAGCCACGGCTCTTGCCCTCCTGGTCCCGGCTAAGAGTGGCCGAGGTGATCTCACCGAAAGCCTCGAAGAGCTTGCGGAACTCGTCATCGGTGACCTCGGGGTCAACGTTCTTGACGTAGACGTTGGTGAAGTTGGCCTTCATCTCCTCGAACTTGCTCTGGCGGTCCTTCTTGGAGATGTGGTGGCCGACGAAGACCTTCTTGTCGTTCAGAAGCATGCCGTTAACGTGCTTGATGGCGTTGTTGGCAGCCTCGGCGGTCTCGTAGTGCACGAAGCCGTAGCCCTTGGAGTTACCGAACTCATCCTGAGCGACCTTGCAGCTGAGAATGTTGCCGAAGGCAGCAAAGGTATCGTGCAGAGCCTTGTTGTCAATGGCGTTGTCCAGGTTCTTGATGAAGACGTTGCCCTGGCCAGTCTTGCGCAGAGCGGGGTCACGCTGAGACCACATGATACGGCAGGGCTTGCCCTTGATGAGGGTGTAGTTCAGGTCCTCCAGAGCACGCTCACCGTCGGCAGTGTTGTTGTAGTTGACGTAGGCATATCCCAGAGAGCGTCTGGTGACGGCGTCACGGCAGACACGGATGGAAGCGACCTGGCCAATGGAGGAGAAAAGCTCGTAGAGCATGGCCTCGGTGACCGAGGGGTCGAGTTCACCGACATAGAGGGAAGCCGAGTGAGGCTGAGAGTTGCTGGGGGCGGCCGAGGAGTTCTCAACCGCGGTGACCTCGGGGGCCGCAGCAGGGGAGGTGGCGCTGGCCTCGGGAGTGCCGTTGGCAGCGTTGTCGGCGACGGGAGTGGTAGCAGCGTCGGCAGACATTTTGATGATTTGGAATTTCTTTGGGTTTTTGTAGTTTTATTGGGTCTGTTTCCACGCAAGATGAGATTAGCACGAGATTCCAACCGGTGCAAAGTGGGATGGATAGGCTCTTCCGATAGCAGGAAAGAAAAGTGGGCCGAAGGTCGTTTGCTCGATTCCAAAGATTTTACTGTGAACTTGTAGAGCAGATCAAGACACGGTTGATCCTTGAAGGTAGAAACAGACAGCCTAGGAGGCAGACAGTCGAAGGAGAGATGGGGGATGTCTCAACCGTCCCACGACTACCAACACACAAAGCGGGACAAAGGGAAAAGAACAAGAGCAATGGAAAGTGAATACAGCGCGACCGACGTGCGAGTCCAGATCACAGCATGCAGATGACAGAGAGTGAATCAACAAGGGACGAAACGCGGTACAGCGAAGGCGAGCAATCACGATCACTCGGGATGGGAGAGAAAGGCCGGCAGCGAAGGAAAGGAAAACCTTAGGAGTCACGCACACACAACAAGCGGGAAAGGGTCAAATCAAGTATGGAGACTTGGTTTGACAACGTTTCTTTTTCTGGATTTTCCGGGTTTTTTTTAGATATTTTTTTCGATAATTTTCGAAAAAAGAGGATGTAGAAAAGGAATAGGAAGAAGAAAGGATGTGCTGAAGAGGCAGCAGAAGGGGTTTTAGGGGGAGGAAGAAAGAAAAGAAGGAAAGAAGAAAGGACGAGAAGATTTTCTTTTTTGATTTTTTGATTTTTTTTTTCTGGAAAAGTCAAAGGAATTTTTTAATTTTTTAATTTTTTTCTTTTCTTTTTGGGTCATGCTTTTTGAGTTTTCCCACGGTCTGATTGGAAGAAGAACTCGAGCTAGACCCGAACAGGACTAAGATCGCTGCGTTCTTAGCGGCAAATCACGGGATGCAGTCAGGTGTCGATAGGGCTTATCGCTGTCAGTGGCACTCGTATTGCACAACTCCGTACTAGATACTATTCACTCTTCACCCAGGGCGCCTTAACTATGCAGTTCGAGTGCGACGCATTCAATTAATTCACATCATACTCTCTCTCCCTCTCCCCACCTAGCCTCTTTCTATGTGCGATTAATATCCTCTCCTCTCCTCTCCTATCCTATCAATCTCAACTCAAATCAAATCCGGCCCCCGAGTTGACCGCGTAGAGAAGCTTCTCGCGTAGTGCGGTAGCGCTGCTATAACGAGGAAGCTTCAGGAGATTCACGCAGGTACTCGTACTAGGCAGTCGTTCCTGATCCTCGCTGGAGTCTCGAATACTGAACCGCGGATTCAGATGGCCAAATCCTAGCAATGGGGCCCGCGGAGTGGAGGTCACGAAACGGAGCACTTTCTGTCGTTCCTCGTTGCTCATATTCTCCATGACTTCCCAGAACAGCTTGATCGTCGGGTGCTCTTCCTTATCGTCGCCGATCACGTATACGCCCCCGTATAGCGTGTGCCGTCGAAGGTCCGACACGTCGATGTCGCCCGACTCGCCGCTAACCAGCGTCTGCAGTTCCGCCTGGTTGAACATGGACAGCCACGAGGGCTGGATGACCTGACCCAGACCTTGAAGGAAAGCGTTGGTTTGGAGAGCCGGTTGCACCTGAAGACGGTACCGTGCGATGTAGGAAATATAGACGAGTCGGTTCTGGTTCGTCACGGGGATGTCAGATCCGTGGCTTTTCAGATCTCTCGTGATGGTGCGACTGGTCGAATCCGGGAGAGAAATCGTGTCGCTAATCGTGAAGTTCAGGGAGAAGCCTTCCACGTCACCGGGGTAATTCTTCAATTGTAGCTAAATTTCCAGGGCCAGTCAGTTACTCAGTCCTGCGCCGCTTTACGGGAAGCCGATTTCGCGTCTCACTTACCAATCCCTGATAAAGCCCCTGGTCCAGATCCTTCAGGTCGTTGAGGTTGGCGCGGTAGGCGGTTTCCCTCTGGGCCGATCCCGTGCCGCCGGTCAGGGCCCATTTCAGCAGGAAGAACGGCGCAAAATTGACATCTACCAGGATGCCCTCGTAGAGACACTTCCCGATGACTCGCCCCAAGAATTCATACCGTCGAAGCAAGTCACGGACCTGCTCACTCCATTCCGGGCTGTTCTCGACGAAGCCGGTCCGTTTCAGGGACTCCCGGCGCTGCTCAACGGCGGCTGGGTTGGGGTAGAGCAGGTGCTGGTCATTCTCTTCGAAAAGAGTCAGTGCACTCGTGGATTTGAAAGCCTCGTTGGTCACGCTGGTGAGGAACTCTTTCGTCACACCGCCGCCGTCAATTCCCGCCTCGGCCGTGTTGAATTTGTCGATGAACGTAATCTGGATCGGCTCCTTCAAGCCCTCCCCTAGTTCGTAAAACTGGTCAAAGGCGTCGTCAAATACGCTCTCGCGTCGGATGTTCGCATGGTGCCGACCCAGGATATCCTGCACAGCCGGATGCCCGTCGATCATGCGTCCCATGGACGCGTGGGCTACAGACATGCGCCATGAGTCCGGATCAATGAATCCTTGCCGTCTGCGCATTTGATCCCTAAAGATGAACTCTCGAAATATCTGAACGCGGGTGGTGAAAGGAATAAAGAACGGCATGTTCCGCAGAATCTCCAGTCTCGGGGCCACGGCCTCCAGTTGCTTTCTCCGCGCAGCCTGCTGCTGCCGCCGCCGCAGGGCTTCGATTCGGCGAGTTTGCTGGGCACGACCGGTGCCGATTAGTCCCGGTGAAGGCTCGTAGTAGGAATCGCCCATCAAATCGTCCTGCTCATCATCGTCATCCTCGTCTTGAAGTTGGTGTCGGTTCTCTTCTTCTGCAACGACGGCGGGGATGAAGCCCTCCATGTCAAAGCGATTCGTCATCAGCCAATGCCCGTCGGGAAGGAATTTACGCCGCGAATCGCGCTCGTGAATCATTCTCAATAGACCCGTAACGAGACCCTTGAAATAATCGAGCGGAATACCGGTCACTCCGGCCAGGCCCTTTTCTTTGTTCTTCATCTCCAGATCTCTGACACTTGTGATAGAATCGGAGGGCGGAGTTAAAGAGCTGAAATAACTGCGAATGCTGCCGGGCTCCTGCGTGGGCTGCTGTTCATTCAAGTCCGCCGAATTCCAGTACAACGTGAAAGCGAGATTCTTGAGGAACACCGTCATATCTTTAATATCGTTCAGTGGTAGGGCACTTTCCTTGGTCCAGGACACGCGCGTGTTTGACGACGCAGTGAACGACGAGTCGCTCGAAAAGAACTCCTCGTCGTCCATCACTTTCAGAACAAACGTATAAAGCTCGAGGAAAAGCAGGATAATCGTCCATTCCTCGTCTCTTTCGTTCTGAGAGAGGGCCGACAGCCTAGAATCGGTCGACTCCGCTGCAGGCTTCAACAGAGACAGAACCTTTGTCGAGTCTTGACAGATAGCTGCAAATATTCTACTAGACCGAGATGCATGCCAGAAGTATTTAATAGCGGGGATTCGCGATCCCGCAAGACCTCCGGCTTGATCACTTGAATTGGCTGATCCTAAGTACAACCACATGCGGATATCGTCGCCCCGCCGGGGGAACACTCGCAGAAGGGTCAAAGCATACGTAGCGAGAATCTTAGCCTCCCGCGAAGCGTCCGACTGCACATCGGCAAGATCACCCTGCGACAGGTGCGTAGACTGGAGCTGCGAGAGGAGACCGGTGATACTCGTCTGGTTGATAAGGCTGACGAGCTGATCCTTGACAAATGGGTGTAAAGGAGTTGTCTGGGACGGGTCGTCCAGCTCAGGCGCGTCGTCAAAGTCCAGTCGCCGCGAGATATATACAGCTGTGGAATTCAATAATTCGGAGACAACCTGGACAAAGCCGGGCTCTGAGGCTTGAAGTCCGGCATGGCCGCCCAGAGCATATCGATGGAAGAAAATGAAGTAAGAAAGCAGCCAGAGGCGGGACTCTACATCGTTCGAGTCTTGGGGCCGCTCTCTGAACTGCGACTGCAGAGGACCCAACGCAGACGTGAGCAGTTTATAATTGATGTTGCTTGCCAAGTCATCCAGCGACTTGAGGTGGGCTGTCAGATCGGGGATGGTCAGGTAGCTCCTGGCAAACCATTCATATGCCGTGAGGGTCTCCGACGTAATTGGTCGCAGCAGTGCCAGCACACTTTGAACCAGGTCCTCGGTAGACACAGCGAATCTGCCGGAGATGTCCTTGATATTCCTGGTGAGGTGGCCCATAACAGCATAGTATTCTCGGGCGGTTCGTGCCACCTCTTTGGGTATTAGGCCCGTGAGGAACCCCAGCAGCTCAAGCAAAGGGCGCATGGCAAACGCCGGCATCGTTGACGAAGGAGCAGCGTGAAGCATGCGCAGGGTCAGCTGTGCCAGTCGCTTCAGCGGGGTCATCCATTCTCCTTCAGTGGCGATGGTCGGCAGCTCCTTCCATGTCTTTTGGAAGGAACTCGAAAACACCACCAAACGAGCAATGTCGCTGCTATTCCACGGCTCCAGGAACTGGACCAGTAGTCGCAGCTGTGCCCAGCAATCTGCCGCCGTTGAGTATGCAATAGGGGGTGGCATGACACCATCCGGACCCTTTGCCAGCTCTTCGAAGGGAGGAGCAGCTTGGATCCTCTGTGCCTCAGCTGCATCCCACTCTGATCGCCATCTCCCTCGCGTTATCTTCCTGCTCCGATAACCCCGCCATGTCCGCTGGACCACTTGACTTGCGCCCAGTCGTTCCCTTTCCTGTTGCCTGAGAAGTCGCTCTTGCTGCGCGATGGCCAGAGTGTTCTGCGAGCCGGAGCCATGGGGATTCTGTCGACCGGAGGGGAATGCGGCAAACGGGTTGGTATTGCGAGCTCCGAGATTAACTTGCCGCGGACGGCGGGAGTTACCCGTGAATGATTGGAACATAGCTTCGGCTCGATGCGCGGAGAGGATTCAGAGGTCGGTTGCGATGGGGAAACCCTTATTCAGGGACTGAAAAGGGCACTTCTGAGAGGAAGAAGTAGGACGGCAGCGTCTCCATGCCGCAACGTAAAGATGGGCAGCGTTCGGGTTCGTAAGCGTTGGGTTTAGGATGAGGGAGGTTTTTGGGCCATGACGGGATTGACGCTCGATCGCTGAGCTTCCGGGGGAGATTGGCACTTTGGGGCACGCACTTTACCAGGTAGGAACTCCGGGCCTGTCCGCCCAGATAGTTATTGCCACGCACGAAACGCCACTACCGGCATGGATGAGGTGAGAGTCAGAGTGAGAGTGAGTGTTTGGCATTATTCAGTTACCCATTTGTTTAAGATCTATTTGGTCAACCTGTTCAATTGGTAGTCATCACCTTGTAAATATATGCTGGTGGTTGGTTGGGTTCCACTCTGTACATGGATATATTTATGGTCTACGGCTCTAGATATGACCGATGATCAACCTAGTCAATTGATTCGTCTGGTATTTGTTCGAAGCCTCTATTCCCACAGTAGGACAAAATCAAGGTCAAAAAGAAAAAGTAAAAAAAAGAAAAATGTTCCTGAGATGCTAGAACCAAAAAAGACGCCAGGACCCAATAAACTGATCAGACTCTCCCGGTGACGCAAAAGGTGGAGTTCACTGCTCCTACACGAATATATCTAGTTGGGCCGCCGTATCTGGACATATACTATACATATCATACAAATGAGGATTGCGAGACGAGACGGTGGAAGCGCAGAGACGGCAACGCGCTACTCTTCCAGGGTATGTTCCGGGTTATGAAGGGCCATGGCGTAACCAAGAGTGCCGCTGTCCCGGCCTCAGTTCTCGCAGTCTAATATCCCAACCTATCCACAAAATCCATGAGTCGTTTATTGCCGGGTTGAGACGGTTTCGCTTGTCACTTGTTCTTGTTCAAGTCGCTCCTGCTCAAGAACCTCCGGGCCGTTGTCGGATGCCCACATGTCCAAGTATTCCTTTCCGTCGAAAGGTCTTTGCGCAGAGATTATTGTGCCATTATGATCCAGATCCTTGGTGTATTTGCCCTTGGTCGGGGCCATGCGTTTCGTCACGAACGGGGTAAGCTACCCAGTACACGTCAGTTCTCGATCTCAATGCCTCTCAAAAGTCCCAACATATCGATTGGTCTCGTACCTTGAACTCATCCAGGTTTTCCGGAACCGCATAGGTGCGGACCTTCTTCCAGTCGATTATGTAGGTGCCGTTCTTTGCGAAGTAACCCATGGAGCCGGTCCGGTTTCCCTTATAATAACCGCCGTTGACCTGCTTGGTGGTCAGGCGCAAACGCGCCATCATCGGTTGCGAAGGCTTGAACATCGTGACGAGGGGCTTGAAGGTGCGATTAATTCCAGAGGACGCACACGGCCGCGTTGCGGAGGACTTGACTATGGACTTCCACAGGAGTTTCGGAGGTCGGAAGAAAGATCTGAAAAAGGCGGGCGGCGCTAGTGAGCTCCGCGCTCCGCCAAGAATCTTTCTTTCTTTCTTTTTTTTTTTTGCCCGTCAAAACCAACGAAAAATCATCTACAAATTCCTGCCCATTTTAATTATTTTCGACTGCCACGGAGCGTCGAGTGGTGCTGCTGGAACATCCAATCACACTACACCATTCAAATTATTACTCTTTTTTCTTTGAATCTGTTTGAGAGAGATCGCCCGCAACCATGCCTCGCAGGCAAACCCAGTTGCGCGGCCCTAAGGACCTGTCCTCTAAAAAGCAACAACAGCCCAAGAGAAAGAGCCGCAAGGCCCAGGATGCCTTTGCTATCGCCGAGAGTGAACTCCCCTATAAACCGAAAATCCGACGGAACCGACTAGGCAACGACGATGATTTGATCAAGCGCAAGCGACACTCCGGCCAGGATGATATGAATGACGACGACTCCGATGGTCCCGATAACAAGCGTCGTCGCACTCGCGACGAAGGCGGCGAACTCGATGAGAACGCTGGCAGTGACGGCGAAGGTCACCGTTGGAGGATAGGAGAGGTTGACAGTGACAACGACAGTGATTTGGACAGTGACGAAGCCATGGGTTCTAGCGATGAGGAAAGATTCGAGGGGTTTACTTTCCGCGGGAGCTCAAAAAACCAAAACCAGCCAAAGAAGAAAACCGCGGAGACGAAGAAGCGCGCCCGTAAGATTACGTTGTCCGAGGAAACAGAAGAGTCAGAAGAAGAAGAAGATGATGAGGAGGAGGAAGACGAGGATGACCTCGGTGAAGACGCGATCGATCTGACGGCTGCCTGGGATATGAATGTGGCCGCGGAGGAAGAGGAAGCCGCGGCGGCAGCCAAGGCAAAGAAGGTTGCCGCAGGAGAAGAATCGGATGAAGCCGACTCCGAAAGTGAGGAAAACAGCGATTCTGATGAGGAGAGTGAGATGTCCATGTTCGACGACGAAATGAATGGCGATGATGAGCATGGGCTTTCCAAACTACAGAACTTTGTGAACTCGATGGAACCCGAATCTACTAAAAAATCGACCAAAAGGCATGGTGGCGGACAGGAACATGCCAATCCGACCGAGTTTGGGTTGACGTCTACTAAGAAACTCACCGTTGCCGACCTTTTGCCATCAATTACGGATTCTCGCCTGAAGAACTCGCTGAAGCATGTGGACTCTACAGCCTCGTCTCAAAAGCCGTCATCCGGCATCCCGGGAAAATTGGATGCCCCTCTTCCCAAACGCCAACAGGACCGGCTGGACCGCGAAGCGGCATACGAGAAAAGCAAAGAAACCTTGGATCGCTGGTTAGACACGGTCAAGGCAAACCGACGAGCTGAACACCTGATGTTTCCCCTTCCCGACCCCGAGGGACAGCAGGTCCATCGCATAGCCCCTGCTCAACCCCGGAACGATCTCGAGAGCACCATCCAAAATATTCTTGTGGAGAGTGGTCTTGCTGAAAACAACGAGAAAGGTGGCGAGAAACAAGTGCAAGAATTCGAAGAGCTACAAGCCCGGAAATTGCCCATTGAGGAAATCCGCGCTCGTCGGGCGGAGCTGCGTAAGCGACGTGATCTGCTGTTCCGAGAAGAGGTGCGGGCAAAGCGCATCAAGAAGATCAAAAGTAAATCCTACCGTCGCGTGCACCGGAAAGAGCGCGAGAAGCTGGAGCAGCAGGAACGGCAGGCTCTCCTTGAGGCTGGGGTCGACATGGATGAACAAGATCAGGAGGCAAACGATCGCCGGAGAGCCGAGGCTAGAATGGGCTCGAAGCATAAAGAAAGCAAATGGGCCAAGAGTCTGAAGCAGACCGGACGGACGGCGTGGGATGAGGATGCCCGACTTGGTGCCGCCGACCTCGCCCAAAAAGAGGAAGAGCTGCGCAAGAGAATTGAAGGCAAGCGTGTTACTAACGGCGAGGAGGACTATCTCGGCTCATCGAGCTCGGAGTCTGAGGGCGACGACGATCCTTGGGATGAGGAGGCCGGCGCCGAGAAGGAAAAGCGCAAGATTCACCAAAAGTTGAAAGAGCTGGAAGGTGATGAAGATGCCGAGCTCGAGGCCAAGGCCCCTCATGCCAACTTGTTCTCCATGAAATTCATGCAGAATGCCGAGGCCGCCCGCAAAGCTCAGAACGACGCTGAAGTCCGGCAGCTCAATCGGGAGCTTCACGGAGAGGAGTCCCAGTCTGAAGCTGAGTCTGAAGTTGGTCGGCGTAAGTTTGGCCAGTCAGAAACCGACAAGTCGGCCAAGGGAAAGCATCAAGAACATAACCGCAACGAGTTTGAAGAGGCCCCGGATTCCGATGACGAAGAGGCCCACAGACAAGGCCCTGATGAGGACGTCAAAACTGTTCTTGACCGTCCTGACAAGAAGAAACCGGCTCGTTCCGAAACCAAGTCCCGCGGTCGTCCCGCAGGTGGTCTTTCGGAGCAAAAGGAGGAAGACGATGCGGAAGAAAACCCATGGCTAGTCCAGACGAATCGAAACAACCGTCGCACAACGGCGAATGACTCGCAGCAAACCGTTGACATCGCGGTGAATGATGCCCAACCCAAGAATTCAGGACCCAAGAGTGCCCCAAAGAATCAAAAGAAGGCGGTCGCTGCCCCCAAGAACCCGCAGCCGAATGAAGACAATGATAGCGACGAGGAAAGTGTCCCCGTGCTCCTCAAGAACCATGATCTCGTGAAGAGAGCATTCGCCGGGGATGAAGTTGTACAAGACTTCGAAGACGAGAAAATGGACACAGTCAAAGATGAAGGCGACCAGGTGATTGACAATACCATGCCCGGCTGGGGTAGCTGGGCGGGCGATGGCGTGAGCAAGAAACAGCAAAAGCGCCAGAAGCGTTCGATCACCACTGTCGAGGGTGTGAAGCCCGAAAACCGAAAGGACGCCAAACTATCTCGTGTGATTATTAACGAGAAACGAGTCCAGAAGGTAAGGATGATCCCGCTTGACACATTTCTTTTCCCCTGTACTCGATCACCCGATACTAACCTGGTTGTCTTCACATCTACAGAACAAGAAGTACTTGGCAACTCAACTTCCTCACCCCTTCGAGACCCGGGCGCAATACGAGAGATCGCTGCGCCTGCCTATCGGTCCCGAGTGGTCTACCAAGGAGACTTTCCAAGGCGCAACCAAGCCTCGCGTGATGATCAAGCAGGGCGTCATCAAGCCGATGGAGAAGCCCACGATATGATCCCGCCCAGCCTGTTGACCCCGACTAAAATATTGGCTTTTGCGATTGGCAAGAAACGAAGTCAAGCGATGCCGTTGCATGTCGATCTTTTGTTGCTTTATCTTCTTAGTTTCTGTGCTTTATGCCCACCATGTTTATAGATTCGGATCGTGTGACGGTCCTCGGTTGATATGATACCATCCAAAAAGGTTATTATGATGCTTAATTAGAGATTTATCCTACACCGTAGTAACGAAGTGATCGGGTCACTGGACTGGGGCCGGTGCCTGACTGCCTGGGGGTTGATCGGCTTGTCAGGCGCCACGGACGTCACTCCGTTCCTAACTTCCTCCATCCTCCACCTTCCATCCCGGCCACATGGCCTCCACCAGATCTTCATCCCCGTTCGGAGGCGTCGACTCGGGCGTCCTTGGATCGCATTGTGATAGCGGGTGATGGAATGCCAACCCTAAGGTACCTGAAACTTCGATTCTAGACGCTACTCTGTTAGAGCTCCCTCGAGGGCATGAGAAGGTCGCCAACAGGGAACAGTGCTTCTAATCCCGATTCTCACAGATCATCTGGGAATCGAGACCTATATAGAGTGGGAGATGAATCTCACGTGTGTTCCTGATCGACAGCAAGCGATTTGGTTATTTAGTTGCCTGCGTTGCTCCACATCCTCCGCTCCCGACCACCTCGACTTCTCCAGGAATTCCGATCCCCGAACGATCAACATTGCATTGCTACCAAACCAGCCTCATCATCTGTCCGACATACAAGCATTGTCTATCAGACGATTCGACCCAACTAGTCACTCGGTAAGTCATCGACTCGGCTGGGCTACAGGATGCATATGCCCGTGTGGTGGGGCCGATGGGCGGGCGAACTAGTCACCGCCGCGGGTGGTCTGAGTTTAGCAGCATTCCGAACCACCATCGACCCTGCATTGTTTTACCCTTTTGGGTACCCATCACGGCTGTTTGTTATGTTGCAGCGCCTGGCTCAGATACTGACGCCCGGATAGATTGACATTTTCCCCTGTGTTACCTCCTAGCCAGCCCGCTGCAGGAATCGGTGTCATCTGGTATCCTGACGCGCAGTAGTGGAACCGCGTAGGACCAAATTCTTGCCAGTCGCGACTGGAATCTCTCTATACTCGATCTTGGTGAGTCGGTTTCATTTTATAAAAAAGCGCGACGACATACTCCGTCTCCGTGGTGTCTCTCTACCTTTTCCTTTCAACCCTGTGCGTCCTTCCTTCGGCTTGCTTGTGTGCGCAAACCCCGGGCTACATGCATGGTGTGAACATCTCTTGATTTTACCCTGCGAACGCCTTGGGATTGTGATTGTTTCTTTCTTTAGCCGTTCACAAACTTTGTCTTTCCTTTTTTTGGGACGCTTATCGAGCTTCTGTCCATTCATTGTCACCGTCAATTACAATACATCTACTTATACCTTTGCTATTCTTATAATTGTCGATTGAATTTTGCTTTTCATCCAACACTTCAACATGGAAATCAAACCCACATGGCGATCTTCTCTTGTGCTAATATGGCTACTTGCTGCAGAACAAGTGAAGCCGGCCCCCACAGCTGCAAAGCTAGTGCCTGCTGTTTTGAAAACTCAGTATCCACCAGCTGAAGCTAGAGTAACTGCTCCTCAAACACACGGTGTAAGAACTCTGAACACTCTACTGTCTAGGTGGTTTTTAATTTAACGCTACTTAGTTTTACCCGACGAGCCTCGAACGTGAAGGCCATTTACTGCAAAAGCCTACGAAGGGTCCTCTGAAAGGAGACCTTGGATTGGATAACCTTCTCGGCGTCTTAGAACACCCAGACACGTTGCTTGGCTGGCTTCTCCCAGGAACGGGCGCAAGCACAGCAGAACCTGAAGGGCCTGTCAACGTCCCAGAAACAACATCCGCCGCTTTGCCAACTTCCGAAGATACCCAGCCGCATACAACTCCGGCGGCGATTCCAACCTCAGCGACTCCGATAACGCCTACGTCAACTCCGAGACCAGACAGCAGCCCGGAGCAAGTTCCGACGAGTGAGCCTTCTATCTCAGCTGCAAAACCAGAACCCAGTTCAAGTAGTCAACCATCTGTTCAGAGTCCAGTCCCAACAAGCTCAAGCTCAAGCGCCAGTTTCAGTCATCCAAGTCAATCTGAACAGTCTTCGACCCCGGACGCATCGACCCCGGACGCATCGACTCCGGACGCATCGACTCCGGACGCATCGACTCCGGACATATCTACTCCGGCAGTATCAACTTCCGCAGCACCAACTTCTGCAGCATCCTCGTCCCCGTCATCCACACCAAAATCATCTCCATCTATACAAGGTGAACCCTTCCAGCACGCACATATTGTGATGAGTCTAACGGATGTTGATGTCAGGCCCCGCTACCCCCATGGCTGGCAATCAGGATGTTTTCTTACCGGTGGCCACTGGTCCTGTTCCCAGCACGATCAAGTCGAGGAATGACCATCCTGTTCCTAGAAAGGGAATTGTACGTTCCCCTTATTGAATCATCATTTCCTGGCCTGTCCCTAACGTCATTAGGTGAACTCGACGGTTCCTATTGAAACGAATAAGTTCTACAGTGGGCTGTTTTTAGGAACTCAAACCAACGCGACATTTACCCATCCATATGTGGTGGCCTGGTCGAAAGGAACTGGAAACTTGCAAAGCTATGGCATGGCAGTCTCTCATGTGGAGAGTAACGTGATGGCATTGGGCCCGACCAATGCCCACATCCCCGGCAACCCAGTCTCGTATTATGTGAACCCGATTGGAATTCAGTCGATTATTTTATCAGCGTCGGAGTTGAACGCATCGACAGTTCTGACAACGGAGAACCCATTGCCATTCTCAGCCAATGCGGTCTTGCGCCCACAAAGTGGATCGGCCCAAAGCATCACTGTTCCCGTCGTGCAGGGTATGGGGTTCGTGACTGGAATCTACTCGGGACTCCAGCCAGTGATCCAAAGTGGCGTTCATTTCGATAAGGTTGTATCCGCCGGGTCACCGAAATCTGGCATCTATAAATATACCGCGACCTTGGCCGACCAAGCAACATGGCTTATCTATGTCACTCCGCAGGACGGAAGAGACCCCGATTTCCGTTTGGAATCAAGCACTAGCCTGCGCGGACCTGCTGGATGGTCTGGTACAATCCAAGTAGCCAAGAACCCCGCGGGTGCATCTGGGGAAAAGTTCTTTGACAACTCGTCCGGTGTCTACGCCTTGGAGGGCGCAGTATCCGGGGCCGTTTCAGACAAAACCGGCACCTATAACCTGGCCTGGGCCAAGGCTGGCAAGGATGTCCAGAGCACCCCCTTGTTGATGTTTGCTTTGCCGCATCACATCGAATCGTTTGACAGTACCACCAAAGGGCGAATGACGAACATTACCATGCGTACCACAACGAAGGGCCAGGCCACAGCGGTGATCGGAGAGATCTGGACCATGACCGAACCCGACCTTCCCGTTGGAATGGGCTTTGCCCCTTGGTCCGCCTCCAAGGGTAGTGTTGACAAGCTCTCTGCGGCTGCCCAGAAAGCCATTTTGGATGCGGCACCGACCGAGCTGAAACAAGACGTTGGCAAAGAAAGCGATTTAAACAGTATGTACTTCAGCGGCAAAGCGCTTAGCAAGTTTGCCATTCTTGTGTATACCGTGAACAAGCTGGGTGGTAACCCGCAGCTTGCGGACTCGGCCTTTAAGGCGCTCAAGGACGCCTTTGCTCGGTTTGTGAGCAACAAACAGCAATATCCTCTAGTCTATGACAACGTCTGGAAAGGCGTGGTTTCCTCGGCCAGCTACGACGGAGGCGATTCAGGCGCGGATTTCGGAAACACGTTGTACAACGATCACCATTTTCATTACGGATACTTCATCCACGCTGCCGCAATCATTGGGACGCTTGATTCAACTTGGCTCCCTGCGAACAAAGAGTGGGTCAACGTGCTGGTCCGAGATGCCGGAAACGCCGCGGCAAATGATGCTTATTTCCCATTCTCCCGTGGATTTGACTGGTTCCACGGCCACTCCTGGGCCAAAGGTCTATTCGAGTCCTTCGACGGCAAGGACGAAGAGTCGACATCGGAAGACGCCATGTTCGCCTATTCCCTCAAGGTTTGGGGCAAGACCATCGGGGATGCGAGTATGGAGGCGAGAGGTAATCTCATGCTCGGCATCCTTCGTCGAACGCTCCACAACTATTTCCTGTTGGAAAGCGACAACAAAAACCACCCCGAAAGCTTTATTGGAAACAAGGTCACAGGCATTGTAAGTCATAAAGAACTCTCGTTTCTACCACGAATCAAAAAACTGACATCTCTAAAGCTATTCGAAAACAAGGTTGACCACACCACCTACTTTGGCGCCAATCTCGAATATATTCAAGGGTATGAGGCCTTCTTTTGATTCCACGTCTTATGTTCATGACGGAAAAACTGACGGGCGTGTGCTATAGGATACATATGCTTCCTCTTCTACCATCGTCCGCGTATGTCCGACGCCAGAAGTTCGTTCAGGAGGAGTGGGATGCGATGTTCGCCAGCACCGCCAGCACGCCTGCCGAGAAGGTGCAGGCGGGATGGAAGGGAGTTTTGTACGCGAACCTCGCCCTGATCGACCCGGCAGCGTCGTGGAATTTCTTCGCCGACTCCAACTTCGATTACGGCTGGATTGATGGGGGAGCTACTCGGACATGGTATTTGGCTTACGCCGCAGGTACGTTGCACCCTCTATTCTTGTCAGGTGGATTGGTGGTGATTGAAACTAACCATGTACCAGGACTCGGCGGGGCATGAGCGGAGGAAATCCCCAAGGGGTAGGATCAGTTGAGAAGATGATTTGTTTGCTTGTGCTTTGTGTAGAATGCGTGATTAGTGTTGCAGATATACTCTCGAGTGCTAGACACTCTAGTGGCGGGCTTGCTGATTTGATGCGTTGATATACCTATATACCTCTTTGAATCACCTGATTTGAGATTTTACTGGTTCCTCTGATCGGAAGTCCCTCGGTTGCTGGACACGACCTGCTCCGTACTGGGCATTTGAATGGTTACAGTCGGTACATACTCCGTGCATCAGACATGTCATAGGCCCCGAGGACCGTCTGTGCGCGGCTGCAGCACGTGTCGATCGCAGGACCGGAGATGAGGCTGGTGAATCTTCAGTGGAGATGCGGGACCAGGACTAGTTGAATGGAAGCACTGACAATTGACATCGTCACTGTCAGTCGGCAAGGGACACGGGGCAGCGATTGCGCTACAACTGGATTGCTGAGGATTCCATCGTCGCATGTTTAGTGTTTACTACCGTAGTTTACACCGCCCGGGAGGAACAGGTGGTCTGGCCTGGAGTATTTGATAATGGATTTTCAATTTCCGTTCGTTTTATGTACTTGTGCTGTGGCGGCGGTCCAGTCAGCATGGGAGGGTTTCAGTGGTTCAACTGGCAACTGCAAAATGTCTCATGCAGGCAGGTGGAGACGCCATTGTGGCAGTGCTAACCTCTTGGCGGGGACTTCGTCATCTGTGATCTCGCTTTGAGTTTGAGTCTTTGAGGGCGGTGGTCCCGGAACACGGGGGAATTGATCGGGAGCGAGAGAAAGAGAGGATTCAATCCATAGTGAGTCGTCTCTGTATTGTATGCCATGTCTCGATAGGAGTAGAGGTAGTAAGACCTCAGATATAAGACATCTGCATAATCAAGCCCGAAAGAAATGTCCAGTGGAGTCGGACGTGTCTCAGTTGGGAATGGCGGGAAGGGGAATGTTTGCATCCTTCCCCTTTGGGATGCCACCATGCCCGATCCAGTCACCCCCTAGTCCCGACGGGACAAGTAAGCTCCTCCTTTTATTATTTTTCTTTTCTTATGATTTCTTGAATTCTTTTACGCCAACTGGTTCACAGTTCTTCTTTGATGCGTGGCCAGCGTTTTGGCTGCATCTTTGTTGGGCATCATCCTTCCTCGATCGCTGTGAAACTGTCAACGTCACCATTCGGCCATATGCTTAGGTTTGGGGCACGACCAAACTCCAGATAAAAAGCAACCACTCCCCCGGTCTCTTGCCCAGACCCGGTCAAAATCTTAGCCTGTACCAGCCTACCAGCTTCCTCATCCCTGAACGTTGATGATTCCATCTGAGGCTGTGCTCTCGGCGCTATTCTTCCTCAAAAGTTGGAACCAGTAATCCCGATTCTCTTACGGAGTACATTTTCAGGCCCAGAAATTGCATACTCCACTCATCCTGTCTGGTGTGCTAGACTAACCATTCTGACCAGAATCCTGTCCACCTCCATTAGCGACAGATCTGAGAGCCCGGAATACGTGGCTTGTGCCCGCCGTTCATTTCCCCTCCTGCTCTGCTAACCTTTTTCGGGCCCAAACCTGCTTGAAAGGAAAAGAAAAAAGAAAAAGAAAAAGAAAAAGAAAAAGAAAAATCATCCAAGATACTTTCTGTACCCGACAAGCCACACCACCATCAACCCCATCCACGCCTCCACTCCAGATTAGTTCGCCAATTGATCCTTCCTCTGGTCCCGTCTCAAGAGTCTGAGACTTGAAGACCCCCGTTGATCTTATATCGATATTGCTAGGTGTGGTCCCAGATTGTCACACCTACGCCACCGTCCTTCCCGATGTGTACGTGCTAGAGATCTTCCTTCTCCAATTCCATCACCATTACCTCTTTCTTCTCTCTCTCTTCTTTTGGTCTTTTCCCTCACCCACTCATCATTCCCTCTTTTGACTGCTCTATACCAACACCTTTCTCCTTCTTCTTTCTGCGCCTCCCATGGTACAGTTGGTTGGCCTTACTCCTTCCTCTCCTTAATTCTTTACCTTCCCTAGGTCTTGTACTGGCTCCCACTATTAACCCTCTTGCCCACCCTCCTGCATTAGCATATTGCATTGAAGCTTTTCCCCCCCTATAAACTTTCCTTTCCATATCTTCGACGCTTTCTTTTGGGGGTGTGGTCACCAATCGCAGCTTTCTCACAGCTACTCTAGTTGACTGCACCAAGAAAGGAAGAGAAGAGGCTAATTATTCTTGCGATCATTGCGTATAGCGTCGAAGAATTTTCGCTCTACTTTCCGAAGCTATAGCTGGGGGCCTAGACGGACAATGACGGGATTCTCAGGAAATGATTCTTCGGAGCCCAATGAAAGAGACGCCCTGATTAGCGATATCAATCGCGCTAACTCAGGACTCCGTCCCCGTCACAAACGTGCCCGCCATTGGAGTTACTGGCCTGCGCACGCAGTTCGCTTGACATGGTCGACCCTCGTTCGAGACTATGTCAACTTGCTGCTCGTTTTCGTCCCGCTGGGTATCATCGCTGGTGCCCTTCATTGGGACAGTACCGTGATCTTCGTCCTCAACTTCTTGGCTATCATTCCGCTTGCTTCCCTGCTGAGTTTTGCGACCGAAGAGCTGTCGGCTACTTTGGGCCAGGCTTTGGGCGGACTGATGAATGCCACGTTTGGTAACGCGGTAGAGCTAATTGTATGTCCTCTTCTTTCCTATTTCGCCGTATGGTTGGGGGTTCAGCTGACCGTTTGGGTAATCTCTAGGTCAGTATCATTGCCCTCAAAGATAATCAGATCCGTGTCGTCCAAGCCAGCATGCTTGGTAGTATTCTATCCAACATTCTACTTGTGCTCGGTTGCTGTTTTTTTATCGGCGGTCTTCGATACTCCGAGCAAACCTTCAACAGCACGGTTGCGTCGACTATGTCTTCTCTTATGACGGTTGCATCGGCTTCCCTCATTATCCCTGCAACATTTTACGCCTCCGTTTCGTCGTCTACAAACTCGGGAGAAACTCAAAAGAATATACTCATCTTGTCGCACGGGACAGCCATCATCCTTCTGATTCTGTACGTCATGTACCTTTACTTTCAACTTAAGACCCACGCGGAACTCTTCGAGGAGGCCAACGCCGAAATTGATGAAGAAAATCAAGGCCAAGGCTCGGAGGAGGCTGGAGAAGAGCACCTTCTCAGTCCGTGGGCTGCTACAGTCGCTTTGATCATTGTGACAATCCTTGTGGCCATCTGTGCCGACTATCTTGTCGGTAGCATCGATAGTATCGTGGAGAAGACGGGCATGAGCCGGACCTTCATCGGTCTGATCCTTATCCCTATCGTTGGAAACGCCGCGGAGCATGTCACGGCGGTGGTCGTTGCTTGGAAAGGCAAGATGGATCTTGCCATTGGGGTTGCCGTTGGAAGCAGTCTGCAGATTGCCCTTTTCGTGACTCCGTTCCTTGTCATTCTGGGCTGGATCATGGACATAGACATGACCCTTCATTTCCATATTTTCGAAACCGTTGCCTTCTTCATCTCCGGCCTGGTTGTGACCTTCCTGATCCAGGACGGAAAGTCCAACTATCTTGAGGGCGGGTTATGCTTGGGAATGTACGTCGCGGCATCTTTCATATCCCCTCCCCCCGATCTTAAGAGTTCCTCTGTGTACTTGATTAATTTCAACTGACTTATGTTTTTTAGGTATGTCATTTTGGCACTTGCATTCTACATCTACCCTGATAATGTGAATGAAGACGCTCTCTTCAACCCCTGAGTGTCCTGCGGTGTATTCTACATGAACCATAAAGGACCACTTACGTCCACACATTGTGCATATCACACATCTTTTTCTTAAAGTCTGTTTCTGTTGCATGTCTTGGCCTTGTCGGCTCAAAATCTTTCATTTACCCGATGTGATCTCGCACTTTCTCTTCTTGATCTGTGCACCCATCGAAACCTTCTGTCGCTCCTTGGTGCCTCACGCCCTCCTTATGACGGCTGGTTGTCAACCGGTGGGCTCCTTTTCATCATCATTTCTCTAAACTCACGTAATCTTGATGTGCAAGTAATTATCTGAGGCTTTGTACTGCGGGTCAGTCGATTCATGTTCGTTTAGTGTTGAGTGGCTTGTACGTTGATAGGCGGCTCTCTCTCTCTTCCTTTTCTCTGGTTTTGTTATCTTTAGGTTATCTGTGACACGGATAAGTTCGGAATGGCAAATTGGATTTGGTTTCTGGAATCTGTTTTAATAGGGCTAGAAAATATATTGGAAATGATAAGAGCTTCCTTGGAATTAAACATACGGAGTACATCGATGATCTCATGGGGCTGGCCGACAACGGACTCTTGGCAGTGAATGATGACTAAGCAACAAGGAAAATCCAATTATCCAAGGAAATGTAGCAGCGTGCGGATTGAACCCTTCGTCGACATCATCCCATCCTCTTCTAGCCCTCACTTGGTTTTTTGGAGGTGTGATTCAAAAATGCCGCCTCGCCTCAACCTTTTCACCATGAGGGCACCAGTCCCTGCCCTCCGTCAATCCTCGACGCCGTCTGTGAACCACCCTTCTCGCCGCAGCATCGTCACGGCTCTCAATGTTAACAGGCCCAATGCGGTGAACTCTGGCCTAGCACAAAGGAGATGGAACTCATCGGGTTCCGACAACAACGATGATGCCGATAGACTCAAGGGCCCGACCGAGGATCCCTTACCTCATGTCAGCCAGGAGGCCGCGGAGATGACCAAGATCATGGATAAGAAGTGTGACGGTACCGCCGCCAGCCCCGAGTTGGAGCAGGGCACTCCGATCTCAGAGGTGGGTGACTCCAATCATCCGTGTATCATTGACTCCTTGTCTCGACGTTTCTAACGGGTGACCCCAATATAGATCCTGCAGCGCGACAAGGAAGCGCGGAAGCATGCCCCCAAGGTCATGCAGGATCAAATGAAGGGACCATCTGGCTCGCGGTCCTTCTCGACGTTCACTCGCCGTCAGCAATCCGAGCTCCAAGGTCAAGCTCCGGACGCCCATGATCCGACGGCAGCCGTGGTGGCCAACATGATTTCCCAGGTCAACGCGCAAGCTGCGGAGTTGCATACCGGCCTTAAATTCCAAGCCCCTGGTCCTCTCCCCAAGACGGAGAACTTTCGCAAGAGATATGACTCTGTGATCGACCAGTTTACCAACTTGATCATGCAGGATGGTAAGAAAAGCAGGGCTCAGAAGGTAGGAGAACTGAGGACCCCCACCTAACTTTTTGTCGTTGAGACCATCGCTAATAGCATAATCTATCATCGGATAGGATATGGAGTTCATCCTAACCCATCTGCGCACCGCCTCTCCGCCGCAAATCAGTCCTAAACGCCCTCTCCTTCCTTGCCCTCCGGCTGCCCAACTCCCCTTGAACCCCGTCATTTACCTCACTACGATTGTGGACTCCGTCGCTCCTCTTCTCAAACTCAAGTCGCAAAAGGGTATTGCCGGTGGAGGTGCTTCCGTGAACGTTCCCATTCCCCTCCGTGTCCGACAACGGCGAAGGGCCGCGATCAAATGGATCATCGATGCCTCTGATAAGCGACGGGACACTACATTCGCCCAGCGAATTGCCAACGAGCTTATCGCCGTTGCCGAGGGCCGTGGTGGCGCCTGGGATAAGAAAGAACACACCAACAAGCTTGCTGTTGCCGCCCGTATGAACGTCAACCTCGTTCCTCGCAAGCGGTAAACGGGAGCCTACTGGTGAGATTCAATTCGGGATACATTGGAGTCTGTGGTCTTTGTTTTGTTTTGCATGCTATAATCCAGCCTCGTGCAACCTGTGTATAATTTATGATCGAGGTTTTGGTTAGTTGATGGGGGGAGTGTCTCAAGTGCAAGGGCTGTTCCCCCGTACAATGAAAGAGAAATACTACCACCACTTGTACAGCGGGAGCTGTTGTCACTGCTACTACTAGGTATCCATAGGTAGTTGTATACATCCACCGTAAGGTACTTCGTAGCGACTGGAAGCCCGAGTGGATGACTAACCGAGACCCGAAAAGGGAGGACCCTGCCAGGTGACCCGGACAATCCTTGACCTGCTCGCATTGACTTCTTGTCCTCCCCTGAGCTGATCAACTCATTATTGAAAACTCTGGAAGTCATGGGCGTGTCCAGATGATTTACTTGCCCACCTATTATAATGTGCCAAACCTAATTCCCTAGCTCTGCTCGCCCCCACATCCCGGTCGCTTTTCTCCGATGTGCCACCGCTGCCATTATTCGCTACGCTACTACTCCGTAGTATCTAGACTCTAGGTAGATGTCCAAGTCAGCTAGTGTCTGCGGAGACTCGAACGTTCACCTACGTCGCGCCGCCTTGAAAAAGGACGCTTTATCTTCCTACCCCTCCCTTTTTGCATCCTTCGGTTCCTCGCCGTCGCACACACCGTGTCGTCGAATGCTGCGAGACGAAACGTGGCACGCATCGCTTCTGCGACGGGTGCCTCTTCTCACGACCTCGACTTAACCCCCCATTCACCCGATCAAGGCATCGAACTTGCCGAATATCCTTTGCTTCCCGACCCTCAGGCCGGCGATCGTGATCCGGATTCGATAACTGAGAAGCGTGTGGGCCCAGGAAGAGGCGGTGACCCGCATCAACGTCGCCCATACTCAAGACCGCTTAGGCTTAAATACTGGGTTGAGGCTCTTCAGAATCGCTCACAGTATCTGAAAGATAGTGGACTCGACGCCAAGATGAAGTTTTCGCACAGCATTCAGTTCAATGCCGTTCCGGAGTGGAGCTCCTATTACATCGCGTATAGCAATCTCAAGAAGGTGTAAGTGTGTCCATGCTCCTTGGAAATCGAGGGCCGTCGCCCGCTTATATGAACTTCCGCGCTCCCGGTGTGACTTGACCACGGCGTGCAAGTGCGACGGTCGGTTCACTCGGAAACCACATGTTACATCTCGTACCGGTGCCTCGCATGAGATGACCGCTCGCTAACAGAGTGCAATTCGGTTTTAGGATCTATTCTTTGGAGCAACAGGCACACCAGGCCACTGGAACGGCCCATCCCGACGTTGAATCCGCACCCTTGCTAGACAGTACTCCCAACCCCGATGCGATCTTTCGGCGATCTTTGGATCTGGAACTCGAGAAGATCTGCAGCTTCTACGCAGATAAAGAGGTAGAAATACTCAATGAAGTGGAAGGAGTTGCCCGAGATGCCGAAGAATACGTCTCGGAGACCGATGGCGTGAGCTTGGACCCGATGAGTGAGAATATGACCAAGACGCGGACCATGAGCTCGGGTTCCAGACCGCGCGCGGAGAGCACGTTTCGGGATTATTCGTTGAACAATGGACGACGACGCAGTGCGATTAGCGAGTCGATGGTCGAAGAAGAAGACGATGACGATGATGCGGATAGTGACGACGACCAGCTGCTGTCGCATCGCGAAAGACCAACGTCGCACGGCGCCACCTCAATTAACCTCGGTGATAGCCGTGCCGACATGAGGCACTCATCCTTTTTGCGAGACGCGCGGGACCTGGAATATGATGGTCACCCCAACATGCGCCCTGGTGCACAGGTCGAGAACTTCAGGGATCCTAAGGTTCTTGACCTCTACAACTCAGGACTCTCTTTGAAAAAGCGAATTGTTGATGCCTATGTGTCAATCTGTGGGCTCAAATCATACATTCAACTGAACAAAACCGGGTTCTCCAAAGCCCTGAAAAAGTATGACAAGATTCTTGATCGCAACCTCCGACGAGAGTTCATGAACTCCACGGTCTCCCTAGCATATCCCTTTACGGAATCGACCATGAAGAAGGTGGAGGATTATATTCTCAAAATTGAAAGCGTCTATGCGGACGTTGTTACCGCCAAGAACCTATCTCTCGCCAAACGTGAGCTTCGATTGCACTTGAGGGAGCATGTAGTCTGGGAGAGGAACACGGTGTGGAGGGAAATGATCGGCATCGAGAGAAAGGCCCAGGCGGCGAATGTCGGTATTCGCAGGACCCTTCTGGGTGGCGCTGAGGATCCTGCAACAGCACGACGACAAGGTGACGAACAAGAAGGTCCAACGAAGGAATTTAGAACTCCTCTAGGCGTGTTCCGTCCTCCGGAATGGCTGTTCAGCTTGAGCTTCGCAACCCTCGTTTTCAACCTTTTTGTCTTCGTGGTGCTGCTCCTTGTGCCGATCATGGATAAACCAGAGCAGCAAAATTGCTTGGCCATGCTGGTTTTTGTCAGTTTGTTGTGGGCTACAGAGGTATGGCCTTCCCCCTGTCCCTTATGAGCTCCATTTACTCATGTAATTTCTTATGTTAGGTCATTCCTCTTTTCGTCACTTCGCTTCTTGTGCCGTTCCTTGTCGTTTTGCTGGGCATCATGAAATCGGAGAAGAAACCATACGAGCGATTAGGGCCGAAGGAGGCTACGGGGGTTGTTTTCAGTTCCATGTGGACGCCAGTCATCATGCTCTTACTCGGTGGCTTCACAATCGCCGCAGCCTTGTCTAAACATGACATTGCTCGGCGCATGGCGATGTTTGTCTTGAGTAAAGCTGGTTCCAACCCTAAAGTTGTACTCCTCACAAACATGTTTGTGAGTATGTTCTTGAGTATGTGGATCAGCAATGTGGCATCTCCAGTCTTGTGCTACTCGATCATTCAGGTAACCCGCGGTCCCGATTGTTCCTCAGCTATCCTATGTTGCTAACCCAGATAACTAGCCCCTGCTCCGCACACTTCCACCCGACTCGAACTTTGCCAAAGCCCTCATTTTAGGTATTGCTCTGGCTGCCAATGTCGGTGGTGCCGCGTCACCGATCGCATCCCCCCAGAACATCATTGCGCTCCAGAACATGTATCCCAGCATCAGCTGGGGCACCTGGTTCTTTGTGTCACTTCCCGTCTGCATCATATCCATCCTGCTGATCTGGCTCCTCCTGCTGGCCACCTTCCATCCCGGCCGTGACACCACCCTTGTCCCCATTCGGCCCGTAAAGGACAAATTCTCCGGGGTTCAATGGTTTATCAGTATTGTCACACTGTCCACCATCGCTCTCTGGTGTGGCAGCCATCAGCTGGAGCATGTCTTCGGCGACATGGGTGTGATCGCGATCATCCCCATGGTTCTTTTCTTCGGAACTGGTATCCTCAACAAAGAAGATTTTAATAATTTCCTGTGGACCATCATCATCCTGGCCGCCGGAGGGCTTTGTCTCGGAAAAGCCGTGACCTCTTCCGGCCTCCTGCATACATTGGCCAATGGCATCCGCGAACGCGTCGCACACCTCAGTCTATACAGCGTCTTGATCGTGTTTTCCAGCTTGATCCTAGTCGTGGCCACGTTCATCTCCCACACCGTCGCCGCCCTCATCATGCTCCCTCTCGTCCGACAAATCGGCGTCAGCATGGATGACCCGCATCCCAATCTGCTGGTCATGGCTAGCGCCCTGATGTGCTCTGTGGCCATGGGCTTACCGACCAGTGGATTCCCTAACATGAGTATGTTCCCCTTTTCTTCTACTGCCATTGCAAATCCAACTAACCTTCCCCTTTCCAGCGGCCATCATGACTGAAGTCCCCCAAACCGGCCAGCGATACCTCCAAGTCCGCCATTTCTTGACCAGAGGTATCCCTGCCAGTTTGATGTCGATGGTTGTCGTCGTGACTGTCGGCTACGGGTTGATGTACATCGCCGGCCTATAAACCAACACCTGTGATGGATTATAAACCAAGATTCAATACATCCTGACTTTCGACGACATCACCTACTTCCTTTGATAAAATTTTGATTTTCGAATATTCAGCGACCGTCTTTTCCCTCGCGTCTTGGATATATACGTCTTATTCAAGTCTCGCTTGCTTGCTTGTCCTTGCTTGAGTGGATGTGTTTTCTTATATCTGTGTTTCTGTTCTGTTCCTGATTGGGTTTTCTTAGACGAGATATAGGTACTATACTTTGTTATTTGGGTTACTTATACACGGTAGAAAAGGCAGGGCAACGCAACAAGGGGAGGCGGAATTGACTTTTCACCCACTTGCTTATGTATATTTTTCTTTTTTGACTTGGATCGACTTTGCTTTTTACCGACCATGTGCACGCATTTCGCTATTTGTTTCGCTACTAGATTGTTGTGACTTACTTATCTTACAAGATGAGAACTTGAAGACAGCAAATTGAACTGACTGGAATCTACAAATAATCTACACTAGACTAGGTCATGAGGAAAATTTGAATCCGAGTATAATTCATTAATCATTCCAAGTCCTTGAGATCCAATCATCTGGATAGTGGTATCGTGATTTGGATCCAAGCCCGGAAGTACTATATGCGTCGCATCGTTTCGGTCTCGAGATGAAGTAACAATCGAAAGGAAAAATGAAACGAAAAAGGAAAGGAAATATAGGAAAAAGCAGAAACCACCATGTCATCCCACCAGTATAAAAAGAAAACAGAAAAAGCTAATCATCAGAGTGGAACAGGCAACATGGGAGATCTAGACTCTGCGCGAACAAACACCCGAGCAAAAGAATCCCAAAAGGCATTATCGTATGCAATCGAACAAAAAGGCAGCGCATGAAAGATAAAAGCAAAGGTATCGAGTATGTGCAATGAAGCAAAGACGGATAACTGATAGGAAAGGGTGCTTTTTCGTCTATCGGTCGAGTTCACGTCATGTCGTTTAGTTACTGTGAAGAAAGCATGTTAGCTCAGGTCCATGAGGCATAATGGATGGATTAAAGCAGGGGGGTAACTCACAGCAATCCAAGAGTCAGGTCACCATGAATCTTGGCTTTCAATTGCACTTCGATGTCGAGGTTCAGATCTAGACGCAGTCGCAGCTGTTCGTCTTTTCCGCCCTCATCACCACCCTCGCTCTTGCCGCCGCCGAGGACACCTCCAACGGCCTTTCCGGCAGAGCCGGTCACGCCATTGAGAGCATTACCGGCCGTACCCTGGACCAGGTTGCCGACTTGGTCCACTCCTCCCAGACCTCCGAGAGGACCGCCATCTTCCTGTTCTTGGGGCTGGCGACGCTGGCGGCGCTGGCGGCGGGGCTTCTCGGTAGGGGCATCCATTGTTTCGGAGTCTTGACGAGTTCTCTGAGGACGGGGTCTTCTCTGGCGACGTTCAGGAGCTGATTCCCTTTGAGGAGCGGGCTCGTTATCCGAGTCGGGTTCTTGCTTGAAGGTCTTCTTGTTGTCGTCCTCTTCTTGCTTAGGTTGAGGACCGTTGTCTTGTCCTTCCTCTTCTTTAGGTTGAGGGGAGGTAGGGTTGTTGTCTTCTTGTCCTTCTTCCTTGGGCTGAGGGGAGCTAGGACCGTTATCCTGTTCCTCTTGAGGCTTAGGGGAGTTGGGAGTGTTCTCGTTCTCCTGTGCGGGGGTCTGGGGATTGTCCTCCTTATCAGACATAATGGAAAGAAAAAAAAGAGAGAGAAAGAAAAGGGACTAGAGATCGGAAGAGAAGAGGGGATTATATCTGGCGTAAGGGGGGAGGGGAAGGTTACCTGATGGCGCTATTTCGTGTTGTAGAGATTATGACCGCATCCCGTCTAGATCTAATTTATATGGCGCTCACGATCATGCAAGGTTGGAGCGTCTTCCAGCCCACCGTCGACGTCAGCTGCGTTCGAAACGGGGAGCAGAGATTGGAGGAAAGCTGGAGAAGCGAAGACAGCGTCATCTGTAACACCGCGAGGAGGAGGGCCGCCGCCCTGATTGCACCGGGTGGAGGTCGACAATGACGTCTCGAGCGCAAGGATATCAGCCCTTCGCATCTTGTTCCGTCGCGCACGATCGCCGACCATACTGAAGCGGGTTAGATGTTAATATATTAGCGTACGATGTATGGCCCGAGTTGCTCCATCGCGCCGGCCCACTTGACCGCTTGGATGCGCGATGACGCCACGCACGTCAGTGCGGTCGAGACTTCGAGTCCCGGTTTTCATGGAGTTTCGCATGGAGATGACAGGCAGGGGAAACGTTGGGAAATTGCGATGGCCCCTATCAAATTTTCGAACAAACTCCGTACACCGTAGTGGGTGCCGCCCATGCCGAATGTCTGGTTCCCAGCGCTCTCGCGTGCGTACTCCGTCCCATGGACCATGGATTCGAGTGTACCTGACAGTCCTGACTGGTGTCTGCCAGGTACTGAAAATAGTAACTCCACGCTATGTAATCTGGCAGAGACATGCGATGACTTTCCTGAGACTTGAGGGATGGGGGATGACGAATGAGTGTCAAATCTGGGTCTCCAAACTTTGCAGGCGTCTGTCCATCCACAAGTCGGAGTTGCTTGTCGGTCGCGCCACCGATGTGATCACCGATTGTTGGGTGGGATTTCTGGACAGATGCATTGCAGGACAACGTCATGGGCTTGGCCATGCATGTTAGAGATGGCCGCCCATCCTCGGGGTAGGAAAAAGTAGACAAAAGGTGTCTGGCTCGTCGGTTCTCGTCCGGCCTTTTTCTATCCATCACATTTTCTTCCCCCCTCCTCTTCCCCGATCTTCGACCTGTTTATTTTCCCGAACCATTATTTACTCTCTCTTGTCCACTCATTCTTAGTTCCAGACAAGAACATAGTCTGGTCTTTCATTCGTTGTCATCCTGTGTGCTGTTGATTAGAATCTCATAGCATCACCCTCAAAAGGTCGCAATGGCAACCGCAACCGCCGAGAAGCCCAAGGAGCAAAAGCCCTTCCAGCAGCAAGAGGACGACTACTCCGATTACGACTCGGATGAGTATTCGGTCTCTGGGGACGAAGATGATCATGCCCCTCAGAAGCCCGTTCAAAAGCAACAGCAGCGACGACGTCAACAGAACCAACAACGACGTCCTGCTGACGACGAGGATGACTATTCCGACGACTATTCTACAGACGAATACGACGACGATGACTATGAAGACGAGGTGCAGGGCAATGCGATGCAGCCCTTCAAGCGGGGCCAGCAGTCATTAACCAACCAGGGCATCAGCAGCCAGCAGGTGCAAAACGGAGCGATGAACACCGTCGATAAGGGCGGCGAGGAGAAAGACGACGGTCTCCGACTGACCCTGGAGTTGAACCTCGAGATCGAGGTGGAACTGAAAGCACACATTCACGGCGACCTGACCCTATCCTTGCTGTAAGTTGTTTTCTTTTTAGCCTCACCGTACCCCCTTCCATGAGGCACTCTAAGAATTGAATAGGAGTTGACCACTCTTACCTACGCAGTGCATAATGGTCAACGTCCGAGTTGCACGATCTGTGTGGGCCACTCGACGAACTTGCGTGGCATGGATCTTTTTCTTCTATTTCTCTCTTTCTTATGTATCCGTTATGTGATGAAAGCCATGAACAGTTGACCGCGATTTGAGGTCCTACGTTTTTTGTTCTTCTGTCTCTTCGATTTCCGATAGAATTCGGCTGTTCGTGTTGATGCGTGTTGTGCGTCTTGATACTCCATCTGCTAGCATGATTGATCGGTTTCCCTGGTGTTTTGATTTCTTAAGTTATGTTGGAAAGACTTCTTTCTTTTAATTTGATAATATTGAAATTATTCAATGACCCTGACCAGCGTCGATAAATGAGTCTTGACAGTCTGACCACTCCATACTAGGCCGTAGTAGATGTGGGTGAAGGCTAACGCTTAGTGACAGTTCGATGTTGTGTGATGCAGGGCTGGTTCTCCGGTATGGAATAGTCGATGAGACTCAGATGTGTTCTTCCAGGATTTGTTGATGGATTGTAATGCGTTGGGCTGTGATGGAGAGGAAGAGAGAAAGAGGGAAGGAAAGGGAAGGAAGGGTGGCCATCACGTGGCGCACGAGGTCCAACGTGCCCGTCGGTCGAGAGATGATCTTCGCTCAGGACCTGAGGACCCCCTTCCATCACGACGAGGCACATGTGGGCAGAAGAAGCCGACGGCTAAGTCCCCATCGCAAAGCCGAGGCCGGATTCTTGGCGGGAGATCGAAAGATCCTCGCTCCGGTCGAGTCCCGAAGTAGGTAAAGCACCATCCATTGCAATTGCGCTACGGAGACCACTTCTCATCTACTCTCTATCTCTCTCGCCTCATCTCTCGTTCCCTGTCAATCACAAATCAAACAATCCCCATGGCACCCTCCAATACTGCGGATCAGTCCGCCAACACGACCAAGAACTTCATCATCAAACATATGAACGCCGACCATCAAAAGTCCCTAGCCATGTACCTGCGAGTCTACTGCCATGTCTCAACGTCAGAGGCCAAATCCGCTCGACTCGAAGACATCAGTCTGTCCGATCTACTCCTCAGCGCTAGAGGCACGCGCTACACCGTGCCGCTCGATCCACCCATGGCCTCGTTCTCCGAGACTCGCGGCAGAGTCGTGGCCATGCACAAGGAGTGTCTCCAGAAGCTGGGACTCTCCGACATTACAATCAATGAGTATCGCGTCCCGCGGGGTGTAGGCGCGGTTGGATTCGCCGTGTGCCTCGCTGCGATCGTGGGTTTCTGTCAGCGCGACAACTTCCTGCCCGGGTCGCTGGTCTACGAGACGATCGGGCTGGACAACTTCCCCGCGATGGCCCGCCTCTGCTACAAGGTGCAGCCCGCGGTGTTCATCTTCCTTCTGGGAGCGCATGCCATCGAAGCGGCTTTGCTGACCGTCAAGCGGTTGAAACCGCACGGCGTGCCTTTCCTGTCGGCGACGTGGTTTGCCTGGGTGCTATCCACCGTGGTGGAGGGATTCGGGGCATGGATACGGTTTGATGCGATGGTGCAGGAGAAGCGAGGGGGGAAGGAGCATAGTCAGTAGGGGATCAGAGGAAGGATGTGTAGATACTAGATAGTGCTCAGTACCCAGCTAGAAGGGTGGAATCAATCACACGAATAATAATTAGAATGAATACTGAGATTAAGATTAAGATGATCCCGTGACGTTCGACCAAAAGGGAAATCGAAGCGCTGACATAATCTACGCCAAGCCCCGTGACGCGAAGTCACGGGACGCGAGACTAGACCTCTCTGGGCCTAGCGCAGTGTGGAATAGGGCAACCTTCGACACAAGCGAGCCACAGTGCGAAATTCACGAGAGTCCGACGACCAGCAGTTCAACTCCCCGACGACAACCCCATCGACCCTTGCCCGCTGCGTTCCTGGTGAAGGGCTGCAGGATTAGAGGTGAGTTTCTTGTGATATCCTCCGCTCTCGATATCTCCTTGTTGTTCCTGCTTTCGTTGGTTCTCGCTCCCTGCGTCGTGCGCCGTGGTCAGTCTCGTTTAGCGTCAATTCGAGTCGGAATTGGGATCGAAACGTCGAAGAGGACGAGAAGGTTCACAACAGACAAGAAGAAGAAGAAATTTCAAACGTCGAAATTGACATCGGCATCGCTTTGGTTCTTTCACCTCCGACACAACGGTCTGGAAAGATAAGAAGAGAATTTTCTTGGACTTTGCGACTCTGTCAACCACGCTCGATTCATTTCGTCTACACACTCGACCAATGCGCACAGGAACGAAGAGCAGAAGATCAGGAATACACAAGGGGATTAAAAGGCTGCGGGGATTTGAAAAAAATCTTTCATCTATCAGTCAACTAATATCCATATCCCTTATCTAGTCCATACATCGACAAAATGGGTATTTCTCGCGACTCCCGTCACAAGCGCTCGGCTACCGGTGCGAAGAGGGCCACCTACCGCAAGAAGAGGTATGAAACCGGCTGTGAACCCACATCGTGATGGTTATCCGGCGATCTAGAGTTTCTGACGGTTTTTTTTTTATCTGCAATTCAGAGCCTTCGAGAAGGGTCGCCAGCCCTCCAACACCCGTATCGGTACCAAGAGAATCCATCTCGTCCGTACCCGCGGTGGCAACCGCAAGTTCCGTGGTCTCCGTCTCGAGGCCGGTAACTTCTCGTGGGGATCCGAGGGAATCTCCCGCAAGACCCGTGTCATCGTCGTGGCCTACCACCCCTCCAACAACGAGCTGGTCCGTACCAACACCTTGACCAAGTCCGCCGTTGTCCAGATCGATGCCGCCCCCTTCCGTCAATGGTACGAGGCCCACTACGGCCAGCCCATCGGCCGTCGCCGCCAGCAGAAGTCCGAGGTCCCCGAGGAGAAGAAGAGCAACAGCGTGACCAAGAAGCAGGCTGCTCGCTTCGCCGAGGACGGCAAGACCGAGTCCGCCATCGAGCGACAGTTCGAGGCCGGTCGTCTGTACGCCGTCATCGCCTCGCGTCCCGGCCAGAGCGGCCGTGTTGACGGTTACATCCTGGAGGGTGAGGAGCTGGCTTTCTACCAGCGTGCGATCCGGAAGTAAACGAACGAGAAGAAAAAAAAGAGAATCAAGATGTGTGGAAACGGGTAGTCTTTGGAGTTTGTTCAAGCAATTTTTTACCAGAAATTCAAATACGTTATGAATCTGGGCCTCTTCGCTGGTTTTTCTTCGGACAGAGGTTGCATCTGTTGTTGTAGAAGCTCCTGAACAACTTGTTCAACCAAATGGAAATGATCCTTAGTTACGTTGTTTTCAATTTAAGATTTTTAATGTCCGGAGTACGATGTAGTTGATCTTGTCTTAGTCCCTTCCCATTTGCCTTGTCCTTGGCCCTTGCCCGTTAACGTGTGTCCAGTGCTCGCTGTCGAGGATCGATGACGCCACTCCAGCCCTCCCTCGCTCCTCACCTTCCACCTACCTACAATTTATTCACATCCTCTTCTCTTAACCCAATCCCCTTCTCTCAACCTTATAATTCAACCATCTAGATCACCCACCTCAATTCCCAACCACATATATTCAAAAAAGAAAACCGAAGAAAACCGAAGAAGAAAAATGCCCCCCTCCAACACCATCAAAACCCGCCTCTGCCTAATCTCCGACACCCACAGCCTCCCCCCGAGCCCTCCCTCCGACACACACAACCCCTACCGCCACCCACTACCATGGTCCAACATCCTCTTACACGCGGGGGACCTCACGAAAGTAGGTCGCTACGACGAACACCTCGCCATGCTCTCCATGCTCAAGAACGCCCCCGCGGAACTGAAGCTCGTTATTGCGGGGAACCACGACATTACGCTCGACGAGGAGTACTATACGCGCGTGGGACATTATCGCCACCGGTATCGCAGTGGATACACGGCGCCGTCGGCGACGTATGGACGGGAGAAGTTCGAGTCCGGGGGAGGCGGGACGGAGGCTGAGGATGAAGCCGCGGTGGAGGATCCGGCGGCGATTAAGGCGCTGTGGACGAGTCCTGAGGCCGAGGCCGCCGGGATACGGTATCTGGAGGAAGGGACGAAGGAGTTTCGCCTGTCGACCGGAGCGAAGGTCCGTGTGTATGCGTCGCCGTATACGCCGGAGTTTTGTGAGTGGGCGTTTGCGTATGAGCGCGGCGAGGATCGATACGGGGGCGTGGAGGGGGCGCAGAACCCCGTGCCGACATTCCCGCCGGGCGTGGATGTGATGCTGACGCATGGTCCGCCGTATGGGATCCTGGATCAGGTGGTGCCGGGGCATGAGAGCGTGGGGTGTGAGCATCTGTATCGGGCGGCCGAGAGTGCGAAGCCGCGGGTGCATGTGTTCGGGCATATTCATGAGGGCTACGGGGCGAGGCGGTTCGAGTGGAGTACGCATAATCGGTCGATGATCCAGTGTGACGAGTCGACGACCAGGGAGGAACGATGTGCGTTTGTGGATGTCAGTGAGAGTGCGCCGAACCCGTTGCGCGTGGGCAAGGAGACGCTGTTCATCAATGCGAGTGTCGTGACGGTGCAGTATGAGCCGGTCAATGCACCGTGGGTGGTGGACGTGGATCTACCTCTGGATGAGGGTAATTGAGAATTGAGGAGGAGATATTGAGTGGTCTCAATATTGTATATACTACTACTATATGTTCACATTTTTCTATATATTTATGGCGAGGAGTATTGTGGGATTTGGGGAGATTGATACTGGCGCGCCCACTCCAGCAATTGCCGTTTGAATCAGTTACAACAGCTTGAACAGATGATAATGCCAAATGCTTCATTCTTATATAAAACGACGCCTCCAGGGACCAAACCCACCAGCCATTTGCCACCACGGGTATAAAGGGGCCCAAACATGACAAGTAAAAATATGCGAAAGAAGTGTCAAGAAGAATAAAAAGGATCGAATGAACAGATGTGCCAAATAATTTACATGAGTTTCCAAAGAGAAGATAAAAAAGGTTGAGACGGACAAAAAAAAGTGTCTGGTATCTGGAGAATAAATGGTAGTGTCATGGCCTTGACAGGCCGAGAAAACATAGAAGAAATCAGACGATATGTGTTACCACATATCAATACCAATAAAAGGAGATAAATATCCAAAAGAATGTTCTCAAGCCGGGCGTAACAAGCAGTGAACGCTGCAATGCAAAATATAAGAACGGAGGAAGAAGATAAAAGAAGAAAAATGTCCAGACATTACAAAGAATAAGATAAAAATCAGAAGAAGAGAGGAGGGAAAATCACTCTTCGTGGACTGTCATTCCATTCGAGTCAGACCGAAAATCAAGACGGCTGCCCTTCCGGTTGAGGCCCTTGAAGAGACTGAATCGCTTCATGACGGAGTCTCGCACGCCGCCGTTGGAATGTCCTGTCGCCTGGCTAACCGGACTACCGATCTCGGGACTCCTGATGGAGGTCGCGCTGCTCTGCGTCATGGGTCGCGGATGGTCTTTGATCGAAGGTATAGTGGACCATCCTGACCGAGGACTCGTGACCGATGGTTCGCCCGCAGAGGTCCCGTTTGGCTGCGGCTGGGATGTAGGAGTATTGATGCTCTCATGGGACTTGGCAGCCGCGTCTCGCGAAGCGCTTCGCGATCGCTGGGAAAAGTTCTCGGCCGAATTACCACCAGGGACCGACAAGGACGAGGTGTGCTTATGTAGCTTCTCTCCGAAGAAACTCCTCCGCTTTGATTGCGTGTCTCGAGATTGATTGGTAGTTCGACTGTGGATAGTAATCGCATCCTCGTCGCGCTCTTGCGATGGCTCGGCCCGCGAAGGTGCTCGGTGAGCATCCTCGATTCCATTGGTGTTGCCGGCTGGCTGCTGCGATGCCGCTACCCCTTGTACCGTAGAAACAGAGTTACTGGCTCCGTGGTTGGATCGTTTGAAAGGGTTCATCACACTGATTCGATGACTGACGGAGGGTTTCTGGGAATGCCTCCGAGTATGGCTGTTTTGGCGTGACGACCGGATTAATTCATGCTCGGGGCTGGTCGATCGCGCCATGGAATGTGGCTTGCGATTGACAGAAGGAGTCCGAGAATAGGGTAGGGTTAGCTGAGGTGTGTCCTGCGCCAGCGGGGTGAGGGAAGACAATTCCGGCGCAAACGCATCCTCAAAGCGGCGTATTAATTCGGCCTGGGTTGCTTGGTGTGCAGGGCGATGGAACATGGCAAGAGCATGCTTGATTGCCAGCGCATGGTCAATCAGGGCGACGGCCAGAGCGTTCTTCATGGGGTCGGCTGGAGTCGGGGTGTTTTCGATCTCGTCCTCAGCGCGAGTCTCAGACAGGAATTGACGATAAACTGCCACGCAGCTGGATGAGGAAGAGTTGCGGTCTAACAATTGCTCCAATGCTTCGGTCAGATTAGAAAGGCTCGAGTCTTCACCAGATGCCGCTCGCCTCTGCAGGAGGGACAACTCCTGGGTTTTGCGCCATGTCCGTTCGAGAGCGGTTTGCAGGGGCGACAATGCAACCTCCTCGGTGATTACCACCTCGCTCCTGCGGAGGATGTTCGGGAAAGGATCCGCGGTGGTATAGATGGTTTTCTCAACCCACTGTCCCTGAACACTTGCTCCACGGGCATGTTTCTTCAATGTTGAGGTGAACCGGTAAGGTTCGGAGATCAGAAGATGATCTCTGACTGAAGACGGAATTTTCGATCGTTGATAGACCGGATGGTTCATGTCTCGATGGACGCTGACAGGATTTATGTGTAGATACTGGCCTTCATAGTCGTGTGATTCCCCAGAGGACACAATCTGCGCCGCGGGATGCTCTCGCTGCATACGATCCACAAAACCGGCCATGCGTTCACCTGGTGGGCATTCAAAGATGAATTCCTTATCTCGCAAGTTTGCGGGGAAGCCAAGTCCCTTGTAGAGGACACGGAAGTACCGCGGGAACTGCTTTTCTTCTCGCGAGACAGTCTCATAGATCCTGGCCATGGAGCTTTGGGCTCGTGAGAGCTTGGCGAAGTCCACCATCGTGTCCTCGTATTGCTGGGCGAGCTCTTTGTAGCAGACCAGAGCATGCGCCCATGCACTGGCATCCTCGAAATATTGGATAATGGTGAAGTATAAGGACTCTTTCCTCTCAAAACATGTTTGTTCGGGCAGAGCAGGGTTCATGAGTTCGGGCACCGTCCGCTTAGGGTCCCAGTCATAAAGATCGGCATGGAACTGAAGTGCAAGGCCGGCCTCACAGAAATTGCCCGCCGCAGCCTGTACTTGAGCGAGTTCGTGAACATACCGGATAAAGATATCCTCTCGTCCCATGTCTTTCATGTACTCCATTAGCCGCAACGTGTGCAAGCTTTCGCCCATGGAGCCACCCTGGGAGGCGACGAAGAGATCCAGCAGTTCATCCACCGTTACTATGAGGGCTTTGACCGCATTAGACAAGTCCTCGTCGAAAGACGCGCACTCCTCAAAGTGATCAAGAAGTTCCCCTATAAAGAGCTTTTGGACGACTCCCTCGCTCATGTTCTTTGTCTTGAAGAGGTTGTCCAGGCTGGAGATGATCTCCGTTTCGATGATTGACAGATCTTGGTTGAGACTCCACTCGCTCAGAATCATGGTGCGCAGAATCTCGACTGCTACGTGCCGCAATCCCTCGTGGACACTGAGGCAGAGCTCAATGATAGGGGCCACCAGACCTGGGACATATTGCACCTGATAGCCGCCAAGTTTCTTGAGTCTGAACCGCTCCCGCTCATCATCAGTGGTCTCCCAGCCAATCGCCTCCCAGCTGGAGTTCAACAGGTCGGCGCCTTGCTCGCGAACATCCCCCGCAATCTTCCAGATAGTCCGCCTCTTTTGTTCGGGGAATGTCTCCAGAGCCAGAACGTCGCTCGAGACGACCTTGAGCAAGGTCATGAAGAAGTTCTCCCAAAGTCTTGTGTCGAAGGTCTCAGCATCATCCGGCGCGGGAAGGAACTTATGAATCATGATAGAAGAGAGGTGCTCGAGACTTTTTACGGTAGCGCGATGATTGTAGACATGAACACTTAGCCAGCTCTCGGGGTAAGGCTCACAGTTCAGGATTGAGGTATGGACTTCAAACGCCTGGGTGAGGAAGGTAGAAAGCTCCAAACCCTTGAGTCGGGGCCTCTTAGGATTGGTCACCGTCGTCATGGCAGCCATAATTGCAGAGAGCTCCACAAGGGCTTCATCGAACTTCTGTGAGTTCTTGGATGCCTTGACTTGGAATGGGAAAGACTTGCTAAACAGCAACGAGAGGTATTCGGTGTCATCCACCCCGTCAGGTATAATAGAATAGTACGAGGAGACAATATGCGGCATGAAGTCGTAAAGGTAAGGGTCCGGCTCCTTCAGAAACTCTGCCACAATCGCACAGTTCAAGCGGACTTGGTCGCGATAAAGGTCGGATACCGAGCCCGTCGCTCCCCAGTAAGGCGCCAGCCATGCAACGCAGCTCGTGATCAAGCTTTGTCTCTCCGATCCCTTGCTAAAGATCTCTAAACGGGTGTAATGCTGAATCAGAATCAACTTGTACAAGATGAGCATGCCTTTCACATCCTTGCACGAGTCCATGAAGCTGAGAGCCACCATGATGATTTCGTCCTTTGGTAGAACCTTGGACAGCTCCGGTAGCCACGTGTGGTAATGTTGGACCACCAGCGTCTTGCTTCCAACCATAGCGGGGGAGGAATTCTTCATGAGGACTTCAAGCGACTTGAAGATCGCATGAAGATCTCGGTTGAAAGTCGATTGTACCCGAGTGATGCCAATGCCCTCCTCCTTCACCTTCTGCTGCAGCCTGGCGTTGATGATGAATTTGAGAACGTGTCTCCCGACCTTGAATGTCGCCCGAAGACTCCGTGATTGCTGGGGATCCGAATTGGCTTGGAGGAGGCGCGAGTAGCTTCGAATGAGGCAAGGCGTAGCGAAGGGGAAATTGAATTGGGTGTCGGCATAATTATCCACCAGCGGACCTAGGTTGTACCGGCGATCATGAACAATACCAAGCACCGTCACTAGGTTCTTGAAGATTAGGTCTTCGTATTCTTCATTGCCAGCATTCTCAACCAAGATCCCAAACAGTGCGTCGAAGACGCCGCGTAGCTGCTTGACAATTTCGATCTCGGGGACAAAGAGAACCCGCTTCAAAGTGTCCAATACCTCGTCCACCGGTCGCTCCCTCCAATTAAGCAAGCTTAATATCACCTGGTCCTGCGAATACTCGGTGCTACACAAGTGAGTCTCGAGGCGCAAAGTGGCCATTGGTCCGGTAATCGCTTCATCTTTAGCGGATTCGTTCTTGCCAAGTGAGCTCCACGGTAGGGTGAGATAGGCGCCCTTCCCGTTCTCAATGGTCGAGGTATGCTTGTCGTAGGCATGCAGTAACAGTGAATGAGGACCATCGCGCATGAAAGCTTGGTTATCCCAGAGGGGCATCCAAGCGAGAGCAAAGGGAAACTCAGGAGCGTCCGCGATGCTCATAATCAAGTGTGAACCTGGAATCTCTTCGGCGGGAACATTCAGACGGATGGTCTGGTTCCAAGGAATGCCTCGTTGGACTATTGTGGTCCGCCATGCGGTGTGGGCCGTGTTATTGGATGAGGGAAAGATACAGCGTTCAATCCGTGCGCCTGATGATGCTCGCACCTCAAGTGTCAGCTGCAGATTGTTGAATGGCGTGTTCGAAGGTATCGGCACTTGCCCCGCCTGGGGATGTGAAAGGAGTGCTTCTGGGGGGAACGAAGCCTGTGAGATCGATACGTAGATATCGGATCTTGGTTTCGAGGGGGCCTGTGAAAATCCAATTCTCCTGGTCTGGACAACATTGTGCATGATTGTCGGGTTTTGTCGAATCAAGGCGTCCGAGTCAGAGGACACAAAAGGTTGCAAATGGATGTGAAGGCGAGCGGCACGTTGGGATCGCGCATATTTCCCAGTGCGGCTAGGAAGCAGCGTCCGCACCAGTTCGTCGAACCCATCCGTATGACTGTCGCCGTCCTCGCTTCCTTCAGAGGGTGACCAGATATTGATCACTTGCTCGGCGTCTTTATCTTGCCGAAGGATTTGGGAGACCTCCAAGAGACCGACTCCCACTGTGCGAGTCTGAGTGGACTCCTTTGTAGACTGACCAGCCGTTCGATCCCTGCTGCTCGACGTACTCTCTGAAGACTGCGGAGGACCTCGAGGGCTCTCTCTTCCAGGCTCCGCACTCTGGATACCACGCGGCTTTGATGACCACATCATGCTACGACGCGTTTTCAGACTGCCTTTGACGGATTGATTTAGGGCCGGAGATTGTTTGGAAGCGGACGAACTTTCTCGGGACACCGACGGCCTTGGCTGGGAGGAAGCCAACGAGGAGGAAGCGGTTTCTGTCGCCCTAACCGCGACTACTAGGTAGAGGCTTGGTCCACTGGCCGAATCGTCGCCGATATCATTACCGCTCAATTCGGTGAATAGCGTCTTCAGCTTGTTGCTTTGTCCCATACTGGCGAACTTTTCGGGAGACGGGATATAGAGGTGGTATGCTTCGGATAAAGGACTAAGAACACCGGGTTCAGATTGAACACACAGATAAAGGGCGAGGGTCACCGGGCCTGGAGCATTGCCCGAAACGGCATTTATCTCAAGGAGTAGATGGTGAAGCGCAGCCGTATCGGATTGATACGTAGGGCTGCTGTCTAGCATGCTCATCTCTGACTGGAGTTTGGCCAGCTGAATGGCCGAGTCCTCGCCGGTCAGCAAACGGCCTCGTTGCTCGGGATCTCTGACAATGATATCACCGCCTAGCATTTTGTTTCCCTGAACCAGCTTCCAGACCACCTCGTGCCGCAGCGACTCTTTCTCCTGTGCCGTGAGCACGTTGTATAGCAGCTGTCGCCGAGAAAAATCGAGCTCGCTGACAATGCTGGTCATCGCTTCCACCACACTATACTGTCGGCCCAATAACAGCTGATGGAGGTTGGTGGAATGCCATTCTCGAAGGCACGATGCGATCTCGTCGACCAAAGGCTCCGATGAGGAGGTAGGGGTCTCGTCGCCGATCTTTAGCATTGGAACAGGGGCAGCGGGCTTGGGAGCGTTGGGACCCCGAGGAGTCACAGCTACCGGGGTGTGTGAAAGGGAGGTCGATGGTGCGGGACTATTTAGCAGCGAACGAGGGCTGGACTGGCCATTTTCCTCCAATCTCTGTATGAAAATCTGCGACGGTTTGCCCTTCTTCGCGATCACAACATTCGACACCTCACCCGACACCGGATCGTCGTAATGCATCGAGGTCAGACTTTGTCGAATGTCCCCCGCAAAAGCTTCTTCTGCCTGGTCGGCGCTTGAGCGCTCGCCGTTCGTCAACGCTCGTTGTCCATCTGCGTCTCCTAACACCTCACGGATCTCGACACAATTGCGGGGGAAAATGCCAGAGAACACGCGCGCTTCGAGGGTCTGGCCCTTGGTGCTCGTCAAGCCCGCCAGCAGCGACGGCGGAGCGACGAGATACCCGCGACACCATTCTCCATTGACGCCCCCCTGCTCAATTATATACAATTCATCGCCCAGTTCGAGAGGTAAATCGGCCGGCGTCGAGGGTTGGAATGGATAGATGGCGACGGCAAAAGCGATTCGAGGCAGAGGCCTCCAGGGCATATCTGCTATCGAGGCGGCCGTCCAGAGCGCACCCCGCAGCGGTCGTCACGATGGCCGTAAGGAATGGAAGCGGGGACTGGAAAGGAGGGGAAAAGGAAGAGGGGTAAACTGGAATTCACTCCTGATCGAGAAATGGGGCGCTACATGCAGCGGTCGCGTTATCGGCGCTTGAAGAAAGGGAAAGCAGGAATGTGGGCGATTCCCAAAGGGGACTGAATCTGGTAACAAACGAGGGTTGGTCGCTGAGTTGGTATGTTTAAAAGGGGGGTGGGAGGAGGGCCACTAAAAGTCCATCACTAAATCCACCCTTCGTTATTAGCAGATACTCCGTAGTTTAAAGACAGAAAGGTGACTTCGCACGAAAATAATGGTAACCGGGGCAGTTCTCATCAGGGGAGTTGAAGTTGCACGGGAGGGGGAGGGAAAGCATGGGCAAGCTGTCCATCACCACAAGCGATTCTGGATAATTGACTGCTCAATAATATTTTTTTCCCTTTCTTTCACTTGGCCCATTCTCCTGGGCAGCCCAATTTCTTCCCATGGCCCTTTTTGCCCCCTTAGCAGGCAGTGGATGGCCGGGCCTGTGGAGCCCAACCATCAATTGTTCACCTTGGCAGGAACTGTGGAGAATGGGAAACAAAAGAAGGGGGAGGGGGAGAAACACGGACAGAGGGGTGAAAGAGAAGGTGAACGTACCCAATGGAGGTCAATGAGTCCGGGCCAACGGTGAGTGGCACAGGCAAAGGAAAAGAAAGGTAAAACGAGGATGACAGGAGGGAGCTGGACAGGGCGAACATTGAAGAAGGATGGAGAGAGAGTCTGGACTGGGCAGATCGAGAAAATCCAACGAATTCGCGGCGGAGATGGTCCTTAGTGCCTGAGGCTAGTCCCCTGAGGCACCCAATCCTTAATCCCTTAAAGGTTACTATTATTGACTACGAACTAGTTGGTTATTATTATCTATTATTGTTCTCCCGATCAGTGATCACAAAATCGATATACTACTCCTCCTACTAAATATTAGTACACCGAGGTCGATCGAGTCTCCACCAGCTTCAGAGAAGAAGTTGATCCATCAACCCTCACAATCTCCAGTGGACCGGTTTCCAGCGCCTTGGATCTCCGCAGAATCGGTTTCATCTCAGCACGTTGAACTACTGCAGCTGTATTTTCTTTTTCTTTCAATGATCTATCATTCACGGGGTGTGATTCGTGTGTCTTCCCCCCCTGAACCAGACCACTGCATGGATCCCTTCACCTCGACTCCTCGTCATTATTATCTGGCATTAATGATGATTTGGGGCCGCTAATTAGGGTATGTGCGTAACTAACCTAAAGCCTTAAACTGGGATAAGAATAGCGATGGATTTAGGAACTTTTGCATCGGCCCACTACTCGGGCTTCCCACGGTTCTGGTGTTTCAGATGCTGTAGATCCTTAGATTTCGACCTCGTCCCGTCCTTCCTGCTAAAGAAAAGTCCGTCTCATAATTAACGGGATAACTATTAAATCTATGGTACAAGTTACAACGGACAACAAGCGTAAGAACCTGATATAACTCCCCAGATCGTGGTGGACCGGGGCTAGTGACCGGCCGGTCTCGTTGACACGCACCGTCACCATTCTAAAGCAAGGAGATCTCGTCGAGCGAGGAAAACAGATGCAATACATATCCAACCCGAGCGCCCCGATCTATGATCCACCGAATTAAAGAAATGCTCCTTCCGTGCCGTCCCCGGTATACAAGTGCTGAAACAAAAATCGTAGCGGTGGAGGGGGCATGGCAAGATGACAATGATACAAGGATATGCAGAGATAAGAAAAGGGGAAGAAATGGAGAAAGAATATAAGAAAGAAAAGAGAAGAGAAAGACACCGCTGGATCCCAACTACTTCCTAAACATCGTCATCACGTCCTCCTTGTTCCATTCCAGGTCCAACTGTCCCTCGTACACCGCAGTGAGAACCCGTCGAGTGCGGTCGTGCGCCTCCTGGTAGCGGCCCTCGCATGCCCGGATCACCTTCAGCACCAGGCTTCGGCTGAGTCCGGGATCGTCGGCATCTCCAAAGTGCTTCTCGACTCGTTTCTTAAGCAATTCAATCCCTCGCCGAACCTCCTTGATATCGTACGTCCCCAGCACCTTCTTTGCCACCGACCGGGAGTGGCTGGGACGGCTGGCAATGCCCGTTCGGTCACTGCTCGCCGCCATTAACCCTTCTGCAGACTCCACAAACTCCAGCAGCTTGCCCAAGGGTCGGTGGATGACTGAGTCCAGGTAAAGCTTCATGTGTTCCTGGAAATCTTGATACGCCCGGTCGCGCCATTTTTCTAGCACGGTGAGCCCTCGGACATCCACCTCCTCGATGTAGTGGTTCATGTTTTCGATCAGAAGGATGTGATAATTGAGAATCTCTTTATCCTCCGGGTCGCCTGACGCGGCGGTGGCTCCGGTAGGTTGCCCAGGTGCCTCCTTGGCGATGAACTTCAGTGACTCCCACATAGCCTGGTTGATCCGATTGTAGGCCTCGTTGACACTGATTCGGACATCGCAGAGCTCCGGTGTCGGTTGGGAGAGCATGTTCTCCACGGCCACCGAGAAATGGGGAAAGACGCGCATAAACGAAATGACTCCCTTCCGCTTATTTATCTTGACCTTGGTGTCTTCGATGCCCCGAATCTGCTCATCCACAAAACGGTTGAATAGACCGATCAGGCGGGAGTGTAGTTTCTGAAGAGAATGGATGATAAAGTCTTGATTGGTCTCGTCAAATCTCGATATAGCTCTCTCCAGAGCGAACAAGATGCCAATTCCCTGTCTGTACATGGAAGTTAGCTTAATGAGATTAAATCAAACTTTTGAGACATGGAAACTTACAAAGGATCGGCATGAAGAGCCCAATCCACCAGGTTTTGCATATCAGTTGGCCAGAATGCAAAAAGCTCGTCCATGATCTGTTCGACCTTCTTTGCCATTCCTCGATCGGGATCGTGCGATTGGTTTGCGCTGAAATCCGGCAGGCGACGCATGTCGGGACTCGCAGACGCAACCAGATCAGGGAAGTCGACACTCGAGAGAGAGCTTAAGTGGAAGTAGTGAAGAATAAAGTTTTGCTCCTCCGAAATCATTTTCAGAGTCTCATGCAGCGTACCACCGAAAACCTCGCAAGGTTCAAGCCTGCCGTGTTGCTTATCGCCATATGAGAGTCGCGCACCCGGCGCGGCCTTCGTGGTTTTGCCCCTCCTGACGGTCAGTTTGCGGGCTGCCATTGTGATACCCTCATTCTCCTTCTCCTTTTCTTGATGAGTAAACAGGAGCTCCTGTTCCTCCCCGGTGGGCTTTCTCGCCGCCCGTTTCCATGCCAGGCTATTGTCCCTGAATTCGTTCTGGTACGGGAGTCTCGCCTGCTGCTCATATAGGGAGATAAGAGCGTGCCATTCCGACCCGCTGATTTCTCTTGTAAAAAGCATTAAAGCGCTATACGGCCATAGCTCCCTTCGGAAATAGTTTCTGGCCTCGCTGTCGAGCATCCGAGGATCCTTAGAGGTATTCGCTGCAGCGTCAACCCTCTTCTGTTCAGCCACCTTGTAGGCAATGGCCATGAATTGCTTGAGCCTTTGCATAAAGGTGTGCGACTGGAAACGGTATTCTTCTTTCTTTTCTTTGATCGCACGCATCTGTCCAATTTCTGTGTCGGCATACACACCCACACTGCCCTCGCCTGCGCTGTCAACGAGACGCCTCTTATTTTGCCAGATGTTGGAATCAATCATAAGCATGGCTTTGTACAACGTGGATAACGCGATCTCGGTGTCTCTCAATCCGTCTGGGTTGCTGAGAGACGCCTCCTTCAATGACCGCAGATCGGTCGAAGAGATGGACAAGGTCTTCAATAGATTTTGCAACTCATTGTGGAGAAGTTTCTGGTTAGCGGTTTGCACCTGCAATCCCTGAGATTGCGTCTCTATGTATGCCACATCGTCGTGAAGGGTCTGCTCCGAAATTAGCAAGAAATTCGACGGGAAATCCCCTTAAAGACAGGGCATAATATGGGAGTTCGGGGGTCGGCTTACGTTGAGTTCGTGCGAATACAGAGTAAGAAGATTGTCCAGCTCTTCACACTCTTCAACAGTCCTGTCAATCAATCTAGCAAGCTGGTCAACCTTACCCTCCTGCTGTTCAAGGTTACCAAGCCAGCTGGTAGCCTCTACGCGTCCGATTTCACGACGGATATCCGCCTCGAGATCCTCAATCTTCTTCTCATCGTTCAAGCGCCCGTTCCAACCGAGGTCGGTCAAGATATCATCGAAATCGACCCCACGACCGTCAAGGACACTGGCCTCAATGCCAAGTGCTTGGCAATATTTGATAGTGTTGTCTTCGTGGCGTCTGCGACGGCGATCGTGGGGTGAAGGAGACACCGACCTGGCCCGTTCATCAACATCCACCTTAACAGCAGCTCTGGAGGTGTCTCTGGGTTCTTCCGGAATTTCCAACACCGGCACAGCAGGGGACTCATCTGCGACGGGCTGGGTCACTTCCACAGTTGGTGGTTCCTTTGCCGGAGATGCGGTCGGTGACAGCATTGTGGGAACCGGGGGAGGAGTCTCTTGCTCCGGCGTCTCGGGTGCGGCCGCATTCTCAGATTCTTGATTCGACCGGAGAAATGGAGCAGGTACCACGCCAGTGATTCCATCGGGCTCGCTCATTTCGGCTTTTTGCTTCTTTGCCGCCGCCATTAGCCTCTGACCAGCGCCTCCTGGTCTCGGTTTGAAAGGAGTCTGGGTTGTCACGGGCTTGCGAAGCGCCCCTACCACGTCCTTGCTTTGCTTCTTCTTGATCATAGGGCCAAGACCGGGTCGATGGGCATCTAGAGCGCCATCTCCGGAGGGCGAGGATGGCTCAGGCGGGCTTGAAATGGGAGATACAGGAACATTGCTTGGCGTGGGTTCGGTGGGTTCTGGTTCTTTAGCGTTATCTGGAGTCGCAGCATCGACTGGGTCAGCCGTGGCTGGGTTATTACTAGCTCCGGATGAAGCAGGCTTCAATGCAGGCGGCACTGCTGCCGCAACTACTGCAGGGGGCAAATCATATGAGAATTCCGAGCCGTCGTTATCCCGAGGCTCTGATTGCGTCTCCAGAAGAGGCAGCCTAGGGGGTCCCTCGGGACGTCCTCGGTGACTTCCCGGGCTATGAGTGGCTTTCTGGCTTTCAGCAGCGGGTGTCTTGGGGGTGGTTGGCCGGAGACTGTCCTTATTACGTCCGGGATCCGGGGAGCTTGAGCTCGAATCATGCGAGCGAAACATGGTTCTCGGTTCAGGCAAAGGCATTTGATCACGGGACGACGGGGGCCGAGAGTCTGGCTGAGAAGCGACTGATTTGCTTTCCTCGAAATCTCCGCTGGGTCTTTCCCGTGGACCCGTAGGTGATGCGGCTAGTAAGCTACCCGGGATCTCTTTGCCCCTCGCCGATTCAGGAGGTAGATGCATAGGGGCCTTTGGCATTTTATTCTCAGGGGCCATACGGTCGGCTGACCGAGGTGGTGGCTGGCTCCGTTGGTCAACGGGAAACGGTGGCGGCGGTGGGTGCTGGGACGGCGCAAACGGCGAAGGACCACTTCTCCCAGAATTGCCGGTAGAAGGTCTGGTCATTTGCTCTCGACTTCTCTGGGCTCGTAAAGACTGTTCTTCGGAGGGCAGCCGACGGGGACCGTCTCGGCTTTGTGCGCGACTTGAGTAAGGTGACTGAGGCCGACCGCCCTGCGGTGAAACCGGACGCGGTGGTGGAATGGTCACCTCAGGGCGCTCAGGGCGCTCAGGGCGCGCAGGACCGGGGCCTCTTGCGTTTGAACTCATAGGCGGTGTTCCCGAAGGCGATGATCCGGAAAGTAATTGTCGCTCACGATCATCGAAGCCTATGAGGTTCGGCACTTTGCCTCCGGTATACTTTCTGTAGATCTTTACCAGACTACCGATGAAGAACTCCTTCTCCTTGGAGGTCCTCGCATGCCAATAATAAGGCTTTCCGACATTAACCAAAAATCCCACATTCGTTGCCCATTGTTTATATTGCTGTTCCATCGGGGATGTTGGTGACCATGCACTGTACGATTGAATTGACGTCAGGTCGTCAAGCATCCACGTCTTGCCTATGGAAAATGTTCCGTCGTTGTTTTCCCTAGCCTTATGCATGCGCACCCGCCCGGACCTTCTCACTGCAACAATGATCACTCGTGGCTTCTTATTCTCCGGGGGGGAAGTTGGCGGAGCGGGGGTGGACGGGTAGGCAGCATCTTCCGAGATGCGAACATGTGTTATGTAGGATTCAACCACTGCGGGGAGTGAAGAGAGAGAAGTTAGCTGACAGTTCTTCCAGACCCAATGCGCTTTCCAAAGTCCGTTTCCTTCTCCCTTCAAAGTCTAGGGCGGCCATAGCTTAGCGCGTAGCCGACGGCAAGACATAATATAATAGCCTGACCACCCTTACTACGGACATTGAAGACAGACGTGACAATTGCTAGGAGAACGTCCAGAGCGCGCGCGGAGAGGCAAATCACATACATGACCCATCATTGTCTTTCCTGGCGAAGCAACTTTGAATGATTCGTTTCTTCTCGTCTTCGAACTTCTCGGCCCTCGACATAGCGGCGTCACCGGGAGCAGGCATCCCCCCGTTGCGGCCATCGCCGCCTCGACGCGGATCTCTCTGAGGGGGTGGTAGATCGCCTGGCGGAGGGCCCCTTGGACGATCGCGGCCGTTCATCATTGTTTCTCAGTTTCCAGAAGCCGGGATCACTCAGGAGGGCTAAATGGACATGATCGGGCGAGGCGAAGGGAATACAACAGCGCGTTGTACTCGAGAAGGAGACGACGTCGGCGGGTCGGTCCTCGCAGGAGACGGTGCTTGAGAAAGATATTCTGCCGAATTGTCGACCAGAGCGAAAGGAGCGATTGATATGCCGGCGCTCGGAAGTTGGAGTCGACGGAGGAATGAGGAGCAAATCGTAGGTCGAAGGGAGTGGAATTAGCTCATCACCTCAGCCAGTGGGTGGGACTAACAAGATGGAGGGCGGAGAGCTCGTGGCCGTTACAGTCAGACAGACAGACTGGCAGTACCGACTGACATTTATGTGGAATGGAGGTTAGGCGGTGAGGTCCTCGATCCCTAGACTATTGATCCGAAATATACAATAAATCTTATTTATCACTATAGGTAGTAACTATATTTAGATAATCTGTACACTACATGTCAACCCTCCAGGGGCACGCAGGCATTCAATACGCCGTGTTTGAATCCGTCAATACGCCGTACCTCCAGATCACGGGGGGTCCACGTGAGTCCCCATCACCGAGTCCTGCGTCTGTCCAATGAGATCACCCAATTTCCCTGACCGCCTTTTCCACTTTTTTTTCTGCTATCTTTTTTTTTTTTTTTTTTCTACTTCGCCTTCTCAATCCAGGTGAACCAACACTTCTCACGACATTCACACTCTCACCTCGGGAATTGCTCACATATCTGTCACCATGGCCGTACGAAAGGAAAAGAAGGTACTGAGGACCCGGTATTCAAATATTTTGATGCCAGTGTCACTAACGATCACTCCTAATCCAACAGGTGAAAAATGCGGAGTCTCCTCCCGCTCAACTGATCGCCTCGGTCGGTGCCTTTCTGACCGAATTTGGATTCTCGAAAACAAGTACCGCCTTCACGAAGGAACAGGCTGCTAAGTCCGTCAAATCTTCGAGCGACGCGAAGGATGTACCTTCATTGTTGGAGATCTTCCAGAACTGGGAGCACCAGACCGGAAAGTCTTCCTCCAGCTCCAGCGATTCGGACAGCTCGAGCAGCGACGAGAGTGATAGCAGCTCCAGCGAGTCTGACGTCGAAATGAACGATGCGCCCAAATCTCAGTCCAAGAAATCCGCCAAGAGCTCGTCTTCGTCGTCTTCGTCGTCTTCTTCGTCCTCGGGCTCCGAGAGTGATGCCGACGACGAGGATGAGAATGAGGCAGCCCCTACGCCTTCCACTGCTTCCAAGCAGCAAGGAACCAAGCGCAAGGCCGAATCCGATTCCTCTTCGTCCGAGTCCGACTCTGAGGAGGCCCCTAAGACCAAGAAAACCAAGGTTTCGTCTTCCGGATCGTCATCCGATTCGTCTTCCAGCAGCGAGAGCGACTCCTCCAACTCTTCTTCTTCTGACTCGTCTTCTGACTCCGACTCCTCGGATTCCTCGTCTTCTGATTCTTCGTCCGATTCTTCTTCCGATTCTTCTTCCGATTCTTCCTCCGAATCCGAAGATGACAAGAAGGTCCTGAAAAAGGCGGCCAAGACACCACTTCCCCCTTCGGATTCGAGCTCCAGCGGATCCAGCGATGACTCTTCCTCCGACTCGTCCTCCGGCTCGAACAAGAAGGTCAAGGCTACATCCAGTGACACCAGCGGAACCCTCGACAACTCCGACAAGCCTGCTCCGGCTCAACAGACCAGCTCGTCGAGCGCCAGCCCTGCTCCTGGAAATGGCCCGGCCCCGAGAAAGCATACCGGTGCCCGTCCCACCCCGCTGGCGTTGCTCAGTGAACAGCCTTACGACCACCATCCCTCCAACACCTACGTGCCTTACGCGTACGCCGAGAATGCCTACAACGACTTGATCGTCACCCGTGGCAAGGGCTTCACGAAGGAGAAGAACAAGAAGAAGCGCGGTTCGTACCGTGGAGGGCCGATTGATATCGGCGGAGGAAAGTCCTTCAAGTTCGATGACTAAAAACCTTTTTTCATCGCGTTCAAGCTCGTCCATTTGGTTTAATTAATGAGGTGTCATTTTCTCTCTTGTTGAATTCTTTTTTACTGGTTGTGTTATCTTGCGCATTCTTTTTTAAACTTCCTTATTTCCTTAAAAGAAAAGTTTAATCCCAAACAAATTAGATCTAGATCTGCGCGTTTAGGTCTTTCTTCCTGATTTCGCTTCGAAAGCAAGGCGCTTATGGAGCTTGGGTCGACTTGAATTTGTTCTACACTTAGAGAAATAAATAAAGCAACGCAGGCTGTCTGCTCATTTTTCTAAACCGTTCATCTTCGGATGTATTGCATCACCAATTCCTCGGTGCACGTAATTTATATGTCAGTTCCTTAAAACAAAAAGCGCCAGTAGGCTTTCCAAGCCTTCTAAAGTTCTAAAATAAGATCAAACCTAACAATTTAAACCCGGAGTCGGCCAGCCATGTCCGCGCAAATGAGATAACCTCAAATCAAAGACATATTCCAATCGCCAAAACCCTGGGTATCACAGATCAAAACGAAACACGAACAAGCACAATCGCAAAACTTTTTTTCTCTAATCCCGACGTCTCCAAGAGCCGGTCTCCACGTGCGTCCAGCGACGATCCCATCCCGTAGCCGACTCGTTCGCGACGTCGTCATCTCCGACATCTCTAAAGGACTGCTGGGTGCGCAGCGGCGGGAAATGTGTGGTGTTTTTGGGGTCCGGGCGCTCGTAGCCCGAGAGATTCAGGACGTGGTCGGAGGTGGCGGGGTTGTTTTCGACACTCAGATCGAGGTCGATAAGTTCCTGATACCAGGACTGACGGGGACCCGTGAGGTCGTCCGTGGAAACGAAGTCCAGCCGCACGACTGCGTTCTCGATGCCGGCGTAGATGGTCGGTGAGAGCAGGGAGGGAGAAGACATGTTGTAGATTGGTCCGCGATAATTTCGGCTTGCGCGCCCGCGAGCACGGCCTGGATTTGAGAACCCTTGTGCGTGTGGGGGTGGGTAGGAGAGGAACATGGTGAGGTCTAGATGAGGGAATTTGGCGCCTTTGGTGGGATTTTTGTTGGGAGGTTGTTGGTTAGGGGCACTCAGAACAGAACCTCTGGCCTCGAGGGAGTCATAAGTTCTGGGCATGCGCAGATCGAAGATCTTAAGGACAGCATCACCCCCCGCACCGACGACGAACTTATCCTGGGTGAAAGGATGAATGCAATAAACCGGGTTCGAGTCGGTGATATCTCGATATGCCGCCTCATACGCTCTATCTGAGCGGAGGTCATGAAGCCTGCACATTCGACACAACTCAGTAAACGATAGGACGAAGAACAGGAAGCTCGATCGAGGGAACTTACCGGACCACATTGTCGCCCCAGGAAGAAAGAAAGGTGTCGCTTTCGGTGCCTCCGAAGAACGGCACATTCAACGGTGCAATGGCACTGACACTGGTCTTTGGAGCGAGGGCAGCCTGGTCGTCAAGATGCAGGTCATCCACACCGATATAACGGCCAGGTGTCACAGTTTGAGAAGTAATAGTAGAAATCACGAGCGCGTCGTCAAGTCGTCCAGTGGCCACTGCAAAGCGGTCCGATGACAGAAAGCGTGAACACTTGTTACGTGCAACATTCTCTTCTTCAATAGAGATGGCAGCGAATGGCTTCACAATTTCCTCCTGAGACGTAGTTAGAAAGAATCCGATGGTACCGTCAAGGTAGTGTGCCGCAAGAACCGATTCCGGCCCATCGCTCAAGTCGATATGTTGGATCCCGGCAGTGTTCGTCAGGAATCTCTGCTTGACTTCGAGTGATCCGTCACCAGGGGCGATTGCTATGTGGACGAGGTCTCCACGCATACGACCGAAAATCAAATGTTCCTTATTGGCCTCTTTGGCATAGTGACCAGGCTTCAAAAGATGCAACCCGCAGATATCGTCGTGGCTGCTGGTGTTCTCCAAATCATTGAATACAAACAATTTCTCATCTCTGTCGGGCCCGAACTGTTTGATACCTACGGCCACCTCGTGGGCAGCACCCCAGGCCACAGTTTCCTGTCGATTCTCCCATCTGTCACCATTCCATACTTCGTAGCAATCAACAGTAGGGCAATAACCATGAGTGGGGTTGTCCTGTCTAATGGACTGATGAGTCCCGATTCTCGCCAGACCGGCGGAAGGCAATACAAATCGACCGATGGCAGCATTTCGATCCACGGCACGAGAGCGGGAGGTCAAGGCCTGAGTCACATCCTTCCAGAACGGAGGAGTATCAATGCCAGGAAAGCGGTGTTGAATAAAAGCGCGGAAAATGCGCCAATCCTCGGTGGAGAAGATGCCATGCAGGCGTCGACAGGTTTGAGAAAGATTCACCAGAGCACTTGCAGTGGGCAAGAAACTGGCAATAACATATACTATCTCAGCTGGGAGAAGAGATAGCATTTTCAGAGCTCAGGATATGTTGACGGACTCTATCATGTGTAGAGAAGGTGAAATGTATAAAGAGCAATGCAAGCTTTTAAGATGACGTGAGAAAAAGAAACGATGTGCAGTTTCTTGGGAATGTTGGGAGCTGGAGATGGAAGTCGACACCACAGCTCTAGGATTCATGAATAAACAAAGAAGTAAATACAACAAGGCGTGAAGAAGTGCCTGTTGAAGTTGCCGCGACAATCTAGGGCACTGTGGGATGATCGCAACGTTAAGCCCTGTAACGATGCGATTGACGACTCAGCAGCCCCATAGTCTGATCCTTCACACTCCCAAATGGTAAGCAAGGCTCGGGTAGAATGACTCAGAGGACACAGAGTCACCTCTGCAAGAGATTGGCCACTGGTTTGTCTTGAAAACTGCACCAGAAAGGAGGAAGATGGCTTCAATATCCAATCTCCAAACTCTCAGCGACAAAAGCCGAACGGTGGCCGGGAATTATGTCATCGGGCCCTTATCGCTTAACCAACAAACGATCTCAGTTCAGATGGATCTCGGATCGTCTTTGCGTCGATTTACACCTATGACCAACTTGCTATTGACCATTACTAAAGTGGATCGGCCATCTTTGACACTTTTCTTTCCTTTGCGGGGGAGTTGTTCTCCTAATGGCAGGTCCAACCTATCGGAAGGTTTTATCGAACCGAACCACGACCCAGACTGGGGGAATTAGCGGTGTCCCCCCATGATAGATAAGGTCCTCAGTGCCTCGTGCGTGATTCTTGAAAGAAAACTCAAAAACTTGACCTGAGGAGCGACCATCATGGCGCTGTCCCCGGTGACCGCTATAGCGAGCGCCTCCCTAGCCCTCTTCCTGCTCTACAAGTACATCTTGCATCCGGCCTTTCTGTCTTCATTGTCGAAAATACCGAATGCCCATTGGACAGCCCCGATCTCCCCGTTGTGGATGCTGTGGAAACGATTCCAGAGCAAGAACAACCGGACGATTCAAGCGGCCCATGAGAGGCTGGGACCGATCGTCAGGTTGTCCCCCTCGGAGATATCGATCAACTGTGTGGAAGACGGCATCAAGACCGTCTACTCGGGCGGTTTTGAAAAACATGAATGGTATCCGCGGGTCTTTGGATCCCTTGGGTAAGAGATGTCCCACTCGAGCTTGGTACTTCTGGCGAGGATCACGAAATAGTACGAAGAACTGACGCCTATACAGAACAGTCAGTATGTTCACCATGACTGGAAGCAAGGTTCATTCGACTCGAAAGAGGATGTTGTCGAATATCTATAGCAAATCGTACTTGCAGTCATCGCCTCACATGCGTCTGATATCCGAAACCATCATCTTTGACAGATTCCTGCCCATAATCCAGGAAGCTGTGGCGGCCAAGACGCCTATTGAAATGCATGATCTTAACCAGGGCGTCACTATGGATTTTGTGTCGGCGTATCTATTTGGCTTGGCCAACGGGACCAACTTCCTTCAGGATCCAGCTTACCGAAAGAACCTACTGTCGCTCTACCACTCCAGAAAGCAGTTCGAGTTTTATCATCAAGAAGTTCCGAACACCTTGTCCTGGCTCAAGACTTTCGGAATCCGTTTAATCCCTTCATGGTGCGACGAAGCCAATGAGGTTCTCGATGCATGGTGCCTGGGGATGTGTGACAAGGCAGAGCAAAATCTGCAATTGACCGATCTGAACATTGAGCCTGTCGTGTACAAACATCTCAAGCAGGCGATGGCGAAACAATCATCCGGCACAAAGAAAGATCAGGAGAGTTTCGAGCAAGAGCGAATTGATATCGCCTGCGAATTATATGACCAGCTCACAGCCGGCTTTGAGACGAGTGCCGTCGCGTTGACCTATCTCCTATGGGAACTCTCCCAGCATCCCGAGTTGCAGCGAGAACTGCGCGAAGAACTTCTCACCCTAGAACCGGAAATCCTGTATCCTCGACCCTCCGCCTCCGCCGGACTGCCATCGGCCAAGTCCGTTGACTCTTTGCCTCTCCTGGAAGCCATCGTCTCGGAGACCTTGCGCCTTCATGCCCCCATTCCCGGAATTCAGCCGCGAGTAACTCCATCACCTTCTTGTAGTCTGGCCGGATATGAAGATATCCCCGCCAACACGCGAGTCAACGCGCAAGCTTATTCACTCCACCGTAATGCGGAGGTATTCCCTGCTCCCGAAACCTGGCAACCTAAGCGGTGGCTCAAGAGCAGCAACTCATCCTCCGACATCGACGAAATGAAGCGATGGTTCTGGGCCTTTGGCAGTGGCGGCCGGATGTGCGTGGGGAGTAACTTGGCCTTGCAAGGTAAGAGTGACATGTATGATTTTTCTTTCTGTAGGGTTCAGAGCTGACAACGTTATCATTCATCAGAGATTAAATATGTGGTTGCTGCGATTTACACCAACTATAAGACCAGCATCGTCAACGACGACAATATCGAAGCAATTGATGCTTATACGGTCAAGCCTCGAGGGGAGAAGTTAGTCTTGAATTTTGAAGCCGCCTAGTGATCGGTCCGGATTTAAATGATCTTTCTTGCTGCGTTCCAAACTGTATTCGATTTTCCAGAATGAAAAAATTATATTGTTTTCAAGATATAACAAGTAATAATATACAGGATCCAACATATACAAAAAGAGAGCCCCGTCTCATCTCACACAATTCAAGAAACGCACAGCAACCATTTATTCGTAGTTTGCCCTCAAACAGATCAAAAATCCAGAAACTCCGGGTACGCGGTATTTTCTTCGAAACCACCAACTAAGCGGCGAGTAGATAGATAAGGCCCTGGCTAGAACCAGAGACCATCGCCCAGACCATCACCCCTTCAGTATCCCATTCATTGTTTACCTTCGATAACTTGCACACAGACAAACCGACGTCTAGTTCTTCTTCTTCGGTCCAACAACCTTGGGGTACATTCTCATGAGGTGGTAGTTGATAGTGTTTGTGCCGGAGTTCTTCTTTTTCTGTATCGTCCGAAGAGGACCTCGTTAGCATTTGTTCATCTGTGGATCTGAATTTTGGGAGAAGAGCGCGCGGAATCGGTCGCGGATTGGAATAAATTGATTCGATTCGCAGCAAGACACGTACCGGTGCGTCCATGCATTGTCTCAGTTGCTGTTCGAGAGCAAGGCAACCCTCGGAGGTGTAGCCGGAAGAAGCCCAGCAACCTAATCAGGTAGCGAATTGGTTAGCTCTTGAATAAATTCGGATATGGGTCGATGGCACCCGTAAGTGCCGTTGTATGAATTCCTAGCGAGTCGACCGTAATTGAAATCGTCCACCTGAAATCTCAAGGATAATAGACCGGGTATATAGTAAACGTACTCAGCATCGAAGACATCACCGTCATGCAGGGGTTGCCCTCATTCTTGTTCGGATGGCGGATTCGCAGATGAGGGATGGTCTGCAACCGGACGGGGTTGAGTTTGGTCGAGGCACCTTTAGGAGGCATGTTGACGAGATGAAGCCGGGGACGCTGATTCCCTAGCAAATCGAAAGAAAACCCAGAAAAACGAAAGGGAGGGAGGTGATGAGAACCGGCAGCGTCGCAAACCGAGACAGACGAAGGAAGCCAAAAGTTGCCCTTCGGAGGTGAAGGCGCCAAGAAACGTCTCGTCCGGCAAATTTGCCCGCGGAAGTGGCTGACGTAAACATCCGCTGCGGACTCGCCGTTGAGCAACTATACTCGACTTCGTGCTATCGCCACTCTTCCATCCTTGCGACATCCGTCTTCTCTTTGTCGGTTGTTTTAATCCAACTGCTTGGTGGGTCAGCTATGAACCGAAAATATGCGAGTGTTTTCGATGTCAACGGTCTCGTGACATTATATGCACCCAGGAACCATACTCTCGCAAGGCCATTCTCGACCGTGAGTCGGAGGCAGAATGCAAACGCGAAGGCCCAGAATGACAACGAGACCAATCAGTCGCAGGACGAGTCCAATGAAGATGGTGCGATGGCGAGACGGCTGTCTGAGATGACAGAACAAGCCATGTTGGAGGGGGGACGCTCTGCGCGCAAAAACATGCAAGAGGCGGGGTTCTCGGAAGACTTGAAGAAGGAGCTGGAGGAGCGAATTGCTGCCAGCGCCTTTAAGAGTGAGTATGCCACTGCTCATTCCATTGTGGACATGCCGGTAAGCTTCTTTCGTTCCACCGCAACTCTCAAACCGCATAGCCCGATGAATGTGATGCTGATTGATCCCAAAGGAGAGCGCAGGTCAAGGAACTCGCGATATTGCCGGAGCTCAACCGTGGGGCGGATCGGAAAACCTGCACGACGTAACGCTGCGGATGCTGGATAGCTCGAAGAAGCAGCTTCGGACGCCCTACAAAATCCCTCAACCCAATCCCGTCGATATGAGAATCTCCCCTAATCCGAAGAAATCGCCCGGTCTCCGTCTCGCCGAAGCCAAAGAACGTACCTCGACATATACACATAGTCAAAGCCCAGGGGTATCGGATCACGAGCGCGAGGCTATGCGAAAGGAGATGCGGGAACGATTCACCCCGGGTGCACGTCCGATGCCCGTCACGATCCAAGGGTTGACATCGCTTGCGAACGAACGGATAGAGGATGCAATTGCCCGGGGGCAATTCGAAAGGATCAAGCGAGGGAAGGGTATCAACACCGAGACCGATCACAACGCAAACAGCGCCTATATCGATACCACCGAATACTTCATGAATAAGATGATCCAGAAGCAGGAGCTCGTGCCACCATGGATCGAAAAGCAGCAGGAATTGGCGAGGGAGGTTGGCCGATTTCGCGAACGTCTCAGGACGGAGTGGAGACGGCATGCTGCCAGAAAGATTGCCAGCCACGGGGGGTCTCTTGAAGCCCAGATGAGACGTGCGAAAGCGTACGCTGCTGCGGAGGCCCGCCTGGTTGAAAAGGCCAATATCGAGAAGTCGTTCCGGGATTATGCTGGTTCCGAAGCTCCTTCGACAGAGTTGGAACGTAATATTTCTGAAGTCTCCGCCTCGTTGGCCGATGAGGTCCCCAATACTTCGAGGCTAGAGACCTCGAGCACCCCTAATACGCTTCCGCATCTATCGCCATTCCGAGATCCAGCGCATCTTGCAATCGAGCGCTCTTTCTACGAGCTCACAATCAAGAACCTCAATACACTTACCCGTTCATACAATCTACAGGCACCTCCTGTCGCTCAGAAGCCCTACCTGAACTTGGAACGCGAGCTCTCAGCATGCTACGCCGATGTGGCTCCCAGTTTGGCAGAGGAGATCAGGAGAAGGGCGACCGAAAGAGCCCACACGCCCGAGTCAGTGGGCTCCAAAGCCAACGGACTACTTGACTCCCTGAGCACATCTCCCACGGCGAACGTGTACGAGGAGGATCAGGCGAAAGGCTACGGGTTCAAGCAATTTTGGCGGGATATGTTTTCAAAGAAGGAATAGACTTGGAACAGCTGTATATACGGGGTTGGTATGTATATTATGTAAATGCAATTGACGTGTAATGAACAGGCTTTACTCCCATGGAGCGAGGTATGCCGGGAACGGGCTTCTCCCAGAAACAACCGCCTGGACGCCAAACATTGGCAGCTGCCCCATAGTAAAGATAGACTCCTCTCTTGCATCGTGTGTTCTGCTAAAGATAATCACCGCCCAAGCTGTCGGTACGCAAAACTGAAAACGAACGTTCGGGGGAAAGCAACTAAGTTTGTGCCATTTCAAGATCGCCCTCACGCCAAACCGTCTTCCAGTCCTTCCAGAGCGGGATGATCGTTTTCAGTTGAATATACAGTCCCCATGTGAAGATGAGTGAGCATAAGGTGATAAAGAGCGGGCCAAACCAGGCGCGCAGCGACGAAGACGGCCGAAATGTCATGAGGAAGAAAAGACTCAATATTGCGGTTGTCAGACTAACCATCGTGGAGAGCGTTGCGATGGCTGCACGAGAGATATAATATTTGGTTTTTGTCCTATGAGGTTCCATGGCCAAGCTAGTCGGCTCCGGGCGCTGTCGTAGGTAAATCGGTAGACGGAAACTCGCCATGGAGATGGTCGAAAGAGCACCCATGAGGGCTAAGGTGCCGACATCAGAAAGCACACCGGGCTCTTCCCATCCGCCATCGTCATCACCCCCGTTGTCATAACAAGCAGGCGATATCCTGTTGTTGGAGGAAACTTTCTTGCCGGTCCAGACTTTGCGGCCGGTCGGTTCGTCCTTCTTGTCCGCCGAATCTTTCTGATCCGAGAGTCCCTTCTGATCGGTCGGGCTAGTGACAGGAACCGTGACCACGGGTACCGGGTGCTCCGTCGTTGTCGCTGGTATATCTCGCTTCATCGGGATGATGAAATTGTGCCAGGGGACTTTCGGCCATTCGCCGTTCGACCAGCCCGCCTGAGCCATATCGGAGTCCCCAAATGGAAGACGAGAGATGAGCTCGACGTCACCGAACCAGATCTCGTTGATGGCATTGCCGGGTTGGTAGTAATTGTCCGACCGAACGCCATTGACGGCGGAGACGTTTTGGCCCATGACGAGGAGTATAGCGGTACGCAGATAGGGAGGGATTGGCGATAAATGAGCGACTAGACTGGATACATACATGAAAAATAGAAGGATGGGGAGGGTAGCTCCATGGCTGCCTCTCCGAAGGACGACCGTCTCATCGCCGAAGTCTTGCAGCAGGGCGCTCTTTCCCAGGAGGAACGCATCGTGGCTGACCTCAGGCAAGTACCATCAGCCTCAGGCATGCTATACTGGAGTGCCTGGATGGGCCTGAGGCTATCCACGTATATGTAAGCATCCCACGTGCTCTGCGGCCTCCATCCGGGGTTTCCTTTCTTCGTATCTTCCTCTTGTCAAGGATCGAGCATCGAGCATCGAGCATCAATCACAGCATTAGCGGCATTAGTCCACAGCCTCAATATGACAGGAGCTTTGACCCTGCCAGGATTTATTGGCTGTGGTTTCTCACTGAACACTTAGTGACTAGAAGTGGCTACGATGAGATGAAACCAATCACTTCAGATAAGTCCAGGGGGTTTCATGATCGAGAAAAAATAGACTTAATAAATGAAAATTGAAAGTCTTCCGGACTGACCAATTGATTGAAGACTCCATCACTGGCCAAGAAGGAGGATATGTGATGGCTGTGTCGAGCGTGCAGCAGGGCGCTTAAATTGCACCAACGACAGCGCCGCGACGGGCATCACGATCCCCCTCAAACTCAACCGTCTTCATGGCGGTTTCTTCACACTATCACACCCAATCACTTGGCACGGGTCTGTCGGTATATCACCCTGGCCCCTCTTCTTCCGGCATGTGTCACACTCTATCTCTTTTTCGTAAGGGATTTGCGGCCTCATTTGCAATCCCGCGATATGCCTACGGACCCTAGGTACTTAATATCACTCATTGTCTGAGGGTTATTCAGTTACCATGTCCACTCTTACATGCATCGCAATTCTCTTGTTGCCGGCCAGTGCTGCTGCTACCGGCTCAATCTTCCAAGACAATTCGGGTCTCCTGTCGAACTTGCGTCGGGATAACGACCTCTCCGTCAACCCTCCTCTAGATCAGTCTCTCCTGGCCATCCAGGTTGGCGGCATTGTCGGGGCATATGTGATCTTCGTCGCTGTGCTTCTGACGCTACTACTCTTTATAGGACGACGCCTACGCCAGACCGTTCAGTCGTCCAACTTTAGCCTACAGGTAGAAATGATGAAGCCGGCCAAACCGTCCGTCAGTGTCGATCCGAGCCCGGTCACTCCCATCTCTGTCAACCTTCCCAGTCCCAACCGACCGAACAACTTCAGCAGGTCCTGGAGCAGTTTGGCCCGGGGGCCAAGGTCTCATATGTCCGGGAATAGCAGCGTCGCCACCATCGACGAGTCGGTGGTCGCGTACGATAGACGTCGGGCGCAGGAGGAGATGGAGATGCTTTACGCCGCCGTGTTGGAGCACGACGAGCAGAAAGCCGCCGGGGCAGTGAGCTCGGAGGAAGAGAAGGACGTGCAGTCGCCCGACAGCGCCGTGACGAATCCCTTCACCGACCGTTCGTCACGGATCTCCGAGGGCCCCTCGGCGATTCCGATGAAGTCTCCGACGAGTCCGAGGAGCTCACGCCTGTCCAAGATCTCCTCCCTGTCCCTGTTCAATTCGAACACGAATCCCAATCCCAACCCAGCTCCGCGACCTCCTGCCAGCGCTAGTAAGCTTCGATCTCCGCGGCTGGCCTTTCGAAAGTTACCTATTTCGTCCCCCGTGGGCTCTCCGGATGTGGCTGCTTCTGCCTCGTACGGCGAAGAACAACCGCCGCTGACACCCCGGTTCTACAATCCGCCTCCGCCACCGACGCCCCCGGCCGCCATCGGCCGAACACCTCACGAAAGAGTCTCAGGAGGGGCCAGGGCACCCGTCCCTGCACCGTTGACTCTGTCGACGGTCAGCAGTCACGGGTCCTCCTCGTTGCCCTTCCGAGATGCGTTCCCTCTGCAGAGTGCGCCGGCCACCAAGACCACGGTCTTAGAGCGACCGGAGAAACAGACGGGAGGCCCTCGGACGGGGCTACCGACGCCGTACAGTCCGTACATGCCCTTTACCCCGGTAACCCCCCTCACACCCAGCCGGATTGTCACGAAGCGCCAACGAAAGCGGGAGGTCAAGGAAAACGGGCTACGGGTTCTGAATGAGGATGACATGGTGCGGGATGATGGGGATGTGTGGGGATAAAACCGGGAAAGACAGAAGGAATGACTAGCATTTTGTTAAACAATGAATATACTCCATAACCTTGCGAGAGAGAATGTTTTGCGCACGTAATGGCGATGCCAAGGGGCTCCAGAAGCCATTCCGATGCGCAAGTGGGCGCGGCTCGGCCAATCCGCGGGCGACCGCTCCGCCCGAAGTCTTGACCGTCGTCATCCTTTCCCCTCCCTCTTCCTCTCGCCGCGAGTCAGCGCCGCCCGTCGCTCGTCTTTGCATCCTCTTTGCTTTGTCTTGGTCTCTCCTGCTCCTGGCTTGGCCCCCTCCCGACCTCGATGTCTTCCTTGGCTGGTCCACCCATCTTGGCACGTTGATGATTGACTATTTATTTTATGAATGGACTCGCCGCAACCGGACACCTGTTGCTCCCCCAACTTCTCTCCCGTATCCTTCCACTAATTACACCCTCGTTGAAACCACTTCTATCTAGTCTCATTCGAGGTCAGGAAATTAGATCTTTCACCTCGCAAACCAGCAAAATCCATCGGACGTCCCATCTTCGACCATAATCATACCCTCCCCCCCGTCCACCTTCATCCCCGATGCCGTTGACCATCCTCTCCCAAGCACAGCTCCGCTCGCTGCTGCTCTCCCTCACTCGGGACGAGATCGTCTCCCTACAAACGAATCTAGCCCATGCCCTGCGAGAGTACTCGACGGGCAACCAAGAAAACGGCTGTGCCGCCGCCTACCAACCGCAGAGGACCGCCATCACCCGACGGAATGGCTGCACGACGCTGTTCATGCCCGCCACGACAGGTCGGACACTCGGCATGAAAATGGTCTCCTTGCAGGACGGAGGTGCAGCCGGCTGTGCGGTCGAATCCAAAGGCATCCTCGCCGAGGGCGAGAAGTCGATGACGCGAGCCCGGAGCCAAAGCCATCGAGACTCGGTGTCTTCGCTCTCCTCGGACATGAGTGACCTGTCCGTTTCGTCCCAGGAGAATGGCAGCAGCGGTGCCGGAGGCTCCTCCAGCACTTCCAGCAGCAACTCCCTCCCCTCCGGCTGCGTCAACCAGCAACCCGTGAACACTGGCCTCTCCAACACCATGGGCGCGTGGCCCGCGGCGGGCTCCCGAGACACTTCACCGCAGGGAAGTCTGACGCTGCTGGACGAGGACAGCATGCCGTTCGGACTGATCAACGCGCACGAGCTGACGCCCTTCCGCACCGCCCTGACGGCCACGATGATCTTCAGCAAGCGCAAGCGCGTCCGCACGGTCGTCGTCTTCGGCGCCGGCAAGCAAGCCTACTGGCACATCCGACTGGCGCTGACGCTGCGCGGGTCCGACATCAAACGGGTCTTCATCGTGAACCGCTCCTTTGACCGCGCCGCCGAGCTCCTCCGCGACATCTACTCGCCGGATAACTCGAGCTGGCGCGGCGACGTCAAGTTCTCGGCCCTCAGCACCGACTTCGTCGAATACACCCGCATCATCCATGACGCGCTGCACAAGGCTGACGCCATCTTCTGCTGCACACCGTCCATCGACCCCCTCTTCCCAGCCGAGCTGCTGACCTCCAAAGAGGCCCGGCAAAAAGGTCGCCTGATCAGCGCAATCGGCTCCTACAAACCACACATGACGGAACTCCACCCGGACATCCTCCGCGACGAAGTCGACGTCCACCACTCCTCCCGTCACTTCCACAAGCACATCAAGCGCAGCGGCGTGATCGTCGTCGACAGTCTCGACGCCGCGCTCAAGGAAGCGGGCGAGATCATCCAGGCGGAGATCAAGCCGAAGCAGGTGGTCGAGCTGGGCGAGATCCTGATGGTGCGACAGGACATGCCCCAGGAAGACAACGACAGCAAAAGTCTGAGTGACTGGGTGCAGCGCGGGAATGTCATCTTCAAGAGCGTGGGAATGGGCTTGATGGATCTCGTCACTGGTGGGGATCTGGTTCGGTTGGCCAGAGAGAGGCAGGTTGGCACCACGGTAGAGGAATTCTAGAGCGTCCTTTTCTTCTTTTCCCTCCTCCTTCCCTCCTTTCCTTTTCATGGTTTCCTTTTCTCATTAATCTTGATCCTTCTCCGATTCTTGGGCTCTTACTTCTTCTTTTTCGCTCTTCTCATTGCCCCATCCTTCGGTGTATTCTAATGACCTATGACTATTGTCTTTTATTCTTATGCAGTTCTGAAGTCTAGTGGACTTCTCAATAGATACCTGTCTTATTGTTTTCATTGTCTGCGCTGTTCTATCTTCACGCCTCTCCGGTGTCTATGATATATAATGCGTAGTAGATCTCTAACGTGAGTATATACAACTTCCATCAGAAGGGTATGTAGGTATGTACATGGGTGTAGAAGAACCACACGACCACCATAAGCTCAGACTTGCCTTTTTAGAACGCTTCATCGCCCAACCTCTCGTGTCCACAACACCCCCTCAGGACCACCATCATCCAGAACAGATACTACAATAGTCGCATATGCAATCGCTCCGTGTTGTTCCCCGTGGGGAATCAACGAAGGAGATCCCACTGACCGACTCATCTCTCCCTGCCTCCGACCCCATGTATGCGAAGAACCGGTCCCTTTTATCATCTCCTGGTCCTCCCGCTCCGAATGGATCGGTACAGAGAGGGAGAGATGATAGAGGGCGGTTTGCAGTCGCATATGAGATGGATTGAATGGCATTCGGAGAATGAGGGGCTTATAACGAGGGATGTGCATTGCTGACAAAACATTTGGATTATGAGGAAGAGAGAGAGTTTGCGGTAGGAGAGGAAGGATCTCAGAAGTATCTGATTCCATGTTTTGTCATCATAGCCGGTGGGTTGGTAGAGGTCATGGGGTAATATGTAGGAAAGGTACCCTGAGGGTAGAAAGAAAGGGAAGGGGAAGTGAAGAAGAGTTCATGGGACATAATTTGATTCAGCTGAGAGCATCCGTCCCTTTAACTTTGCTCTTCTCCATTTTGGCGGTCCTGGACCCAAACTGGATGGCGCGCTTCTTTTCGCGAGCTACCTGCTTCATTCCCAGCATGAGCGCTACCAGGCGAAGCGCCTTCTTCTCCGAGTCAAGCCCGGATTCCAGTGAGGTATCCTCTTCGCTTTCTTTGGCCGAGCCGGGAACCCCGAATCCGCACTTCTCCCAAACAGGAGCTTGCGAGACGTACGCCACGAATTCCTCATCCAAGAATGGGAATCGTGCTTCGCGGCCCCAGTGTGCAATAACACGGTTATCACGACCGAGATTTCGCTTACCTAGACGGCCCACATCCAGGTGAATCTCCTCAATGAGTCCTTCGAACCCACTCCGCGCAAACGCCATCCCGTGTCGTGCATAACCTGCAAAAAGCTCGTCGGCCCCCAGACCGGATAGAAGCACGCGAGCGGGCGTCGTATAGGGGATGGGTTCGGGGTGGGTTGGTCGGCTGTCAAATGCTACGCCTTGTCCACGCGAGGCAAAATACAACGCACATGCGATAGACAAGTCCATTTCTGTGTTGTGGGGCCTCATCAGCCGTTTCACAGTGTCACGATGTGCAACCGTTTCCACGTAGGGAATGTCAATCGCCACAAACCGCCAGTTGCGATCGGGGCAGACCTGTTGTAGCTCTTCAAACGCTGCTCGACCGGTGATGCGGTCGGGGCAAATTTCGTACACCGAGACTGCCTTTGCTTCTTTGCCGGCTGCGGCAGCGACCCGGGGGTTTTCGAATGCAACGTTCAGTAGATCGATGGTCTCATCGTGTGGTAGGAGCTCATGGGATATTCTAGCAAGCACAGTGCAGTCGAGGCCTCCGGAAAACAGAACAGCAACTTTCACATTGTTTTCTGTTGTAGCTCCAGGGGGTGCTCTGACGTTCTGGATTCTTAGAGCAAGAGATTGGCGGAGCTTCTGCTCAAGATCGCTGACAGAAGGAGACTCAACACTTAGCTGAGGGGGAACCCCATCTGGGGTAGACATATTCATGGGGGGAATTGGATTCCTCTGTTGTCATGTGAGCATGTTAAGAAAATCAGGCTTTGTAGAACGTATTACCAGATAATGTCCCGTGGACGAGTCGCTATTGTCCCAGGGTATTGTTTGAATGCTTTCAGCTTTGAAAGTAGCATTAGCACCAGTGCTGGCTTCCGGGCCACCTTGGAAGATATTTTGGGTCAAGTCAATCATGTGCATTCCGTCCGTAAGAACCTCCTCGAAGTGAGTAGTGGATGTCCCATCACAAAGACTGCAAATCATGAGAGAGCCCGTCTTGTCACAACCCTGGAGCAAGGAGCGTCTTCCCAGGCAGTCCCTGCTGAAGAATAGCCTAGAGTTGACTGCATCATAGAATACAAAAGCAAAAGGCCCTGAAATACTACCGATGACATCTGCAACATTCTGCACGGTATCACTCGGCGTGGACGCCTCGACAGAGGGCTGTGTAGCCTGCAGTAAGAGGTTGAGAATCACCTCCGTATCGTTGCCCTGGATTGGTTCGCCTGCAATCTTCCAGGCGTCCCCATTCCAACAAAGCACGGACTGGGTGGCGGTGTCGACGAGAGGCTGAGACACGATATGGTCGCCTCTCATGGACAGAACGGTGGAGATGAACGTGATGCAGAGGGAGACCCTTGCATCGGCCTGATCGACGTGCGCATCATGCTGGAATGTGTGGGCTTGAAAGCTGTCTGGACCTCGGTTGCGCAATAAACAACAAGTCTCCTCATTGGGGAATACCGATCCAGATTGACTCAAGGAGAAGAAGATCCCACACATGATCTCCAGCCCTTTGGTTGCCGAATACGACCAGTTGGGGACAAATGCGACGCGACAGAAGGAAGGAAAAGAACGAGGGAGACCGAGGGGGAGAGACGGAGATGGGGACGGATGTCGGCAGAACGATGATCCCGGTAAGGCTGTCATACTCGCTCTTCCCTCCACCTCCCGGGGAATATCTTCGCTCAACTACCACCTGTTCCCTACATCCTGGCTAGATTGCTTTTATAGTTTCGGCAGAGACGCTCGTTGCAAAGCCCGTGACGGTTCAACTTCAATCCGTTCCGCTGGATGGTTCCTCTCACCATGCTCCGTGTTTTCAACTGAATTACCTCTTCGTCCAGCGTATTCTTGTGTTTTTTCTTTAATTATTCAATCTTAGTGACGTGCATGCGGGGATAGCTTATGTCTGCGACAGGAACATCGGATACCCCAGCTTCCGGTGGTCAAGGGGACATTCAACCGACTCATAATGAGGGAATTCAACCGACTCCGCAGGTGACCTCGAACGGCATCGACCCAACGGCCCAGTCGCAGAACAGCCCGCCAGAAACGCTCACCGACCATCGGGATATACGAGAAGGCAGTATGGAGGCACAATCACATGATGGATCACAGGAACCCGTTGCAGAGCCCCGTGGTGGGGGACCAGCACCTGCCGATGTCGATCCTACGGACGCAACACCCAAACCAGAACCACTATCTGGGAGGATGAAGGGACTCTCCATATCCACCGACACATCGTCCCGGGCCTCGTCATCCGGAACCGACAAGCCCCCTCCGCCACCGGAAAAAGATGACGCTTACCTTGCACCCAAACCTCAGTCTACACTGCCTCCCCCGTCGCCAACGAAGCTACCCTCTGAGTTGACGGAGAAGGAACTGCCGGATGTCCCGGGAGGACAAGAGCAAGCGGAGAGTTCTATCAAGAATGAAGGAGGTTTACGAGAGGACGACTCCCAACCGGAGATCCAAAACATTATGGGACAGTTTCAGGATTCCGCAGACGGTGGAGATCAGGAACAGATCATGTCGCCTCGGTTAGAGCTAGCCGAGCAGTTCCTGAGCGGACAAAGCTACTTTCCTCCGCGACAGTCAAGTTTGGATCAGGCGGTGACGGCTGGTGATTGTGCTACTGCACAAGTCCCCAGACCGGCTGAAACTGCTTCGCACGAGAAACCGCCCGCGCCGGTTCCTAGGAACCTGCACAGGACCTCTATCATGGAACAAACGGTATCGTCCCGACGCTCATCCACTTCGACTATTCCTCCGCCGCCCGAACCCGAGCCTGACCAACCGTTCGACTTCCATCGATTCTTGGAGCAGCTGCGACATCGCACGGCGGACCCGGTAGCCAAGTTTCTTCGCTCGTTTCTCCATGAGTTTGGGAAAAGGCAGTGGATGGTTCACGAGCAGGTCAAAATTATCAGCGACTTTCTGGCATTTATCACGAATAAGATGGCTATGTGTGATGTCTGGCGTGACGTGTCGGACAGCGAGTTCGACAACGCCAAGGAAGGAATGGAGAAGCTCGTAATGAACCGACTATATTTCCAGACATTTTCTCCGACTATACCCGCGCCGCCATCTATTCCCAGGAGCGCGAGTAGAAGCAAGCGAAGAGAGCTAGAGCGGCTTCACGGGCCATGGCGCCGTGGCCAGCACCAGGAAGACATCGAGCGGGATGAGGTGTTGGCTCAAAAGATGCGAATCTATCGTTGGGTTAAGGAAGGGCACCTTGACATACCCCCTGTAGGCAATCAGGGCGCTCGGTTTTTGAATCTTGCTCAACAAGGTGAGTCAACCTCAAACCTGCGGTTCAAGGCATCTTGTTTCTCACCCAAACCAGAAATTTCCAAGATCAATGGCTACCGTGCGCCTCGGGACAAGGTTATCTGCATACTGAATTGCTGCAAGGTTATCTTCGGTGAGTAAAAGACTCGGGTGCCAAACGAGGGAGATGGTTATTGATGAATTGGTCAAAAAGGTCTCCTTAAGAATACGAAAAAGGCCGACACATCTGCCGATTCCTTCATACCCCTTTTGATCTACGTGGTGCTACAGGCCAACCCCGAGCACTTGGTTTCTAATATCCAATATATCCTTCGCTTCCGGAACCAAGATAAGCTTTCGGGAGAGGCCGGATATTATCTGTCTTCGCTGGTAAGTTGGGGAGAAGACTGTTATCCTGGGGAGCTGAAAGTTGATTTGAAATGCAGTCCGGGGCCATTCAATTCATCGAAACGCTGGATCGAACCAGCTTGACGGTTAGTGACGACGAATTCGAGCGCAATGTCGAAGCGGCCGTGTCCGCCATTGCCGAGCAGAATCGCAAGACGGAATCTGTCGACCAGAAGAAGAGCTCCGAGCGACCAGCCGAAAGTTCGCAGGCGGCACCGGCGCGAACTTCGACAGACACCCAGCGAGGCCGACGGGAGGCAGCACAATCCAGCGACGAGGATACAGCACCGGTGGCCGGAATCCTGCGCTCGATTCAGAAACCGCTGTCGACCATTGGGAGGATCTTCTCCGACGAACCCGACTCGCCCGTAGAACCACCGACGCAGCCCGCGGCTACTCCGCAACCGGGAGCGCGGCTGAACCCGAACGTGTATCAGCCTCCGCGTAGCAGCGGCGAAGAACGACGATCGAGTGAGCGACTGCGCCAGGCCATGGACGCTCAAGATGTCGCCGCCCACCAGGCCAGTGCCGAGGACGCGGAAGCGCGGAGAATTCAACGGGCGGAGCATACCAACGTAGTGGAGACCTTATCCAACATGTTTCCGAATCTCGACCGCGACGTGATCGATGACGTGGTCAAGATCAAGGAGGGCCGGTGAGTTTTGTCGCCTTGATCGACCATGAGGTGAACCATTACTGACAATGACTGTGTACAGGGTTGGGTTAGCGGTGGATGCATGTCTTGCTCTGAGCGCCGAGTAGATCTCGGTGGTTGGTAATTTCGGTGACAGATGAGATGCGAAGTCTGGGACGTTGCATTAATGGATGCGTCGTGGGTGCAGGAACATATATTGGAAGCTCCGCGGTGGAGTGACATAATAGAAGATGATGAAGTATCAGTATTTTCATTTTAGCGATGTGTTGTCAGTAAGAAAGAGCTAGTTCTATTCACAGCCTATCGGAATCATTTGACCGACAGTTAATACTTGAAAATAAATGGAAGTAACCCTGAGGCCTACTCCGTAGTACGGTACTCCGTTAGGTAGACTCCGACGTGCCTACCGGGACTGACCCCAAAGGAGAGCCCCGGTAGCTGGCCAATCGCCTTCCATTTTCTTGCCTCGCTTAAGCTAGCGTCATATTCATCGCCCCACCCACCCCTATATAAACACCCTCGACCCTCCAACCTTTTACACTTTTTCTTCTTTCTTCTCTTCATACTTACCTTGTTTGGGTGGCTGCGATCAAGAAGGCGGTCCACCACAGATTGGTCCCTGCATTGCACAGCGCGGCGGAACAGTCTGTTCAACGGCCTTCGGGTCATTGACAGGCGTATTCTTTGGCACTTTCCACTTGATGGATACATAACTTTCTTTTCATCGTTTCTTCGCTATATGCGGGGGTATGGAGAAGAGATCGTAAACATGGTAGCCGTAATCACTTAGCTCGTTCAATATCTTTTGTGTGATCCACTCGCAGTGACTCACGGATCGAAGACAGTTGAACGGGAAAGTTGTACCTGAATGACGTTGTATCGCCACTGTAGCTACTTAAACAGGAGTTTGTCCGAGCTGTTGATTTGTGTCTATCTCATCCAACAATCTCTTGCGATCATCTATCTTTCTACCCGTGAATCCCTCTTAGAGTTGATCATCAATCCAAACAAATACATCACTCTCAATTCCTCGGCCTACCAGACCTCAAAATGCCTCACTTCACCAACGAGCCCGAACCTCAACCGAATCCCTCGACGTCGACCACTGCGTCGACTGGCAGCAACGCGGAACATACCAACGCGCCTGAGCACACGGGAGAGCAGCAGCCGCTGAGCAAGGAAGAAGCGGATCGATTGTACGAGGAGCGCATGGAAGAGGAATACGCGAAGAGGGAGGGAGGTGCTTAATTGAACCATCTCTCTCTATCCCTCTCTGTCTCTTTGCCTCTCTGCGACCGGGTGGCGTGGAAGACACAATATGTCCTTGGATGGCTGAGTGATGAGGCAGTGGCGGATATATTTCTGCTACGGTGGGACGGATGAAGGGCGAAGAAATCGATTGTTTATGTGTACGACGTATGGATAGATATGTACTAAATTTATGATAATAAATAAACTCCTCTCTATTATATATACCAAGTCTGTTGTTCTGATCCTGATGGATGGAGGCCTGCGTTGTGGGGTGTGCAGTAGAGAGTAAAGTGAGAAAAAGAAAAAAGAATCATCCATAACCTGAATCGAACCCTCTACCTACCGAGTTACAGGCAGGATAAGTGGATAACTACAAAAACACTGCACCTCGTAGGAGGGTCGGTAAGGAAAAAAAAAAACTGGTAGCTTCTCTTTGATTGAGCGTGTCATCCTTAGTGCAGGGGCCATGCTAATCTTCTCTGTATCGTTTCAAATTGACCAAATGCCCGAAGGCGAAGAGAAGGGCGTTACAATAAAATATATACCAAGTTGCGGGAGGATTTATGGGCGTTGATTGGTTGGGCGGGATTATCGGACAATTAATGTTCCCCGCTCCGGATCCCCCTCTTTTTGTGTGCCTGAAATCTGAATGCCAACGGGTTGTGTGGATGGACGTCAAGGGATTGGTCGAGCAAAGGAATAATCGATGAATGAGTAGGAGTACTAGGTTGGTCGGTGTATGCTAGATAGAGAGGCTATATCAGTCCCCTATTGATTAGTTGAACTGTTGGAGTTTCTTAGAAGCAATGGCCATTGCGGGGGTTCCTCCACGCAAGTCAACAGGATGGAGGTGCGCTGCCTAGAAATGAAGAAGCAGAAAGGCAGAGAAGGAATATGCCTAGTGATTGTGAGAGACAAAGAGAGACGGACGTTTCTCAACAACGATGACGATCAGAATAATCAAGTCAATTCCATGACATGTAAGGGCAGAGACAAAGGATGCATCGGCCAAGCTCCGACGAGGACGCGAAAAGGGCGCTGACCCCACCACGTTAGGGCAGGCAGGTAGGCAGGCAGGCACCAGGGCGCCAGGGCAGGCTTCCATCAGACTCGCCAAGTGCGGCTCAGCGTTTGGCGGTGGGTCTTTCATTTAACTCGTTTTTCTTCTTTTTGGGTGAGACCCTCAGTTCTCATCCCATGGTACTATGGAGTACTAGATCTTTCTATGTCTTTTGAGTATTGTTTACCGTGAAATTCACTCTGTAAGGGCTACCTGCGCAGGTAATGAGATAAGTAATAATATGTACCTATGTAGCCATAACCATGTATCCTTCTAAATGAAGTTCATCGGTCATGCAGATTCAGGGGCTCCGCTGGCAGAAACGTGCCTGGTGCATGTTGTGTAACAGAGTAACAGGAACAGAGGAATGAGGAAATTTCTCCGGACTCTGTACTCCGTGCGTCTGGGGAACCATCAGCTCTCGACAATCGACCTTCAGCCTCCCCCTCCGCCTTGTCCATCATCGCGACAGAGTGCTCCGATGTCTCTAGAAGTGCAAAATCCCTCGTCTAGGTGCGCTCTTCGCCTGCCTTGTTGGCTGCTCTGAGCCTCGAGCAACGCCGCAACAGCCTCGATCGTGGGCTCCACTCCGTTCGACTATCGTCTGACTAGCGCAAATCCAATTTCCGTCCTCCGTGGAGCCCTGTCTCTCTGGAGAGTTTAGAAATCTCACGGTTGGCCTGCAATACGAGCCTCAAGTCCACCTTTTCAAACCTTCTGAGTAATTCCATCGCCGCAATCTGATAACTCCGTCGTCAAGAAGTCCCAAACGGCCCCTGAACGGACCCTGGAGCCAAGACGCACTGTAGTCTTTTCGGCCCCTTGCCGCCTTGATCCTTCATTGGAAGAAGCTAATTGCGATCTAGAATGGCCCCCAAAAGGCTGAGTCGCCCTAGCTTTCTGCCTCCCCGGCGCAGTTCTCCTGGTTCTTGGCTCAGGATGTGACCATCGCTTTCTATTTAAGCCTTATGGATTTCCGCCATCGCGACATGTTGAAATTCTTTTTCTTCTGTGGCCCATTTCTCTCGATAACTTGAGTCTACTCCGTGCCGTCAATCTCACTCGCTATAACTTGTTATCAACAGTCGTTTCAATCCCTCATCATGCAGTACAAGGCTCTCTCTCTGCTCGCCCTGAGCGCCGTTGCTCTGGCTGCCCCGAGCCCCCAGCAGAACACCGAACTCGAGGAAATGCCTGACTACGAGGAGTACGTCTCCTCCGTGGGCGCTGCGTATGTACCTCTTCATCTCTCCATCAAATCCCCTCAAAACTAATCTCCCACCCAGTGCCAGCAAGACCGACCCTGCCGGCTTCGGCGTGCCCACCGACCTTGGCGTCCCCACTTCCGTTCTGGCCGTCCTGGTCACCGCCATGCCCGCTTCGTTCGTAAGCCAGCTGGCCGATCCTTCCGCCGTCTCGCAGCTGGACAAGGACTGGGAGAGCGGCAAGTACCCTGCCTGGTACTCCAGCCTGCCCGGCGACGTCAAGGACTACGTCTCGTCCATGTACGCTGAGTACAGCGATGCCTCAACTCTCCCGACCAACACCGCTTCGGCAACCGACAGCGACAAGAGCACCACCGCTGGCTCCGGCTCCGCGTCCGCCACGGCCACGTCCACCGGCACCTCGGACGCTTCGTCCTCCGCCGCTCAGTCCAGCAGCTCCAAGACCACTGGCTCTCAGACCACCGGATCGAGCTCCGCCTCTGCTAGCTCCTCCGCCGCCGAGACCACCGGCTCTCAGGGCGCGACCTCCGAGGGTGGTGCTCCCGCTCCCACTGGCGCCATGGCCGCCAGCTTTGCCGGTGCCGCGGGTATCCTTGGTCTCGCCTTTGCTCTGTAAATGGATATAACAGGGCCGCGACTTGGGATGTGTGACACTCTCTTCAACCTTTCCCAATTCCGGGAAACTCTTAACCTTCTTTCACCCCTTTTATTAGTACATTGAGTCCTGGCATGGCACGTGCCTGGATATATACCTTTAATGATGTTCCTGTAAATGATTAATGTAGTTAGCTTTTGAATGTGCAACTTGATTCAGACCAACAGAAGGATTCCAGAAGTATGAAGTAAGGATGACGGATTGATCGTCGTGGGTAGGGATTAGGACATGATAGGCGTGGCGTGATCGACTACGTCGATCATGTCAGCTCTGATCGGTGGACCATAGGTCTAAATGTCATGTCATCTTGCGACCTACTCCCCAGAAAGCCGATAGCAGTGAGGATGCTAGAGGATGGATGTCCTATTTCTCCTCAGCAGGGGTCACCTCCACCTAGTGCATAAGCATTGGGCTGTATGCAGGGAGGAGCAAGGCTACGGAGTAGATCAAGTGGACGGCAGATGGAAGACGAGCCAAGCTGCTTGACATCATACAGCCGTTTTGTTTTGTTTTGTTTTGTTTTCTTCTTTCTCTTTCATCGTCATAATCGTCATCTCTGTAGCCTTCGTTGATCGCTCGTCCGAAGAAGCGGCACCTAACAAGCTCAGCCCTAACGTCTAAGGCTGTGCATGAAGTCCACGGACTCGACCTCGTATCCATAAGCCAATCCCCTCAACAATTCCCCTGCTGCCTAGATTCTGGAAACTGTAGACCTGTAGTCTGAACAGATGACACCGACCCCCCGGGGCAAAGTAATACCCCGACGGAGACACAAACTCCAACAGCAAATCCGAACCCCGAGGCCGAGTCGGACAATCTCCCAACCCAGCATGAGTAAGACTGAAACCGACTTACGGCAACCAGCTTCTCGCACGAAGTTTGCTGGTTACCGTAGGGGTTAGTGGTACATGATTAGTGGTTTCCCTAGTGTCTACCTCGGTGTAAGTTCTGCACGACCCAGCATGCCAAAGGGGATGTTGACCACTCAGCTTGTCGACGATGGTCATCAATACCTTGCAGACAGCAGGTAGGGCCCAATCAGGCCGGATGGATTGCTAACCCCGTCGGTGAGCACCACCACAGCGGGTGGAAATGTTGAAAACTCGACGTGCTAAAACCCGAGCTCCATCCATGGAAGGCGTCGATCTCCGATTGCTGACGATTACCGGCGCTGTGATTGGCCTGAGGGGGGAGGGAGCAGGTTTTGCGTAGATTCGGCGACGAATGGATATAAGAAATGGGCATTCTCTCGGTTCTGGAGAGAAGTCAAACTTGGTCAGTGTTGTGCAATTGATCTCTGAAGTGTTGTGCTTCTTTTCTCTCTTCGGTTGTGTTCTCGTGGATTGTTCATCTCTCCGGCCGGTCTAGATTCCTCGGACCTTTCCTTCGGCTGACGTCAGTGTTTGTATACTTCGAATACTTCAATCCTTCGATTCTACAATTATATTTTCCTATCTCCCCATTGCCTTTCTACCTCGAAAGCGACGATCACGAAAAAGCAAAATGGCTCTCCTGTTCCTCAAACAAAAACTTTTTCCTTCCTCCCAACCCAAAAAAACTTCCGGTTCGTTCTTCCGCATCTATCTATACCATAGGTATACTCGATCATACCACCCACTAACCTCCAAACCAGCAAAACCCCTCCTCGCAAATACCTCAAACACCTCCACAGTCTGCGATGACCTCGAATCCCAACGCTCCTACTCGACTTTCAACTCCTCGACCCCCCACCAGCATGTCGACTCCGACGACGACACCGTCTCCAACTCCTCCAGCACCGGCAGCACTCGCTCGCGCATCAACCCGCGCATCATCTCTGACGCCATTCTCGGCCTGTCCGACGGCCTGACGGTGCCGTTTGCCCTGAGCGCGGGACTCTCCGCCCTCGGCGACACGAAAGTCGTTGTACTAGGCGGATTGGCCGAGTTGGCGGCCGGTGCGATCTCCATGGGTCTTGGAGGATATGTTGGCGCGAAGAGTGAAGCGTGCGTTTCCCCCTCCTGCTCCCCTCCACTAGAAAACAGCAAGAAATAAATAAGAACCAAAACACTGACGCCAAAACAGAGAATCCTACGAAGCCACCGTCCGCGAAACCAACGCCCTCATCTCCGCCTCCCCAGCAGAAACCAGCTCCATCGTCCACTCAATCTTCGCCGCCCATAACATCCCCTCAGAGGCTATCGCACAGATCAACGCCTCGCTACACGCCTCACCCGCCAATCTCCGTGACTTCCTCGTCGCCTTCCACCACCGCGAGTCGGCGCCCGACTGCAACCAGGCATGGATCTCCGCGCTGACCCTCGCCCTGGGGTACTTCGTGGGCGGGTTCATTCCGCTGATCCCCTACTTTGTGGTGGATCAGGTCATTGTGGCGCTGTATTTTAGCGTCGCGGTTATGGCCGTAACGTTGTTGGTGTTTGGTTACATCAAGACGGGCGTTGTGAGGGGGTGGGCTGGGAGTAAGAATATCCTGGCCGGGCTCTGGGGCGGCGTGCAGATGGTCTTTGTCGGTGGTGTTGCGGCGGGGGCGGCCATTGCGCTGGTGAGGGTGATTGGGGCATAGTCTGGAGGGAAGATGAAGATGGAGATGGGGAGTGTACGATATGGATCTGATTGAACATGACATGGGCATAATGATAGACAAGCGCGGCGTTTGGGGGATTTAAAATCGGGATTAATTTTTTTGTCTTTGCATTGCATTGCATTGCGCTGCATACCACATACCTACCTAGGTATCTTCATCTACTACTTACATAGTTAGATAGTCACAATAATAACACTCACTCCGACCTCACCTCACCATTCCAAACCAAGAACCATGTACACACATCAATCTAATTCCCCGCGACAGCCCTCCCCACCAACTCCCTCACCCCCTGATCCTCAATCTCAACCTGCAACGCCAACTCCCTCCCCCGCTCCGACATCTTCGCCCACGTCTTCCTCAAAATCCCCAACATCTTCTCCTCGCCATACTCCTTCCCTTTCTCCCCCGCAAACCCCTCCAACTGATCATCCAAAAACACAAGACACGCCACATCCTCCAGAACCTGCGTCTCCGGATCCGCATCGGCCCCCTTCAAATCCTCCTTGCGCACTAACGCCGCGACCCGCGCCGCAGAGGACTCATTATACCCAGCCTCGAGACAGATCTGTTCCGCTATCGACGCCTGATGACGTTGGAGAGAAGTTCGCCAGGCATGATAGCCCCCTTTCGTCATGGGATACGTATTCCGGGGAATTTCCCAGCGACGAAGATGTTGGGCGCGGATGGCCAGGGAGAGGGGTTCAGATGGAAGAGTGGATGAGGGACCAGATGTGTGAAGAGTGAGATAGTGAGTCATTTGTTGGGCGTAGTGCAGTTCGTAGGGGATTGTTTCTTCTCCTTCTTTTTCTTCTGTAGGTTGGTTTTGGTGCTGCGCGGGTTGCTCGGTGGTGGTGGATTTGGGAATGGGTATGCGGCGCGGATCTTGGGCGTGGGCGGCGTCGATGAGGGCCATGGCTTTGGTGAAGGGGGTGGGCATTTTGGAGGGTTTTCTCTAGGGAGGTTCCTGTGCGGGGTGGATTGGGGCGAATTGAATTGAAGTGAATTGAAGAACAGTGGTATTCAGAAGAAACGGAAGTGGGAGGAGGGGGGGGTCTTATCAGATGAAAGATATGAAATGTCCGGCGTCTGAATGGTCGCTGCTTCGGGTATGGTCTAGACACTACCTTACTTCAGTAGCTACCATACATTCATTATATGATCCCTTACACAAGATGATCAAGACGATTCTACTCCGTACTCTAATGCACATTCAAATGTCAATTCGACTTCTAATAGTATATCACATCATCCTTCGCCTGTACTGTAGTCCCGTCAAGAAATACAAATCCTGGCCGAGCCTCGCACGCACTCGGTTTTCCATCGCAAGCTTCGAGTATAAAATAACAATCAATCCATGAACATTACAGCTGCGAGATCTCCTCCTGCAAGAAATTGAACGAGACGAATGAAAACAAGACAACAAAAACAAACCCATCAACTGATCACTCCGCTGAACGCCGCCCATTGGATGAAGCCGGGTATATCCAGCACCGTAATGCAAAAAAGAACGAAAAAAGTCAGGAGAAAAAAAATATACGGAGAATAACAAGTGAAGGCGAGGACGTTAACAAACCAACTGATGAATCGGATCCCAGCATGCCATCATTGATCGTCGTGTCATGCAGCAGGTCCGTAGTGGAGTCCTCATTTTGGATCCTGAAAACCTATGCACGAGGTGAATGGGGTGAACCAAGAAAACAAGATAAAGCAAGCAGATAACAAGGTATAGGGGAATGAGAAAAAGAAGTGATATCTCAAAAAATCAACGCATTAAAAAAACCGGATTCGAAGAATCAATTCTCAAATCTCACGTCTTCCTTTTTTGGTAGTTGGGTTACCTCGCTCCAATCCCGTACATCCCGTAATTTCCTCCTCGATCGGGTAGAGGGGTCGATATTTTGGAAACATGGTCCTTCAAGATGACCGACGCCACAGTCGTCAGCAAGGTAGAACTCTCTTAGAACTCCGGTGAGTGTCCTACCTTCTTCCGCTTTTTCTTGCCCATACCCTCGCTGTTGGAATAGAATGCGCCGTCGTCATCGTCATCCGCATAGCCTTCGCCATATCCAACGTAGCTGTTCTCCCCGTAATGCCTCTTACGGCCTCGACTGGGTCGGGCCCGGTCCGCATCAGAGGCCGTCGCGGCGGTAGGGGTTCCGTTGGGTTGACTAGGAGCTCGAGCATTGTTCGGAAGCGCGCCCGCCTTCTTGCTGCCGCCCTCCCCGCTGCCGGCATGTTTCGATGGTTTCTCATGTCCTAACAAATCCTCCCAGTGGTCATTGTTCGGGATCGGTCCGGGCTCCATGTGCATCGCCTTCATGTGGAGTTTCTGTAGCGCTGAATCCATATCCGCCATTTTAATTTCCTTCCCGTATACCTTCTGGTTTTGCCATTCCTCCTCCGGCCACATCGTTAGATGTCGCAGTGTGCCAGGCGCCCCTGCCGGTTCATGTTTCACCGCTTTGTTTCGTCCGGCCAGGCCGAGCCCCTTGAGCTTTCCTTCATAGGATTTCCTGAGTCTGTTAATCTTTTCGCCTGTTACCGGATCCATTCTTGCCACCGATTTCGCAACCGGACCTAGCCCGTATAGGGAAACCAGATCTAGTGATGGGTCTGGACCAGTCGCAACATGGGCTGCAGAATCGGTAGAGCAAAAGTGTTAACAAAACGTCATCAAAGAAGACAAAAAAACAGAAAAAAAAGGAACAAAGAACTGAAGACACAAAGGGCACGTTCAAATCACAGGAGAACTGCTTCAGTCACACCTGTTGGGGAGCTCTTACAGCTTTTGCAAAGATGATAGGCCGAAGTAAATTCCTTCTGCAAAGAATCTAAGCTGAATATATCCGGGTTGGACGAAGCTGCCGGTTGAGGGTCAATGTCCATAGCACCGTCGCCATGACTCGATAGGTTTGGATCGCCCATGTTGGTAGGATCGCGCATCCCTGGGTCCATCATTGCATCGCCCGGATTCCGATCATGATCAGTCCGTCTATGTTCTGGGTGCCGAGTGGAGGTCGAGGATACCCCGGACTTGTCTGCGTGATCGGGATCGTCGACCGAGGTGGCGCCGGTGAAGTGGCCACTGACGCTGCTCGCGGGCGTTGGGAATGAATTGGTCGCACCTACTGTGGGCTGTTGTGAGGCCTGAGTGGACATCGGAGCAGAGGAAGGAGGTGAGGAGAGGTTCGTAGGTTGAGACGTTGCCTGGCTAGGTGATGCTTGCGAGGATGCGAAATTGGAGGCATAGTTCTGAGCGCCTACCGACATCAACGGAGGGGATGTCGGAGTCTGGGGAGTTGGTTCGGAGGGGATGATCGAGGGCTGGTTCTCCTTGAGAGACCCGGCGGCGGGAGACGATGGTGATGGAGGCTCAAGTCGGAAAGACGCCGAGGCGCGATCAGACATGGGAATGTCTCGAGGGAAGAGACAGAGGCCGGAGAGAGAGGAGGGGGTTTGGCGGAGGGCGAGAGGATGGCCGAAGCCCGAACGACCTTCAAAAAGGGACCCGTGACCTTATAGAAAGGATGTTGACCGAAGAACCGGGGAGTATTTCACGGTCAGGGTGGTGTTCAGGGTTGATTCCAAGGTAGAAGGTCTGGAAGAGGGGGGGAGGCTGGAATTCCGGTCGAGGATCGCTCAGGCGGACGAGCAGGACGTTCCGACCGGTTAAAAGTCACGCATTCCAATGAGTCGAGTTTGAACCACCCTCAAGGGCTGGCGAAGAGGGAGGAAGTAGAGAGGAGAAAGGAAAAAGAGGGCGAAGTGAAAGAGCGGAGGGGGGTTGGTTTGGGGTTGGAACCTGGGAGGAAGCCGGCAGTTCAGAGAGGTGAGTCGTTGGTAGGGTTGGGAATTTGGGGTGAAGAGAGCGCAGGCCTTTGGATCCGCAGAGGCAGAGGAGAAGGGCGGCTTCTTTCGTCGCGGATGACGGCAGCCGACACGTGACCGGCGCTTGGCTTCGCGTTTCGCCGCCCGTACCGTACCGTACGCACGGTATTGTCCCGGTATTTCGCCCCGAAAGACCCTGACTAAGCGCCTCGCCTTCTTTGTATGTAAATAACTGCATCCATGAATGAATGATGCGCATCGTGGATCGCCGCGAACCATGGTTCCCCCCCTTTCAATGGAAGATCCGCGTCGAGTCAATGAACTTAAGTTAAGGTCGTCTTCTGATTAAGTGATTGATCGACCGATCCATCAAGTCATCCCTAAAGCACAATGGTCATGTATTGTAACTATTGAACCCAAGATAAAGCCGCTCAGATCAAGTACTCTCATCAAGCATAAAGGAAAACCAAAGCAAAGCAGACCAAAGCAATGAAAAAACATCCCTTCCAAATGACAAGATACGCTCCAACACCGAATGCAGACGTTGTCTCATAAGCTACCAATCCTAACGGTCCAAGGGTATTATATCCTACCTGGCTCATACGAACCCTTCCCGGTGCATCAAGCCTGGCTGCACCTGGCTACGTTGCTTTCAACACACACAAAAAGAAAACATGAAAGAAAACGCTTAGGTCTGATAAAAGATCCCCGTTTCCCGCATCAGCTGGGCGGAAACGTCGGGAATGTTCTGTTCCAACGAGGCCATCAATTCGATTTGTTCCTGCTGGCTGAGTGTCCGTCCGCGCCAGGACGGAGTGGGCAATGCACCGTTGAAATATTGCGAATATTGATTCCCAATCATGCCCATCCAGTCCATCGGATCCACCTGCGTCTCCACGTATGCTAGATGGCCCGGAGTCGTGGAGCCGAGGGTGAAGTTCGGGTCCCAGCCTTGTACGCGGGGAATGACGGTCGGGAACGGGTTGTGTGGGGTCTCGGGGTCAAATGCCAACCCCGAAAAGGATGCGGTCGCGTCAGTGTATGGCGGAGTGGTGTAGGGAGTAGGCGTGGCGGTGGATGAAGGTGGCATTGGTGGCGCGGATGCTGGCAGAGGTTGGGGTTGTTGAAGCTGAGGCTCCCACAGAGTGTACTGCGGCGCCTTGAGCGATTCGATCGTCGTGGATGATGCGGGGGAAGCTTGCGTGTACGAGTACGCCGGTTCTGCAGAAGGGCCTCTCGATAAGGCGCCCGAGGACAGACTGTCGGGATTCGAGCCCTTACCCGCCCGAGCATTTTGGGAATGGAATGAAGTGGTCGTGCTTGCGGGACTCGAGATTGACGGCGGACTCGTCACGTCTTGAGAGGAGGTGGGGGTAGCATGGTTGGAGGGAGATTGGACAACGAATGATTCTTCGGTAGTGTATGCCTTGAGGCATGCGGTCACAAGATTCTTGTAGAGTAGTAAGGCCGATTCAACGCCCGGCCATCGTTCCGCGGCAAGCACGATACCGTCGAGAGCTATATCAAGATGACGTTGGACTTCCTCAATGGAGTGTTCCTTGCGAATTTCGGGATATGAAAGGGACCACAGAACGGTGTTGAGGGCCATGAATAGCGATTGAGTGAAGATCCACGTCAAATCCACAGATCCCGTCGCAATCTGCTCTCGTTGCATTGCGACGTTGAATATCGACGCTTCGTAGCACCTCCGCGCCGCATATAGCGAGGGCTCAGGTATCTGAGGTGAGGGCCGGAACATAAAAACAATCATCGTATTTCGCCGGCCAAGAAACCTAAAAGTCAAAGTCATTCGTATTAGCTAGCTAGAACGGGAAGTCGACCCTGACGACGTGATTCCGTACCATGTTTCACTAAGACCGCTCCCCCCGTCGTTCTTCGGACAGGAGGCCACCCAGTGATCAAGTTTGTCGAGCATCTGTGAGAACCACGGGTCTTGATCGTCGGTGGGTGTATCGCGTTTGTTTAGGTAGAGAGTCCGTCTGATCTCCGCCTGGAGCAGTCGCATTTTGAAGAAGTGAATCGCGATACATTTGCCGAGTACTGGGGACCCGGGAAGAATACCCTCCGGTGTGATACAGTCATCGTCCACCAGTTCGAAGAACTTAACCCTTCGCATATAATCGTGGTCGACAGAATAGCAACTAGGACGACCAAGGCTGTGAGAGAGGCCGAATTCCATCGACGTGACAATCCAAAAGAGCCTTCTCCGCATGTCAATTTCTAGAGGACTGGGTCTCCGTCCATTGGACGCTTGCGTGATCAAATCCTCGTCGGTCAAACCTAAGTCCTGACATAGTTTGACCGCCATACCGACGACCCAGTAGGCCGCAGTTCTCGTGGGGGTCAGTAGGGAATATTGCCCGATAAGGACTAAGCACTGTAGTGACTTTAGATCCATGCGTTTCAGAGAAGACTCTAAGTAAGGTAGCGCTGCGAGATAATAGCTATCGGCCAGCCCTGCGTAGGTCGGGCCCATCTTCTGCATGCTAATGGCAATGACCATTCGCAACTGGAAATTCTCGCAGGGATCGTCGGAACCGTTAAAGACATTATCTACTTCCTGGCGAAATGTCGGAAGGTGTAACGTAGGAAGCATCGCTTGCGCTATGGTACCGATCAGCTCAAATGATCCTCGGTAGCGACCGGAGACGGGGGCAGAGCACTTACCCTTGACTACAAACACGTCGACAAGTCGGTCGGTCGACTTCCTTGCGGGGAGATTGGGTTGAGGCATCGAACTGATCATGGGATATACTTTGGATGTCGGCTTGGAGCTTTCTTCTTCAAAAGCCAGTTTGATCTCCTGCGCGGTCAGCTCCGGGACGACGTCTTTGATACTCTTCGAATCGGTGTTCTGTTTGGCCATTTCCATGACCAAGCGGGTGATTGCGATGCCACTGGACGGTCCCAAGAACCTTGACTCGTCATTCTCCTTGAACCGAATGCGACCCGCTCCGCGGACCATCAATTCGGCATCCGCGGCATGTTGGAAATCTTTCTCGAGCTCTGCCAGCTCCTTTTCTAGTACGCGGGCTTTTTCGCGAAGGGAAACAATATACGTCCGTGGGATGGTGCATTTCCGCGAGGAATCGAAGTAGACGCATTTGGCATTGCTGCGTTCGCACGGGGCGCATCTTGGGATTCCGGGGTCACATCTAGATTTGCGCTACGGGCCGCCGATGTTAGCAGGATTCGACAAAATTCCGAGTGTGATAAATCGCGCGGAGGGGATCAAAAGGGAATGGGTAGGGATAAATTTAGATCGTAATTCAAGGGGTGGGCGGAGATAGAGGAGACTGGATCCGTACCTGTCTACACCTCGTACAGGCCGTTAACGTGTGCGCGATCCGACCATCCGGGGCATCGTCGGATTGCTGGGATGATCTAGAAGACGGTTTCTTCCACAGATCCATGAATTGGAGGCGTGAGCCCGTTGATTTTAGTTGAGGGTCCATGGTTGTCGGGGTCGGTCGACGGCCCCCAAGTTCAGGGGGGGGGGGGTGTTTTGTCGATGGAGGGGAGTGAAAGGTATCCCCCGCGATCGCGTAAGATTCTTGTCTTTTTTCGAAAGGGCAGGTCAACCGGAGTCAAAGACGGATTAGAGCATCCAAGGCAGTGGACAGTCGGTATGGGATCTGGTGAGACGGGACTTCCGACATGTTCAGAGACCGGCACGACAAAGCCCAGCTGCGAGGAGGCGTTGGCGGTGATACCAGGAAGAGAACATAAGGTGCGCGCACAGGCTCTCGGAGGGTTGCGTTAGGCGGACATCAAATCAGTTGGGCGGATCGACGGCGTTAACGGAGCAGGGTGGATGAAGGGCGACTACCGACTGTCTAAAGGGCAGTAGTTGGGATATAGTTTGGAGGTTAGTGAGTGAGAAATGGGAACAATCGTTAATAGTAGGTTGGGTCTGGAGATTCCTTTCGTAAGGACCAAGGACCAAGGACTAAGGATCGGAGACGAAACGGAGTTGAAATGACAAGGGCATCCTCGGTCCAGTCCCGCCTGGATCGACAAAACGCGCTAAGAGCAGAGGGAATGAATGAATGATGACCAACCCGCACACTGACGACTCGCGATCCCTGCAAGAAGTTCGAGGCCGTCGATCGGTTACCTGCGATCGGCCGGATCTCTATCGTCTCTCCCTCTTGCTCGCGTACCTCGAAAGATGCCTTGCCATTTATCTGTTACATACTCTCGTCTTCTACTTCTATACTCCGGACCGATCGGGGCCAGGGACTGGCCTGATCTGGGAGCGCCGGATGTGGAGAGGATCGGCGTCACGTTACCCTCCCTGGGTTGATGAGTAATCCTTGTTCAGTGTTCACTCTGCCCTGGATTCCTTCCAACTTGGTAATTGGTATGTACTATGTAGGCAGTAGTACCTCATACAGAGGAGTACTGTAGATTTGCCACTGCACCCGAGAGAATTGGTGCTCAGAATGCAGTCCTCCATACTCTGTGCTCCTAATCCAACAGACCAGGAGCTGTGCCAAGACTTGCAATTCCGCCGGAATTTGCTGTGCACTCATCACATGCACAAGTGCCCTGATTGGGATGGGACTTTTTTTTTTCTTGAGTATCTTTCTTTTCTTTTCCAAGATCCTGGTTGCCCCCCAAGATTTGAATTCTTCTCCCCCTCCGACCCACTGGCGAGAGACCAAACTCCCCATGAGAATAATATTAATGAAGAATCATGATTAATGAATGAATGGTGGGGAGGGCAAAGTGGGGGTGCGACGTGAGGGGATCTTACCGTACCGTACCGCTTCCCTCGTAACCCAATTCTGCCTAGCCACCCTCCCTTTCCTCTCTCTCTCTCCCTCCCCTCTTCAGTTCATCTCCCTCTCGCCCAACGGTGCAAACTAAAAAGCCACCCCCCTCGAGTTCTTATTACTCGGTCTCCGTGCAGGTAAACGGCGGGTGCAAATTCATGGTATGGTCGTGGGATCTTTACACTTCCTGTCATTAAATCATCTTGCTTTACTCTACTTACCGGACTTGATCTGACTTTACCCTACTTTATTTTTACCTTTCTTATTTATTGCTGTTTATTTTATTTTATTTTATTTTTTATTTTTTATTTTTATTTTATAATTGGGTTTGAACCCCATTGTCATCCTCTTTTCCTCTCTCGGGAGTCTCTCTCGTCTTTTCCTAGGTCAGCCTTTTTCGGAGTAGTCCCTAGTTATCACCTTAAGATGTCCAGCTAATGTAACATTTAGTCATTTCATCCGCGCCCACTCTGAAATGGCATCCTCTCTACGCCGATAAACCGCCGGGTCCGTGGTCGCATTAAGCCTCTGCAACGACCCCCTACTCGTTATCAGGTGAGTGTACCTGCATTACACGGCTACCGTCAGGGTTGAGATCGACGCATAACCTTCTTGCCCCGGGTTGGCGTCGAAATTGCTCTGATGCTTCGCCTCCTTTCGCGGCCTTTGGTGGCCGGGTCATCTTCCACATGCACCGACTAGTGCTGATCCCGGACGACTCCTCGTCTAGGTCCTGCTAGGTAGAATAATCCCTAGTTTCTATTTTATAGTGCAATACATCCTGAATCGGAAATAACCCTGTTTCCCCACCAATCTGTCGGGTAGGTAGATTCATTTCTACGTTCGGTCGTCCGTATAACTTCCCATAGACGCATCGTGCCCGAGGTTTCTTCGGTTATACTTACTCACTGCCTCGCCAGGTAACATGCACGACCAGCATGTCAACTAATTCATTCTTGGACAAACCGTTGCTCAAAGTCAGCCGACCGGTGGCTGCATGCTCAAGATGTCGAACGGCTAAGATCAAATGTGACGGGAAGCTGCCCGCTTGTTCCGCATGCGAGAGAGTGGGCAAGGCCAACACCTGCTCCGGCGCTAGTGACGAATTTGCAAGAGGGAAAGAGAGAAGCTACGTCGCGTCCTTGGAGGGCTATTGCGAAAGGCTTGAGAGCAGTATTGCAGACCTCCGTCGCCGCAAAGAATCACTATCTACCGACGAGTCGGGGTACGTACGGCAAAGCTCGATAACCTCGCGCTCATCCACCGATACCGTCGGGCACGCGCATCGGAAAGAGGTGTCCGATATCGATGATCTAGTAGGAGACTTTGGCTTCCTGTCAGTGCGACCCATTCTGTGTGCCTCTCGCAAAGAAGGCAACCCCCTCTGACCTTTGGATGCAGATCTGTCAATGCGACGTCTCGGGATTTCAATGGAATCCAATCTAACACGTCCTTTGCCAACCTTCTCCTGTCTCTGTCTGTTGCCGAACCCATACCCAAGCAGTCGACCCAGCTACTCCCCGCACGCCATGAAATCACCTCGCTTTTGCAACATTATTTCGACACTTTCTTCACCCAGTTGCCTTTTTTTGCCGAGACGGGATTTTGGACCTCGGTAGACATTGTCTACCAGGCCGGCGGCCGTTACGCAAAACCCGTCGACCATTGGTTTTTACGAATGGTCTTGGCCATCACGTACGCATCGATATCGTATCAATTTGGCGACCAGAATTACCAAAAAGCCGTGTCCTTGGTCTCTTCGGCGTTGGATTATGCCGAGGACGTCCTGCAACCAGGGTCCATTGCCGGCGTCCAGGCGATACTGCTACTCGCCCAGTATTCTCTGGTCGACCCCAAACATTTTCGGTCCTGGTACCTTGTGGGTATGGCCGGCCGGGTTATGGTTGACTTGGGCTTGCACCAGGATCCACCGTCGGACGTCCCAGTGTCAGACGAACAGTTAGACCTCCGCCGTCGGGTTTGTCATAGCGTCTTTTCCCTGGACAGGTACGTTTGATCCCGGACACCATCCTTCTCCAAGGCTCTAGAACGCTGACGAAGATCCAACAGGGGTGTCAGTACTGCGATGGAGCGGACCTTCTCGTTTTCTGACGACTCGATCAACGTCGCTTTGCCGTCGGCGCCGGGCAGCGGATCCACCGAGCAGAGTCACATCTTTTTACATCGTTCAGAGCCGGCGTGGCATCTGCTTAAAATCCGGCAGATTCTGTCGGCGGCTTATCAGAAGAAATATTTTAACGTATCCGATTCCATCCCGCATTCGATCGCATCTAACTGGACGCTGTTCTCGAGGGCCCGCGAGTGGTTCGACCATACGCCCAAGGTCGTTCCACGCTACTTCCCCATGCTATATAGGTTGGAGTTACTATACACGAACGTGATGATTCTCTCGCCCACCAGTCAATACACGACTCTGTGCGATTATGACAAAGTCCTATTGTTTGATCGATGTCTTCAGTACATCGCCGAACTCCACCGGATTCTGCAGAACGACAGCTGGTTGCCATACATGACCTTCCTCGATATCCAACGAGCATACCAGGTGGGCCGGCGCTTCATCGACCTCGTTGCGCGGGATTTTGACCTCGTTCTGAGCCCGTCCGTGCCGGAGCTACCGCCGCTGCCCTACGAGACGCTTACCCCGCCGATGTTAGAAGTCGATCGCACCATCAACTGTCAGGGCCGGGCCATGGAATGTGTGTTTTTCACCCAGAACATTCTGCAGTTTGGCGTGAGGAAATGGAAGATTACCGGGCTGTTTGACACATTTCAACACCAATCGACGTGGCTTCGGGGGCAGCTTATGCAGCCATCGGTCGCCTACTTGCCGGCGTCTGGAGCCTACGTCTCTGGCCCGTTGCCCGCCGCGGGGCCTGGATATGCCGGGTATTAGCCGTACACATCGTAGAGATCCAAAGGAATCAAAGTCTCGGACTAACAGTCACACTACTCTTGGTTGAGGCGGAACCCGTCATCTTGGTCAGAGACTGGATTTCGGCCCGCATGACGGGATGCTTCTTTTCTAGTGAGGGTGGCATTTGCCCAAGTTGTCTGAGCAGGTCGCTCGTGAAAGGAATTGCGGGGGTAATTTGTTTTGAAGATGTGATATGAGTCGAGTGAATGTGACGAGTAACGGTTAGACAAGGCAGCTACATGGTCCATAAATGCACCGGTGGTGGGCCGGTGGAGGGGGGAAATGGAGGGCCATGTTTAATTTAGTTTCCGTGTCTTGCGGAAACAGGTTCCGGTCAGCCCTACGGAAGACATGCCTTGAAAAAGTGCGAGCATGCACCTACACCAGATCCCATTTTGAGCCGTATCTAGCAGGATGCGAGGGAGATGAAAAAAGATAAAAACATTGAGGCATGTCCTTGCTACGATCAGCGGTGAGAGTAGGTAACAATTGAATGTGTACCCAAGGAAACGCTCGAATGGCGTAGATGAGCAGGAGGATCAAGGAAAATCAAATTAAAAGTAATAATTAAAAAAAAATATAAATAAAAAAACCGATCGCGCATGAATCGAGCAAGAATAAAGCAAACAAAACTTGATTCTCCGGGGAACACCAACACACACACACACACACAAACACAACACGACGCTTTCTCCTGAAAGGCCGTGGTTGACGTCAGCGTGATGCGGGCCTCGAAGCTCCTCAAGGGGTCCGGCCGGGTCGCGCTTGCTTATCCTGGCGCCACTTGCTCAGCACTCTACGGGAGTCTAGTGTCTACAGCTTTCCTGGCGCGACCCGTGGTTCCTGCTGGCTTTCCCCCTTCATCAGTTCACCGTCAGGACTCAGGAGGACCCAGGAGACGGGAGGGACCATTCCGAATCCCCGATCAAATCAATTTATGGAGCTGCAAGCTTTGCGTTAGTCATTGCTCAGCGGATCAGCATCGATGAACGATAGTCGGAACTTAGAGCTCCTCGCCGACTGCGTATCTTTCTCCATCGAGTACTTCCTGTCGATATAGCGGCAATCCTCTAGGGCTACGGGACAACTTTATTCTATTTCTATTTTCTAGGAAGTCGTCATGCACTAACCAAGATAATTGCCATGGTGATGACCTCATCGACAGGCCACTCGACCTGGACGTCCTCTGGTCGGTGTCCCAATTGTGCTGCCTGATCATTGGCGAAGATCTTCAGGGACCAAGTCGAGTTGATCATGATTCTTGGGTCGTCGCAGGCGGCCTCCACGACACGGTGACGTCAGGCTGGCTGCGCTCGAACGTTGCTCCGTATATGAACGCTCCCTTCCATCCCTTCCTGCCTGCCCCCCCCGAATCCGACTATTGAAATTGATTTTATCTTTCGTCTTTTACCTAGTTACTTAATTCCTAGGACCACGTCTCTTTCCTTTCCTGGACATCTCAGACTGCTTCCCTTCTGGTTCCGTGGTTTCCTCCTCTCCCTCACATTCTCCCTTGCCCATTCCGGTGATACCCCAGCGACGCGTCCCTTGGCTTCCTTGTATTGCACCTCCTTCGGAAACGTCTGTGGCCGTAAACGTAATCTGATACATATACCCCGTGCTTGTTTCTCTTTGGTCGTTTCTCTTTTCTTTTCTTTTTTGGTCCGGATTTAATATCGCTTGACATCCTCTTGCCTCCAATCATTGGTATCACAAACTCGTCACCATGCCGGCTGGAGTCAATCGTCCCACCGATACGAAGTTGAAGGAGAAGGTATGTGCAATCATGTCTAGATTCCAGAAAGCCTCGGAGGACTGTCAACTGATCTAATATCGTGTCTCAGGATATCAACCAAAAGCTGCAGCTATATGGCATCTATCAAGGTAAACCGGCACACGACTCGTGGGAAGACCATCTGTTCCCTTGAACCCCATCGCTGACGCTTTGAAATAGCCTTTAAGAGCGGAAAGCTCCCATCGGTGAGTATTTCGATGGAATCACCATGTGCCTGAAGTGCAAGGATTCTAACTACTACTCTGTCTTCAAGAACAAACAATGCGACATTGCCTTGAATAGTGCCCTTAACTCAAAGGCACTCTCCTCGCCCCCAAAAGAGCTCTCGAAAGAAGGCCAAGTTCTCGTGGAAGATCTTCGGTCGGTCATTGAGCAGGCGAAGAAACTCATTCTGAGCAAAAATGAGGGCCAGTTGCTCCAGGAATTCATTTGGCAGGCCGAGCACATCTCCCCGGAAGATGTGCAGGAGAAACCGAACGTGCCCTTGGACAAGGAATCGGCTCAACAGGATGGCCAGCAGGCATCTGAAGGACTGAAAACCTTGGGAACTCTCCTGATCACCAACGGCGAATTCAGAAAGCTCCGTATGTTGGATCGATTACCAGGTCGTTGGGTATCGATACTAACAATTGACAGTGAACGACGCTTGGATTATTGCTCGCGACATCGCTGGTGACGCTTCGCAGAAGGCCGCCAACAAAGTGCGCCCGTCGGAAGAACAACTTTCTCAGATCGACGAGCCGGCCGAGGAAAATCTATGGCATGAGAAGCCGGATCTCGCAAGGCACAAGGAGCAATTCACGTCGCGCTTCAAGAAAGCTAAGCCTGCCGTAAGTGCAATCCCTATACCCGAGCTTTACGTTCTCTAATCCCGCCCTTCCCACCAGGCCCAGCAACAATATGAGGAGATAGGCGACACTGCCATGCAAGCGGCAACAGGAGGTCGCAACCCCGAGACACCGGCTGATTTCGATGGTCGTGCTGGTGCTGTCGCAGGCGCCGAGGAAGCCAAGCGAAGAGTCTCCGACAACGTCTCTGAGAGCACCAAGTCTCGTGCGCGGGATTATGCCGATCGCACCAAGGACTATATGGCGCAAAAGATGCCCAAAGAGCGTCGCGAACAGGTCATTTGGCGATTGAAGAAAATGGTTCTTGAAATTCAAGGCCGTGCCGATTGTGAGTCTGCCCGCGGAATTTCCCGCCTCTCTTTGCACTTGAAACTGACGGAAATACCAAAATGATAGATCAGCAAGCTATCCAGACCTTGCTTGACCTCGCTAGTAAGTATGGCAGCACTGGCAGGACCATGTCACAGCAGGGTGTTGGTACTGTTAAGGGTATTCGGGGCGGAGAGAAGGTACAGACCATGGAGACCAATCTTAGGGTATGTTCATCCCCCCATTCGTTGTGAAATGTCCAAAAATTGACATTTTGTAGGTTTTGATTGAACGGTTCGCCAACAGTACTTCCCTCGATGACTTTTTCGACTCGCTAGAGGTCATCTACAAGGATGCGGATAAGGATCCAGAACTCAAGGGATGGTTCAAAAACATCGACACCTTTTTCCGGTGAGTTGGCTCCCTCGTTACCGTCAGAGGAAGACAAGCTCGTGGTGTATCTAACAGACGTAGGAAAACCCTCCAGGAGCAAGGCTACGTTATGCAGGAGGACTGTGACCGACAATGGGACCAATTGGCCGATCATGGCCGTTATCTGCTGCGTGAGCGATACAGGGACCACACCAACCGTGTTCTCGATGAAATTAAATTCATTGGTGTTGAATTCACCAAGGACCCGCAGAACAAGTCCTTCGCTGATTCCATGGACAAGCTTTTCCTGGACCTTGGCCGCGATGCGAATGGAAATGTCGCTTTCAAGAGCCACTTGCTCAAGGATATCAGGGATGTGATCCTTCCAGGAGCGTTTGAGAACGTCCGATACGTACCTATTCCCCGTATCGAAGTATCCGACCCAATGGCCGATGTTGTTGTTGAGAATTTGGTGATCGAAAGTGACAACCTGATGCCGAATGTCGTGGAGTTCGGTAGTGACAACTACTTCCGCTGGGGCCGCAAGAAGATCAGCAACAAGCACGACAATAAGATTATGATCTCGGTGTCCGGTATCCAGGCCGACCTGAGAGACGTCAGCTACCACATCAACAAGAAGCAGGGCTTCCCTGCCATCACCGATACTGGTGTGATGGATATCTTCCTGGGTGGCGAAGGCTTCGGCTTCAAGATCGCCGCTTCCACTGCCCACAAATCCGACCGTCAGAACTTTGTTAAACTAGACAAGGTGACGGTCAAGATCACCGATCTGAACATCAAGCTGAAGAAATCCAACCACAAGGCTCTCTTCACCATCTTCAAACCCATACTCTTCCGCACGGTCCGCCCCGTTCTGCAGAAGGTTATCGAGGAACAGATCCGAGACGCTTTCACCCGCGGCGACGCCTTTGCTTACGAGGTCCACTCCGAGGTCGAGCGTGCCAAGAAGGCTGCTCTTAACGATCCTGCCGACGCCCCCAACATCTATAGCCGGTACGTGGATGCCGTCCGGGGTCGTATGGATGAGAAGAAGCGTCAAGCCCAGCAGGTCGCCCAGCGCGATACCAAGGTTCAAACGGCAACAACCATGCACGACTCCTTGTTCCCTGACATCCACCTACCGGGCGGTGTCTCGTCCAAGGCCACTGAGTACAAGGAACTCGCCAAGAAGGGTGATCGCTGGGAATCTCCCATCTTCACCATCGGCTCCGCTTCGGAGTCCACGGACATTCCTAGCCTTGCGGAAATCACCCGCAAGCCCCATTCCAAGACGCAGCCTCAACTGTCTGACGCAGGTCACACCAATGGTACTACCGCTACTAACGGTGCCACCAACAGCGCGGTCAACGGCGCGGCCAACGGCGCGAGGAAAGCTCCAGGAAACACCGGCTCGCATGGCTTCTCCGACGAGATGGACCAGGCCTTCAGCAACGGTGCTAATGCCTCGAAGACCCCTCAGCCGCAGGGACCGACTGTCCCGGGCTCGGAGACCGCTTTCAACCCTCAGACGGCGTGAGAAAATCTCATTTGAGTCAAACGACTTCCTAAAAGGAGTCCAAAAAGATTGCGAACGACGTTGGTGTTTTAATTGACTTTATGTTTATTCTTGTTCACTTGATATCCTGTCTTGTATGGTCATGTTTTATTAACTTTGCGCTTTTGTATCCCAGTACAGCTGTCTTAATTTGTCCTGTGTTTATCCAGATTCACTTGGCTTGAGATTGTCTGGTACAGCAGTATGACGATAATTTCTGTCGCTACTGTCATATTAACGTGTCTAATAATATGCCTTTCTAATATTCATTTGGTTTTAACATTGCTACTGCTGTTCGTAACTCTGCGCCCGTGCTACTCTAGAACCAACTGAAAAAGGTAAGCAACAAGGGCGTGAACATTCAATTTTCCGTCTATATACGACCTCCCAAGCCTCCCTCTAAACAATTATTTTAAATCCAATAACCCAAACATCTCATGTGTTTTCATTCCTTCATTCCTCGTGTGCGATTTCTTTTATATCTCCATCTTCCGGGTAAAATAAAGAAAGGAAAATGCTCTCTACATCTGTCCGAAGTACTTCTCCCACCCCAACTCCTGCATCTTCGTCCCCTTCAGGTCCATGTTCTCCGAGCGCGCCTTCTCAGCGTAGGCCTCAACCTTGCGCTGGATGGCGGGGTCGAAGGCGCCGAGAATGCGAGCAGCCAGGAGCGCGGCGTTGATGCTGTTGTTGATGCCGACGGTTGCGACGGGGACGCCTATATTGTGGATTCCAGTTAACAGTCTGTCCACAGAGGGGAGTATGGGGATGGGTAAGGGAAGTGAGGAAGCGGGGGAAGGAGGGAGTTTTATACCTCTAGGCATCTGGACAATGCTGTACAGACTGTCCACTCCATCCAGGGAGCTGCCCTTCACCGGCACTCCGATGACCGGGAGAGCGGTATGCGCGGCGGCCATGCCGGGAAGATGGGCAGCGCCGCCGGCAGCAGCGATGATGACCTTGATGCCGCGGGCGGCAGCGCTGGCGGAGTACTCGGCCATGAAGGTCGGGGTGCGGTGGGCGGAGGTGATGTCGACGGCGGGCTCGATGCCGAAGACGTCGCGCAGCAGCTTGAGGCCGGGCACCAGGGTCTTGAGATCGGAGTCGGAGCCCATCATGACGGCGACGGAGGGAGCGGGCTTGGACGGGCCGGAGGTCTGCGGCTTCGTCTTGACGTCGCTGCGCTGGGCGCGGATCTTGTCGACGACGTCGATGAGCGGCTGGATGTGCGTCTCGGCCTCGTGCATGGACGCCGCGGTGACGGTCACATGGCCCATCTTGCGGCCGGGCTTGGCGGCGCCCTTGCTGTACAGGTGGATGCTGGCGTTGGGGATGGAGAGGGCGGCCTCGGCGACCTGGAGGTGGGTGTCCGGGGCGGCGCCGCCGATGATGTTGAGCATGATGGATGGCTGGCGGAGCTCGAGGCTCTGCGCGGGGATGGGGAGGTCGAGGATGGCGCGGATGTGGGTATCAAATTGGGACAGGGGGCAGGCCTCGATGGTGTAGTGGCCGGAGTTGTGGATGCGGCTGGCGATCTCGCAGAGGAGCAGGCTCTCGTCGTCGAGCAGGAACATCTCCACGCCGAAGACGCCCTTGCCGTCGAAGGCTGCGACGGCCTGGCGCGCCAGCTCCTGCGCCTTGCGGTTGATCGCGTCCGAGACGTTGCGCGCGGGGGCGTAGACGAGCTTGCATATCGAGTCCTCCTGGACGGTCTCGACCGTGGGGTATGAGAGTACTTCATCCTTCGTCTTCACGACCATGACGGCCAGTTCCTAGAGTGAGGTGGGGTTGGTTAGACGTTTGCGGTCACAGAGGAAGAGGGAGGAAGGAGCGTGGGCTAACCATCTTGAAATGAGCCCATTTCTCGGCGTATAGAGGACGGTCCCTGAGGGCTTCGAGCGCTTCGGGGATATCGGCTTCGGAGTTGACGCGGAAGTTTCCTAGGGATCGAGACCTGTTAGCTTCATGCCCTCTGCTTGGAGTGTTCTATAGGTGTAGATGACTCACCACGTCCGTCGTACGCCATAGTTTTCGACTTCAGCATGAGAGGGTACCCCAGCTGCTCACCAACGGCAGCCAGATCCTCAGGAGTGTTGTTGACCAACTCGCGATGATCCGCCATGGGGATACCATACTTGCGCAGGTGTTCCTTCTGGTTGAACTTGTTCTGGATGGTCCGAATGGCCTGCCAGCTGGGCTCCACCCGCGTCTGCGACGCAATCTCCTCCAGGGCGTAGGTGTCGACGTGCTCAATCTCCGCCGTCACGACGTCGCAGGACTTGGCCAGCTCCCTCACGGCCTCGTGCTCCTTGAAAGAACCGGTGACATGTCCGTCGTGGGCGCTGATCTGCTTGGCCGGGGAATTCTCCGCATCGAGGACGTTGCATTGGATATTAAGTCGGTTGGCCGATTCGACCAGCATACGGCCCAATTGGCCTCCACCGAGAATGCCCACCTTGGGGGAGTTCCACATCGTGACTGGGGAAGAGGGAGACGAGTGAGTATAGTCCGGGGAAATCGCAATTGCGCGGAGCAGCGAGGGGGGACGAGGGGTGGAGGAGGCACAGAAAGACGAGAGCGCAAATGCCCCTCTTCTCCGCCTTGGAAAAATCGGCCCGATAACCGTCACGTGTGCGCGCGATAAGCAGCTCGGAGGATCCGCATTTCCCTTCCTCAGCTTCCCCTTCGGCTTCTCCCTCTGTGCACCTCAACGCGTCGGGAGAATGTCTCTAGGTTGGTCCTGCCGCGGCACTTCCCCTCACCTGTCAAGCATTCCCGGAGCTAATGACTGCTTGTTATGTTTAGATGAAGAAACCCTAGAGACCGCCGCCAATGGCGGCTTGATGGACTTGTATGCTACACCTTCCCCTCTCCGACTAATGGGTCTGGCTTGCGACGTGATAAGAACGCGACGGGGATACTGACTGGGTTTGATTAGGGAGAAATGGAACACAATGGTTGAACCGTTGGTTGAACGATTGGAACATGTACGCGATTGCCCTTGTCGAACCCTACCTGTCTTAGCGCCAGCTGACAATCCGACTAGATCGTCTTCAACGTCTTCCCCATGCCTCAGGTCCCTCCTCAAGCGACAGTCTCAGCTGCTCCACTCCCCCAGGACTCCGGGTCAGAATCAATTCCTCCTACCAGCGGTAGTAATAAAGAGAACGCCACCCCGGCCGATCTCCAGACTCCGCCGCGACCCCGACCCACGGCCTCGTCGCTTTCATCTTCGACCGAACGAGTGCCAGACTCCCAGCCAGAACCGTCTGACGAACCGGCAACGGACGCAGCCTTGCCCGCCCCGCTCCTCCTCTTATTAGACTCCGTTCGATCGAACTTGCGGACACTGTTCGCCTCGAAACCCCCTCATACGATCCAGAGACTCGCAGAGCTGATCCTCCTTCCCACTGCGCATTACCGAACCCTTCCCGCTTACCTCCGGGCTGTCGACCGCGTCGTCTCGGTGACCAGTAGCGCCGATGTGTTCCCGCTCCAGGTGCAAGAGGCTACGAGCCAGCCCAATGGCGTGATGAACGGTGGAGAAGGTAGCTTCCTACTGCCAGACCATGCCTTGGGGAGCGATGAATCTTTGGGCGGCGCTCTTCTCACACCAATCCCGTGGTTGAGAAATGCTGCATCGCCAGGGGTGGAAGATGCGGCCCTCGAGACCGAAGGTACCGATTGATTTATCTACCAGACCAGTGGAGATACCCTGTTTTAAGGACTTCCGACTAATGAGTAATCTAGGTGACGAATCGGTCTTCGCAGTTGCCCCTGAGCAGCCTATCCAGCAAGAGTCAGAGTCGGCGGCTGATCCGACGCAAGAAACCACCCTCCCTCCTCAATCAGTCCCGTCCACGATAGAGAACCAAGCCATGGAAGGCACGGGCTCTCCGCCGGTCGACGCCTCGGAAGACGTACCGCACGCGCGAGGCCCACGGACCCTAGGCGTAGAGGATTTGGGCCTCCAGGACGGCAAGGGCGTCAAGATGACACTTCCAGCCGCCGAAGACAACTCTAACAAGCAATCCGACGACCAGCAAGAGCCGTCCGGCCAACCGGTTCCTGACAACGACACCAAACAAGCGGCCGACAAGGAGAATGCCGACGGCGACGGAGACATCGTCCTCGGGGACATTCAGGGAGCGGGAGAACAACCGGCAGCGTCGGCTGAGAACCAAAAGTCAAACCAGTAGTTTTCAATTGCCTGTGTTTGGGGGTTGGTTTTCTTTCAATCTCGCAATCCAGGAGACCAAGCCAAGCCAGAGACGACGATGATGAGCACATAATCTCTTTTCCAAACTAAGCTGTTACTGTGTTGTTGATTTGCGATTCCTCCTTTTTTCTTCTCTATTTATATCATGATTGATGATCGGCAATGACTTCGACTCATGTGAGACATACATACAAAACATGAGTTCTATTCTCTTCATTCCCGCTTAATTCAAGTGATGACTGATGATCTATATGTTGTTCTTCATTTCTCTCCCTTTACCTCTTTCACCTACAATAACTACCATGGAGCATATGCGATTTAGCTAGCAAGACCGCCGGCTACGACGGTCCGCAACGCAGGAATCTTCTGATCTGATTAGTTCTATAGAAGCGACTGATGAGCGAATACTACTGGTCCAAAATCTTCTTTATTTCCCGAAACATTTGGCTACCAGACAGTAGATAGTAAATGGTTTATTGATTCAAAACGACAAAGAGGTATCAATCCAGTGTAAATAAAACAACACAATGTTTTCTCAGTAAATCCAGAACACATACACACACATACACGCATATAACACCCGAAAACAGAGGAAAACCAATAATCATTAGGAAATTCGTAAATTTGTGCAATATATCATCCATCATGCATGTAAAAATGTAGATGTAATAAATTGCGATGGATCAAATCCAAGAAGAAAGAGGTAATGAAAGAAAAGGAAAGGATGAGGGTTAGTATTTTTCTTCATGTACCTGTCTCTCAAGCCACAGGCTCAACCGTTTGCAACGGAACGTATCCCTCATCGGTGTCTGATTTCCGGGATCCCTTGCCCGTAACCAAGGACCAGACCTGGCGACCTGTGTTTTGGATAAAGCGGACGGGACCGGAGCGGGCACCGGAGCCGGTGACGGAGAGATTGGCATTCCACCAGCTCTTCTTGGAGCCGCGGAAACTGGTGTTGTTCGCCTCGACCTCCTTTTCGAGTCGTTCGGCGTTCATCCATCGGGGCCGGCGCCAAAACTTCAAGAGGAGGCTGCTCACCACGACGGAGACACTGGAGGCAGCCATCGCCGCACCGGCAGCCATCGGGGGCAGCATGAAACCGCCGAAGGGGAGGAAGAGGCCCATGGCGAAGGGAATGCCGATGACGTTGTAGAGACAGGCCCAGATGAGGTTGAGGCGGATGCGGTTGAACACGGACCGGGAAAGCGCTAGACTGGTTGGCACGGAGAGGAGGTCGTCAGGCTGCATGAGCACGATATCGGCAGCTTCCATGGCGACGTCTGTACCAGACGCCAGGGCGATACCGATGGAGGCCGTGGCCAGGGCGGGAGAATCGTTGATGCCGTCACCGACCATGGCAACGCGAATACCGGAGTCCTGCAGGGAAGCAACGATGGCCTGCTTGTCGGAGGGGGAGACAGAGGCGTGGACAGCCTCGACGGGAATCCCGACAGCTTTGGCGATGGATACGGCCGTAGGGTAGGTGTCTCCCGTGATCAGGGAAGTGGCAATGCCCATGCGATGCAACGCGGCGACAGCAGCGACAGCAGTCAGCTTCAAAGTGTCCCGTAGCAAGATAGTGCCGGCGAATAGACCGTCGATAGCCACGTGAATGTGAGTGATACCAGCAGGCACGTTAGATTTGTCCTTGACGGCCTCTGAATCTTCGGCGTCGACCGATTCGGGTAGTGGGATATCCCTCGACCGGAGGAAGGTCGCGTTTCCAATCAAGACACGATATCGAACGCGCTCGGCACTGGACGTAGGCTCCACCAAAGCAGAGATACCTTTGCCCACGCAGGCATCGAAATCGCCCAAGCTCCCGGGTAGGCCGCCTTCACCGGGTTGACCGGATTCAGTTTTGGCGGCGTTGACAATCGCTTTACCAATAGGATGTTCACTGCTCATCTCTGCGAGACCGACTATCAACCACCAGAGTCGACGGCGCCAATCATTTGCCGCCCATTGGGGCTCAATCTTGGCATCAGCAACGCTCATCTTTCCGGTGGTCAGAGTTCCCGTCTTGTCAAAGACGACATGATTGATCTTCGTGGCGCCTTCCAGAACAGCGCCGCCCTTGACGAGAATGCCCAGCTGAGCCCCGACGCCCGTGCCAACCATGACTGCTGTTGGGGTGCTGAGACCCAAAGCACACGGGCAGGCGAAGACGATAACGGAGATGCAAAGTTTCAAACAAACCATCACTTTGCCGCCACTCTGCTCGGACATGAAGATTTTCGGCGGGTGAGGCAGCAAGTGGCTCATGAGCATCCAGCCAAAGAACGTAACCAAACCGAGACTGATGATAGCGGGGACGAAATACCCGGCTACCATATCAGCCATACGCTGAATGGGAGCCCTGGTCGTTTGCGCATCCTGGACCAGTTTGACAATCTGACTTAACTGCGTGTCTTTGCCTGCCCGCGTCACCTTGAAGTCAATGGAACTGGTTCCATTGACAGTACCCGCGATGACAAGACTGCCTTTGTTCTTGTGAATGGGCAAAGGCTCGCCAGTGATCATGCTTTCGTCGACATAGCTTTCTCCACGGATAACGATCCCATCCGCGGAAACCTTATCGCCCGGGTGGAGTACAACGACGTCGCCTACCTCGATGAGTTCCGTCGAGATGGCTCTGATGACGGGGCCTGACCTTTCGCCAGAAGATGATGTCCGAGGTTCCTTTGAGCTGACTTGAGTGGTTCCCCATTCCTCGGCCATCTTCTCTGCAGCAATCGGGTCGTCGTAGATAGTGGTCATAGACGGCGCAAGTGACATCAACTGCGACAAGGCAGTTGAAGTCTGGCCCTTGGCCCTGTTCTCCAGCCAACGACCAAGGGTGATGAAGGTGATCAGCATTGTGCTAGTATCAAAGACAGTACTGGGCCGTCTGTGAGCTGCGGAGAAAATGGCGACAACCATCGTGAAAACGCTGTAGAAAAATGCTGCAGACGTGCCCAGCATGACCAGAACATCCATTGTTGGAGAACGGTGCTTCAACGACTTGAAGCTCGTAACATAAAATCGCTTTCCGATACCGAATTGGACTGGGATAGTAAGCAGAAGACAAGCGACATCTCCTAGATAGATCCCAGGAAGCAACTGAAAGCCCCCAAAGTCGAGGGACGGCAAGTACATGGGCAACATCATGTTGATGACAAAGACAGGAACTGCAAAAGACACCGAAAACAAGAATGCCCGCTTCCACTCCTGAACCTCTTTGGTCTTGGAAAGCGACTGTAATTGCGCATTGGTATCATCGGAGTCAGCTAGTAAGGCATTATATCCCTCCGCCTCAATAGTCTCCACGACGGAGCGAATTCCAATGACAGAGGAAACGTAGGAGACATGAGCGAGCGAGGCACCTATATCAATCGATGCTGAAGTTATTCCGGGTCTTTTGAGAAGGGTATCTTCTAATTCGTTCGCTGAGGACACATCGCGCAACCCATGAAGGCTGAGCGTAACTCTACTTGTAGCGCTTGAAACGGGTACTTGAGCTTCGGAAGAAAGTACAGCAGCATCAAAGCCGCCATCTTCTATCAGGTCGACGATCTTCTTGGAGGGAAGAACAGTGGGGTCGTGTGTAATAACGGCGCGTTCGGCAAGCAGACTGATATTGAATTGAACCAGGCCCTCCTGGCCCTCGACGGCGTTCTGTACACTTGCTGTGCATGCGCCACAGGTCATGCCGTCAATCGAAATGGTGGTGACCATGAGATGTGACTTCGGTTCTGCAACATCCTGGGAGGTGCGAGGACTGGCCTGGAGCGTCGAGGTTTCCAGCACCTTCGCACCAAAGCCGCGATCCTCAATGGTTTCTGCAATTTGATCCGGTGTAACGGCGGTGGCATCGTATTCCACCACCGCGCGCTCCGAGAGCAACGAGACATTTATCGACCGGATCCCCGGTAACTCCTTCAATCCTCCTTCCATCGCCGAGGTGCAAGCGCCGCAAGTCATTCCCTCAATCGCCAGCGTGGTGGTGGAAATTTGTGACCGGTTGTCCTGAGCCTCCTTCTCATTCCCCGTTCGTAGCGAGGGGCTGTCCGTGGAGAGGATTGTCGCGTCGAACCCGCTATCCTCGATCATCTCGGCGACTTTTTCCGCTGGAAGTAACGTTGGATCGTGGTGTACAACAGCCCTGCCCATCATCAAACTTACGGAGACATCTCCGGCCCCGTCGACGCCCTTGAAGGCACCCTCCACGGCGGACGTACATGCGCCGCATGTCATCCCATCCACATTGACCGTGGTGGTCGCCATGTGGGCGGGTGATCGTCCTGTGGATGGGCCATCGAGACCGGCGCGTAGCGGAGCGGAGGAAGACGCCGTCATCTTTACGCCTAACTAGCTGGAAGAGAACCCGGCGAAAAAAGGCCGAAAACCAGTCGGATTATTGCATAAGAGCGACTTATCTGTCGAAAAGAAAGGGGACGGGAGGGGGCCGAATCGAACAGGCGCGTTATCAGTCGTAAGAAGGCGAGTGAAGCACGTCAGTAGGCAGGGGGGAAAATGTAACTCTTGCGTTGATACGGATGTGGTCGGAAGATCGGGCGGGTCGATCAGTTAACGGGGTTCATGCAAGCACTGAAGGACAGGTCTTGGACTGGGAACAGCAGCCATAATAAGGACAATCCAGAGGTGTTGGTGTTAATAACGGAATGCAAGACTAGCTCGACTAGTTGAAAGAAGGAAATGGCCCGATTATAAATTAATCCTGCCAAGGTTGGTGCTGCTACTGTCGCAGACAGTATGGGACTGTCACCATGGGTTGTGCCAGAGTGGGGAAGACAATAATAAGCCAAGCTGGCGCCTATTTTACGCCAGTCAGCTCCGGAACGTAAGCAGATCCGGTGGGATTCTCATTCTTGATTGATCTGAGGATTGATGGAAGATCGTCGTCGGGGTCTGCAAGCCGCAAGGAGGTGGGAAAAGGTTGAGGGAAGATCGATTCCTGCCCTTGCTTACGGACTACGGCGGTCCTGTGACCTGAATTTGTCTTTAAGGTATTTTCTTTGTCTCTTTACTATTCAGACGGCCCTACGGTGTACCGCGGAGGTACATGTCTCAGCAACACCTGTCATTGTTGGGTCTGTCAGACTCCGAGTCCCCTAGAGTTGCAGAAAAGCCCCTTCGTTTAGTGCAGCAGCGTTCTGGAAGAAAATGAAATGAGCGAGGGGTCCCGAGGATTGGCTGGGTCTGGGATGACATGTTTCAACTAAAATGAGGTTCCTCTTTGTCGCAACGTAAAACGACGACGCTCTGGTTATTACCTAATTGCCGTATCGTACGGGGTACGGTATGGTACCGCCCATCGCTGGATCACGTGTCGCGGAATGCCCGTGGTTTGCATCCCAGACAAACAGACCCTGTTCCAGGCAAGATGTCATTGCTTTAGTTCTTAGTATCATCTCAACACCATGAACTGAACGCCTCCCAAAATCTGTCAAGCTCAGCATTATCCCATCTCATCGCCAACTTCTGATCTCCCTCTCTCCAAAATGGATCAGGTACATACTCGGGCTATAGAGGCCCTTCAACCTTTCATCCATCTCGCCAACTCCAACAGCGCTTCGTCACCTCGATTCGTCGCCAATATCATCACAAACGCCACCTCCAGTCCCAACACCTACGTCTTCGCCGAACTGCTAGAGACCCCCGCCGTGCAGGGCCTTCGATCTCAGGATGTTCCCGAAGAGTTTCACGGGTACCTGACCCTTCTCGAGATCTTTGCGTGGGGCACATGGCAAGAATATCAATGTGAGCATCTCATGTCCAGTCCATAGCCTACCGAGCCTAGAATCAATCGTTGAAACTAACACCCTCCCTCCCCGCTCTCAGCGACGCCAAACCTTCCCCCGCTATCGGATGAACAATCCCTAAAGCTCCGCCTGCTTTCCCTCCTATCCCTCTCCGCCTCCATCAAACCCCTCACCTACGACACGCTCATGGACTCGCTATCCATCTCAGCCGCCGCCGATCTCGAGTCCCTTGTCACCACCGCCATCTACGCCTCGCTCATCACCGCCCGTCTTTCCCCCGCCACCAGCCCGCCGTCCGTCAACGTCACCGCCGTGGCCCCCCTGCGGGACGTGAAGCCGCAGTCCCTACCATCCATGATCTCCTTCCTGGCAGACTGGGAAACCCGCTGCGGAGACGTGATCACTGACATCGAGGCGGAAATCACCAAGATCCGAACCAACTCGGCGAAGTGCCGCGCCAAGGAACGCGACGACAACGAGCTGTTCGAAAAGACCCTGGCCAACTGGCCCGTCATCAGCGCCGACTTGGCCGGCTTCGAGGCCGCTCGGTACCCTGGCTCCAAGAAGGCCGGTTGGCAGGGCGGTTCCCTGAGAGGTGGACCGGGGGGCTTTATTGGTAGTAAGCGGGAGTACAGCGCGGACGACTTCGATGACGACGATGGCTATTGGGATAATGGGCTTGAAGGCGGCGTCGAGGCGCATCTCGGTTCGAGGATGGATATTGATGAGGGCTTGGGATCCTCGCGGGCTGGACCCGGAGGTGCTGGGGCTCGTCATGCCAAGCGAGTGCTGGGCAAGAAGTCATAAAACGATGATCTTTTTTTTTCTTGATGTTTGAAGCTTAGGGCTCGTAGCTGCCAGGTTCTCTGGCTACGATTCTAGCATTACGAAGCATGGCTAATGAAACCAATTTTATCCTATTTTAAACCACAACCCTCTGTCATGTTGGCCATCGTCCCATGAGGAGTCAAATATAAACTAATATCTAAAGGAATTGCGAATAAAAGGGTGAGATTTGCTCGAAAAGCTGTTGAATCTATTTGGTATTACAGTGAGACACGGAGTATAGTGTCGTAGACAAAGGCGCCACAACAACCCTACCTAGAAGGACAATTGCGCCTAAAGCTAGCTGGGTATGAAAGGGACCGAGCCGTAACAGGCCTCACTTCTTGCTTTCTCCTTGAACTTCATAGCTCTTTCACTGCCTGGCTTCCTGGAAAGATAATAATAGCCAGCCAAAACTCACGCGCGGCACTATGATCAGGCATCTATTTTCGCAACAAAGCCTTCCACTCCTTGTCCTCCTTACTATCAGGAATCGAGCTACACACATATTCCCACCACACTGGAAAGTATCCAGACGTCTTCCAATCAATTATGCTAGTAAGGGAGCCGTTTTCAACCATGATATTCACGTTAGTGAGGTCTCCGTGCGTAAAGGTGTAAGGCGTAGCGGGAGGCATGCAGCGTCGAAGTTGTTTTCGTGCAGCTTCGGGGATGGTCTCTTTTAATCCACGGTCCATATCATCCCAAAGATCATCATCAGATACCAGAGGACCATGAGGAGTGTTAGAAACCGGATCTTTGAACAGGAAGTTCGATAAAACAGGACGGCCATCGAGGCATTGAATATTATCAGACTGGAGCTTGCGAAGCTGTTCCAGATATTCGGCGGTCTGCTTTGCTATCCTCTTTTTTTCATCTGCGGAAAGCCTCGGCCAAGCTTCGCTGAGAGGTTCGCCGAGGATGCGTTGCGTTAATATCAGGGTATGTTTGTCTTCCTCTTCCCACGATTTGACAACGGTAGGAACCGGAATAGATGTATGTTCCTGCACAAATTGGATATTTGGTGCCTCGAAGGTCGGAAGGTTAGGGCCTTTTTCTCTCAATATCAACTCTGAGCCGATCGACCAGACGCCTCGATCGCCTGTTGCATGGAACTGTTTAACGGAGCTTTGGTAATTGCGATTTTTCTGGAGGTTAGTGGTCCAGCCACACGCTGAGCATTGGTCTGAGCTCATTTCGAATGAACAAGTAATGCTTCACGATGGAGAAAGACGCAGACTTTCAGTTTCGGTTCTGTGGAGAGCTTGCTGATCCCGAGAGGCCTGATTAGTTAGGATTGAACTGTTTAGCAATTCTACTGGGTTAAACAGACGCGGTTCTGGGGGCGAAGGTTTTTATAAATACTAGAAAAAGGGAGTTTCTGGTAAGAATAAGATTTGAACCGGTAATCTCCTAATTATATACAGCTGCAGCATAACAGACTACAGTAGGTGTTTTGATTGGTGCAATCTATAATTGTAAAAGTTCAATATAAAATTATGGTAAACACATTTTCCATAACACCGGAACAAACAAGCCCGCCGAAGAGGGAGAAGAAAATGTCATTTAACATACACGCAAGTTGAGCGGCCAAAGGGGGGTATTGTCAAGAAGAGAAGTGAACAAAATGACAACGAAAAGATCCAAGATTGAACAGGCCAGTGGGGGTGAGAAAAAAGGGACTGCCAGGGAGCTGGACTGAATGTACCTGTCATAAATCGGACCACAAAACTTGCAAAAGACATGCCTGATTATATAGGACACACATGTTTTGCGAGGGAAAAAGATTTGAAATATTGCAATGCAAAGTCGCTTAGTGCAAAATTAACTGCTCGCTAAAGCAAAGACAATACACTCGATTCCTTCGTGCGTCATCAAGCCATGCTGTTGAGTCTCAAACAAAGCAGAATGCAAAGCAAGGCCTCGGCCGGAAAGAACAAGAAACACGGGCATGCACTATAGCCAATAGATTACATGCTTGGGAAAGAATTAGAAAGGGGGGTCACGATTAAATCCGAGTTTCAAAAAGGGGGTATATGCAGCACACGAACGGAGCTTAAAGCATAGTACCCGGAACGAAAATAAATAGAACACTCAATGCGGCCGCGACAAAGAAAGCAATGAATATCGTTGCGGTCGCTCGTTTGTTCAACAGTTTCCGCACGTAAGGTTCGCGAATCGGAGACCAGTTCATGAATGTGTATTCGCTGTATCCAAGCATTGCCATCACCGGGTCGAGCTTGTACTGATAGGATACAATGAAATAGGCGGCGACGGCGAATGGAAGAATGAGCTGCAATCCTGTCAGTAAAAGTGCGCATGGACCCAGGGGACTAGATTGACCTACCCAGCAACGGGTGTGTCGTGGTTTATCACGAAGGACGACGTAGAAGGCGCCCCAGAAGCCTCCGCCGAAGCTAATCAGAGCAAAGGCCAAACGGGCAATGATCGTGAGTGGTACTAGGTTACCAAGGGCCTTTGCCTGCAAAAACCCTGGGAATGCGTCGCGTTCCATGGCCTGGAATACATAGTCCTTGGCGGGATCAAAAACCTCCGGATCGTCTCGACCGTCGTCTTCGACTAGATTAATGACTGTAGATACCATCTCTTCGGGCAGAACAATCTCTCTCTCCGCTCCAGGGAGCAAGTACGTATACAGAACCTTCTCTGCACTTGCGCGAATGTCAGCACGAGCTACCGTGTGTCCGGGCGAAATCGAGTCGTTCCGAGTGGCGGAGCTGGCACGGGGTTGACCTTCGTCCGACGGCGTACGGGCGGCGTTCTGCGATCCAAGACTGCTTTGGGGGGAGTGACCGGAAGTGTGACCATCTGAGCGAAGGAATGCCGACAACCTTTGACTCGCATCTCTATCGTCCGAATCATGATGACCACGGCGCATGCCAGACGGCCCGGCTTCCACAAGCGGAATGTCGCCAAAACTCTCCAATGTTTCCAAAGCAGCCGACGAGCCTTTGCTATCTGCCTTTTCGAGATCGGGCGTAGCGACTAACACGGATCGACGCAACTCTCGGACATAGTGACGACATAATGACATATGCTGCGAAACATCCAGCCTAGAAGAGAGTTAGGGTTAGTGGTGAGATGCGACCGCAAAAAATTCCATGCAATTCAAGGACTGACCAGAAATCCAGGTAGTCGACCGAGCGCTTCTGGTCCCGCATGTAAATATAGAACGAAAACAGATCGACCGGAGCGAGCGTCCGGCGGCTCAGGACCTCGAACAGGGTGGGTAGGCGATTCCGCTGCTCCAGGTCCGTGAGAGAAGGGGAAGCCATTGCGAATGAATTGTCGGCAACTTAATTAAGAGTCGGAGTAGGAGTCGGGGGTAATGTTTTCAGGGCGAGAAGCGAGAAAAAAAAAAGGTGAATGAAACGAAGGGCCAAGAAAAAGGGGAATGAATGAATGTCGAGTCGTTAGGCGACGACTAGAAACGAGCGTATACGGTGTAGACAAGGACTTCGATTCGTCGATTATTGGCGACACTTGCGACCGACGTAGGCGAGAGAGAAAGAGTAAAGACCGACTAGAAGAGTTGGGCGTAGTAGTGGTTGGGCGAGAACGCGGCGAAAGCTCAAAATAGATCGTTAATAAATAAACTGGAGCCTGTCCAAAACAACAGGAACCCCTGGGGCAGGACAAAGTCGACTAAGACGTCGGACTGGAGGAGTAAACAACGGACAGCCACCCGACAACAGCTGAGATCAAAGAACCCCAGCACAATCCATGGAGGAGAGAGAAAGAAAGGAGGAGGAGGGGGAACGCAAGCCAGCCAACCTGCAGAGAAGAAGAACGCAAGGCCCTCTCTCCTTCCCGGCGATGGTCTCGTTTCCTTTTGGCCTGGACGCTTTTTCTGCAGCCAAAACGGCCCGCCTCAACGTTCTTCCGAAATGAACGCCCCACGACGGCAAGTGAAGCTAGTCGATGATCGTCCCCCGTCCACGTTCTCGACACTTTGCAAGGGATGTCTCAATATCCGACTGCTCACATCTCGGCATTTCCATTTGGCTGGGGGAGGGTCTCTTGATGGAGTGGACCAGCATCTCCCAGGGGGGGGGGGATCCCTACACCGAGGGTGACGACACGAATTAAAAAAAAAAAAAACCATAACAATAGCTATTAGCTACACAGTGACGGAGATCTACATCGTACGTCATCCGGAATTTGCAAATTAACCAAACCTAAGCTACGGGAAATTAGTGATATCAAATGGATGGTGTTTGAATTGAATTATTTAAAGGTGTAGAACTGACCAACTAACTGCCAATTGGGATTCCACCTTGCTGTCTCACCATCTCGACACTCCCTATCTTTGATTGTGATCAAAAGAGGCATTCGATAGGTCCTTAAGACAAGTCTTGGTAGTTCCTGTGGACTATTATATCAACTTGATAGCAGTCTCTTCTTCAAGGGCCCTCAGGTTGTGTCTGTGGTCTCGGTGCTGATCACTGTTTGGATAGTAGTGTATGACTGAAGTGCAGATGTCGCCGCTTTTGTGAGAGTATAGTAACATCCAGGGATTAGAGTTATAGACTAGTATAAAACATCCACCTCTTTGTCCTCTACCCCATCTTTCCTACAACTCTTTCAGACACCAAAGCTCCCTGTGATTAAACCCCATCTATTCGCATGAGGCCTTTCCTCTGTCTGGGTCCTCTCGGACGCCAAATCTTTCGCCAACCCCTTTGCTCTCGTCCTGGCATATTCCCTAAGCCATTATCATTTCAATTCCAAGGCAGATTGGGATCATTTCGACGATCCGTACATGTCCCTTTCATACCATCACCATCAGCCATCAGAGGACCGCATTCGGAAGCCCAGTCCATTAAAGAACTCCTCGAAACCGAAAAACTAGACAAATGGGGCTGGGTTTTCTATCGCTGTACATACAATGACGAAGAAGCCTGGAATTGGTTCAAGCAAGCCGCGATCCGAGAAATACGAGATGAAATCGCATACAACAATTTTCCAGAACTCGAGAGGTATCCAGCCGTGGTGGGTGAAGAGTTAAGGTACGTAAATTGAACAAGCGTAAGAAGTAGGTTCCATGGCATATGAATTTCATCATATACCGTACACTGTCTATCACTGACAATTCCAAACTATTCCGAAAAAACGCTCCGTGATGCGTCAACCTGGGTATTTACTCATTATTCCTAAGAAAAGTACAAAACGCCGGCTCCAATGAAACTCCCTCGCCTCTAAAGACTCTTTCAAGCACAACAATACTATACAACCACTCATCCCTAATTGAATAGGGACCTCCTTTAATGACCATCCGCCAGATGCTATGCAACAATTAGCCACTTCCACGTCATAAAATTGTAGGGATCACTGTAAATAGGACCAGCCACTTACCGACCACTCTGGGATATTCCGGATTTGCTGCCACATAAACTTCTCCAGTTTGTTGGCACTTTTGGCATACGGCGTGTTCTCGTTGTTGTATTTCCGACAATTGTCAAATATCAACGAGGCGTCCTTGATGAATTCCTGTGGCGTCGGATACATGTCCTTTTCGTGCTTTTCCTCCATCGTGGACAGATCCATGGGCTCCTTGATGACTTCGTAGTAATCCGGAACTTCATCACGATTGACAGGCTGAGTGAATGGCCACGCCGCACTGTGGTTCTGCATATCGTTGAGGAGATGTAAGAGTTGATTATAGTTGGGTCCGTGGCGTGGTTGTCGGGCCAATTCATCCATATCAGGCGACCATCCCGACGCTCGGATGGCGGGAATACTCAGAGGGTCGATCTTGCACGGTCCGTTCTTCCATTCCTTCGGCGGGTTGTGGACCTTGTATGACTGGCTGAAGGCGCGGATTTTCGCATGTACCGCCTCTTTCTGCTTGAGGAGCATTCGGCCGATTTCGAGATATCGTATCGTGGGAAGCATGGTGCACTGCATAATCGTTCCTCCCTCGTAATCTTTGATATACCCCATCCAGATCGATTTATCAAGTGTTATCTCTTTCGTGAATCCCTGCTTCTTAAAATACCCGATCGCATAGTTATCGGCGTAGGTCAAAAAGTGCATGATGGGCGACGTTGCCTTGACGTAATCCTGTACGGCATGGTTAGCTTCTTCCCGCGCGGGAACAAAAGGAAACCTAGGCCTACCTTCAGGTGAGACATTAGATGCGCACCATATCCCTTAACCTGCTGATCCGAAGAGATGGCACAGAATACAATCTCGGCAAATCGACGGCCGTTGAATGGTCGGTACGTAATACCCCTGCACGCCCATCAGTAAGACCATGTCCCCGATACCGGCAACGTCGGGCGCACATACCCGACAACCTCCAGCGGGTGTTTCACGATAGCCATGGACAGATGGGACCGATCGTAAACCAGTCGCGCAATGTAATCCTTGGGCATTTTCGGTAGTTGCTTTTGGAAGATGCATTTCAATCCGGTGAGGACAACAAAACTGTCGCGCGAGCCATCATTATTGACCACCCGGAATTCGATCTCTCCTCGACGCTCCTCAAGTACGGCGGGCTAGAAGCAGACGCAGTGTTAGTGACACCTTCAGCGGATGGACCTAGGTGGCTTGGCTTACCTTCTCGGGAAAAGGGACGATTCGCAGCGGCGGCTTTCCCAACGGTTCATCCTCAGCCTGTCAGGCAAGTCACATCAGAATACACTCGTCATCTACCTCCCGCGAAATCGGTCATATACCTTTGGCTCCCTCTCTGGAGAATCCGTGCGCGCTTTCTTGCTCTGTTGCTGGGAATCTGGGGAAAGGGCCTCCTCCGATGCTTTCCGCTTGGTACCTGGGTCTGTGCTCAGTAAACGAGAAGATGACGGGCACCAAGGACTCCTTCTGGAGATGAGGCAACTCACTGTCCGTTGCCATTGCCACCATTGTGTCGTATAAAGTCTGTAAGAATGGGTTCGATCGCTGGCGTGACCGAGTTAATGGCGCGACCTGCGATATCTCCACGTTTGGCGGATTGCTGATACGGGGCCGGAATCGGAGATACGTCGATCCGGCTGTAATTGGGCCAGATCAACCACTTAGTTTAGTCTACTTCTCCTCCCCGGAGAGCTTTTGGGAGCTTCCATCCTTCTCTTGACACCCCGACCTTCCCAAACTGCTGGTTTCAGTTATATCCGCCCTCGGTATTATCCCCATGTCTTTGAACGAGGTTTGGGAGGCAGCTTCTGCAAGCCCCTACGCGCCCTACATCGGCAAAGAGAGCCAGTTCTCCATTGGCTTTGGTCTACTGCTTTCCGGTAATAGTGATCTGGTCTGTACCCGAGAGAACTGCATCGCTGATTAATTGCTGTAGCCTTTGTCTTGACTGGTCTTTTCGGATTGAGTGAGCTTACCTATCGCCTGAGTTGCATTCATCTTTTATCTCTGCTAACTGAATAGATCGCTCCTTTCTAAGCATTGCATCATTCGGTATCCCGGCATCCTTAGCATTTGGGTATGACGAACAACCCACCTCCAACGCGCCCCGTCCAAGCTAATCTCAGTCCTGCCGCAGCTTTGGAGCCGTGTACATGATCTGTGCCGTTGGGGTCTACGTTTAGTTGACGCGCGAATACCTCAATGTACAATACATGGAGAGTTGAACGAGAAACACAAGGGCTGTACCACTAGAAACATCGCAGGCCCCCGTACTACAGACTCTCTCAAATTGATACCTCGGCGTTTGTTGCTTTAAATTTTTCTATTGTACAGACTTATCATCCAGGACCATGTCGGTCGTGGAACCCATATTTTCCGCTGTTTCCTGCAACACTCAACATCTTTATACCTTGCTTCACTGCATCGGATTCGCGCCGAAAGCCACCGTGCAGATAACCCCGGATGGAATTCGATTCTCCGCACACGACACGCGTGTGATCCAAGGACTTGCCTTTCTCGACAAAGCTCTCTTCACAAGTTATACGTTCAACCAATCCGCCAATCGAGACGAAACCCAGGAAGACGACGAATCCTCGGACGCCCCTCCCTACCCGTGCTTTGTTGTTTCACTGTCCGCTCTCCTTGAAACTCTGAAAATCTTTGGCGCCAACGACACGTCCACCCCCGGAACCAACCGGGCAGCCAGCGTCGCGCCGCCAAACCCGTCGGCATCGAGTGCTTTCACGGCCCCTGCTTTATTGCTGGATCGTTCGTGTACTTTCCAGTATTTTCGTGATGGCTCTCCTCTCAGCATCACGTTGTCCGAGACTGGGGTCAAGACCACGTGCGAGCTGACAACCTATGAACTCGATGGTAGCGAGGTCGACATCCCTCTTCAAAGAGAGGCCATCATCATGAAAATCATCATGCGCTCGGCTTGGTTACACAATGCAGTCACTGAACTGGGGGCCACCGATCCGCGGGTTCTAAAAATATCTGCTTCTGCCAAAGAGGAACCCTTTTTCTCCCTTTCCGGTCACGGTGGTCCCTTCAGCGAATCGTCGGTGGAATTCTCCATCGAGCAGCAGGACCAGAACACCAGCGCGCCACACGAATCCCACCACAAGGTCCTCGCCGATGACGGTACTTCTCGCGCACGTGCAACGAGAGCCAAGCTTGCTCCCACCGTCACCGAGACCTTTCTCGTCAGCCCGCCCTCGTCAATGGGTTCTCGCATCAAGCAAGACTACCGGTTTCCTCTCATCCAGAAGGCCTCCCGGGCGATGGCTGCCGCCAACAAAGTCAGTATCCGAGGAGATCGGCAAGGAGTTCTCAGTCTTCAATTTATGATTGAATTCGACTCGAATGAATCAGGTCAAGCAAGAAGCGCGGTGAAACCTCCTGTGAGTTTCGTGGATTTCCGATTTGTCCCATTGTTGGACGAGGAAGCCGGGGAGGTTGAAGAGGGTGAGGATACGATGGATTGAGAGTCAAGCGAGTGGCGATTTGGTTTTAGTTTTCATGTTCCTGTCACTTGTGAACTATGGTTGGTCTATCATCTTATCATCTATCATAAACCAAGTTATATTCTATGCCCGAAGAATAGAGTGTTTCTGCCTAAGGCCCCAATCCCGCTCTTATCGGCACCCGCATCACGTGCGTACGGGGCAGCTAATCAATCGGCACCCCCCGCGGAAAACGATAAGAAAAATTTCACGGAGTGCCTGGACTTTTCTCTCTTCGGTCTGCTCCTCATCCTCATCCTCCCCAGGCCCTCTACACGTCGAGTATCTCCTCCCAGAGCACCACCCGCCACAATGGACGCCAAAAAGCCCCCTCACTCCGAGTTCGACACCATCCTGACCCTGGACTTCGGGAGTCAGTACACCCACCTTATCACTCGCAGGTATTTCTACCCCTCCTCAGGCCTAGATGAGCGCAGCTAACACCCACCCCTCTAGGCTGGTCAGTACTTAGGATGTTATCGTTGTTCTCTCAATTCACTCTACTAACTGCTCTTCGGCTCACCAGCGAGAGCTCAACATTTACTCTGAGATGCTTCCTTGGTATGTGCCAATCCGTTGAGTCACAGTACAAGGAGCCCCGCACCGCTGACTCAATTCCTCGATCTCGCTACAGCACTCAGAAATTGGCCGATCTCCCGTGGAAGCCCAAGGGTATCATCCTTTCCGGTGGCCCCTACTCCGTTTACGAGGACGGCGCCCCTCACGTTGACCCCGCCTTCTTCGAGCTCGGTGTCCCCATCCTCGGTATTTGCTACGGGCTGCAGGAGATTGCGTACCGTCTGAGCAAGGACAACGTCGCTGCCGGAACTGCTAGAGAGTATGGCCACGCCGTGCTCACCGCCAAGCGACTCGACAACCAGGGCCATGTCGACCGCCTGTTCGCCGGTATCGAGGACCAGACGAACGTGTGGATGTCCCACGGTGACAAGCTCATCAACCTCCCCGAGGGGTTCCACACCATTGCTACCACCCCCAACTCCGAATTCGCTGGTATCGCCCACGAGACCAAGCCCATCTACGCCGTTCAATTCCACCCTGAGGTGAACCACACGACCGAGGGCGTGAAGCTCCTGGAGAACTTTGCCGCGAAGATCTGCGGTGTCACGCAGAACTGGACAATGGACAAGTTTGTGGACCAGGAGATCACTCGTATTCGCGAGTTGGTCGGTGAGACGGACCATGTCCTCGGTGCCGTCAGTGGTGGCGTGGACTCCACCGTTGCCTCCAAGCTCATGAAGGAGGCCATTGGCGACCGGTTCCACGCCGTCCTCGTTGACAACGGCTGCCTGCGTCTGAACGAAGCCCAGCAGGTTTACGAGACCCTCGGAAAGCACTTGGGAATCAACCTGACGGTTGTGGACGCCTCCAAGGACTTCTTGGGCGGTCTGAAGGGTGTCACGGACCCCGAGAAGAAGCGCAAGTTCATCGGTGGAAAGTTCATCGATGTCTTTGAGGCCGAGGCGGCGAAGATTGAGGCCAGCGTTGAGCACACCGGTGCCAAGGTCCGGTGGTTCCTTCAGGGTACCCTGTACCCCGATGTCATTGAGAGTCTTTCCTTCAAGGGTCCCAGTGCCACCATCAAGACCCACCACAACGTTGGAGGCCTTCCGGCCCGTATGCAGGAGGGCGCTGGTCTGAAGCTCATCGAGCCCCTTCGCGAGCTCTTCAAGGATGAGGTTCGACAGCTGGGTCGTGAGCTGGGCATTCACAACGACCTGGTCATGCGTCACCGTAAGTGACTCTATCACTTTTGTCTTATGATTTTGCTATAGACTTTTTTACTAACGTAACCCACAACAGCCTTCCCCGGTCCTGGTATTGCCATTCGGTAAGTGAACCGGCCTTCTCTAGCCCATCAGCTAGGGCCAAACATGAACTTCTAGATCAACTCCTAACACATCTATTCAGTGTTCTCGGCGAAGTGACCCCCGAGCGTGTCGAGATCGCCAGACAGGCCGACCACATCTTTATCTCCATGATCCGCGAGGCTGGCCTCTACGATAACATTGCTCAGGCCTACGCCGCTTTGGATCCCACCAAGGCCGTCGGTGTTATGGTAAAAATGACCCTTTTCTCCGCCGCGATAACATTCCACAACATTCTAACTCTCACCATAGGGTGACAAGCGTGTCCACGCCGAAATGGTTATCCTCCGAGCCGTCCAGACCACTGATTGTATGTTCCTCTTCCTCTCCCATTTTCCCGGTCTACTACAGTCAATCAGTCAGAACTAACTAACCAACCACAGTCATGACCTGTACCGCATACCCCTTCCCTCACGATTTCCTTTCCCGCGCCTCTACCCGGATCATTAACGAGGTGCACGGCGGTATGTTTTCTCTCTCTCCCCAAATATATTCCATCGATCCATGCATGACTTAACGATACTAACTTGACGTGCTGCAGTTTCCCGCGTTCTCTACGATATCTCTTCCAAGGTGAGCTCAAACATCCTCCTACTTCCAAATCCCAGAAGATCCTTTAGCTAATCGTGAATGACAAACAGCCCCCTGCTACTATCGAAATGGAGTAATTGGATCCAGACGTTTATTTAGATGGGATTGCATTGGCGATGGTGGAGTGGCTAAAAAAAATCTTTAACATAAAATCTGGTTAGACGATTATTAATGCATACGCTTATGAAGTTTTAAAAGGCAACCTCGCGTAATCAGAAAAGAGAACGGAAGGTAATCAACCCTTCCAGGCTTAATTTTCGACGGATCACTGTAGACGAGCAAATCGAGATGGTATTTTGATCATATCTTACATATCTCAGGGCCTTAATAAATGTACAAGGGGGGGAAAAAAAGCTCCCCACCACTACTCCCCGATTCTGCCATTATTGGAGTGAAACATTCCCGAGTGAATTACTGAAATAGAGAAAAGGCTGAGCCCAGTCAATGTTAGGGCAATCACATAACCTAGAAGACAAAGGGCGGTTAGTACATGAGGTTCCAGACCTATCCAACCAGGAATACAGATAAGCTCACCTCGGCAATTGACTGCCTCTCGATGATCGAATTTTGCTTCTCATTCCGAGACACGCGGTAATAGTAATCGCTGAAGTCGCCGCACTGCATATGTCGAAGAAAGTCCTCGTCGTGCGTAATGATAATCAGCTGGAAATTGGCCTGCTGGCGACGCGTGCGGATGATGTCGTGCAATGACTCTGCGAGAGACCGGATATTGTCGCGGTCAAGGTTGGTCGTTGGCTCGTCCAGCGCGATCAGACCGCAGTTGACACCGAAGCACTCGGCGAGGGCTAGACGAATGATGATACTTGCTAGCACCTTTTGACCGGCACTGCAGCGCCCTCGCATGTCCATCTCTGCACCCTGCTTGACCATGCAAACCCGGTAGTTGTAGGATCGGTTGCCCTTGGCGTTTTCATTGTCCGAGCGGATGAGGATCGTGTCTACATCAGTTCCTCTGTAGGTCTTCTGCCACAGCTCTCCGATAATGGCGTTGATCTCTTCCATCTTCAGGCCGTGATACTTCATGATGGCTTTGTCTAAAGCGCCTCCATACCGAGCCAGATCGTCGACTGCAGCCTTCGTGGTTTCCACCTTGATGTGTGCCTCCTTGTATTTGGAAGCAGCATCCTTGTAATCGGTGTTCCAGTCTGCCAGCAGCTGCATCAGTTGATCGTCCTTGGACTTCATTTCACCCATTTTGCTGGCTTGCTTTGCGGCTATCGCATTGTGTTCGCGAGTGCGACGTTCTGATTCTTCTTTGAAATGACTCCGGTCCACCTCGGCATTCTGGGCTGCGAGCTGTTCGATCTCTGCCTGAACCGTATCAAGCGCTCTGGTCGCCTGACGATAAGTCAAATTATCCGCATACTGGCGTTTGGTGCTCTCGCTGTCTTTCAATTGAGCGGAAATCTTGTTGATCTCTTTGGTTATGGCGCCTAGCTCGGCCTCCAGTTGATCGGTTTCTTCCTCAATCTCCTCAAGTTCACGCTTACTCCGGTCCAGCTGGCCCGGACCGCCGCGCTGGTTGTAAGCATCAATCTCTTCGTTTGCCAACTCCAACTGGTGAACGCTCTCGTACAATTGGGAGATTGCCTGTTGCATCTCCCGCTCTCGATTTTCGGCGCGCTGGCTGATGTCGTCATACTTGGCTTGAACCTTTAGAAGCTCTGGCGTCAAGTCTTCAATGTCTTTGTCGGCTTTTGCAATCGCGTCGCGCTGCTGACCATTGAGATTCTTGTACTCCTCCAGACGACTGAGGATGTCAGCCTTCTTCTCCAGCTGGAATTTCGTGTTATCGAGGTTACTCTTGACGTCTCTTAATTGTAACTCCAGGTTGTTGATTTCCGACCGGGTCTGTTCTCGGTCATTCGTGAGTTTCGTCAGGGTCTTCTTCAAAGCTCTAGACTTTTCACCGATGGAAGCCAATTGGTCTTGGATGTCTTCCAATGTGCGCGTAGAGCCAGCGTCTTGCTGCTTCGAGGTAAGGTCCCGTATCTGGGAGTGGATCGACTTGATTTCACTCTCATATCGGACTATGGTATTGACCGTCTTGGAAAGAGCTTCAACGTCCCTTTTCTTTTCAGTCTTTTTGCTGACGATCTTGTCACGATCCTCCAGTTGGTTCAAGAGCTCGTCCCGCTGGTTGAGGTACTGCCCTTCTTCCTTCTCCAGTTCTGGGATCTCCGTATCCTGTAGACGGGACCAGGTATCGTACGAAGTGCTAGCGGCGCGAGCGGTGTTAACGTCCTCCTCGAGATTGCGTACCTCCTCATCGTCAGCGTCGCATCTGGCCTTTTTAACTAGGTTCTCTAGTTTGTTCTTGAAAGACTGCAGCTCGGTATCATTTCTGAATCCCCGAGTACATAGCCTACATGCCTTGGCCTGCTTGGCTGTCTCGAGACACGTAGCCAAGTATTCGCCAATACCCGCGAACTGTTCAGCATCTTTCCTTGAAATGTCAAGCTGCGCCTGTCGCTGCTGAAGGATTTCAGGATATTCCTCAGGTTCGCCATTGACAGCCTTGCGAATCTCATCGGTACATTCCTTGAGTTCTTTTTTCCGTTGAGTGAGAGTCTTCTGGACGTTCTTCAATTTGTATTCCACTTGCTCCAGCTCTCTACTGACTGCATCACGTTCCTGTTCGGCCTTCGATACAAGCTCCGATTCACCGCGCAAGGCATTATGGAAGTCCTGCTCCAAGGCCTCGGATTTCCAGTCTGCACTCACAAGCTTGGAAAGACGATCGCCGTGGGCGCCCTCCATCGTACTCAAGCTGCGCTCCCGTTCCTTGAGCTCTTTTTTCAGATGGTCTAATCGGGCCAAGTCACCAGCCCGCTTAGTGGCATCGATTAGTTCGGCATTTAGGCGAGAGCTCTCATCCTCGAAGTTACGAAGTTCAGAATTCACATTAGAAATCTCCTGATCCCAGGAGGCAGACTTGGCGCGCTCCTTGGCCTGATCCAAACGTGACATGGTGTCTTCGATATTTGATTCGAGCGCAGCTTGAACGCCTTCGTCGACATTGATTTCGTTGAGCTTGGCCTGGTAAGATGCTGCATCTATGTCATTTGAAGCAATCTGCCGTCTTGCGGCATTTTTGGTTTCTTGCAGTGCAGACTTCCGCTTTTCGATTTCATTCAGGGTGGCTTGCACCTCGCGAAGTTCGCTCTGCGCATCCCGCCTGGCCCGATCTAGCGCCTGGTTTTGGTCCTTAAGTAGCTTCCTGACCTTCTTCATGAACTCGTCAACATCGGCTTGATCCTCAACCTTATCGAACCCCCGAATGTTATTTCCTCGAGCGATCTCTTTTGTCATTTTCTGCCGCCGCTCAACCTGCCGCTCAAAATTGGCCTTGTCGTTTTCGAACTTTCCACGTTCTGCTTGCTTTACTCCCAGTTTTTGCCGGGCATGTTCGATTTTCTCTTTGATTTCCATGTAGTTCTCTTTCTGGGCTTCTTCCTGTTGCTGATACTGAATCTGTCGTGTTTCGAACTGTTCCAGATTCGTCTCCAGCCACTCGTCTGAATCATCCAGTTCCACAAGGTGTCTTTTCAAACTGTCGATGGTTGCGTTGACACTTTTAGCTTCGATGCGCTTCCCTTCTAGAGCGCCCAGCACCTGGGAGTAGCTCTCGGATTCTTTCCATGCTTTGTCGGCGAGGTCGGCAACACGTCGCATCTCTTGCGAGAGTCTGTGCGTCTCGTCACGTAGAGCTTCGATCTCGTCCTGCAGCTTGATGGACCTCTTTTCGGCTTTGTCGGCCTTCTCTTTGTCCTCCTTGGCGTGCTGCTCCATGATTTTGTACTTGGCTAGCTCCTCGTTCTGCTTCTTCCTAAGAGCTTTGATGTTGTCGATGGCTTTTGTGTATTTTATCGCTTCGAAGATCTCGTCGAATTTCTTCTTGAGGACGGAGGGCTCGCTCATCGGCCACAAGCTCTCATCTTGGTGACAGAAGATGACCGAATCCAAGATGGCCTTGGACACGCCAAGGTATTGGGGCATGATCTGATCCAACTCCGCCACACGCGAGGAGATGGCGGTTCTCTCGCCATCCTTGACCATCAATAGCTGCCCTTCCAACGTCTTTTGTTGTCGGGTGGTTTTCTTGACTGTAAGTTGCAAACTTCTCGTGGCGACCATCTTGGCGCCCGAGGTAGCTTTGAATGACATCTTCACCTGGGCCAGCACCTCTTTTTCGCCACAGAGCTTTGGGTCATGGATGAAGGCGCCGCCCTTGCTGTTCGGCGGGAGGTCTCCGGTGGTGGCATATTTGAGACATTCGATGATGGTCTGTTTTCCCCGTTAGCCCCAGTTCGGATGGGTTGTTCTGACGCAGGTGTGTAGAGTCGTACCGTTTTCCCCGATCCATTGTAACCGACGATTAGCGTGAGAGGGGTGTGGAATTGGATGGTCTCGCTGCGGGTGTTGTCGAAGGAGCGGACCCTAGACAGCGTTGCGGAGGATTCAGTGTGATTCTATGCATGGAGGGAGAGAGACTATTTAGAGGGGAGCGCATCGACATACCCGAGAATGGAAAGTTTATCGATCTTCGCTGAGAGATGACCGTTAGTTGGACCGATTTCGGATTTCGGGGTCTGGTCTGGATCCGCCGGAGGACTTACACCTGGGGAGGCGGTCAACGAAGGACGAACTCGGATGAGAATCATGCGAAGGGAGAGAGAAAGACTCACATGATGACCCAACGGGCGACTTCCCCGTCTCTTTCCGCTGGCGACTCTGTGGCAGGAGGAAGGATGGAATGGCGCGTCGGGGACTCCAAACGACGCGGGGAAGGCGGCGCGCGGACACGTGACGCTGGCGGTGGTCACGGGGCTCCGGGCCACAGCGAAAGAGGCAACAGCCCAAGGGGAAAAGGGATTCCGTGGAAGAAAAAAACGGTACTTTTTAGTGAGAGACGTCAAACCCGCCCGCGAGGCGACTGCATCTTATCCTTGTCGGAAAGCCTGCAATGGACGGGTCAAGGCGTAACCCCCCTTGTGGACGAGACTCCAGGCACCATCCTATCGGATACATCTCGACCCAGCTCTCCTCATTGGCACGTCCGGTGGGTCGGCCCCGGTCGTTATACAGTACAGGAATTGACAGCTCTATCCATTCCAGCTTAAGTGGCTCGTAAATGCTGCTGCTAGCCTAGTCGCCGGCTGTCTGGCTATCGCTCTCTCACTTTTCCTCTCTCTCTCTCTTCCTCTCTTTCCCTCTCTCTCTCTCTTCCTCTCTTTCCCTCTCTTCTCCCTCTCGCTCTCTTTTCGTCACCCTCTCAGTGTATGTGTGGCCCCGGATGTCAGTCTCCCTCGCGACTGCTGTCCCGTCGGCCACTCCCTCTTCCACCATGGATTCAGATTCTGCCTCCGTCGACAAAGGGTCAACAACCATGCCACATAATACCCATTTATCGCTGGTGCCGGGCCCTGTGAAGGGCCCGTATACTACGGTGCCCACCACCGCCACCAGTTCTCCTACTACTGCTACTGCTACTGCCACCACCACAGCCATGACCTCGCTTACAACCACTATTCCTATAATGGCCTCCTCCGTGCCGGCCTCAACAGCCGCGGCAAGGGAGCCTCGATATCTTCCTCCATCACAGCCGGGGAATTTCGGCGCACAAAACGCCCATCTCGACCCGTCATCCGATGCTTCGACGAAGTCGGTATGGACGCAGCGGGTTTTGGGCGAGATGAAAGACATGCTGCTCCTTCTCGGCGCCGACGGGCGCATTGCGTATGCGTCGCCTGCCTGTCATTGGATCACCGGCTATGAGTTCGCCCAGATAGACAGACAGGATATCGCCCGTTTCATCCACACGGAGGATCGAACGTTCTTCGCCGCCGAAATGGATGAATGTATCGCGAATGCCCGGCCGTTCCATTGTCATTTCCGATTCTACAAGCGCGACAATGCCAGCTGTGTCCTCGAATCGTATGGACATCCGCATATGGCGACGCCCAAAAAGGGTAGCGGCAACAGTAACGGCAAACAGGCCCAAGTCTGCAATGGCGTGTTTCTCATCTGTCGACCCTATCCCACAAAGAGCTCGCAAACTCTCGATTCGTTCCTGGAGCACAAGCTCGAGAACATTCGACTAAACCAGCAGATCGCGCAACTGAGGGAGGAGAAAGAGGAAGATGATATTAACGCGGGCCAGCAAACGGCCGCCGGTAATCAAAGAACCACGACGACGACCACACATACGATGCACTCGACATTCATTACCTCCGTGCAGCAAAGCATCACCGAGTCCAACGAGCTCGACGCTACCGGCTCGGGGGATGATTCCAACGACTCGTCCGACGAGCCCACCATCGGTGACGAGTCCGATTCACGTTCATTTCTGGAACAAATCGAGGACCGGCTACCTCCGACTGAAGACATGTCTCATATCGAAGGCATCGAGGTTATGACCGGTCTGTATTATGGAGACGGCGAACGATCACAAGGTCTCAGTACCGGCCTGCGAAAAGGCCGTCTCATCCACTGCAACAGGGACAGCACCTCATCCGACTCGGAAGATCTAGAAATGCAAGATGGCGACCGGAGGAAACGGCTAAAGGGGGAATATATGTGCACCGACTGCGGCACAGCCGACTCTCCAGAGTGGAGAAAGGGTCCCGAAGGACCAAAGACGCTGTGTAACGCGTGCGGGTGTAAGTTGAAGAATGCTCTCCCCCAAAGTCAAAGCTCCTACCCTCCAGGGACTTCCCACCCAGACTAATTCCTTCGTGCATATAGTACGTTGGGCTAAAAAGGAGAAGAGGCGTCAAGACCCGATCTAGTCCCTCCCCTACTCCTCTTCCTTTTTCCCTTTCTGTCATTTGTTGCTAGATCGGGTGCCTAATCGATTGTTCATTTCTTGCGTTGCGAAATATCCTGTTCCTGTCAACGATACCCCAAACCCTTTGTTTTCTGTTCTTCCAATGTGCCTTCGGCCTTCGCACTTGAACCTAATTGTTTCTCCCTCTGTGCTACCCTCCATCGCGCACTGATGCGCACAGCACTGATGCGCACAGCACACTCTAGCTGGCATGGATCGGCGCTCTGCCTTAGCGTATTGTCTTGTCTATCTGTTTTTCTTTTCTTTTTCTTTTTCTTTAATTCTCGCACACGCTTTTTCTGGCTTCTCTTCGTTCTTTCTCTCTCTCTCTCTCTCTCTCTCTGTCTCTCTCTCTCTTTCTCTTTCTTTTTCCCCCCAAAATCTTCTCTTGTCATATGCGTTGGACAAATGATGCTGATGAAATTTCCCATGGAATGTAAAATTTGTTTGCGGCTATGAGAACTTGTGTATATTGATATATCTCGAACCAGATGTGAATTGAGAGCCATATTAACTACTTGGTCATGAAGGCATACTCCGCGAGAATGGTATAGACGAGCACATTAGCAAAACAAAAAGTCAAAGAACACATCATAAAGGAAGGAATAGAACACCATGACTGGTCGCCTGGGTTTGCTGCACCGTAGAAACTACTAGTGGCAGCAGGGATACTGTATTTCGAATCAAGATAAAAATAAGACCAGCCGACCAGAATGCAAGTTGGTAGAAACGGAGGATATATAACAGAAAACCAAATTGAAACTTGCTGAATCATGACATCTCGCTCGTCGATCAGGGTTTAAAATAAGAGGATCGCCCGATCGACAAGGCCAGTGATTGTCAATGTGAACATGTCACACTAGATCGAGGCCCCCCACAGAACAATCGACAAGACAAGCAAAGCGGAGCCCCCCGTCTCACGTCTTGGCCGCCTTTTTGGGCGGCGGCGGGAAATACGTCTGGACTGGAGCTTGATGCCCCGGCGTTAGAGTCTCCGCCGACTCCTGGTGCAACGACCGACGCGGGTTCGGCGAGCTGAGGTGCTCCCGCAGGGGAAGGTCTGACGAGTCGCGGCCGAGTCGGTTGAATGCCAGACTGCGTGGTGTCATCATGGGCGACGCTTGCATTCCCGACATTGCCTCCGGGGGAGGTGCGGCGGGGGTCATGGGAATCATGGGGGACTTGAGCACCATGTCTTCGTATTCCTTCATGGTTCTCTTTTCTTCGCGGCGCTCGGCGTGCTCTGCGCGATCCTCGTCTGTTGGGATGCAGGAATGGATACTGATGCACATTTCGATGAAGTAAAGGACACTGGAGAGATGTTTAGTCTGAAGAAAATCAAGACGGAGAGCCACGGTACGTTAGGGGGCACCGCTCACATTATTATTATAGTGAAAGCAAACAGGACTTTCGCCTGTTGACAATACCCAACATTCTCTGGGTTTGAGGCCACGGAGCATTGCTTCGTAATGTACCATGGGGGACCGTGCTGGGGGTGTTTAGGGTCCGATGTATCACTACCAGCCTGGTAGGCCGCGGACGCGATGTAGAGTGCGAATAATCCCGCATGGATTATGACTGATAGGGGAGGATACCAGATGCGGAGGACATGGACGGCGGCTTTTGTAATCATGAAGAAGGTGCTCAAGACGCTCAGCACTAGATTGTAGTCGGTGATACTATCACCTGTTAGCATCCGATAACCCCCTCGTTGAAACCATCAGCGACGAAGATGGACGTACAATGAACTCCAGACCATCGGAACCTTGAAAGCCCGGTAGTTCGCGGCGGCATAGACAACCTCATCGGGTGCACTGTTGAAGCCATTGTCCGCACCATCCTGCCAGAGCTTGGTCCGGTACGTATCATGAGAGGCAATGCCGGCAAACGTCAAGATAATCACGGTGATAGGGAACTCGATGGCCACTAAGATATAGAAGAGATTGTGGTTGCGCCAGTTCCGAGGGAACAACATGTTGGCGGTGTTATCTGAAACCGGGGCAGTTGAGTTCTACCGCGCCTTAATTTCGCTGATGCAGTCGAACAGATTCTGTGGGTGATGGCCAGGCCGGCTGGCTGGGCGTTCAGATCACACGCATCAGACGGTCCAGGAAAGTCAGATCGCAGCGGGAGAAATCCTAAGAACGAAGTCTTGGGAAATCAGCCGGGTAGGCGCCGTAGATATGGAGCGCAGTGCCGCAGCGCTGCAGGTCGGCCATCCGCTCCGTACGGACCATGGCCAGGGATTAGAAGAGGGGCAACGCTCAAGCGACGAGAATGCAACAGAGCGCAATGTTTCCCAGAGGTGCATCTGGCCAATGCTTGTTGTCAGAAAAGCGCCAGCACCGGAAGGAGGACGAGGGTCTGTCGCCAATGGGGCGGCAGAACGAGGGAAAAGGCCGGTAGCCGTCACACACTAGGCCGTGTGATAGCGAGGGTGATCTGCATGTTCGAGCAGAACGCATCGGCGCACCAGGACTGGTGGGATTGGCCGGGGCCTGTCATCCAGCTAAGCGCCCGTGTGGAGATTGGCATCTGTGCTGAGTCGGACTGCTGTGACGGCGCATGCATGGGATTGGCATGGTTGGGTTGGATTCCGAAAGTACGAAATCGCGATTTTCCCATCGAGAGCAAGATGGAGATCAGATCTGGTGGAACATTGCTATCTCAGATGGTGGTGATTGAACAGGTCGATAGAGATGTGAGAAGAGGAAGAAAGATGAAAAGGAGAGAGAAGAATGCGGGGGAGACGTCATTCTATTGCTGCTCCTCCACTTCTCCCCCCTGTCCCGTTAACAACATCCATCATACCATCAAACCATCCATAACTGTGTACTAATCTACTCATACTCCATCCTGAATGCGACCCCAACTGCTGCAGTGCCGCCGACTCCACCGTTCTTTAATCGCGTCACATCGGTCCTTCTCGTCACTCCCGATGAGCTCGTCCGGCGGCAAGAAGACGTCGGTGCCTCATCTGGTGCGCACTGCCGCTGAACCCCGGCAGAACCGACTCTACAATGTGCACATCTCTCATATTGAGCAAGTCAATCCGTCGATTCGACTATTCCAGTTAGCCATTCCTCCCCAAAATGTACTAGAGACCCCCGAACCGGATGGCGCCGAGGTAGGTGTCCTGTATTCAGCCCCTCAGTCATACCCATGCATCGTTTGGAAGTATACGAATGCTGACGTTGATTTTCAGTCATCTCCTCAACCATTTGCCTTTCTTCCCGGTCAATGGCTAGACGTCCATATCCCGTCTGTCGCCCACGCTGGTGGATTCAGCATCACCTCCACGCCCGCCGATGCACGGGTGCTGCCAACCCCAGAGCCAGCAACTGAGCCTCTACTCGAGAGTGAGGACGAAACGGAGGTCTCCCCCGTTGAACCCCAAGGCAGAGCCCCCTACGTAGAGCTAGCGGTCCAGCACGCGCCAGGAAACCCGGCTAGTGCATGGCTCTGGCAGACCCCTAGTGAAATCCAAGGAAAGGAATTGACCGTCCGCGTCGGCGGCGGCTTCGTATGGCCTCCATTACGACTTAACCTCGAAGAGGTCCGGAATGTAGTTCTAATTGCTGGTGGTGTAGGGATCAAGTAAGTCCTTCACTCTCCTCTCTGTCTTACGTGAAGGCTAGAAAGCAACCCAGCCCGATAATCTCCATCCTTTCCCACTTGAACAACAATGTCGACGAAATCATAGCTCTTCGACACCCCTTCAACATCCGCCTTCTATACTCCACCAAGTTGCCCCCATCGACTAGTGATACACCAACAAGATCCTCCGAGTCACACCTCGCCCAGGTCCTCTTCCTCTCGCGACTTCGCCAGATCATTCGCGGCCAATCGCAATCCCATCGTCTGCGAATCTCTCTCGATCTCTTTCTGACTAACCTGTCCGATGATCAACATAGCCTGCTGCAGGAGACTCCAGCAGATCTAACGATTCATTCGGGGCGGATCAATGACGGCGATTTAAAAAAGAGCTTAGCGAGTCCAGAGGGGAAAGTAAACCCTACTAATACAGTATGCTATGTGTGTGGTCCGCCTAGCATGACAGATGGGGTTGTGGGTGCTTTGGGGGGCTTGATGGGTTCGGGGAAAGAGAGGGTGTTCTTTGAGAAGTGGTGGTAAAGTTATTTTTGCCTTCAAGACTGCTCTGATTCTTGCATATCAAAGTATTTCCGTGCGGATTTATGTTTTTCGAAACGAGATGAGTAAGGTAGGTGGTTATTGAGTAGTAAAGATACGTCGTATTTGGTAAATCAACATTCGCTTCCTATACAGATACCAAACGACCACATCGGCCAAAGAATGGAAACAGAGCTTCGCATGATAAGCACTGATCGCAACTGATGAGATACCATGCCAGCATCTTAAATGTTCATCAAATGGGCGCAGGATCTCTGTCCCAGGAGAGCGAGCCTTCGCTCACAGTAAGTGGATGAGAATATAGTGACTTTCTAACCCCCCCCTCCTTTAGATACTCAAGAGTGGAGAAAGCAGGCGATCACGAAATGCAATTTTAGTTGTCCTCCCCGGGTCCTTTCACGATTCCCCCGTCGACGATCATCATCTCGTCTATCTTGGCCTCGGTTTGGCCATATTCAAGTCGCTTGTATGTCATGACTCGTCCTGAGTTCATGTCGAAATCAAAGAATCTGATACGCCGGACGTAGCCGCCGTAGCCTCCGTAGCCTCCAAATCCGGAGCCGCCGCCGTAGCACATCCAAAGAGACGCTTTCTCATTTGTGTCCTTGTTCAGCATGCAGTAGTCATTGACATGATCACTAGAGATGTTCGGTTAGTAACCGGCATATCTTCGATTGACCGTGGAGGGCGTTGTAACTTACTGTCCTGCACTAACAAAGAGGATTCCTTCCTCCTCAAGAGCATCCTTCAATCCTGAATTGAATCCAGGGGCCGTCGGTGCTTCCGACCAATCTCCCCGGTAATAATTCTGAGACTCGCGGTACTCAGGCAGCGGAATATGAATGAATGCCACGTCCATATGCATATGGGTATACTCATGGTGTTTGGTCTTGAGGCCCTGAGCGGTGTTCTTGAACCACCGGATCTGGCTAGGCTTCACCCAGTCATAACCCCTGAACTGTCGCTCGTCGGGGGAGTAAGAGTGAGTGTCCAGAAGGTAGAGAGTCAAAGCAGAGTGGGCCGTCTTTCCGCGACCAAGGACTTCAACTATGTAGTTGCCGACTCCGTCCACTTCGTCAGGGCCAGCCGATGATAGTGAGTACGGTAGGTCCTCCAGGATTTCCATGAGGGCCGCCCGCTTGAGGTTACCCTCGTCGTCATGATTGCCAAAAATGGCGGCGTATGGGATTTTGCGGTCAACCAGCAGCTTGGCTGCCTTGAAGAGCGCGCTCTGTGCGTCTTTGGAAGTTTCGCCATTCACTTGGTCTCCGCTCATCACGACCATGTCGGGCTGCTCCTCATCGAGGAGTCTTTCCACGAACTCGAGCGTTCGCGTGTCGGCTTCGCACTTCTGTCCTGGCACAGGCTCGGCCGGAACTGGGTCTCGGCAGTGTCCAAGACCAGTGCTGAGATGTAGATCGGCCAACTGCATGATTTTAAATCGGCCATTATCATTGATTCGAGGAACGGGCCTCTTCGTCCTGGGCATGTCTCCCCTGCGCACGCTGATACGAGTCTCCAGCTCCTCCGTCCGGCTATCCAGCAGTAACGGAGTCCCGTTCACCTCCCAACCAAGTCGCGGGTCGACTGCATCGGCGCCAAAGAGGACATCGACTGAGGTGATGACGGACTGCGAATCGCTTGCATGGCGTTTCGCCGTCCGCTTCAGCCAGATGCCACCTTGTCTTTGCTCCCACTCCTCGCCCTTGTTCTTGGATTCAGGGGTCGATTCGGGAACGAGCCGACCAATCTTCAGGTCGATGACAACCTTGTCGGCAGGAAGCAGATCCTCCTCTTTCTTGTGCTCAAATCGCACGAAGGCAGAGGAGGTCCAGCCTGTGCGCAGATAGAGATCCTTGTCGACTTGCGACCATGTTGGTGAGTCTGGTTTGCAGCCGGAAAATACGTTGAGAGTGGAGCAGGTCACGATGACCACATCGGTGACGACAAAGCCCGCATAGTGAGACGGAAGGTGTTCGTGGATGGAGTCCGGTAGAACGCGAAATCGATTATCCAGAGTTACGATGAGGAGTAGAACAAAAGCGGCGAAAATAGCGAGCTGCACGCCCGCGCGAACCTAGAGGTACGTCTCGATTAGCTTCCGATGTCGTTATTGATGAGACAGCGTCAGTTGAGAAGAGGTAGGAGAGCGTACAAGTCGACGTGCCATGATAGTAGCACTAGGTCCCCCTGGAAAGCTTTGAAGGAATGAAAAGCGACCGGGCGCTGAAGCATGGTGGAGTCCACTCGGACAGAGAAATGTATTCAAGGGGCTCACCAAGAAGAAGACCTATCGTCAGGTCATCTCAAGGGGCCATTATCCAGAGCATAGATGGAAGATCGTCGAGGGAAATGAATGGCCAGCATTATTTTGGCCAGTTGCCCGTCAGTCGAGTCGGGAAGGCGGTCACATGGAATCGGCCTCAGGCTAGACTTGGGGGTTGGGCCATCTTGGGCTACGGGTCGGTCCTTTGGGCTATGCAGCATGGGTTATGGTATATCGCTGGTATTCTAGAATGTATGTATGTACCTATACGTATCGGAATATCTAGCACAACTGAGGATTTCCTCTTCTGGGTACCGCCGCTTTAGTGAGGGTATTCAGGACCCTATTTAATAAATAATTTATATTAGTTACCTCCCCAGCCGAAGGCGTAAAATAAAGCTGATAATATGCCTGATTAGGTAACTGTATTGGGGTCCTCGATGTTACAGAATTTGTGTAAATTCAACATCTTTATAAAATCGCGGTATTTCTAAATCGGTAGGTAGGATCTTAGTCTGTCTATCTGCAGATATACTAGTAGTGGCCACCTATTCGACTACGATCTAACCGTTCAGTACCTCTTGAGTCTTGACGGAGCCAGTATTAATAAATATCTATATAACGAAAGCGTATAGATAGCGTTAAATTCTCGCTCTATAGAATATAGACCGTCTGTCACGGTGCAGACCTAGGGTGCCTGAGGCACCTCCTCGGCGTAGCCCGGAACGCTATATTATCCGTTCCGGGATCCGCATATCTCCCGCCTGCCTGAAGATCCTGTTGTAGCTCTTCGAGCTACGTCTTGTCTATAAGCCTGTAGATAGCTTGACCCTGTAGCAATTCAGAGATATTGTGAACTATTAGCCTGCCTGCTCGCCTGCCTGCCATCAGCTCTACTACCCCGCCAGCCCGCACCTTGACACCGTCTACCTATTATTTATTATATTTAATTAATATCTTATAATAAAGGTTGAAATATAAGGCGTTAAATAATCGCTTGAATCGCTTCTACTAGAACACGTTCTTACCTACTTCGGATATAGTAAGTAATTCTACCTTAGCAGTAGAGATCAAAACGGTCTTCTACTTTACTATTTTAAACTAGAAGACGGCAATCGAAAGGATTGGGGCTGCGGCCGGGAGTCGGCACAACTGTCGCGACAGACTCCAGGTGGTCACGGGCAGTTGTTTCAAGCGATGCCTTGCCGTCGCCAACAGTATCAACCACGTACTGGCTCTGAACCTCGGCAAGTAAAATAATCTCATACTGTCGGGTAATGCGGACATAGTTGTAATTGCGCTTGAATTCAAGGAAGAATCCAACAGCGGGGGATCCAGTCATATGGATGAGCTTGCCCTTCGTGCCAGCATTGCCGGTTGGGATCCAAATGCCATGATGGGCCGGTTTGGTGGCATTGGAGAAAACGGCTAAGTAGATGGATGGTGCGAGGCATTGGCTCTACCAATACAGCTATAATGGTTTGGCTCGAGGGCTTTTCGGGGGGTGGGCAGACACAAACAAATATGGAATCTTGAAGGATTGAGTAATAGATGCTTGAATAAATGTTCTGAGTAGAGCATTGTCAGTTAATATCTTCGAGAGTTTATATGTTGCTTGTTCAACGACAGAAAGGAGGCCCCAATCAGTTTCTTATATCCTAAATACCTAGTATATTGCCGGATGTATGACCGCGTCACTATAAATGTCCAGGGGACCTCGATTATTCACTATCAGCTTCCAGTGGCCAAATGCAACGTGTACGTATGTTCGCACTAAAACATCCCATAGAGCGCTTAAGTGAGGGGGTGTCCTTTCTTGCCCTTGCTGGACGCCTCATCAGGGTCTATTCTTGCACATTTACCCATATAACTCAAACAATAAATCATTCATAGCCCCGCGCCATGCAGCCCTAGAATAGCCACTGAGGGGTAAACACGGAAATAAACCTCAACACTCTTGTTATTGGTGAGACTGCATGAGGTATCTGCGGCAATAACTTAATAATCGCTGCAGCCTATCCAACGAAACGAGACAAGAGTTGGTCCAGGTTCAGCCGCAGGGTCCATCTAATAAAAGAAGTTCGCTGGCGTAGACCCCCTGGAGTATTCCTAATCTCGTAGCGGTTGTTTTCTTCCAAATATGGATCCCTTGAAGCGTTCAGTGTTTTGGCTGACATGTCGTGCTTGGCACGCGATAGGACGGTCTACGGCGCCTAAAAACCAGATCTTTACCGCCTACTTTTGCAAAGAGGTAGGTGTGCGTTTCAATATGGATATATGTAAATTGCTGGGATTTTTTTTTGTTTTGTTTTTTTGTGGAAACATCAGAATCATGAGGCCAAGCCGAACCTAGGTTCCCCCACTGGAGACTGCAACATACACATTGTAGGAAAAGCCAGGGTGTCTTATTTGAAATTGAATATTGCAGACCCAGAGGATGCGAGAAAACAATGTAGCAGCAGACATACTTGATTTTCGGGGGAGCTCAAATACCTTCTTTTTCCGTTCTAGTGCTCACTGAGTAGACCTGAGCAGGCTGAGCGGCTTGGATAAGGGTAACCTCAGCACCGAGCTAGCGTGTCATCCGCTTCCAGGTTGACTCCCATAATTTCTATCTAAGGTGCAGAATGGTTGTATTAATCCCAACGAGCGTCCTCATGCGCACAACTAGATACCCTTGGAGAGGACAAACCACAGCCAAGGGTGGTATACAGTCTCATCATCGACGGGGTCTAGAATAGTTGGCAGGTATTTTGTTTTCCATTCTTCATCCAGATCATCATCGAAATAGTCCGGATTCACCCTAACACGACGCACCTTGCAATACTCCCAGTAAGCAGGGTACCACCCTGCCTGGCCCCAATCAAGGATAGCAGTGACTACTGGATTCGGCCCTGGTGATAAAATGATATTGGGGGGCACAAGGTCGTCATGTGTGAAAACCACAGGCACCTCACCATCGATCTCGATATCGCAGCCATTTTGAAATTTCCGGACGGCGTCTGCACCGCGGAACGGGCCAGCCAAGTCGCGGTGGCCGGAAAGAAAGATGTCATTTAGCGGTTGATTGTCTAGGCTGCCTAAGAGGCACGTTAGCATAGTTCTGCCTAGGTACCGTGATTTTGTCAAGGCACTTACCCACGTAAAGGCCTCGGTCTGGTTGTTCTAACGATCTCCAGGCCTTGACCATGCCGTTGAGCTCTTTACAGACCGCCTCTTTCTCCTCTTCGTTCAAAGCGCCCCATCGTTGCTCCATGGTTTCGCCCCCTATCAAAAACATGTAGATAAATACTTGGCCACCGTCTTCGGTCCACCCAAAAACCTCTGGAACTGGTACCTTGCCCTTTAACTGCTTGTATAGCATATTCTGGGTCTCTGCCTCTGTAACGGTCGTATCGGCTCCATATTTGACTATCAAGCCTAGCGAGGGAAACTTGACCGGAGGGGGTCGGTTGAAGCTTGTGCCACGGATGTCGCCTGACCCCTCATTGATGGCTCTCACCTCGGCAGGGGTAGGCAGCATAGACGCCTGATGCTCCCTGAAAAAGCTAGAGTCGGAAATGGTCCTGGTTGTGGGGAGGCCGGCCTCGACCTCAACCCCCTCGGGCGTCATCTCTGAGAGAACACAAGTGAAGCACGAGTCTCGGCGGTTAAAGAAAGACCGAGAATTCGAGACTAGCGGACTCGAAGTAAACAGAGAGCCTGTCGATTTTCAGCAGGGCGTTTTTGAAACGATAGTAGTAAGGTATGCTCGAAGGCTGACAGCTCTCTAGTGGTTGACCTGTCTTTTAACTGGCTGGTAGCAGGCAGGCTGGCAATTGATTGACTAGCAGTTGGTTGACTAGCAGTTGGCCGATTTACTGAGCCTGCTGGTCGTCCCCGCACTCGTATAACTTCTGGCTCGAGTACAAGATCTCTTGGGTTAATTGGAGGGATATGTTCATCAGTATAAATCCGCCATTGACTGTGGAATTCATGAATGCCCAATTAAGCTCCGGTATCAAGGTGTTACTTGATAATATGAATGCAAGGTATTCCCAGCGTCCTTCTGGTTACCCCACTGCACTCTGGGTTAAAAGATGTCTTCCCCGGGCCCTCTGAAAAATAGCGATTCATCATCACAAATACTTTGTTAAGGGCGTAATGAGATATCTTTCTAATAGTAAGTTGAAGGGGAGGGGTCAAAAGCTGCATAGGCTTCAGGTCACGTGTTCCTATGCTAACCCGAAACGGAACAATAAATCACGTGGGGGTGTCGCAGGAACGAAAGGGGTGTCGCTACAACACTAGGGGGTGTCGCTGGAGCGCTGCCCTATTAATATAGTATAATAGTATAGTATTTCCTCCTGGAGAAAAGGTCGTAGGTATTAAAAAAAAAAAATTTCATTAATTTATTATTTTTATGATAGCAGTGCTGGGTTTTTTAAGGAATATAGCGGGTAAAAGTGAATTAGGAGTGGAGAAATAGATAAGGGAGATTACTAGTTAGGGTGCAGTTTATTAAGGTTACTTATTTAGGGCACTTAGTCTTCCGCTTATCCTGTGCTCCGTGATCGCCTCAGGCTGCCCAGGGCGTGCTTAGATCTGCTTAGTGAGTAAAAAGCGGCGAGGGGTGAGCACTAAAATGGAAAGGGAAAGCTGTCGACCTGGCTAGAAATTCCGATACGTATGTACCTCGCCTCTATATCTCCCCCCTCTTTCTATCGCGGTCTATATCAAACCCATCGTAATCATCTACAAATTTAGGCTTGGGTAGCCGCCGCCTTCTTCACGGACACCTTGCCACCGAGGATGGCTTTCGTGGTGGCAAGAATAGACTCCCAGGTCACGAACTCGGTGTACGGCTGTCCCTGACGTTGGCAGAAAGTCACCAGATCTAAAAGAAGTCAGCCCACGGGCAACTGCGGGGGAGGATAGCGATAGTTTTCGCGCAGGGAAGCTCACCTTTGCCCTTCTTGGCGAACAGAAGGTCCGTCTCCGAAGCAGCAGACAAGTCGGAAACGCCATCTCCTGCATACAAAAGGGTAGGGCGCACGTTGTCCGGCAGTGCAGCGTAAGGCTTAATCTCGAGAGATTTGTCATGGCCGAAATGGCTTTCGTCATGGTACTTGATCTGCCAACCACCTTCGGAGTTGATGTCCTTGCCGTCGCGGCCCTCCACGGTGTTGGCCACGATGTGAAGGTGGTCGTCAGGGGCCTCGCCCAGGAAGGCTTCGAAGAGAGCACGAATGATCGGAACCATTCCAGAGGACAGGACCACGATAGGCACGTTGTTCTCCTTGGACCACTTGTAGAATTCAAGGAAGTAAGGATCCAGCTTCATTTCCTTCTGCAATGTCGCGATGCACTCGTTGAAGGGGGTCTTGACACTGTCGAGCATGTCGCGGAAAGAATCGCTGGCATACAAATGTTAGATTGTGATCAACCCACAGACACTTTATGCACTTCAGCATACCGGAAGCTCAATTTGCCCTCCAGAACATCAAGATTGCCCTGTCGGCGTTTTTGCTGTCCATATCCAAGGTTGTCGGTCTGGAAACGTGTTCAGTTAGTTTTCGAGGCATAAAGAGCATGGGTGATGTGGTGAATCTGCGGTACCAAGAAATCATTGCTGTCTTCAAGTGTGATTGTCCCATCGAAATCCGTGAAGAAGATAACCTGGGGGTTGGTCTTCATGTAAGGAAGAGTAGAGGCACTCATGGTCACGCAATTTGATCACAGAGTGGAAGTATGACTAGCAATGGCGATCTAAGCAGGCACTGTATACAGTGGTCAACGTTAGCAATCTGCGGCCTTTTTAAAGCGTCACCACCATCATCATATCCACCCTAGAGGTCAGTCACTTTGTTTCAATGTTTCTAAATGGCAATCGACAGATTGAACCAGTTTAAGAAACAGTTTAATTGATGATCGAGGAAATTATCAAGAGAAACATACCGTGTTCTTGGGTTGAGCGACAACTTGAGTGTCTTTGGAGGGGAGGATCAAAAGAAGAGCCAGGAATGCGACTTCGATCTGAGCACGAAAGACCGGACAAACTGCCCCGCGAAGGGGTTCAGGGCAATCCGGAGGCAAATGCGCTCGAGTCATGCCAATCAGCGACTGTCGACGCTCACGTTGGGCCCCATGCGGCGCACTAAAGACTGGCAAAGGCTGGAATTCCCCATATTTCTGACGGAGAATGAGATTGTGATGGGCCCACGCCTTTAAGTCCGCTTCTTTTTTTTCCCTTTCTTTTTTTTATTTTTATTTTGCGCCGCTTGGCTCTTCTGGACCAACTAACCCCGTCAGGAAATATTGATCATTATTTTGAACTTTTTCGGAAATCTTCAATTCTTCTCCTTAACCTGTCCATTGTTCGCCTATTCAGGCGCAGTTCGATCGAATGGCTCGTGTACTTCAATCCCTGCGTCGGATCTTGGGATTGACTCCTCCCCGACCATCTCAGCCGTTTGCCAGGTCGATAAATACCGATTTCTCTCGGTTCCAGGGTACTATCCTTTCGTTTGTTCTCCGACCTCACTGAGTTCCATGCTGATCCGATGCATGATATTAGAGGGCGACCGTGTCATCCTTCATGGTAAAAATCCGATTTTGACGAAGCCGCTGCAAAAGAAGCATAAAACCGACCTTCCTCGCGGATATATATTACACGAAAGCATCATTGGGCAGAAAGCGCGCTGTCGCGTTCAAGCGCATAAAGGTTAGCACTCAAACGACGTGCGATTCTTGACAAAACAAATGGGATGGGGGAAACTGACAATTCGATATCGCGCCGTATCTACCAGGGACCGATTACCGAGTCACCCATCCTACATTCGATGAATATGTCTCCATGACGCCTCGTCTAGTAACGCCGGTATGAGCGCGATCCTTACCGCCACGAGATCTCTCGCCCCCAAATTAGCTCATCACACCGAGTAGATCTACAGCCCAGACGCCGAACTCATCGTTTCCCTTCTCGATATCCACGTCGCTCCTCCCGCCGAGGGAGATGATCTACCACCCTTGGAGATCCTGGAGTCAGGAACCGGTCATGGCTCTCTGACATTACATCTATCCCGTGCCATTCAGGCCGCCAACCCAAGCCCACCGGCAATCCCACCCACCTCGCAGATCAAATACCTACAAGGTCGTCCCCATCGGCCCGACGAGCAGAAGGACCAGAAGGACCAGAAGGACCAGAAGGACGAACAGCCTCAAAATAGTGACACGCCGAACGCCGCCGCCGAAAAGGAGACGGCGACGCCCTCATCCGACCCTGTCCAAGAACAATGGGACGCCTGGCGCTCGCAGCGTCGCGCAGTGATCCACACTGTGGACGTGTCGCCCAGCTTCTCGGCCCGCGCGGAGAAGACCGTCCGAGGATTCCGGCGCGGACTATACGCAGGAAACGTCGATTTCTACGTCGGACACGCAGAGAACTGGATCGCGGAGCAGATCTGGCAACGTACCCCGGAATCGCTCCTCCAGCTGACCAAACCGACCGTCGAGCCGTTCCTCACCCACGCCATCCTCGACATGCCGTCCGCGAATCAGCGCATCCCGCACGTGGCCCCGATCCTGAAACCCAACGGCATCCTGGCCGTCTTCATGCCCAGCATCACGCAGATCGGCGAGTGCGTAGATCTCATCCGCAAACAGAACTTGCCGTTCAGCATGGACCGGGTCGTCGAGTTGGGTGCCGGTATCAGCGGTGGCCGGCAATGGGATGTGCGATTCGCGGTCAAGAAGTCCCGCGCTGATCCGGCATCGTGGACCGCAGACGACGCCGTCGCTGTGCCTACTCCTCCGGAAGAGGCGCCTCGCGATGACGGTGTGTTGGTCTGCCGGCCGAAAGTCGGGGCTCGGATCGTGGGTGGTGGGTTCGTTGGCATCTGGAGGCGCTTTGAGGATAAGCAGAAGCCCTGAGGCATGGATATAAGTATCTCTGATACCCCCTTTGTATACATACTTACCCTTTTGTATCATATCATATCATCACATATTATAATACCTAGTAGCGACCGTATGATAGAGCTAAATCGATTCCACTAAACAGCTATATATATACCGTATGTAGACCGCATACTCATCTTACGAAGGAAAGCAAGAGAAACAAGAAATGAAGAAAAAGAAACATCACTCTACTTCCACTAGAACTGCGAAAAGAACTTCCGAGACTAGATAAACCAAGTCAACAGACAGACAACGAGACGAAGAACCCCATTCGCCGAAAAGAGAACAAAAGACGGAAGATAGATCGACTCTTCTCTCATCCCAACTGTACTCTTTCCCCAGTCAACCGACCCTGCAAAAGCCGAACACATCAAACATGACATAATAAAAGGAAACACAGAACAGTCGTGAAGATAGGAAGATTGACACATGTAACTGAAGAAATGCGAGGTCAGGTAGAAGAGCGTAGTCATAGCCTAAGACATGCCAAACAGGAAGAAGAAGGCCACGCCATTTGCACTACTTTCCAAAAAAAAAAAAAAAAAAAAAAGGAAAACGAAAAAAAGAGAAAAAGACAAAGAAAAGAAGAAAATATTGAGGTTGAATTCCACACAGACCCTCTGGCGACAGCAAAAGTAACAAAAGACTCACAAAAGCAGTGGTAGGAAATAAGAAGAAGGCGCAAGAGAAAGAGAAATGAAGGATGAATGATGAATGATGAATGGAGAAAAAAGAAACAGAAAAAAAGGCAGCAAGAAGAAGCAATTGGCAAAAACACCACAGACACGCGAAAAGCCCCCAAAGATTCCGAGATAACAAGATAAACCGGCTACACAAACACCAGTCTCATAAGATTCCGACATGCTCCAGTTCCTCAATTCCGTTGCGGTCCAAAATCCGCCTCCACAACCTTTCCCTTTTTCCCTTTAACCGTAAACTCCGCAAACAATGCGATATGGTCACTTGGGAAGTGATAGTTGGGGAACCCGGGCACTCGGCGTAGATACTCCTTGTCCACTTCTCCAAGTAGCGCCGACACGTGAAGCGTGTTCGACGTATACCAAATGTAATCCAGAATGGCCTTAAAGTCGGGCGTGTAATTCGTAAAGCTCAACTCACCAATTGAGTTGTAGGCGGACTTCAGCTTGAAAGGATGGGTCATGCCCTGCTTGCTGAGGTTTCCGTAGAGGCGTTTCTCGAGATCCGGGTGTTCTTCCGTGAGTCCTCCATGCGAGACAAGGTTGTACGCAGCAGAGCCAGGGGAAGAGTTGAAGTCACCACACATGAATAGCGGAATCTGTTCGCCGGTAGAGTATTCCGCCGACGGAGCAGGTTCCGGTGGAGTGGCAGCCTCCTCCCCTTCTGCCTCGGAGAATCGGAAGGCAGCTTTGTCGGTGCATGCGGGCCATTTCGAGTAGGTGTCGGAGAGCTTCGTGAGTTCTTCCATCAAGATGGCCGTCTGGATCAATTTGACATCCTTGAAGGCCGGATCCCAGTAAAGATGGGCATTGACGATGATGAAGCGCGAGCCCGTCAGTCGGTTTTCCAAGAACAACACAACCGCAATGTGATCCTTCTGCCAGAGTCGATTGTAGATGTCATCCTGGCCCTTAGCGTCGGGTCGCCGAACTGCAGTTTGTCCGAAATTGATCATCTGTTTATCCAAAAGGATAAATTTGCTTCCCTTGAAGAACGTGGCACAGCCATCGACCGACTTGGCTTCCTCTTCCTGCATACCCATGGCTCGTCCTCGAGGCCAATACACACCCTTATAATCGTTATATGCCAACTGTTCCCTGAAAAAGCCATTGTAACTGCCTTTGTCGACTTCTTGCAAGCAGACGATGTCGGAATCGTGTGACCTTAGCTCGCTCAAGATAAGCTCTCTTCTGAACTCCCACGACAGAACACGAGACGGAGTATAGCCAAAATGGGATTGCGTTGCGGAGGAATCGCATAGGGCGTTGAGAGAAAGAACAGTGATCTTCTCTGTGGGATTGTTGGGGGAGTTGGCGGTCTCGTCGAGGATCACCCAGTCTCTATCCGGAGGCGGGAGGTGAACTGCGTAGAGCCCCACGTTAGCATTCGGAGCGGGGATTGGGAATAAGGCAATCTATCGATAAGCATTACGAACCTGGCATTTCCTCTCTCAGATACTTAATGAGAGCCTTTGTGCCCTCTTTCATGATCTGAGACTTTAACACGTCGTTCAACGGGTTACCTTCGATGCCCAAAGTCTCCAACCTGTAGAGATATCCCATTTCGTAAGGGAGCGTGCGAACGTGGTTGTCGAACAGAAGAAGCTTCTTAAGGCTCGTCAGCATTCCAATCTCCTCGGGCAGCTCGGTGAGATCGTTGTGAGACAGATCCAAGTGCTCTAGTTTGCGTAGCTGTCCGATTGCCGAGGGGAGCACTTTCAATTTGTTGTGACCCAGATACAGTTTCTCCAAGAAAGTGTAACTGAACAGAGACGTAGAGAGCGCACGCAATCCTTGCCCGCCGAAATCGAGGGCATGCCAGCCCTGCCTCGGCGCCGGTTTGGTCTTGGCCACCCCGTTCCGTCCGTCGGTCCCATTCTCCTGCGGTTCGGGTTGACTGGGCGCGATCTGAATGCCCTTCGCTTGCTGAGCGACCGCCCGAGCGTAGTAGTGGGGGGAGTTTGCCTGTCGGGACTCTGCGGCCAGCTGAAGCTGCTGCTGCCAATGTTCGTTCATGGACTCGTCGATATCGTCGTCAAGGTTAACGTGGGCCCCGTTCTGGAGATGGCCCGGGGTAAAATGTGGTGTAGCGGCAGCCAAAGCCCCGCTGGAGAAGTTGTGCTGGTGGTTGATGTTGTGGGAAGCTTGATTGTGGTGCGTATGATGATGGGCTTGCTGAGCGGGGTGTGGGTGGTGACTCTGCGACTGGAATTTGGGAATCTGCATGCCAAACCGCTGGTGGGCCTGGCTGCCATTCATCATGACATGCTGCCCCTGGTGAGTCTGCGTGTACATGGTAAAGGGGTTGAGCGCAGCCGCCTGTCCAATAGGGGGGGATCGAGAAGGAGAAGGGGCGTCTTGGTTGAATTTTAGTCTCCCAGTTGGGGAGTTGGTTCCGTTCCGAACTAGGTGCCGTTGGTGAGATTGTTGCGCTTGAAAGAAGAACTGCCCGGCCCCAGGCTGCTGGAACCTGTAGGTACCATCTGCCATTTAACGTGGCAGACGAGACCGAGACTCGATGATTTGAGGAGGAGATTCGGAGTCGGCGGAGTGCGATGTTGGGCTCGGGGTGGTGGCAGGCGAGAAGAGATGAGTCGGGGATGGAATGCGTTCTCTCCTTCTCTTCAACATGGGGTCCTAACACGGAACCACCCTGAATTGAAGATTTTCCCCGATAACACGGCCTCGATTGACCTCGGTGGCAGTCAAATACCCGGAGCGGAGGGGCGATCGGTTGTCGAACGATAGGGGCCGGCGTCGGACGAACGAGTCACAACAGTGGGCGACAGCGATCTGACGAGAGACCTGCACCGGATATTAGAAGGGGACCCCTCGAGAGACAGAAATTGAAGAGACAAGTAGGACGCACAGAGAAACTTGACCAACTATGTAGCAGAGATGGCAACGACGGGAGGAGCTGAGGGTCTTGGTCGCCTTGACGCTGCGAAGTGGTTTGCATCGAAGGCGGGAGTCGATGGGTCACGTGAGGTGGCAGCCGCCAGCGTGATTTGCCGCCGATGACAAGAGCCAAGGCCTCCCGTCGCTTTCGTCTTTCTTTGTTTCTTCTCTCTTTCAGAACATGACAGGTCACCTTGATGAATAGTGTTATACCATCAAGGGTCTTTCTTACGAGTGGTCACTTACATCCCTACACAAAGTACCGATCTTTCCTTCACGCCTTGCTGGACACAGGTCTAACCCCCTTCTAATTGGTAGGTCCCAATTGGTAGGTCACTATCTAGGTAATCGCTAACTAGGTAGTAGTGTGGAACGTGCCTTTTGACAGGGGCGTACTATTAACTACCATGCCTCCTAGGATCCATAGTAGTAACTCATATAGACTACTCCAAGGGGGGGATAAAAGCTCCTTGCATGTCCCTGCATAACGATGAGATTCTGTAGCCATAATTGAAATAAAGGTCCATAGTCGACCTTGACTACCTACTAGGAAGACGATGCCTTAAGGCATGATTATGCCTAATAGCAACCCTTGACATAACTATCTAGTATTGGGTAGTTACCGAAAAAGTGCCTTCACAGTTCACAGTCCTTTTCGACCTCCCCACCAACTAACTGACCGGGTCCTGGGCCCTTGGCAGTTGCAACGAGTTACCTACAGCTCGGAATTGGCGAAGGCAATCAATTCCCAATCCCCCGGGAAGGAAACGATATCCCTTCACTATAAGACTCTGGGGCCAGAATCGTACCGTAACCATGTACATTCCCAAGTCAAATAAAGAGTGACCCGAACCGAAGGGAATCTTGAACATCAATTGGTAAACGGACAGACCAAGAAGATTAATTTGCGACCACGAAAAGGAGAGCGATGGAATCCACGGGGTAGCGGTACGGGTAGATCTGTGCTTTCAAGGTCCAGCTGACGGAGAAGGGGATCTAGTATCTTGGACCTGTGGTTATTTCCTCCGTGCTCTGTACTATCGAATAATAATCTAAATATCTAGTGAATAAGGAATACTAAGACAGAGTTAAACAATAATCTCGAGGTGATCGAGTCACTCCCGTAATGATCCTGGCCTCAGGCCAACCAGCGCGCCGTGGCGACACGTGCCGCCCGGAAAGCGGACCGCCACCCGAAGAGGACTGGCTGGATTCCTGAAATTACAGGCTGCAGGAAGGGCCATTCCCACGGATCAGGAGACTCGCCGCCTGTCATGATGTCAGCACTTGCATCTTTGGACTATTTGATTATATTTTATGATAGGGGTTTTCTCCAGAGTACTAGCACTGAGTACTACGCATCAATTAATCCATTTCCCTATTGATCTAATTCTATTGTCCCCTTCGTACCATTGTTCAATTGTTCTCCCCCCTAACGAATTCCGAATCAATCTAAAAGTCTCCGGTCAACTATAGCCCGGCCGCTATCAAAGTCTGTACCTACGTTAGTCTGCCGGCCGCCAACGTTGGTTGGGTCTTGGGCGCCATAATTTTCATCCTGGGCAGAGCCTGCGATCGGAATAGGCAAACCGTCCGCGACAATGGGGTTCCACTCTTCGGCAACGCCCTTCCAAGGGCTGTTGGCCATTTGCCTTGTCGGTCCGGGGGGTAAGAGGGAGACTGCGTTGGTTGTTTTCCCTCAAATCCCGATCTCAGATAGGGAGGAGCCATGTATGACTCCGTACAATGTAAATCAGGTCATCAAAGACACGTTCGCGTCGTATTCGGTGCAACCCTTGGTGTGGGTAAAACGTCAATGTTGAACAGCAGTCCTACCACGGAGTAGGGATTAGGGTAGCTGAAACAACCTCAGATAAAGGCTTGTATGTTCGAGTCTCGGTTTTCTCCGCCAGTACGGAGTGAAACAGACAGTCTTAGTCCGTCGGAGTAGCGTCAGTCATATGTACGGTGTATGCACCATGCAGAGTACTCCGTAGAAATTGCGTCTTAGTATAAGCTGTCGTCAGCGCGGCGAAGACCAGGTTGTAAACTTTTCAGGGCTGAAATCCGTGGCAACTGTTGGCTTGTTCCGCAGGATCCCATCGTAGTTGCCGGAGTCGAGGTGTAATGGACGTACAGAGTAAGTGTAGACAGTGGGGATTTTTCATTTTCTAGGGGGGACTTGGCCGCGATTCCTGTCACGATATTCCATTTTTAATTTTTTTTTTCTTTTGCCCCCCTCCCTCGTCCATCATTCATTCATTCCATTCCCTGCATGGGTCACTCTCTCATCCACAAGTGTCCAGAACGAACTTGTTTCCTCCTTCCACCCTCCCCACAACTCTAATTCTCTCTTCTTGATCTTACGGCCGTCCTTTTTGAGTTTTCCTTGGGTTCGTGCCTCTACAATGTTCATATTAATCTAATTATTTCCGTCCGCTCTTCGATACCCCTCGAAAACCCTTCTCTTATTTTCCCTCTTCCTCCACCCCCCCTTCCTAATACCGTGTTACACGAGAATGCGTCTCAATAATTGCCTGTTGAACCACTCGAACACTTGATCGATGAACACGGGGATTGTGTTTCGGTTATGGACATGATGTCGGCCAGTACCGCGGCGTTCGCCGCACCGGCAGCCACCTCCGGCTCCGACTTGCATTCTACCACCAGCTCGACAGCCCCTACCTGGGGGGCCGCGACGTCCACCTCATCCCTTACCTCCCTCCACGACTACTCCAACTACCCTCTCATCCGTCAGGGCGATCGCACCTACCTCCGAGACCCCGACAGTATATATCCCTTACCATGCGATCTTCCGGAACTCCACCGCCAGACTTTGCGCTCCCTGATGCTGATGCGCGTCTTTGGCGGTCCCTTCTGCACGCCATACCCGGCTGACGGGCCGCCAAAACGGATTCTGGAGATCGCCTGCGGCTCGGGTCTTTGGTCCAGTCTGTGTCATGACTACTTTGCCCGGCGCGGCCATCGCAACGTCTCCTTCCACGGAATCGACTTGGTCTCCGTCGCGCCAGACCTGCGCAAACAGGGCGTGAACTGGCAGTTCAAGCGACATGACCTCCGCAGGCCCCGTTTGCCCTTTCCCGACGGGTACTTCGATTTCGTCTTCATTAAGGACGCGGGCATGTGTCCTTCCAGCCCAGCTCAGCAGGCGTCCGGCTTGAGCGAGCCGTTGCGCGTTCTCAAATCGGGTGGAATTCTAGAAGTCTGGGACTCCGATTGGGTGTTCCGATCGTTGCTTCCCAACCCCGCGCCCGCTCGCAAATTGGCGTCGCGAGAACAGGAGATCGCGGATGCGACCGCGACGTACACTTTCTCGTCCGCGACTCCCTTTACGAAAGCCCAAAACAAATTTCTGCAGGATTATAACTCCTGGGTTGAGAAGGCCTTCGATCGTCGCAAACTTACTGCGCTGCCGTGTGCCACCATCGGCTTGTCATTTAACTCCGAGATTGACGATCTAGAAAACATCGACAGCCGTCGCATTGCGATCCCGCTCAGCGAGCTGCGCTGGGAACGAGAAGGGCAGGGCAAGGGCACTCGCAAACAACTGACCTCGGACCAGCTATCCATCCGACGCACGGCGCTACTGACGGTGATCCAAATGATCGAAGGCATGGAGCCTATGCTCATGGAAGCTAGCGGGAAGAGTCGAGATGAGTGGGATCGATGGTGGACCGCCATGATGGCAGATGTGTTCCAGAAAGGAGGCCTTGCCAACGGAGAATGTCTCGAAGTGAGCGCCTGGTGGGGTCGAAAGAAATGAAAATGAAAATAGAAAAGCCATAGAGCTCGGACAGGATCCTGAACATTGCTCGAAAGTTCGATTTTCCGCGTGGACGAGGGAAAGAAAAGCAAACTGCAAAACACACGCAGGGCCAGTGACCATTGCTCAGTTCATATTGGTGATACCCCAACTTTTATTCTTTTTTTCTTCTGCTTCTTCTTCTTGGACTTTTTTTTTCACATGTATATTCTTCAACCCTTGTTGTTTATTATTTCTTATGTCAACGCTTGATGCCCAACAGCATAACTGGCCCTATTTATTTTCATAGCGCTGCTTCAACGTGCGATATCGTTTTAAATAATACCTGGAGGCTTCAGTTAGTATCTTGGCTCAGGGTGATGATTTGGTCTTGAATGACAGTCGCATGATGAACGACATGATGGATAATAGAACTGGATTCTTCGGAGTAATACATGTGCCTCTGTATCGTATATCTGCTTTTGACCGGGTATGGTCGAAGCAAACAAACCCAACCTATGACACTGCGGGGAGGAAACTTACAATGCCTCAACTTCTGTAGCGCATTCTCAGTCAGCCCTGAGTACCCCGCATTTTGGATAGAATGTAATAGAATTCGGTGATGGGATGGACAAAACATACCCTTTTTAACAAACTCCGCTCTCGCTATTCCCTTCCGTATCTGCTCCTCGTCACTCAGATGCGACTGTGACGCGAATGCCCGGTGCAATCGGTCCCTGAAATATCCATACCCAAGGGGATAGTTTCGCCCGAGAAAAAGAAGCTCTGTCGTGATTTATCAGATACTGTTCGATCTCCAGCTCCAGAGAACCAGGTGCGGCTTTCTGTCAACCGCAACCCGAACGAAACACATGCAGGTAGTAAGTAGTACACTTACCTTTGTAGATGTTGACTACCTGCCGACGCAGCTCGAGATTGGTCATTTTCGATCCATGCGTTGAAAGTCTCTAAAGAAAAGTGGGAGATGAGGTAGTTGGGGAAGCGGAGAGAGGTTGAGACTTGGCTCGGAGATAATTGTCGAGTGACGTCTTCGCACGGCTCCGGCTACGGTGGGCTCGTTTGATGCCAAGAATGGGGACTCAACCGGTCTGTTTGACCTCTACCCCTCTATGATCTATTTATTTATTATTTTTGTGTCTGGGATTCTTTTTTTCAATTCGTACGCAGTTTTTATATCATATGACAATTGCAATTGATCACCAACAACTGCTTTGGGAAATTGACTAGTACAATGCTTTTACGACGAAGTTTGTTTATATAGTTCAGGTCTGCGAAGTTGCATCGGGTTGATCACGCTGCAGAACATCTAATGGAACCGGAAGAACGGTATAATTGGATATTAATTGACGCTTCCACTCATACCTGCCGGCAATAAACAATTGAAGTTTGTTCTTCATGGAGTGTGCCATTATCCTCTCATCACGCACCTTGACACCCAAGCCGCGCCCTGCGGAAAGCTCGAGTGGGGTTTATTAACCGGCGGAGACAAGGCCGAGGCTGGGCGCGCGCAGCCGCAGCGCAATGGGGTAGACAACTGACGGAATACCGAAAGACCCCGAGGACCAAACCCCAACTCTCCTCTCCTTATCAACACACCGCGCGACGACAATGAAACCGATGAACGTCCTCCAAAAGCAGCGACTAGCTGCCCTCCCCTTCCAGTCTTCAATTCGTTGTGCCCGCTCCCTGTCGACCTCCCCAACCGCCCAAGATGCCCGTCACCCTGATCCGAAGACGCCGCGGAAACCCCACGACATTGACCCCCGATGGCTGACCACTACCAAGCGTCGAATTGGGAAATGCATGATGTTCGGTCTGAAGCCGCCGCAGGTTCAGGAGGCAGGGAACATACTGGAGCAGATTGCGAGGGATTGGCGGGAGTTGATTGGCGGCAGCGAGGGTTATCTGACCGATGCGACGCGGAGGGGGCTGTTCAGACAAAATGTCGCGTGGGGGGAGATGGTAGGGGTTTTGACTGTGTATCTTTTTGCTGGAAGATGTTCGCTAATATGGGGAACATCGTGTCGGATATAGGATACTATGGTAAGAACTAGAGAACTGTCCCCGGCATCTCGTTTGATACTTGGAACTAACCTGATAACTAGGGTACATACACCTTCCCCATTCTTCCGCGATCGAATCCCACAGCAGAGCTTCGATCAAGACGACCCCGTTGACATAGTCCAGGCCATGTAAACAACGTCACCTACGTCCGATACGCCGAAACGGCCCGGGTATACTTCACCCGCAACTACGCCATCCACATAGATCCCGCCCACAAGAACGAGTGGATGAATCTTGTCAGCTCGCGCGGGATCGGAGTCATCCTGCGCAGCATCAAAATCGACTATAAATTCGTATGGCCTGCCCCTGACTTGTCCGCATAATCAGGACGACGCAAGTTCCAACCGTTACTTACTAACGACCCATCTTCTCGTCCTAGCCCATGACCTACCCCGACAAGGTCACGGTCTACCATAAACTGGCGCATGACCCGGACTCGCCGCATTCATCCCAACATGCGTTCTTCCTGCAAGCCATCATTCTTTCCGAATCGCGCCAGCGACCCGCTGCTCGTGTGCATGAGGACTTGGTCACGTACGATTATAAGCTGGGGAGGAAGACGGCTTTGCCGCCGTTTTTGATGGAACAGTTCAAGTCCACGTGGGAGCTTCAAGAACAGGCGAAGAAGTCCTGGCGGGAGCGCATATTGGAAATCGAAGATCGGGTGAGGACGCTGGAGGTAGAGAGCTGGGATAGGGAGGATGCTGTTGAGGATACAGGGTCTGCGAAACAATAGAGAGAAATATTTACCTGCGAGATTCAAGGTATAACCTTCACACTACCATCTTCAAACCTACAACGTTCCAGAAATTACCTCTCCCTGCCTCCCTTCAACTCTACGCTAGTATCAACAGGACTGATGTCCTTATCATCCTGTGAATTCAGCGATGTGTCTCACCGAAGCCCCAGGGGAAGCCCGTATTTATTGCGGGGGAATCATTCACCACTTCCGAAGCGATGTGTTTCCAGCTACGAGTTTGGACCTAGAAACTGAACAAGGAGACGAACATGCAGAGCTCCACGAGACGGTTGGCCAGCGCCGAGAAAGCGGCAGCAGAAAAGAAACCATAATCCAATCGAACCAAGGCTCCCTCCTCGAGGACCTACCTAGAGTTAATGAGAATTGGCGCAAAATCGCTGTCCACATCGGGACAGTGGTAGCACTCAGTAGGAACGACTCTCTAGGTCATACGTCTCACGGGTGGTCATGTAGATAATCTGCCTGTCCTCTTTCCCCCCTTGCATTCAATTTCATTGAAATTGAGCGAGATTGGAAATGGTCACTTATAGTTATTTTGACATGGTATATTTCAACTACTATATGATACGGTTCGGATCTAGCAGTTCATTAACGAGGCACAAAGCTGGGGGAAACTACGGTGTAGAGTTTCCCGAGAGAGATAGAGAGAGAGTAAGGATATATATCCCGATTGTCGGTCCTAACCGATACTGTATAAATCCAGTACATAGAAAGAACATCTAGGCCTAGGAGTATGAGAAACACGTAGAACCGCCTCATCTACACCCACGAACCTGATATCACCGATCAAATGACACCCCGATCTCGTCAACAACAACGGGGGTGATCTTCATCCTGCCCTCAAGTTAGTCAGTGGCGGTCTTCCCTCCGAGCCAAGAAAAGCTTGCTCGCCAAGTGGTCCTCGCCAGGGCTCGGTATTGGACGAGCAACCGGGCATCGATACCTAGTCAATCGTTGCGCTGCGATGCAGATCTCGTCCGAGTCTTGGGAGGCTGCGGGCGGGATTCTGGTTGGGTAATAGAAAATCGTAATAGTCTCCAACGAAGCGACGGTGAGACTGGGAATCTTCTCTTGTGACTCACGGGCTGGCATGGGGGGGGGTTTTTTTTTTTTTTTGTGGTCTTTAATTTCCCCAATTACGGAGTATGTGTTGTACATGCTAAGAAGTATTTCGTATGGCGTACTCCGTACATGCCGTGCATATATTAAAGCGGAGATGGTCTAGATACTAGGGATTATACTCCATGCGCTGTACTCTATAGAATCCATGGCAGTATATGGATTATGGTGGTTCCTTTAGGGCCGTCAAAGCTCTGGTGGGTGGGCGCATCATTGAACCGTCGTTGGTAGACCGTCTCGAAAGGGTCTAGCAAGAGCAACAAATTTAATAGATAAGAAATTTCACGGAACAAGGTCCAGGTCCAGATGCATCATTCCAGAGATGCTTGGGTGTTGTTTACATAAAAAAGACCTGCCTTCAGGATTTTACGGAGCTGGACTCCATAATAAAAATGCATCGGCGCGACGCCGGCCCTTTGTCGGGTCCCAGTCAGGCCCAGTCAGTCCCAGTCTGGAGGCCGAGGAAGACCCTTCTAGCCCGTGTTCAGCAGTTCATTGGTGCGAGAGGGGACCTGCCCAGGCGATTTCCTGTGCGCTGGTTCAGCTCTTTCTTAGCTCTGGTCCGAGGGGAATTATATTTAGTAAAATCAAGCATGCTCCGTTAGTTAACATCTCGAGGGAACGTCATGTCTGCCCTGGAGGTAAATACCTAGGTAATGGAGTAAGTAGGGAAAGATACATTCAGGCACCCATACGGTAAAACCAACCCCAAAAATACGAATGCCGAGGGGAGGATCCCAGACTGATTTGAATCCAGGGTTCGTTGGTTCTCGCAGAGTAACCGGAGTGAAATGATCGACCGTTTGAAATTCTAGTGCCGAAAGTCAAAACCAGAGGGAGAAGAAGAAAAAAAAAAAAAAAAAAAAAGAGGAAAAGCCCTTTCTAGGGGCTGGAATCGGGAGCGCCATCCGTGGATCCGCCCAATTTTAGTCGCCATCCTTGATGCCTCATGCCCGGCCGGCCGCCTTCCACCCCGGCCTGCAACATTTGTACATACTCCGTACAGACTCACTCTGTGGACGGGCAATTCTTTTATACGGAGCAGATCAATGAGCGGCCGACGCATAGCAAGTCAACTATCATCTGACAAGGTCATGATTGCGGGGCATCATCGGCAGCTCGCTCAGGTTGACCACCGCAGCGTCTTCCTTCGTTAGCACGAGTCGCCCAATTCAGGGTCGAAATGGTAGATCGTCAGCCTAGCGCACGCCCAAGGCCGGCGAACAACAAACAATTCGCTTTGCCCTCCATCTGACATGCTGGCTGCATGCGCGGCTCGTAACAGCGCCGTGATTGAATGACCAGAGTGACAGACGGGCTTGGACGGACAGGAGGTGGTCTCTTTTATCAGTCACTAGTCACTACTACACCGTCCAGCGAGGGAACGGCCTGGTCGGATGGGCAAGGATGGCGAGGGAAGACGATGACGATGCGCCGGTGGATCTGCGAGTTGAAGAATTGCCAATTGAAAAATTGGGATTCTCCGACCGGTAAGAATGCCTGTCCGTAAGTACGAGACATAATGAATATAATACTGTATACAACGGGCATACTCAGTAGGTAGGTAGGTACCTTAGTTACCTCCTATCGCCGCGGAATGAAGAGTCAAGGGACATTTTATCGCTCTCTGCTCAGTCCCTGTCCCTCTATTGCATCTTCTAGCAACCGAGTGAAGAAGCATAAACCAGACAGTGTCGCATGGTACATTACATACCTTAACCCGTCATACTCTACTTCAGCCGCCTCGACTCTGGCATCCAAATCTGAATATCATTAATTGGTCTCGGAATCCAAGCCAAATGTGACCAAGGTAAACCCTACCCTAGAAATGGCGGGAGAAACCGCCAACCACGAATCATCCCGGTCCATGTAGTATCTGGCATCCTCTTCTCTAGTCCTTCAGTCTGAAGGATCAGCCGATACTGCAAGTTAGCCGAGCATGTGAATCCCAGCTGATAATGACGTGGATATGGACCTACGCCGGCTCTCCTTCTTATCTGTATCGCAGAATCTCAATGGCATGTATTCGGACACGCTCATCGGGACGCTCGATGATAGTCAAAGCTGCCAAGACACCATCACCTTGATCAGAACCAGACGAACCCCGTGAGACTTCTCCAACTGATTGTCGCACTTCTCTCTGGGATAAAAACAACCCCGCAGAGAACGGCCCGCCACAGAGGAGATCGTCGGATCGTCCGCCCTAGATTGGCTCTAAATCACCCAAAGATACCGGAGAGAGCACTTCTCAGCCATCAGGTGAGCAGACGAGACGGAAAATCGCCTGGAAGGTGTGCGAGAGACTAGATCTTGATCAATGTTTGACCCGTCAAGGGCTGTACACGTAGCAGTTGGCTGACAAATTGGCCCTAGTTCAAGCGACCACCACACGCTGGAACTCATCGATAGCCGATTGATAAACCGAAGAAAGTCATGATATGGTGGTTTCTGAGAGTGGCAGTGACAGCAGACCCCAATCGCCCGATAACTTACGATTGATGGAATAGCGTTGAGATTTCAAGCGGGACGGATTTGAGTCATCTTCACCCGTGCACTTGCAGCTGCGTTGTCGGACGATCCAGTTGTGGTGCAGCAGTTGCCTGGGGGTGAAGATTGACCGATGCATGTCTGTTTCATATTGAGGGCTGGACGCAACGATGACTGCGGAGATGCAGGTAACTACTCCTTAGTTACTTCGAAGTAGATGCATGGCGTAAGCTTCCGTCGCGATTGCCCAGTACTCCGTATGTGTACCTGCTAGGTGATTATGCTACACAGTCAGACCGACCTATTTACTGAGTACACTTACAGTAGGAGCAGTATATCCTTAAACACCTAGGTACTGTAGTAGTGTAGGTATGTACTTGCGTAGAGGTGATATAGATCACATTTCACATCAACGAGGCGCAAGATAGGTGCAATTGAAACAAGGCAGAAGGAACGAACCCTTCCAGGTTATTCCTTCAGTCCCTGGTCCAGTCGAGTCTCAATAATCGATCTGTCGCAAAGTAAAAGTAAAGAAAGCATCCACGCAGGACCGCGTACCGTACGGTATATACATACCGTACTCACCAAATACGTACGGATACCCGTTGGCATGACTGCCTGAGGCCACCAGGACAGCCTCCCTCCCGCCCTTTTCTAATAATTTCTCTGTTCTATTCCAAGAAGCCAAACTGCCTGCCAAACCTCATTCGATTTTCCCTCTTTTTTCCTCCCCGCCACACCCTCTCTCTCTCGCTCTCTTTGCCGCTTCTTCATTCCCCCGGTCTCATTTCCCTTTCTTTCCTTTTTTGCTTAATTTTTTTTTTTTCTTTTTTTACTTTTTTTTATGGCCCTTTTTGGTTATCTTGTTTTACACCCATTTTTTTCTCTCTTCCGCCTTTAGACCCCTCCTGTCATTCCTTTTCCCTTCCACACACTTTTCTTAGATCATCCTTTTACTTTCTCCTCTCTTACCTATCGCCTTCCATACCCACCATTTCCTCCCCTCCGTTTCTCTCCCGCTCTCTCTTTTACTCCCCCTCTCTTCTTTCGACGCTGTCTTCGTCTTCATTTTCCCGCCTGGTCCAAGTCCTTGGCTATCCTCCGCCAAGCTGACTCGGACCTGGGTGATAGGCTCCCTTGTCCATGCCACGTTCATCGGCTACGGCTAGGAAGAGTCTCAGCAATCGGCAGGAGAACGGCGTCGTCGCTTCCGGAAAGAAAGTGAACAAGCAGAAATCCAATGGACATCTAAACGGCAACGCTACCGGTGGCTCTGCATCCAACTCTGGCCCTTCCTCCCAAGTCGACTGGCCCGCGTCTCGTTCCTCCAGCGACTCCGCCATCACCTCCACCGTAGCGGCGGCTTCCAAGGCCAACGGATCGACGGATTGCTCGAAGCCCGATGGAACCGGACGTGGTCAGCTGAATGGATATGCCAAGGGCAACGCGGACATGTCGTATGGGCAGACAAACGGTGCGGTGCCGCCGAATGGCAGCCTCGCAGGGCAAGGATCGCGACGCGCGGAGAAGTCGGTGCCCGGCTCCAAGAGGTCCAACTCGACTGCCTCCATCAATCCCTTGCAGCTGGCCTCGACCATCCTTAAGTCGTGTCCCATGTACGACACCATCGCCATCCTGATCTTCCTGCTGCAGCTGCCGCCCATGGTGTTGACCCTGGTTCAATTCTTGTTCGCTTCGTTGACCTTCATGCCGCCCGGTGGCGCCTCTGCTGGCTCCTTGTCCTCCAACTTCGATATCTTTCAGGGTCCAGCCGGCACGCCGTCTCTCGGCACAATGATTGCGATGGATGGGTTTTTCCTGCTGTTTTGGGGGCTTTTCATGTGGTCATGGGCGCAAAATTTTGCTCTCGACTTGGCCCATGTCCAGGTTGCCATCACGTTAGGAGGAGGAGGTTCTGGAAAGAATGGAGGTGTGAATGCTATTTGTGTTGGCATTGTTCTTATTTTGCATTTGATTCGCAGTAAAGGTATACAGGATTTTGTGCTGGGTCACCTGCTCTCCGCCAAGATCATCAGTCCCGATCTACTATCGCAATATTCCCATCTCATGCCCACGGAGTTTCGGCGCACGGAATCTCAGTCGTCGCCGAGCTGGATACGGAGTTTGCTTGCCGTCCATATTCTGGCGCAAGCCGGCACCGCTATGGCAAGACGCTCGATGGCCAAGAACCGTTCCCCCGCTCCCTCTCGAACCGGCAAACGTGTCGATACCGAGGCTTCTGCCGGCTCGCAGACGATCGATTCGGCCTTTGAGTCGGGGGCGAGCATGTCTTCGTATATCGGTGCCGACGGACAACTCGTGACTCCGGGAACGCATAAGGATGGTAGGGATCGATTAATCTCGGCAAAGAAACGCAGGCGACAGGCAAACCAGGTTCGGAGTCGTCAGCCCTTCTGGGCGGCACTCGCAAGTACAAAGGTTACGGTTATGAGAGAATACGAACACTCCAGGGCCTTGTCCAAGACCGCCCGTGGTCTTACGATGACCGAGGACGACCTACAGGGCGTCTCTTTGGACGACGGACTCGTGTGGATAACGGAGGTGGACAGCTCTACGATCAAGTTTGCGGCGGGCGATTTCGCCTCCCTGGAAGACTCCGGTGCTTCCGGGGCGTGCGAAGCTGGACGGCTCGGGGATGAGGAGATGGAGCCGTTTTACGTTTGTGTCAATGGCGCCCTTTGGGCCACTGCCACTATCTGTAAAGTCCAGGATGCGTCCAAGGGATCAAGTGCGGTGCATTGGCGCGGTGAGGTCTCCGGCCTTGCGCCCAATTGTGCCTATACTTGCTCCTTTGTACGAAACGATACCGACGAAGAGATCTGTGTCATGAGCGTTAAGACCCCTGTCTCCAATGACGCAGAACAAGGTAAGTTTTCAAATTCGGTTTCCACCTTGGTTTTGAGAAGAAAGCAAAGCCTGACCTTTGGCCGCGAGTAGTTTCTTCGGTTTCCACCCCGCCGCAGCCATCTTATCGACCCTCGTCTCCCACGACCACGCTGAAGAACTCCATCGTCAATGCCGAGTCCAAACTGAACGAAAAACGTTCTCGGTTAAGAAAGGCCAAGAATGACCATAAACTGGTCATTTCCAAGATCAAGAAAGAGCTGGACAACTACAACCATCGGCTTCAAAGCGGAACGGATGAGAATCGGCAGAAACAGCGCTCCCTGCAACTGGAGAGAAACATCAAGCAAACAGAAGAAGCGACTGCTGCTCTCGATGGTCAACTGGACACATTGGAGAACATCCCAGAGGAGGAATATGAAGAGTGGAAGGCACAAAAGGGCAAATACGAACATGAGCTTGAGCTCCTCAAGCAGGCGAAGGAGGATCTGGCTACCGCGCGATCCACCGTTGCCCGTGAGGTGTCGGCACTGGAATCCGAGCTGAACTCCATGATTCAGAGACGGGAACGTCTCCAGGGTCGTCGTACTCGCGTCAACGAACAGTACGAGCGCATTGTCTCTGCCAATGCACAGGGCCTCAATGAGAGAGAACGTCGCGCAGCGGAGCAGTTTGCGAGAGAACAGGACCAGGCGAAGCTGGAGGCCAACTTCAACGAACAGTTCGCGAGCATCACTCAGTCTGTGCAGGAATACCAGCTGCGCACCAACCAGCTCTGGCAGCAATCGGCGACCATCGAGCAAGCTATTCAGCAACAGCAACAGCAAATGCTCATGGACTCGGCCCCGCTCACTCCCGAAGGCAACTTGCCGGGCACTAACCCGCTCAGCGAGGCCCCCAGCCTGTCCTCGGTGGCTCCCCTGACGACCAATGCTCCCCACACCCGATCGCTCCTTGGACTCAGCTTTCCCGCGCTGAAGTCCAGTCCGCTGCAGCACACATCGTCTCCTCTCGGCGCTTCTACCTCCCATCCGACCAGCCCGACCCAACCCCCGTCGTATCTGCAACACTTTTCGGCATCTCCGCTTGGGCAAAACAACAACAGCTTCCCCTTCGAATCGGACTATATCTCCCGAGACCGCTCGTTCTCAAACCGGTCAAATAGCAGCCTCTTCGGCTCCGACTTCTTGGATTCTAACCGCCGCGCCCCGCTCCATCTCGACCTCTCCGATATTGCTACCGAGAAGCGGAGCAGCTCCGAATCCGAGGGCAACAGCTCCAGCCTAGGCCTCCGACCCATCTCGAGCCCCTTTCAACGGGCCGTGAGTCGTACCAGCGGCAGCGGCAGCGGTGCGAGCGGTAGCGCCAGTGGCAGTCCCAGTTCCACCAGTGGGAGAGAGGCAACTCGATGATTTTCTTTCCGATTCGAGGAACGCAAGAAAAGCAAACGTTGAAGAGAAGCGAAGCGTGGGAAGAAAATAAGCATAAAAAGTGTTCGATCGACGCCGGTGGTTCTGTGTAAGTAGGGGAGTTGCGTTGTGTGTTGCGTGTGGCGGTGGGAGGTGTTCCGATTTTGGCTTGTGTCGATTCTCATCATATACGGCGATGGATATTCTTGGTTACTGGGGGTCTCTGGTGAGGCTTCGTCCTGGTTTTGAGTCTTCGCCTGTGATACATACTGCGGTCAATATATTCTTTTTGTCCTTGTAGTTCTTTTTGTGTGGCTTTGGCTTGTTGATGTATTTCGTAGACTTGTAGACTTTGTGATACCTATATGGATTGGATGAGACGGGGAAGTATGAGAATTTTGAGTTTTTTTTTCTTTCTTCAAATTTCTTCTGTAGTATCTTGTTCTCATGCCTCTCCATGCATGTTCTTCTTTCCCAATATTCTATCTATATACATGTATATTCCACCCAATCCTGGAGCCTGAAGTTATAAACGTAATACCCAGAACCAGGTCTATATATCCCCAACCTAATCTATCAAAACAAACCATCGAACATATTAATACATACCCAGCCCCTTCATAGCCACATAGCTAGAAAATGCAAAAGTTAAAGTACGAGGATAGGTAGATATCCAACCTTGAAATATCAGCTAGACATAACCAACCAGACAGATCCTTGATATCGAGTGAGGGGAGAGGAGGGAAAAGGAAAAGGAAAAGAGAATATCAAATCTCCGTCCCCATCTTCCAAAAATGCGTATTAGCATACGTCAAACACAACTCGTCCGCTGAGAACGACATGTTCGTCTCCGCGTTCGTGCCACCATGATGACTGTCCGGGGATAGCGCGCGGATGACCTTCCCCACGACAATGGTATGATCCCCCACGGTGACGTTCTGGGGGTGAAGCAGACACTCGAAGACGAAGGGGAAGGGGGCGGGTGCCGAGTCACTCTCCTTGGTTTCGGGGTTCGGTTTCCGTCGGAGTAACGGTAGGGGTAGCGGTGAGGGGGACGGACGAGGGTTGCTGGTTTCTGTACTCGAGGGTCCGGCCCCGTCCGTAGATGTCGATGTAGACTCTGATGTAGATAGGGTAGGTATATGCGGGACGAATTCAAAGTCGCTTTCCCCGCTAACGATCGATAGGTTGTGGTTTCCGCGCGAGAAGTCCCGCGCCAGGGACGCGGGCGCCTGGTCGGCCGCGAGTAGGTGGACCAGGAAGCGGCCGGAGGATTGGAGCGCGGTGAGCGTCTCCGAGGGGCGACGGACGTTGAACGAGATGATGGGGTCTGGGCGTAGCGTGACGGTGTTGAAGGAGGAGACGGTCATGCCGCGGAAGGCGCGCGGGGGGTTGTTGGACTCGGAGGGGTCGGTGGAGGTGATGATGGCGACGGGGTAGGGGACGCGGCGCATGAGGAGGCGGACTTGGTCGGGGAGGGAGGGAGTAGGAGGGGTTTCGGTGGGGGTGGTGTTGGGTTGGTTGTTGCTACCGCTGCTGCCGAAGCATCTGGTGGATGTGCGGGAGCCGGTGACGTCGGAGGAGAGTGTTCGGCAGAGGGATTGTCGGGGGAGATTGAAAGATGATACGCGGAGGTTTGTACATGATAGACCTGTATTGGATGTGAGTCTCACATCGTAATCCATCGGCATTCCAGGGAAGACACATACCTGACAGGTCCGCAAACCGGCCCGCAAGTCGCGGAGAAGCGAGGAGATTCATAGCGTGGAGGGAAGAGCTCAAAGGCTCAAAGAGGGACAGGACAAGCAACGATATAGAGAAATTCTGGGTCGACAGTCACCATTGTGAGATTTTCGAAAGGAGCGAAGTCAATTGCAGACCATTCTGGCCGAAGAGCGCCCGAGATGAATGTTGGAGATGAAGCTGTAAATTCGACGGCGAAGGAAACCCCGGTGCTGACTAAGTCCGCTCCGAGCCGCCAAATTTCTCCGCCGAAAAGAACGTCTTCGTTTGACCTCCGATCAAGACGACGCCCCGACCTGCCATTGCCAATTCCCTTCTCTCGCGGACCGATCTTCCTCTGAACGGTCTTGCCTCTACACCTCCTCTCCTCAGACATCTTAGTCTTCCGAACAGCGGATTCCCCGCATCATCCTCACCGAAGAAAAAAAAAATGTCCCTCGCAACCTCCCTCCTCCGCACAGGAGGCACAACCGCCCGATTGACCAACAGCAGCACGACCTCCACAACCTTCATCTGCTCGCAATGCCGACATGCGACGCTGCTGCGCCGGCCCAAGAACCCGTACACATTTACCCAGCTGATCACGCTATCGGACGGCAGCACGTTCACGCACCGCACCACCTCCCCGGCCCCCGTGTACCGGTCGACCCGCGACACGCGCAACTCGCTGCTCTGGAACCCCTCGTCCAGCAAGCTGATGAACGTCGAAGATGATGAGGCCGGACGGTTGGCTGCTTTCCGAGCACGATTTGGGCGCGGCTTCGACGCGAACACCCCCGTCGAGGGCGAGGAGAGCGGCAAGAAGGAATTGAGCAAGGAGGAGGCCGCCGCCGAGGCGGCCGCGGCGCAGGAAGAGGAGGATAATCTGCTGGATCTGATCAGTTCGTTTGGGCAGGAGTCCCAGGAGCAGGGGAAGAAGAAGAAGGATTAGATGTGTGTCGTGCTTGAATGAATGAAGTCGGATTCGGATGGGGGTTTATATCCGTGGTTACGCATGGACGGTCTTGATTTTTCTGCTGCTCCTGTTGTATTATAGGCTGGATTTTCTTTTTCTTTTCTCTTTTTGTCGTGTTTCTGTCAAGATATGACCAATACTACTACTGTACAGATCTCTGGTATACATGGGTTCATGCACAACTACATCCTGAATTGTACGGACCGGGTAAGCATTATCAGACGTCAGATTATTTCAGGCTATTGATATCACACTATGCTAAACAATATTCCGACAGTATGATTGCGTTACACACTGGCCATAACTTCAATTAAAACAAGTCGTGCGCTACATCATACACTGTTCAATGACGGGCATCGTAGTTTGAGCAGGACACGGGAATGGATGGGAGCATGTAAGGGAGGACGGGTCGTGGATTTTGCTTTTGTACAAGTCAAGAAAAGGCTTCACAGTCAAGGTCTAGATCCCTAAGACTGCTCCTCTGCCGTCGCCGGAGGAGCTGCCTCGGGATGTTCTTCTGCAGGAGGCTCTGCCGGGGCAGATGCACCCCCGTAAAAAGGGTTTCCTTCTTCGCCCGCATCCAGCTGCAAGAGGAATGTTTCCCAAAGTTCGATCAACTGCATGGTTCATTAGCAACGAGAGATACTGATCGGCTGGATGACAATTGCTCACCTCCTTCTGCGCTTCCACGGCACTCTCAAGGAAGGTCTCGACTCCGGACTTGAAATCCTCAACCTTCTCTTTCTCGAATCTCTGCAGTTCGTTGCGCATCAATCGCCCCATGTCCTCAAACAACAGGCGGGCTTGGTGAACCTTCCGTTCCGCATCGGCCACGTCGGCATTGACTTGATTCAGGCGGTCTTGCTGCGTCTTCCCTTGTCTGAGGAGCTTCTCCTGGGTGTTCTTGCGTTTCTGCATTTCCGACTCAGCGGTATGCCAGCTGTGGAACGCCTTCTGTCGTTGGGAGAAAGCAGTTTTAATGCTACCAATCAAGCGGAGATACTCGTCGATAGTGATACCCAAGGTCAGCACATCTTGCTGCGCTTGGCGCTCGTACAGCTCTCGAATGCGCAGCTGAAGAATCGAGAGTCCATCCAGGGGACTAGACAGGGCAGGAGACAGCTCGACAGAGGCCAACGCCTGAAGAGAAGCCGAAAAGTCTCCAGCGGCCTCTGCCAGTCCTTTCCGTTGAGCGGCTACCGTATCGATGGCTTTCATCAGAGCCTTGAGTTGGTTTTCCAAGGCATCCAGGTAGACTTTCCGGTCGTGGAACCACTGTAGCCCCTGTCAGCATGCAAATCAACCATTCCGCCCCTTGTTCCGGGAAGACATACATCATCGTGTTCGACAAACTTTCCACCGCCTCCAACGCTGATGCCAAACGAGCTGAACATGCCCTTGCTCTGACCGAGATCCGGCTCTCTGTTCTCCTTGTTCTTCACATCGAGAGTGAAACTTTCGCTTTCCAAAAAGATCTTGAGATCCCCATCATGTTGAAGGATCGGGTGTGCTGCGATCTTGTTCAGCATCCGCTCCAGGGCAGATCTTCTCGACTCGACGAAGTTAGTGTCAAACCGACCAACCGCCTGCTTCTCGGGCGGAGGAGGAACGACGACACCGGGGTTGTTGTTATGCATGGAATTGTAGAGCCATAGGAAGTCGCGGTAACGACGGCTGACAGTAAACTCGGGTTGGCGGTACGCCTTGGACGTGGTCTGTGGCCTGATATCAGCGATATGCGCCCGCGATCAGGGGCGGTGCGGTCGCTTACCTTGGTTCTGACCTGATACACAATGTGACTGCTGGTCAAATCGCCCACCTTGTGCGGATCACCGACAGTGATATCAAAAGTTGGATGAGCAGCCTTCTCGACACTGACGCTGGGTTCCGACAGTCTTTTCGAGCTGTCCGCTTCGCTAGGGGGTTGCACCGGCGGGGGTCCCCTGAACCCCGAGCCATCTTCTTCTATCGAGTCCATCATGCCAGCCACGCTGGGAGTCTGCGACGTAGATGATGTAGGACGGGCATTGTTCCCTGCGGCCTCCTCCTTCTGGGGCGGGGTGGGAGCTTGCTCGTTGGCGGCCGGGGTCGTTTCGCTGGCTTTATCTCCGAGAGGACCAAGGGGGTCGAACGTATCATCAACGGCCTCTAATTTCGTGGCTTGCGCACTGATCTTTCGTGTGCCTCGGGGGCCGCGTCGTACAGGGGACCGGGGATTGCTCGAGCTCGCTTGCTGTGACGATTGTTGGGGGGCTGCGCAGGTGACGCAATTAGGAACGGGCTCCGGAGCAAACATGATGGAATCGAGCGGGAAAGGGAGTTAAATACAGGCATTGTCATCTGCATTCGATTCGGAGGCATCGCGATTGCCGACGGACTGGGAGGGCACATCTGTACTGGCCGATTAGAGATCACCCTGGATAGATGCGACAGAAACGTGACTGCCTGCTTACCGCCCCACGGGGAATCACCAGTGTCCAAATCCATGAGGGTAAAGTGGAATTAACGGTAATATAAAGGATAGAGAAAAGAAATCAAAGATCGGTTGGGGAGGTAAAATAAAAGACGGGCCACCAGGACAGAGCAGGAGGATGAAGCGGAGGACGGTTGGAGAGTCGGCGAGTTGGACAGGTGATCCGCGTCGACGGATTAGGGTTCCCCCGCCAAGCTTCTAGTCAACTGGGGGCCTTAACATTCTACTTGGACCCAACTACGGAGTATACTGCGCTGTACCTCAATTGTATTATATAAAGAGAGTATCACCGAAGGGTTCTCTATCTGGATCTACTCTGGGTAAGGATCATCCTCTCCGTGGCTCTATTGCATCGTCATCGTCATCACATCAACATCAACATCAACGTCGTTTACACTTGTTTTCATGAACCTCTTCAACTGAGGCTGAAAAAAACCTAGGGTTGCTCTATTGCTTCACCCAGGGAATGCCCAACTTGTGCATCTCCACCGCTAGCTGGAACAAATAGTCCAAGCTCTCACATTGGGTCTTGGCCTTGGCAACGTTGTCGCCCCAGACGTAACTACCCATCGTGTCAGAAATATCGGAGAAAGAGAATGCCGGATCCACTTACATTCCGTGTCTTCTCACAAGCACCGCATAGGTGTCGGGGTTTTCCTCCATGGCCTTCTCCAGCGACCCGGTCAGATCCTCTTCGAAGGCAGTGTTCTCAATAATGGGAATGCGCAGAGTGTCGAAAAATCCCAACATGCCCTTACCCTTGCCCCGAGGGATTCCCTTGATCTGTTCGATGTTGCTAATCTCGAAATAGCCGCCAGGACCCTTCTCGCGCTCAACCAGGAGCGTCACCAGGACGGCCCACTGAGAGTGGGTGTGGATGCAGCAGCCAGCACCGCGCTCAAAAGCAGCCAGGAACAAGGGCGTACAGGCCGAGGGGTTTAGGGCGAGCGGCTTGCGGATGTACTTGCGATCCTCAGCGGGATACTTGGGGGTGGGCCACTCGAGGACGAAGATGTTCTCCGATTGCATCAACTCCTTCTGCACACCCGACGGCGCGATGTAAATGTGTTCTCCGCGACGGATGGAGGTCTAGAAGCGCAGCAACAAGATTCCAATTAGCGACGGGCAATCCGAAGACTGTCATGGATGCGATCAGCTTACCCCACCACCGGTTCCAGTAACCCAACCCCAGTTGTAAAACTTGCGACAGAGCTCCGGAATCAAATTGGCCGGATGCTCGGGATCCGTCGACTGAACGAGATGGTCATTGTTCGTCTGTTGGGTTTCTTGGCACATGATGTCGAGAAAGCGATCGTAGTGTGAGGGGAAGCGGGTTTGCAGAGAGATCGAGAAGATAGGATCGGGAATATGTAGGAATGGATTTGATTTTCAAACGAAGACAATCCACACGACGAGGAGTGATCGCCGGAGACAGGCTCAGAAAAGAAAATGGAGCAGGACGAGGTGGGACAGGACGAGGCGACGGCGTAGGACGAGGAAGAGGCCGAGCGGGGAGGGAAGGGAATTGCAGAAAAATTAATTAATTTTTGCGATTAATTAGCGCCGCGGGGATGGTGTCATCTTCAGACTGAGCTCGGTCGGACTACGAGAGAGTGACTGGGAGGTGACCGCATGAGGGAGCGTGAATTGACCCGTATGGACCGTTCTACCGGGGAGTGCCTGTACTCCTCCTGATCCCCGTGTATGTGCATGCTAAGTTCACGCCAGGAAGATTCAAGGAGTCTAGGAGTCTAGGATATACTCCGTGGCCATCGGGAGAAACGCAGAACGCGGGAGAATCACAGCTAACCCTAAGAAGGCAGGCGGAAGGACCCCCCCGGGCGCGGCGGGAAGAGGCCACCTTGAACTTCCGGGCTTCATTCGCTGCTTATTTATACAATCGGCCTGCCTCTTCTCCTCTTTCTCCTCTTCTTCCCTTCTCCTCCCCCGTGCGCTACAGGTAGCTTTGTCGCGACTCACGGCTGGCCTTGTCTTCTCTCCATTCCTCTCCTGCCCTCCCTAATTCCCCTTTAGGAGGTTCAATTAATCTTTTGTTTATCTTGTCTTCCCTTCCTTGAATCCCCCAGTTCGTCGGCGCTCTAGCTCGACTTTATCTCGCCATGCGTATCAACGCCGCCTTTACCTCGGCTCTGGTGTCCTCGGCCACTCTCATGGGTTATGCCCATGCAGAGGACGCTGAGAAGCCCGCTGATGCTACTTCCGTCGTCGAGAAGCCTGCCTTCACCGTGAGTTCTCCCGTTCTTTGTTGATCGGCACAGCGATCGCACGCATCATGACGCCCATCCCATTTATTCTCCGCAATTGCTAACGATCTCCTCGCATTAGCCCTCTGCCATCAAAGGTCCTTTCGTTGAACAGTTCACGGAGGGCTGGGATTCGAGATGGACTCCGTCCCACGCCAAGAAGGATGACTCCAAGTCGGAGGAGGACTGGGCCTACGTTGGCGAATGGTCCGTGGAGGAACCCAGCGTCCTCAAGGGAATCGAAGGCGACAAGGGTCTCGTCGTCAAGAACGCCGCGGCCCACCACGCCATCTCGGCCAAGTTCCCCAAGAAGATTGACAACAAGGGCAAGACCCTGGTTGTCCAGTACGAAGTGAAGCCGCAGAACTCTCTGGTCTGCGGTGGTGCCTACCTGAAGCTTCTCCAAGAGAACAAGAAGCTTCACGCCGAGGAGTTCTCCAACGCGACTCCCTACGTCATCATGTTCGGTCCCGACAAGTGCGGTGCTACCAACAAGGTGCACTTCATCTTCCGCCACAAGAACCCCAAGACCGGCGAATATGAGGAGAAGCACCTGAAGGCTCCCCCGGCCGCCCGTACTTCCAAACTCACCTCGCTGTACACCCTGGTCATCAAGCCTGACCAGACCTTCCAGATCCTCATCGACGGTGAGTCCGTCAAAGAGGGCACCTTGCTGGAGGACTTCAACCCTCCCGTCAACCCCGAGAAGGAGATCGATGACCCCAAGGACAAGAAGCCCTCCGACTGGGTTGACGAGGCTAAGATCGCCGACCCCGAGGCCAAGAAGCCCGAGGACTGGGATGAGGAGGCTCCCTTCGAGGTTGTCGACGAGGAGGCCACTATCCCCGAAGACTGGCTGCAGGACGAGCCCACCAGCGTCCCCGACCCCGAGGCCGAGAAGCCCGAGGACTGGGATGACGAGGAGGATGGTGACTGGGTCCCTCCCACTGTCCCCAACCCGAAGTGTAACGAAGTCTCCGGCTGTGGTGCCTGGGAGCCTCCCATGAAGAAGAACCCCGCCTACAAGGGCAAGTGGTCCGCTCCTCTGATTGACAACCCCGCCTACAAGGGACCCTGGGCTCCCCGCAAGATCGCCAACCCCGCCTACTATGAGGACAAGACCCCCTCCAACTTGGAACCCATGGGCGCTGTAAGTTCATCTCTTTCGCCGTGCTGTGTGATACCCAAATGACCCATGATGACTAACCAACTCCATAGATTGGCTTCGAGATCTGGACCATGCAGAACGACATCCTGTTTGACAACATCTACATCGGTCACTCCGTCGAGGATGCTGAGCAGCTTCGCAAGGAGACCTTTGACGTCAAGCACCCCGTCGAGGCGGCCGAGGAGGAAGCTTCCAAGCCCACGCCCGAAGAGAAGCCCGTCACTACCAGCGTTAGCTTCAAGGAGGACCCTGTCACCTACATCCGTGAGAAGATTGACTCCTTCGTCGTTCTCGCCAAGCAGGACCCCATCAACGCCGTGAAGCAGGTTCCCGAGGTCGCCGGTGGCCTGGGCGCTCTGGTGCTGACGATGATCCTCATCATCGTGGGTGCCATCGGCTCTAGCACTCCCGCTCCCGCCCCCGCCAAGAAGGGCAAGGAGGCCGCCGGAGCTGGCAAGGAGAAGGCTGGCTCTGCCACCACTTCTTCGGCCGACACCGACAACAAGGGCAAGGCCACCAAGCGTACTACGCGGTCGTCGGCGGAGTAAATGAAAGCATCCGTTTTGGACCTCCAACCAGGGGGAGAGAAAGCCGAATAAGGAAAACCCCATGAGATAAATACCAGAATCTTTCCAATACCAAATTCATACCAGTTTGAAGCGTTTTATTCGAAGGTCGATGCCAGCCGTTCTGTTGTCGGATTATTGATATCTAACCCTGCGATGCGATACGAGAGCCCTCAAAACGGTCCTATTTTGAAAGTGGATAAAAAGAGTGAAAAGAAATAAAATCGAAAAAAGCCTGTCTGTAAAGTAGGGATAAGGGGGGAAGTGACATGTCTCTAGGTTCTTAGTGGCTATTATATTATAGTTTCTGTTGCGCAAATCAATTTTCACTGTGAGAACTGAATCATGAAGGAATGGAGAAAGGTCATCTGGTGATAAGAAGTAGATAAGGGTCCACGTGACCAGCCCCGCCACGATGGCCTGAAATTAATTAAGCAAATTAAAGATCGACCCCTCCTTTGGCCGATTCCTGACTCACGCCGCTTTCTCTTCTTGCACCACTCTCCACATTGGCCACTTGTCTCTACCTTACTTGTCTCCTGATCTGACATTCCTGCGACTTCCAGAATGGCCGAAGAAACCGCACCGGCACCGACTGCCCGGGACCAGGACATCAATCCCTGGTCCGTAGACGGTGGGCAGGACGAGAACGGCGAGGCCATCTCCATTGATTACCTGGCCCTCTCTCAGTATGTGCTCCTGTTTCCTCAATGTACCGGAGTCTCTGCGACCAAAACACGCACAGAGAGAAAGAGAGATGGCATCGACCGCTAACCGCGCAATCTAGAAAATGGAACACCTCCGCCATTGACCACGAGCTCCTGGAGCGCTTCGAACGGGTGACCGGACACAAGCCGCACCGCTGGCTGCGACGAGGCCTGTTCTTCAGCCACCGCGACTTCGACAAGATCCTGACGCGCTACGAGCACGGCGAGCCCTTCTTCCTCTACACCGGCCGCGGGCCCAGCACCGGCAGCCTGCACCTTGGACACACAATCCCCCTGCAGTTCACGAAATGGCTGCAGGACGTGTTCGACGTGCCGCTGGTTTTCATGTTGACGGACGACGAGAAGGCCCTGTTCAAGGACAGCATTGGCTTCGAGGAGGCTATGCACTACGCTATGGAAAATGCCCGCGACATCATCGCCTTGGGCTTCGACGTTAAGAAGACCTTCATCTACAGCGACCTGAAGTACATCTCGAGCCATTTCCTCATGAACGCTTGGGAGTTCGGAAAGCTGGTTACTTTCAACCAGGTCCGTGGCGCGTTTGGATTCAATGAAAGGTTAGAATTATAAACACCCCCCTCCTTGCCCCTCTTTGAGAATGTCTGCTAAATTCCTAAATCCTGATAATATAGTACCAACATCGGCCGCATCTTCTTCCCTTCCGTCCAGTGCGTCGCCGCCTTCGCCACCTCCTACCCCGAGATCTGGTCCGACGAGCCCCAGACTGCCCGGAACCAGAAGATCGCCGACATCGCCTGCCTGATCCCCATGGGTATCGACCAGGATCCGTACTTCCGGCTGCTGCGCGACAACTCCCACCGCATGGCGTTCCCGTCGCCGAAGCCCGCGCTGATTCACTCGAAGTTCCTGACTGCGCTACAGGGCGCCGGCGGGAAGATGTCGTCGTCGAATCCCAACTCGGCTATTTTCATGGACGATACGGCGAAGCAGATTAAGGTATGCATCTTCATTCACGCGGGGGGGGGGGGGGGGGGGGGGGGGGGGGGGGGGGGGGGGGGGGGGGGGGGGGGGGGGGGGGGGGGGGGGGGGGG